AGACTATTCACGATTAGCAATATCATATACACATATGTGCGTAACGGTAATAATATATACGTACACGGTAGTAATGTGTACGTACACGGTAGTAATGTGTGTGTATATATGTACGTAAATATCTAAATAATTTGTATATTTACGTTTTAAATATTTTTTGACTATAAAAACAAAACATTCAAATCATGTATGAACAACATATGAAAAAAATACAGTCATACAAATAACTGACATAATAACTTAATTTTGATGTCAAAAAATTAAATTAATGTTGTACCATGTACGCTCCAATAAATATTTTTGTGTACGTACATAGTATAAGACTTATGTGATTTAGACATTTTTAGGATGTAACTGTTTGGAGAGGTCGTATGATGCGGACATAAAACATGTTGATGGACTAGCTGAGCTATTTGCTGAAGGACTCCCTGAAGGACTCAATGAAGGAATCGCTGATGGACTCGCTGACGAACCATTCTTACACTCAAGACATCTAAACCTCCTTTTCAGCCAGAAGACTCAAGCCACGAGGTTATTTCTCCTTCTCCAAGACGTCTCCCACTTCTTAACATAACCGGCACCAACACATCACCACTACTTATTCCCAACGGCTAGAAGATCACATCCTCTCCAAGTTATCATTTATTTCGCATATTTGTTTCCTTGTTTTCATTTCTTGACCATTGGAGGTCTCTTTGTCTCGAGCCTATATAAGCTCTTCTTCCTTGTTCTTTTCATGCACGCAATTTTCAAGTAATAAAAGTTCAGTTTGTTTGCTTTCAAAGTTATAGTCTTTGAGCATTTGTTTGAGTCATTTTCTTGGTTAATTGATTAGTTCTGGTTACTATTCGACTCTGTCACCACCGTTACAACACTTCCGCAAGACGTTACGCGTTGAATTCTTGATATAGGAAAGGAGTGACTCCGATCGTGTATCATCTGGTATCAGAGCTTAAAACGCTCCTATCTATCCAGGTTTACTCTTTCCTTTCTACAAATTTCAATTCTATTTTCAAATTCATAAACAAAAAAAAACCAAATAAAAATCGTTTTGTTCATTTTCTTGTTCAATTTTTATTAAATTAGAAAACCAAATAAATATTTTCCTTGCTTTGTTTCATTTTCTTGAAGTCAAAGGTTTTGAGTTAGGGATTAGAGGGTCATTAAGGAGCATTTTCATGTCTTACTGGACTAGTGTACGTGTACATAATATATGTACACCATATTATGAATTTAATGTGAACACGGGGTAGTAGATGCAATTTTATTTTGAAAAATATATTTGTCTTATAGTTGTATAAGATGTAAAAGCGAATAACATCACAAGAAAACTTACAAAAATCCAATATACATATAAGATTTCATAACACTCTCAGATTAATGTAGTGTATGTTTATGTGTCATCTTCTAGTCGTGTACGTTTTCGTTTGTAGAATGATGTACGTTTTCGATTGTATGATGATGTACGTTTTTAATTTTGGATACGTCACCAATTTTGAAAAATACTTTACGTTTATCTCCTTATTACTATGTTCATCTTGTCTTATGACCGTGTATGTTTACCCTCACAAACTATCATCTGTTTGAAAATTGAGTACGTTAATCTTCAAAATAGCTTCATTCATTCATACATACATCAACTACATCATAAAAAATATAACAAAATGGATATCAACATATTAGTATTTTAATATAACAATTCAATGTTACATTAAATGGATTCTTTCCAAGAACCGATTCTACCTATCGCTGATCGAAAGGATGATGTCATCCCACAAGATATATCGGATATGATACTGATTCCTCCATACAGTAGACGACCACCAGGGAGACCAACCACCAAAAGGATGGTGATACCATCCAGGGGTGAAAACTGAGTAAGTTTTAACATTCTAACATGTGCACATATTTGCCTATATCTATGTTTAGAGTATAAGATGCATTGTTTGTTAACTTATTGTTGTTGTCACTACTGGAAAAAAAAAACAGAAATACTTTTTCTGAATCAGTGTACAAGATGTAGACAAGCAGGTCATAACAAGAAGACTTGCAAAAATCCTATTTAGTTTTATGTCCTTGTTTTTTGTCACCGTGTAGACAGTGTACGTTTATGTCTGGACCATGTGTACCATATTTTTTGTCGGTGTACGTACGTTTAATGTTTGCCATCATATAACTATGTATGTTTCTGATATGTCTGTGTACATAAAATAATTCGATATTTTATGAGAATTGCCCCTCCCTTGGTACAATACTTCTCTTTTCCTGATTCCATAAGCCAATCACCTCTATAAACTTTTGTTGGGAAAGAAACCCTAAAATCGCCTCCATCGCCTTTCTCTCACTACATGAATATTGATCTTTCGCAGCGTCCAAAAAACGCTATCTAACGATACTATAGCGCTTTAACAAACGCTCTATCATCGTCCGTTATAGTAGATCGAAGACATAACATAGCAGTTTTTTTCATTGCTATCATATTTTCATTAAATATAGCGTTTTTTTTTTAATATGCAATTATATATTTTATATGGATCTGATTTTAATTTATAATTTTAAATTTTGATTTTTATTTTGAATTACGAATTCAAAAAAATCTAATTTTAATTTATAAATAGAAAAAGTAATAATTTAAAACAAAATTTAGAAAATATATTTTGTATGAGAAATAATAACTAAAATATCACAAAAAAAAAAAAAAAAATCTTCTACTCTTTCTCTCCGAATCCCTTTGCCTTCTCTTCAATTCTCTGCAGATCTTCAAGTCTTTGAATACCCTTTGCCTTCTCTTCAATTCTCTGCAGAACTTAACTCTTTGAATACCTGAAAGACTTCCATATTCTCAGATTCCTCATCCTATCAATAAAACTTAGCAACATATAAATCAAAATCTGTAAATAACAAGATTTTATTGAAAAGAACTCATACAAATCAATCATCACAAAATCAGGAAAAATTGAGACACTAACCTCATCAAGGCCTTTAGGACCAAAGACTAACAAAGCGACAACACCAATAACTAAAGCCTCAGGTGCTCCAACAGCAAACAAAGACGCAAAATTCATCGTACACTTACATCTTCTCTTCTTCTCTGTACACAATTACCCAAACCTCAGAAAAGTGAACATCTTTACAAATACCCAGAAACAAAAAAGAATCAATTTTGTGAAATCGTCACCTGGGTTTGAAGATTTGGGAGAAGAACCCATGAGAGAAAACCATGAAGAGAGGTTAGGCTTCGAAGCTTGAAACTTTATAACGGTTTCGAAGATCTGGGTTTAGAGGAAATTGAACTAAGAGAGGATCTCCTTAGTGGATATAGGATTAGGGTTTCAAAGAGGCGGAGGCGGCGGTAACTGAGCTTGAACAGAGGAACGAAGGCAGCGGAAAACGGAGAGGAAAATAGAGCGATTGGGAGAGACCACAATATTGGTCCCTTCCCATGACCAGAACCTTTCAAACGGGTCACCGAACACCACCGCAATCAACCCAAGAACCCTAGAATCCAATTGATACCCACAGATCCGACCATTGAAACTCCATGGAGGACCAAAAATAAACCGATCCAAATGCCTCCGATCGAAAACCATCATTGTTGGGAAAGAAACCCTAAAATCGCCTCCATCGCCTCTCTCTCTCTCTCTCGTTTTTTTTTTTTAACTCGAAGATAGGATTTTATTAAGATTGACCATATCATACAAAGGCTTAAACAAAGCCCCAACTTTAGATTTACAGAAATAAAGAAGCCAAAAGAAAGGCCCATCAGATAACCAGACTTCTGCAGAAGCAATTCTATCTGAACTCCATCCATGGAACGTGTCGACAACCGGATATACCACGTCACACGCTGGATGAGTAATCAAAAGTTTTCCGGCAACAACCTTCGCCGTTGAGCGCCGATTCCGGTAAGAAATCTTCGCTGATATGAAATCAAACGTTGATTCTTGTGTTTTGCACCGGAATGAAGACATCAAAACTCCAAATTAAAAGATAACAGCTTAAGGCATCGTGATAAGCGATGGAAGAATCTTCTATTCTCCAACATAAGATGGAAATCTCCTTGAAACCATTCTGCAAACCCGAGTTCAAAAGAAAACGATCCGGCGAAACCCATCTTGAAGAGACAAGAAACAATCCAGATCTAAAAACTCAAAAGACATATTGGAGAAGAACTACCGTTAACGGACAGATAATCATCCCCAACATAGATCCAATGAGATTATTAGCAAAAACATAACAAATTTAGAAAGTAAAGAGAAACGATACCGGCCATCGCCACTAGAAAAGCTGATCGATGCCGGGCAGGAGCTAGCCACCGTTGCTGGAGAAGCCAATCGGTGCCAGACGAGAGCCGACCATCACCGTTGTGGAAAACGGAAGATGCCGGACATATAGCCGGATAAACACCGGACGGCGAGAAGAAGAACGCATTCTCTCTCTCGTTCTTCTTCTTCGTTTCTGCGCAAAATTTTTTTTTTTTTAATTCAAAACCAAACCGTAAAACAAAGAAAAAGTAACTAAACCGAAACCAACTATGCCATTTGGTTTAAGTCATTAGGGGTATTTTCGTCAGATTTTGGTTTAATTGTCAAAACATGAAAACCAAATCTCACTTTGCCAAAAGGTGAGATCAAATCTTTTTTTCATGTTAAACGTGAAAATTTCTTTTTACAGAGTCCATTTTAGACATATATACTTTCGTTCAAGCATATACAAGATATTTTGACAGTTTTTATGTGACTCTAAATATTTCAACACATGGTTTTTTTTTTTTTTTCTAACAGCAACAATTACAACACATGTTATGTTTTGTTTTTTAAACATATTAATTTTATCAAAGTAAATTCTTGGCACTATATTATGGTCTTTAAGATATTTATTTGCCTTTTTTCAAAATATACGACACTTTTTTATCAATTTTTTTGCTTACTTAACAAACAGAAAAGTGAAACATCAATTTTTTGAAGAGAGGGGACTTTAGATCCCTAAAATAAGAACTAAATACCAAGGAGATTAATTTTATCATCTCACTTCTCATTACACATTTTAACACTTACGTGCCATGTCACGTCAAATGTGCGTCTAAAGAGCATTTTAGCACCTAAGGTTAAAGCCAGGGTCCACACCTAGCTGTGTACAATAGTCTGTGTATTACCTAACCCTTGCATTGACCGCACCCAAATTCCCACCATTACACTCCATAGCATTGATGGCTCTAATGGTGGCTCCAAATCCTTGGTCCAGGACCGGCCTTACGCTATTCATCCAAAACCACAACCCCGTCTGGAAAGCCACAGTTGAGTTGCTACCAACTAGTTCCGGCTGGCGTAGAAGGTCGAGACCGAGACTCTGACCACAAGTACCGTAGTTATAGTTCCATGATAATTGGATCGGGCCACGACCAAAGTAGCTCTTGCCCGGTGCACATGGGTATAGGCTGTTGTTCTTGTCGCAGTAGTCACTCGACGTCCCGTTTACCTCCTCTATGTTGCAGAAACCTAGACGAATAGACTTATATACATGAAACTAAGTGGCACCAACTATTTGAAATAACAACAACAATGAAAGTGAACCTATGAAAAGGATTAGGTCTTACGCACGTTCGGTCTCGTGGGTGAAATGAGCAAACATGCTAGCGATCTCGAGCACGGTAACAGAGCTAGTGAAGTCAAAGGTAGTATATAGCGGCTTGAAGGAAAGAGTCACGGGTATAGAATCCTTTTCCGGCGCAGCCATTACGGGTGTCAATAATTCCGTTAAAGAATTGTTGTGTCACAATCTTGTCAACCGGATCTCTACTTTGTCTGCAAGGACCTGATTTGCAACCGGAACCACAGTGTTGGTCGGTAATACCGCAATAACCAGACTGACTGCAGCAGAGGATCGGAGAGCAGCCGCAGAACTGCGACTTGGCAGTCTGTGAGTAGAAACTGAAGAGGTAGATGAGAAAAACTGAGGCGATTTTTGTGAGAGCCATGTTTCTGAGTAATTCTTTGTGGATGAGAATGAAGAGTAGGAAGAAATTATAATTGTTTAAAGTGGGAGATGTTTGGTGGTTTGGTCATTTCATTGGGATATACTTGCCAGTCAATCGGAATAAAAATGTTTTTTTTTCCTATTGTTTATTTTGATTATTTAACACACGGCTTTGACCTGAAGTTTTTGCAAAGATAATTATATGGTCTAGTTATTGATTTTTTTTTTTCTTCGACCAAGACACATGGAAATATTTCTCACTTTTGTATAATTTCTGAATAGATTATTTCTCACTTTTTATTTCCGTAACGATGGAACAAACAAATTTTCATCATTATTTTTCAAATCCGAAATATATCGTTAAAGGATCCCTCTTTAAAATTTACATTGTGTCCAATTGTTATTCTAACGCCCAAGACTAGGCGAATCTAGACGGCCAAAATAACTCGGGGAGCTTTTGCCGACTTATAATAGTATTGGCTACCGTTCTTTCTCGGTCTTGCGACACCGTTCATTAAAGATTGGCCAAATCAATAGAGATTCGGATATAATCTTTCATTTCGTTACTTTCTTAATACAACATTAGTATTATATGTCATATGATATAATTTCTCTGATGTGGTATCTTATTCTTATATTTCAAACATTGTTTGTTTCAGATGGGCAGACAGAAAACCTTAACAAGAGAGGTTGTCGCCAGGTTCGACCCCAAGCTTATCACAATAGTCTCGGTAATACTCAATCCTTTTGGCGACAGTTGCAGGATCTCTTCCGCTACACTCCATACCATTTATAGCCCTGATCGTCGCGCCAAAACCCTGATTAAATTTCCCACGAACATTAGTGGTCCAGAACCAGAAAGCAGTCTTGAAGGCAAGAACTGGGTCTTGAGCCACTTTCTCTGGTGAGGCCAATAAGTTCTCATTCAGGTCTCTGCCACAGAGACCGTAGTTGTAGTTCCAAGAGAGCTGGATCGGACCACGGCCATAATAGGCCTTTCCTTGTGCACATGGGAAATCTGTGTTGTCTTTCTGACAGTAGTTCTCGGCTTTGGCTGGTCCATCAATTTCCTCAATGTAACACATGACTGTAACAAAATATATTCAAATAGTTACACAAACGAATATCTTTAACTCAAAGTCATAAATTTTCAAAACCGGATAAGCTAAAAAAAATTGAAATAACCAAACCGAACCGAAATAACCAAATGTCCAAAACCTAAAGAGAATTTTTTTAACGTACATTCTGTTTCATGGGTGACGTGAGCGAAGAAAGCAGCGATCTCGCGTTTGGAGATGGAAGCACCGAAGCTCTGGTACGAATTAGCTGCGGCCATAAAGGCATTGTGAGCGTAGAATCCTTTACCTGCACAATCACCTCTTGCTTGGTTTAATATAGAGTTAAAGAACTCAGGTGTCACCGTTCCTTCAAGCGAAACAGCATCTCCGCCGCCGCCACTGTTTCCGCCGCCGCCAGTCTCACTACTACGTTGACAAGGGCCCTCACGGCAGCCTTCGCCGCAGTAATCATCTGTCTGACCACAGTAACCCCATTGGCTGCAGCAGAAGTTAGAGGCACAGCCACAGTTTTGAGAGGTTACTGGTTTGGAAACGGTCAGGATCAAGACAAGGAGAGTTGTGAGAAAAAGAGCACTTGTGTCTTTTCTGGTGCTGGATTTGGCGTAATTCGCCATTTTTGTTGTTGCTGCTTATGTGTGTGTGAGGCTGATAGATGTATATTAGCTTCGAGTTTTATAGTGGAGATCAGCTGATTGTAACAATGTGGGAGAGTTAAGACAATGTTGGATCCGTGAAGAAGACGTTGTGGAACACAAGTGTCTAGTAATTTCCAAGTCAACGTCAACTCAGGAAGACTTTGTGTTCTAGCCCATTCGTTACGTAGGGAAATTTCCACACAAAGATCAAAATTTTCATTTACATACAATAAGATTCAGAATTTTGACAAAAGTTAATTAATTTTGTAAGATAAAAGATTCTAAGGTTTATTATTTCTCCCGGTGACGAATGTTTAGGTGTTTTAAGTTTTTTTTTTTTTTTTTTTTTTTGTGTGTGTGTGGGTAGATCACTAGGTTGTATCACTTGTGTTAATTGACGTTATTGGAATTTTAAAATGAAAGGTTTGATCTTTTAGGAAACTACAATCCTAAGACAATTGTCTCTCTGAAAACATCCAAAGATGAAGTTCGAATCAAAACATGGAACTATCGAATAATGAAGAAACCGCAAAATTTTCTATTTGATCTGAAAGATCAAAAACAGAGGAAAACAGAGGAAATCTTAAACTCACATATTCTTTCTTATCAAACCCTCTGATTCACAACAAGACTCTTCATTTTAATAGTTTCACACCTACAAAACCATATTGGATAAGAAAGCAATGAAGATCCAATGCAATGCGTTACTGAAACAAAATTATCTTCTGCACAAGAGATTTGGTTACTCCCCGCTTCTGTTGTGTCTATGGTGGTGCATTATCAATGCTGAGAATCGAACATTTTCTTTGTATAAGTCGTTTTATTAATCTTTTTAATAACGTGATTCAATTTCACAATATTACTACAACAACTTTAAGTAACATCACTTAGCTTCTTGTTTCACCTTTAACACTCTATGCCAGGTCGCAAGTATGTCCAAAGAGCGTTTTAGCAAGTGATGTTGGTGCCAGGGTCCACACCAAGCTGCCCACAATAGTCTCTATAGTACCCAATCCTTGCATTCACCCCTCCTAAGTTCCTACCGTCACAGTCGAGACCACTGACGGCTCTTACGGTGGCTCCAAATCCCTGGTTCAATACAGGCCTCACGCCCTTCACCCAAAACCACAGAGCCGCCCTGAAAGCCACAATTGGGTTACTACCCACCTGCTCGGGCTGGCGTAGGAGGTCTAGGCCGAGACTCTGGCCGCATGCTCCATAGTTGAAGTTCCATGATAGTAGGAGCGGGCCACGACCATGGTAGCTCTTGCCCGGTGCACATGGATATTGCCTATTGTTCTGGTCGCACATGACACGTGACGCTCCGTTTATCTCTTCTATGTAGCAGAAGTCTACACGTACAGAGATGCATATGAAACACACTAGTTAATTTACGGAAAATTGAGATAAAAAAAAAAGGTTCAATCTTTATAATTGTCTTACAGTCTTAGGATAAAATCAAATGAGATATCCAAGGTTTTGGGATTCAATCTCTTTTACATCCTAGGTAATGATTGTTTCAAACGTATCTTTGTTATGATATTTTAATTAGTAATTATTTGTAAATTTGAAACGCCACTGTAGATTATTAAGTATTAGTTTTTTAAATAGCATACTCATTTTTATGTCACAATCTACTAATGTGTATATATCTTGACCAAAATAGATGTACTCTAGAATACTCTTGGTGTATGAAAAAGGAGAATAAAACCGAGACAAAAGATTCTTACTTCCGGTCTCATAAGTGAAATGAGCAAACATGGTAGCAATTTCACGCCTAGTAACGGTATTAGCAAAGCTGGAGAAAGTATTGGTGGCGTTAATGAAAGAGTCGCGGGTGTAAAATCTTTTTCCTCCGCAGCCATTACCGGTTTGGTTGATAATGTTGTTAAAGAAATTTTGTGTCACAATGCTACCAACCAAACCAGCACCGGTTGGGGGTCCACCGACTCTACAAGGACCTGATTGGCACGTAGAACCACAGTAATCTGCAGTGGTGCCGCAATAACCGAACTGACTGCAACATAGGTTTGGGGCGCAATTGCAGTTTTGAGATTTGACGGTTTCAGAGTAGAAACCTAAGAGGGATAGGAGAAGGATTAAGAAGATTTTTGTGAGAGCCATCTTTGGGTAGTTCTTGTTGTTTAAAGAGAAGGAAGAGTTTGAGGTTTATATAATGAGATATTGGGTAGATTGGTCATTTCAATGGGATGGGAAATAAATTGTGATTTTATTTCTTTCATTTATTTAATAATGGTTTTGACTGTTAGAGCATCTTCAACAGTAGTGCTTTGAAGAATGTCTCAAGATTAAAAAAATAAAAAATAATAAAAAAGTAGGAGAGAGGGTAGACACAGTTTCTGGTTTGAGAAATTTTGAGAAATTGTGTCTCCACTTGTCCTTATATTATTGGCCAAATTCTCTTTTTATGATTTATAATTTAAATAAATAATTTATTTCTTATAAAATAATTAAAATAATATTTTTGAGACACCCATATAGTGTCTGATGGATGGAAATGCTCTTAGTCTGCCGAAGGTGTATGAGCAATTGAATTTTCCTTTTTTTAAAAAATAACTTTGTAGATTGGAATTTGTAGCTGGAAAAATAATCTATATATATAATGGGAGAGTTGTCTCTCCATCTAAAGTGTCCACATAAGCATCCATGTCATCACATTTTATTATTTTTGTGGGCTCCACATATGTTATTTATTAAAACAAAAACTAAACTAAATTAATTCACATAAATTAAATATGAAAAAACGAGAAATAAATTACAAGGCCTGGACAAATTAACCGAACCGAATGTAACGAACCATTATTTAGGGCATTTATTTACATTATTTGTTTATTTATTTATGAACCGAATTAACAAGTATTAACATTATTTATTTTAAATTAAAATACACTTTAAACATTTATTTAGGGCATATTTATGTTACTTATAATTAATAGAAATTTTAAATAATAAAAATAGAATTATGTAAAATAAATGAAAAGTTAAAATAATAAAAACAAAACTATAAAAATATTATTAGTAGTAATAATATACTTCTACTTTTAATAGATAAAAATTAAAAATGATCATACTTCAAATCTTTAAATATTTTGATGAGTTTGAGAATGGAAGTAAATTTTAAATACATGGTAGAATAAAAATAAATTTATGTAATTCTGTGTATAAAATTTTAAACAAAAAATAAAATTTAAAGTGAAACATTAGTTTCTAAGAACAATATACTACATATTTTTATTTATTATTAAATTTTCACTTAAAGAAAAATAAAAGATTACTAAACTCAACTTAAATTTATAATTTAAGACGAATGTATTGTAAGAGTCACACTTTATCTTGTGAAATTATAAAAAAAATTCTTGAAAATTTTGAAACATTATCATCCATCTTTAAAAAAATAAATAATCAATGATCATATTATTCATGAGTTCTACAAAAAATATACAAGATCAAAAGGCAAAACAAGATTGATATTTCATCAAATGCTTACACATTTCGGCATGTAAAACACTAAATTAAAAATGACAAGTTTTAAAATAGTTCTCACTTGTTCTATATTTCTAATTGGTTGAATTAGGATCTATTACATGGTTACACATTTTTTAATTTGGATCTAATGAGAACAATCTTGTAGGCTATATTTTTTCTTTTTCTTACTGTCGGTTTGTTCATTTATTTTTTTTCAAAAAAAGTCGGTTTGTTTTTGAGACAACAAAGAAGCCGCCCTTCACGAATAATAATATTTTGTTAACCAAAAAATATAAATGTGGTAATTTCTGAAGTGGATATTAGAAAATTATCGACGGCTGGGAACATCGAGCCTGAAAAAAATGTTGAAATTGTTGTTTCATAAAAGATAAAATTAAAATATTGAAATTGACTACTCATTACTAAAGTAAACGATCCAAAACAATATTGGAGTGTTGCTTCATTAATTACAATAATACAAACGGAGTCCCCAATTAGTTGCCCCTAGTCTCTCGCTTAGAAGGAGCCGTCGCATATTTTCATGATAAATCTGTATTATTGTAATTCAGAAGATAAATCGTAATTTCAACGTTGAGAAGTCAAATTTGGAAGATCAATCATCGGAATTACGAAATGAAAGGCTTTAAAGTTATAACATATAGATGATGTTTTATATATACAACTTATACATCCTAATAGATCCTATATATCTAACCGGATTGAATCCAAACGATAATATTAATCATTATAAGTATCTGTATTATTATATGAGGAGATTGTAAACGTAATAAGAGTGCAACATCTTTTCCTACATAATTACCGTTTTTGGGAAACTTTCTAACATTTGTACTTAATTGCACTAGTAGGGGTTACGCTAAGTTGCATCTCTTAACGTACGTTTAGACTCTTTGATTACATTGGGCTGCATATATCTCTAGTGAATCCGTTGACGAAAAAAATAATCTTTCAAAACCATTAAACTACTAATGTGGTTGTGACTTGTGACCACACCGTATATCATTAAGATTTTTTTTTGGAAACTTTTTGTTCGTGCGAATATCCCAAAAGCATGTAAGTGTTAAACTCAAACATCTATCAATCTTAAAATTCACTTTCATAAGAAGTCACATAAGAAAAGAAAATCACTTTCACAAGTTTATTACAACCATTTTTTGCTTGTGACGCAGGGAACACTGAGACCCAACATTAAGTACATACGTGTGAAATTTAAATTTATTATCTCACTTATAATCCCATCTTATCACGTGCCACGTCACAAGTGTGCGTGTTTGGGTTCAAAGTTTTTTTTAGCAACTAAGGTTAGGACCAGGGTCCACACCAAGCTGTCCACAATAGTCTCTATAGTATCCAATCCTTGCGTTGACTGCACCGGAATTACCACCGTTACATTCCATTCCATTGATGGCTCTAATGGTGGCTCCAAACCCTTGGTTCAGAACCGGCCTTACGCTGTTCATCCAAAACCACAAACCCGTCCTGAAAGCTACAGTTGGGTTGCTACCGACAAGTTCGGGCTGGCGTAGAAGGTCAAGACCGAGACTTTGTCCACACGCTCCGTAGTTGTAGTTCCATGATAGTTGGATCGGACCACGACCGAAGTAGCCTTTGCCCGGTGCACATGGGTATTGTGTGTTGCTGCTCTGGCAGTAGTTACGTGATGCTCCGTTAATCTCTTCTATGTAGCAGAAATCTAATACGTATGGAGATGCACATGAAACAGAAGAGGGCTTTAATTAATTAGGATCATCTTAATTACTTGAGATCAAGTGAAATGTTCAGTTTTTACTATATTAATTGAATGTTTAATCTTATATGTCTTAGACCAATATTGTTTTGCTTTAAATACTTAACGTGTTATAATATTATAACCCTCATTTTTAAATTGTAAATTTCAAATAATGCAAACGTTTTAAAATATCAAATCCTCAGATTTAGAAATATCCAATCATTCGTTTAGATTAATTATTAGAAGTTATAAACTTAGAATCGGTCATGACTAAAGTAGATGATGTATACACAGACAAAAATTATTAATTTCTTTTTATAATAGAAAAGTTAAAAAGAAGGGAGAAATGAATCTTACGTCCGGTCTCGTGAGTGAAATGAGCAAACATGGTAGCAATTTCACGTCTGGTAACGGAATTGGCAAAGTTGGGGAAAGTATTAGCGGCATTAACGAAAGAGTCACGGGTGTAGAATCTTTTCCCGGCGCAACCATTACCAGCTTGGTTGATAATGTTGTTAAAGAAACCTTGTGTCACAATGCTACCGACCGATCCACCAGTCGGGGTTCCACTGCCTCTACAAGGACCTGATCGGCATCCAGCACCGCAGTATGCATCGTCGGTACCACAGTAACCGAACTGACTGCAACAGAGGTTTGGAGCGCAACCGCAGTTTTGAGACTTGACGGTTTCAGAATACAAACCTAAGAGGCAGAGAAGAAGGACTAAGGAGATTTTTGTGAAAGCCATGTTTTGTGTTATTGTTTGTGGATGAGAGGGAAAAGGTGGTGAGGTATATATACTTATATAGTGATAGATGTTGCGTAGTTTGGTCATTTGCCTTTGGGATGGGTGGATGTAAATGTCTTTTTTTTTTTTTCTTCTTCTTTTTTTTTGTATATAGGGGATACATATTTATGTATTTTGAAACGAGTTTGACTTTTGTTCTTGTTCTTACTCAAGATGAATAATGTGGACTTGGTCTAAATTCAATTTTCTTGTTAAACAGAACAATTATTTATTAATATTTCTCACTTCTATTTCATATTTTTTTAACAAATTCTATGATTTCCCAATGATTGAACAAACAAAAAGGTTCGTTTTAATGTTCTATTAAACTGTTTAATACATGTAATGTATATGGAGCAAACATTATTAATCTATTTAATGCTTATACAAACTATATGGAGCAAACAGCAGTCATAAATCTAAAAGATTTTGTCAGACTCTTAATAGACGATATGAAGACAAGTCCTTGGATTAAGTTTTGTCCGTTTGAAATTTATCTTACTAGAGATAAACATTTCAAATGTATTTGATAAATTATCTAATCTAATATAGTCGATCAGTGGCTAGTTCCTCTAGAGTTTCTTAAAGCCGCCCCTAAGTAGAGAAGTCACATATTGTCACTATAAATCTTGGTACCATGTGACTATGTGATAGAGATATGTCTCATATATCTTTATAAATCTTGGCACCATGTGACTAAGTGAGCCTTTGGTTGGGTCCATTACCCGGCGGCTATTCAAATTCCATCAAATGTATGAATTTCAGTTTTAAGTTGACAAAAATTGATTCTCAGTTTTAGTATATTTTTCTAAACATGTTTCAAATTATTTCCCCTCCTACAACGTATTCCTTTTTTTTTTTTCCCATCCTACAAATGATAGAAGTATATAACAAAAGACGCGAAATGTGGATAACAATAGGAATAAAAATGTCATCAATCAAAGCGTAGAGTAATAAATTATACTATATGACATTCTGAACCATCCACATCTATCTTAACACCAAGAAGATTGTTGACAAGAGAAGGACAACGTCAACAAAAAGGCCATGTTACTTATTAAAATTAAGAGATTATGTCTTTAGTATAAGGCTAAAATTTGCCGATAAAAAATGATAAATGCACAGTCATACAAGTTACGTTGCATACGTTGAAGAGTAGACAGCAATTCTTTTTGACAATTCAATTCAAAGCTTGGTTTCGCCTTTTCTGGTGGAAGTGACAACTGCACCGGACGTTGTGGGTTCCGGCTCGGTCACTGGTCCGGACTTTCAGGGATCGTATGATTCAACAACCAACTCATTCTTTTCAATGATTTTTTAAAACCCGAGTCGCCGCGTAGAAAATTTTAAAGTTTAAGAGATATTCACAATGATCAATTGCAATGATTTAAGTCGCAATGAAAATACTCAAACCTTAAAAAAAAGAGTACTCAAACCTTAGTTCTTAACTTCATGCTAAGTTAAAGTCTTTCTTTTTTTGTCAAAACATGCTAAGTAAAGTCTTTTTTTTTTTTTTTGGTCAAAACATGCTAAGTAAAGTCTATCAACTTCTAAGTACTAACTCATTCATTGCAATTTTGTAACTCATTCTTTCAAACATGAGTTGGTTGTTAACTCATTCTTTCAAATTTTATTTGGGACTCATTCTTTCATCTTAAAGTAGAGTTCTTCGTAGGGCTATATTATTTTAAGTTTCATAGAGTAGACATTCATGCACACTGACGGATTCTTCTAGTCTATATTATTTTTTTCGTCAACAAATTAAATCCATATACATTACTGAAGATAGTTATAATCTCTTCCATTATTTTCCTTCTATGATGGTCACCTCAGCGGTACCGGTGACTAAAAATAAATATCTTCGGGTATTCGTCGACCACTTGAAGGAACCTTTTTATATGGGTAAAAATGAATTATTTCATAGATGCTTACTCATACAATTTTTTTTTTCATTTAGAGGCTGCGGTGTACTAATCAACATGTATTGTCATTTATTCAAAAGTCATGGCCTAACATTATTGCATATTACATCTACTAAGAAACAAATATCTTCTTGAGTTTTTTTTTTTTTCTTTTTCTTTTCTTAATTTGTTCCAACAAAATGTAAGTAACATTGACTAGTACATTGAAGGATGAATATTAAGCTAAATGGAATATGTTAAAACTAAACGTCCAAACGATTTGAAATTCAATTTTAAACTTTGTGACTGTGAATAAAAGTTTTCATTTTGTGTACGTCTTTAAAGAGCTCCAAATTTTATGGTTTGAGTTTCGATCGCCAAACTTAGTAAGTTTGTAAATCGATCATCCTCAACCCTATTACCCCTTTTCACTTTTTAATTTGGTCGGAAAATTCATTAAAAATGAAAGGAAAGCATCAGCCATACATAAATTATATCATAAAGATCAAGCCATATCAGCAGCCCTCCAATAGCTAGCTACATGCATTTTTATAGTCATCTAATTGGCTTCTGGGAACTTGTTTGTCTGAGATTTAGCACTCTCCCTGATAAATGGGAAAAACAGAGCTAATCACAATCTACAGTTTCACCGTCATCATCAATCAATAGATAAAATAAGACTATGTTAATTAACTTTACGATCTCCTATGTTGAATCGCTTCGCAACCCAGAGCATACACTTTCATCTTTCTCCATTGTCTCGGACACACCGAATACCCAACCAAAACAATAAATTCATTTATTGGGCCTTTCTGATTATTGGAGGTGTCGTCACCTGTTTTTAATAACCACGGTTACAGTTATAAATTTTTTATAAACCATTAATTTCTAAGATGAGAAGAAAAATCAAAGAACAAAGAGGAATAACTGATTGTAGTAAAGCATTAAAAGAAAACCAAGGAGCATCAATAGTTTTTAAGTTTCAAACGGACAAAACATAACTTAGATTAATCATAGTTCTTTCAAAGAGGAGAGGCTTCTCTTGCTTTTGCACCTCGTAATGATAGTTAGGTGTTGAAACTCTTGGTCAGCGTTGACTCTTTGAGAGATTCTCATTAATCTAGCAATCTTTTTCTTCTTGTTCCACCAATACATTTGCTTGTTCATCTAACGCCTTGTCGAGCAGTGGTGAAAGATGTCTAACATCAAATCCGAACTTCTCCAACTCTGATAATGCAAGTTTGTAATCATCTAGTTGGCGTCTAGGAACTTCCTTGTCGAGATTTAGTATTTTCTCTGATACATGGGAGAAAGCTATCATCATGCCTACCAAATTCACGGGCAAAGCTGGTGCCGTATTGCTCAACTAATGGAGCAAAGTGAGGACGTTGTGGTGTTATTAGAAAGGCCTCCCTTGACTCAAAAATCGAAATCCTTCCAACAGGAAGCCTTCTTGGAAAAAGGTAAAACAATTGCCTCCTCATCTGATCATCGAGAATTTTACTTTAGTATATCTACCGGTCATTACTCGCAAGCCTATCATAGATAAAGATAGATTATTCATAACAGAAATATGATTCTCTTGAGAGGAGCTAAGAAGACATACCAGTCTCGTTGAGATCTGAACTATTCTCTTGTTCTACTGATCTTTTCCTCTTACCACCACCACCACTGGTATCTGTCTCCTGAGTTGACTGATTTTTTGTCGGGTTTGGCACAAGTTCCCTAGTGTTTACTTGATTTGTTCCATCCTCATTGATTGCTCATCATATCCGCATCCTTGATGAGCTAACGACCCTTCCCTTTTCATCTCTTGTATCGAATCGCTTCCCAACCCAGAGCATACTTCGATTTCACTTTGATCTTTCTCCATAGTCGTCAGAAACCCTAAAATTGAGGCACACTATATTCCCTTTTACTTCCGATACACAAACAAACGTCCCAACCTTTTCTTGTTTAAATAAGGAAAAAGGGAATGTTAAATTTCTATTTTTGTGTATTAGCTTATCAACTATTGGGCCGAATATATGGAGGTATGTCACCTGTTTTTAATAACTCGAGCAAACACATACCTGTTTTCTTTTTCTTTTTTCCTTTTTCCTTTTCAAGTATGTATTTCGTGTTTAGCAAGCCTGTTGCCATCTAGGACTAATGGAGGATGCCATGGTTCGGCATTACAATGGTAAATGTCTTGCCTCCTCCGAGTTTTGTCGCAGGAGTATTCAACTTTTTGTTTGTCAACAATGGAGACCTTGTTGTCTAGTAAAACTCTTGCTTTTGTGCTTGGGAGCCTCTAGGATCAAAATGTCTTGTTAGATAAAATATTTTTATTCCTAGTCAGCGGTGATGGCCAAAAGTGATAAATTGATAACTTTAGATCTCAGGGTGTACTGGAAACTAATTCGGTTTTCCAAATGGAATTTTACCGTTGGTTTGGAGTTCAAATTTTTGAAAAGTAATTATCAAACTAAAATCTTGTACGTTTTTGGATTGGATTTGAGTTTAAACCAAATATATATTATTATACGTAGGTCCATCAAATTAGTTATTATTAATTAAAAAGTATTGCCACACATTAATGACTTTAACAATCTAGACCTTGATCAGGAGTTACCCCAAGCATCTCGCAGAACTCTATGTATTGCTTAACCTTGTTCTTCGTATCATCACGACGCCAGTTACCACATTCACGGCCATCAACTCTCTTTGTGATTTCTCCAAATCCTAAGTACAAAGCCGGACGCACGTTTCTATTCCAGAACCACATTGCGAATTTGAAAGCAACTTCTGGACTACGAGCCACCAGATCTGGATCCTTCAACAGAGGTAGCCCGAGGTGCTTGCCGGCAGCACCATAATACTCGTTCCATGTGATTGATTGTAGCAAACCGCGACCAAAGTAGTTTTTCCCCGGTTCACAAGGGTACTTCTTGCTCTTTGAACAGTACCTCTCGTTTGATATTTCTTCTTTGTCACAAAAACCTTTATGTAGAAATAAAATCTATTAGCTATAGATCTTCAAAAGAAAAAAAAAAACATTGCAGTGCCAAAATATTGATTATTTTAGATGCAAACACAAAACTTTGCATGTAACCATTGATTTTCAAATATTGAACGCAAATGTAAACGCCGTTGGGAATGATTTTGATTTTTTTGTCACTATAGTACTATAATGAACTTACTTTTAGATCCATATGAGAAATGAGCCAATATGGCAGCGATTTCACGTTTAGCCACCTTTCCTTTGTAAGCTCCAAACGATTTGAAAGCAGTGATGAAAGCCTCATAAGTGTAGAATCCTTTTGCCGAGCAGTTGCTTTCGACTTTGCTCATGATGCTATCGAACAACGCTGGTGTGATAACGGTCTCTATTTTACCACGTGGAGGCATCAACGTTGTAGTCATATCCGTAGGATTTTCCCTTGATATTGCAAGGGCCACTGAAACAAAAGAATCCGCAGTAATCATCTTTGGTGCCACAGAAACCCCATCTGCTGCAACATTCCTTAAGGCCAGGGCAACTAGTATCCATGCAGTTCTGCGAGAACACGGTCTCGGCCAAAATTGCTAGATTGAAGAGGAAAACAACGAGAGCGTTTTTTAGAATCGCATTTTGGCTGGTCATTTTGTTTATAGCAAAGGAGGGTTTGGAAATGGGGAATTGGGTAGACACGAGGGTTTGTGGACGTATTTGTAGTTCAAGATCAGTCGGTTTGTTATTGATTTGGTCAACTACATAATGACTAATAAAACCATTTTCTTTTAAAAATTTCAGAAGTCTTTATTATTATAGTCTTGATACTTTGAATATTACGCTTTTACTGGAAATTTGTGGAGACTACACATGAATATTCTCTAGATCTAGCTACTATTTGAACACTATAAATTCGCAAGTCAACTATTAACCCTGGACTTTTGAGAAGCTGAAGTTAGAATTAATCTTTCACGTGACAATCTGTTGCTTTGTTATCAATGTTCCATCCCCATGACTTTCAGATGCACTTTAAAAGGGAGCAAATTATGTAAACATGTGCAATATTAAAGAATCATTAAAAAATAAAAATTGAAGGTGGTTCTTAGGAAATTAGATTCAGATCACCAAATAACCAATATGGCCTCCAGGTTAAGCTAGTCCCACAAAAAAAAAAAAAACACTAGTTTATTTTTTCAGAAATCCAACAATAGCATAAAATGTTACCCAAAGGCTAAGACATCCTTAATTATGTTAGGATCTCATGGATCCTAGTTGTCATATGTACGACGAATTTCATGACGGTTAGAGATGATCGGATCATATGTGATCTGTAACATTATTCCCTCTTCTTTTTTTGTTTTTGTTGTTGTTGTTGTTATCATCAATCACAAGCCTAATTTGGTTCCCCTAATTAATACTCTAATTTCTTTTATACCAAACCTTAACAAGAAAAGATGTGATGATACAAGAAAAGTATTTTTCGTTGCTTATATATATGCATGTATACTTGTCTAGTGTGAAAAACAGGGAAAGCAATATGTTTATTGGATAATAGGTTCCATTTTTATTAGTTATGCTAGCGCGCGGATACAAACAAACACACAACTCAGTTACCTTAAGAGACACCAACCACACAATATGACTTCTAATCTCTTACAATTTTATAAATTCTAGTATTTTCGACTTCACTTTATTTATTCGACACGAAATTCTTAACCCACACGACATTAATAGAAAACCCTCATAAAGTAGTACTGTCTTCAACATGAGAGATTGGTTCCAGGAGTGACCCCAAGCTTCTTGCAGAAGTCCAAGTAATGGTTAACCCTGCTCTGCACTGCAGCTGGACGCCCACCGTTACATTCACCACCGTTGATCCTCCTCGTGGTTGCACCAAACCCTTGGCTCAAAACCGGACGCACATTCTTGTTCCAAAACCACATGGCACACTTGAAAGCCACAGTTGGGCTACGAGCCACCATATCTGGGTCCGTCAAGAGAGGAAGTCCAAGGAACTTTCCGGCTGCACCATAGTTGTAGTTCCATGTGATTTGGATCGGGCCACGACCGTAGTAGTTCTTGCCCGGTTGACAAGGATATGTTGTGCTTGGTGAACAATACCTTCCTCTGGCTATTTCTTCTTTGTAACAAAAACCTTTATATCAAAGAGATAGACTTTATGTCAAACTTCTTTTAGAAACATTATCGAATCGTTTTACTAATAAAGCTAGCAAAGTCCTTATATCTTATGAGGAAAATATTCTCGTCTCTATATGCTTCTTCAATTATCAAAATAAATTTTATAATGACAACAGACAAATCAGAGATACCTAACTAAAAAAACTCATTTTTAGACATTTTTTGAAACATAATTTATAGAGAAAAAAAAAGAGAGAGAATGTAATAAACGTTGAACTTACTTCCAGATTCGTGAGAGAACTGAGCCAACATGGCGGCAATCTCACGCTTAGCAACAGTTCCTTTGTAGGCTGCAAAGGATTCAGCGGCAGCGATGAAAGCCTGGCGAGTGTAAAACCCTTTGGCGGGGCAACCGCTTCCGACTTTACTCATGATGCTGTTGAAGAACGCTGGTGTGACAACGCTCGCGATGGTACCACGAGGACCAGCATTTAGACCGCCACTACCGCTGGGAGTCGGAGTAGGTTTAGGTTTAGAGTTGCAAGGTCCACTCTGGCATCCAGTGCCACAGTAGGCTTTTGTGGTACCACAATAACCCCACCTGCTGCAACACATGTTACCTTTACACCCGGTTGTACCACAGTTTTGTGAAAACGCGGTTTCTGTCATGATGGTTAGGGTGAAGAGGAAAATGATGAGAGCGTTTTTCGAAATCCCATTTTGTGTCGCCATTTTTCTTTCTTTCTTTGATGGAATGTTTTGGAGGGAGAGTTGTGAGAAGAAACGAGGAGGATATATGGACGTATTTATAGTGTAAAATTGGTAACACTAAATTATGTTTGGTCAAATTTTAATTAATGTTTTACAAGAAAGTCATGACCCATTCCTTTTCTTATAGTTGTGATTAAGGAGAATTACTTTGATGATTTGAATTTGGACTTGGTAAGAGACGAAAACGAATTTAATAGTATAATCATTCTGAAGATAATCCTTTTTTGGTTTAAATTCACCATCTTATTAGAGCGCTAATATCTGGTTACACTGAAATATATACTCCCTCCGTTTCATTTTAGTTGTCGTTTTAGGATTTAAATTTTGTTTCATAATAGTTGTCGTTTTAGGTTTTCAATACAAATGTTTGGTGAAAATTCCAGTTTTATCCCTACTGTTTTAATGTTTTGGCCAATCAATTTTTTTATAAAAAATATATTAATAAAGGGTAAAACAGATTATTAAATGTTTTTCTTAATTTGTGTGAAAAAACCTTAAACGACAACTAAAACGAAACGGAAGGAGTATAATTTATATCTCGATATGGCTAATTAACAAAGAACAATGGAAATAAACGCTTTTTTTTTCTTTTTTTTTAAGTCTGAACCTTATATTAGAACAGAGTAGATTAATTAAATCGTACTGATCCGTTCGAACTTCGAAATAACTAAAAAATAACAATGAAAATAGTAAATTGTGCATGCGAATACAACTATTAGCTCGATTCATTGTCGTTCCGTATTCGTTAAACTAAAACTCAACTCTGAAGAAAACTAGCATCAAATAATTCAGGGGAGAAAACTAGAATTTGTACATCGTACGTCATTAACATAAAAATAACTATAATAATAGGTTGCTTAACGATGTCTATCAGATTATACTAGGATCCATGAGAGTCATCGGACCTCCGTATATAAACTTGACCATGTAATATTATTTTCATGTCGTGTAATCGCTATCTAAATAGTTTAAAACTTATTAATCAATTATTATACACATCATGATATTACCCAAAAAGTTAGATTTAATTTGCATAAAAGACTTTTTCAACGACGAGTAAATCCTCGCGATACGAGTGAACCATTAATTAACCAGAAGATGTGCTGGTCAACTTAAGTTACTTAACTTTAGAAATTCGCCAAATATTTATACAATAGTTTTCTTTTTTGAAACAGTAAATATATATAATATAAAAGTTATATAATATAGTTTTGAAAACCATTCTCAACTGGACATCATATTTTAAGTATCGAACTATCCAATAATTTCTTATTGGTTTCTCTTTGGAATAGTAATACTAATTAGCGCGGAGATCATTATTAAAATATTTTCTAGCATGATTGTTGAATATATATATTATTGCTTATACTTCTTTTTTCTTTTGGGGTTAATTTTGCTAACTGACGGATTCATCGATATTGCTTACTTACACTCCACGCATAAAATCAAGGTATGTGATACGATTTTTTTTTAAAAAAAACCTATGTGATACAATTGATTTGAAATTGAAGGCCATGAATCCGAATTATATATGCAGCTGTATATAATAATCTATCTGCATATCAGAGGCGAATATGCCATTAGAATATAAGCACGTACATAGGTTTTCAACTTTCAAGGAACTTGCGATGGTTTGGAAATGATAATCTTAAGTTTTCTCACGTAATGAGAATTTTAGTTAACATTCCAAACTAATTACAATAGTATTAAAATTATCATTAATGAAATCTTGTGTTGACTAAAAACGTTAATTAAAAAGGGGGTCGCAGAGTCACGACAAATAAAGAGGTTTTACTTAAGCGCTAATTACGGATCCTTGAATGCGTTGACGTGGCCCTATCCATTCAAAGTCAACTCAAGCATGTCACATGCTCACGTGAAGGAACTCTTTGTTTTGCAAGATGTAACTATTTAAGAACTTAATACTATTTATTTTTGATTCGTAATCTGAAACTATAACATTTATTATGATTCCACGATGCGCAGATCAAATCTTATCTTGACTATCGCAATACCCTATTCAAAATCTTGGGTGTGCTTATTTATGTTTTTACTTATCTTATTCAGCGGCCGCTATATCTTTTCCATGTCAAGCCAATTGGTATTATTGTTTTTAATTATCTAAAATTATTTCCATTTTAAGTGACGATTTTATATTTGGTGTATAAAGAATGTTGTTTTATGATGTTGTTTTATAGTTTAAATCTGATTATTAATCAAAATTTTACTTTATCCCTATACTAGATAAATATCCGCTCATTTTTCATTCACATGCTTTTTGTTCGCGTTCGCATCATCATCTTTACAAAAATGAGTAATAATGTATACATTATTAACTCGATCAAATCCAACAATAAAGATAGGGACATCATATTTAATGTAGTTTTTTTTATCGATCCTATATTCTACACATATAGACGACACTCGTGGAGGGGAAACGAAGAAACTCAGACCAAGTTTTCAAAAATATAGACTTCACCATAAGAAATAGAACATCTTCCCTTCACTTACTCACTTCTCGAACTAGCTTTCCGCTGGCTTCAAACTTGGTTTCACAGCAAACAACAACCGTGACGTGAGATTCGACATCACTACTATGCCTCCTCTGCGAATTTTGCTTATTAGTCTTTTGTGAAAGGCTAATCGAGCTTTGATCTAAAAAAACTAGATATCCATTTAAGTTGTGTTTATAAAACAGAAAACTATTATCCAAAACCAAAAATATAGTATTTAGTTATGTAAAAAAAAACTTATTATTTACTTCAAATTTAAAATAGCTTTTCACTTTCCATAAAGAAAACATCATCAACAATTCAACTCAAAAATGAAAAAAAAAATGTTGTCAGCACAACAATTTTTTCATAGATTCAATGATCTAAGAGATTAAGAGTCTTGATTACTGGTAAAAGGCCTAGAGGGGTCCTCCTATAAACAGAGACAAATAAGAAGTCATCGAAAGAGGCCCTCTTGATGATGTCGTTTATGAATTCTGATGTGTCTACGTACGAACGCTCTCAGTCTCATGTGTAAGTCCACGCTCATTTTACGTGTGATGTGGACCATTTTTTCTGGAAGTATTTTTGTTATTTTGATGATATTTTCCTTAGTTCAAACTACTGTATGTATATGGCTATCCTTAATACTCCGTTTGTATTGAAAAAAGTTGGAATTTTTTTTTGACTTCATTGTGTTTAACCGTCAATATCTTATTTCATTCGAATATATGTGCATACATTTTTTTTAGGCCTATTTATCGATCGGTCCTAGCTATGGAAATTTTACAAAAAAAAAAAAACTATTCTCATCATACAAATATACATTACTCGGCACTCGGCAGTGGTTCCCTTTAGTGATTCTCACTTTCACCATTTGGTTCAGACACTTATAAACAACTTATACTAAAAAAAAAAGAAAAAAATATCACCCTTGTAAATATTATTCTTAAGTTGTTTCATCTTGTTTCATTCTCAGACAAAAAAGACAATCTTCTGTAAAATTTACCATTTGTTCACACTTTTTATTCATTATATATATATATATCATGAATTTTCTCTTTAAGTTTCAGCTTATGTAATTTGTTCTCAAGCCAAAAAATCAAACGATATCCTCTGCAAAATTGGATAACCCTTAACCAAAAAAAAAAAGTTGAAATTTTAGTAAATGCGTTTATTATGGATTGGCTGATATACTTCATTCTATGACAACCGATACAAACAACATATTGGTACATTAGGATACACCGCATAATCTTTTTATTCGACACCTTTAGTTATAAACTCATACGTGCACGACCACACTTCTAATATGAAACCGTGTCATATGACCACATTTTAACATCTTTAACAACTAAGATTTGCTCCAGGAGTGATCCCAAGCATCCTGCAGAACTCCAAGTAAAAGTTAACTCTGCTCTGCACCGCTGCAGGACGTCGACCGTTGCATTCGCCACCATTGATCTTTCTCGTGGTGGCTCCAAAGCCTTGGTCCAAGACTGGACGAACATTTAGGTTCCAGAACCACATGGCACACTGAAAGGCAACTTGTGGGCTACGAGCCACCATATCTGGATCGGTCAAGAGAGGGAGTCCAAGGAACTTTCCGGCTGCACCGTAGTTGTAGTTCCATGTGATTTGGATGGGACCACGACCGTAGTAGTCCTTTCCCGGTGCACAAGGGTAAGCTGTGCTCGCTGAGCAGTATTTCCCTCTAGCTATTTCTTCTTTGTAGCAAAAACCTTGCATACCGTAAAAGATCGTTATTTATAATAGAGAGGTTCAAATTAATTAATTAATCGATACAAAAAATAGGGACACAATTAACGATAAGAGTTATTTACAAAGATATATCATTTTATTGTTCACACACTAAATTTCATAAATATTAATTGGGGTTAAATTAACCAAGAAACATTATTGTAGTGCTAGATGTAATAATATTCTTGAAAATAATTATTTTCTTAATTAAAGTACATGCATTCTATGTAGTGAAACTAGAAGGGTTTATAGTGAACTTACTTCCAGATTCATGAGAGAATTGAGCCAACATAGCCGCAATCTCACGCTTAGCGACAGTTCCTTTATAGGCCTCAAACGATTGGGCGGCCGCGATGAAAGCCTGGCGAGTGTAGAACCCTTTCGCTGGGCAGCCATTTCCAACTTTGCTCATGATACCATCAAAAAATGCTGGCGTGACAACATTTTCAATTGTATCACGAGGATCAGCGTTTAGACCGCCTGCACCGCCGCTAGGAGTTGGTGGGATAGGTGTGGTTGGGGAGCTGCAAGGCCCGCTTCTGCACCCGGTACCGCAGTAGGCGGCTGTAGTGCCACAATATCCATATCTGCTGCAGCATAGATTAGCTGCACATCCGGTTGTACTGCACCGTTGCGAAAACGCGGTTTTTGCCATAATGGTTAAGGTGAAGAGAAAAAGGATGAGAGCGTTTTTCAACATTGCTCTTTGGGAAGTCATTTTGTGTTTGGAGTATGTTGTGTGAGGGAGAGTTGTGTGAAGAAATGAAGAAGGTGTGTTGATGTACTTATAGTGTAATTTTGGTCTATTCAAAATGATACATTGATCAATGTTAGATATCTTTCACGATTATTGATTGGCTTTTTCTAAGTCAAAGTCAATGCCACTTTGTACCACTAAACAAAAGTCAATGATCCAAAAAAATTTCTTGTCGTTATGAGAAATTCCATGTCGGTCATAAATCAGATCAAAAACGAATATGTAATCAAAATTTAAAACAACCAAGTTACTTGGATGAAAATCATTCTCATAAAAACTTGATTATCTCAAACAACCAATTTAGATCATTTCAGAGTTCAAACGTTTGAGATTTTCTATTGAATAGTTCAAGTTTTTGATAATTAGGAGACAAAATATTTCCAGTATCGTTTGTATAATAAATATAGCATTTAGAACGTTCTTTTACAAATTTTACTTTTATTTTTAACAAAAATTGAATAAATTGTGAGAAAGATGACTAACGAAGCTAATTCTTTTACAAGTTTGATAATATTAAATATTTTTATTTATAAATCAAAATCAACCAAAATTAGAAAAAACCAACTCAATTTCAGTCCATTATTATATTTCTTCCCAACAAAACCAAACCAAAACATCGAATATGCAAATTGCAATTCCAAGCAGTCATGCGTCGAAATTAGACCAGCTTATCAATAAAACCGGTTTAGTCTTACCAACCCATGGTCTAGAGACTCTAGAAGTCTAGAACCATCGGAGCTCAAGTGAAAACGACGCCGTTAAGCCGCATCTGTCAAAGATAGATAAAAACTTTGTCGATCGCTTCCTCCTCTCACATAGTTTCGGCTTCTCCGTTGTTTCAGGATACAAAGGGGGAAAAAATCGAATTCTTTCTCTCCAAGCGACAACTAGGGCTTCGAATTCTCTATCTCGTCAAGGCTTCGAAAAGGTAGATTTATGGTTTCTTACTCTCCTTTCTCTATGATATTTCGATTTCTTGCGAGCTGCTCATTGTTCTTACCTTATAATTACCGAACCAGTGCCTTTATACTACCACATTCGAAGTTATTGGTTTCTGGTAACTTATATTGCTTATTGTTCCATGACCACGACATAATTATCCCAAAGATTTGTTCTTTTCTCCGTATTTGGATTAGAAATGACGTCTTATGTTATATACTCAAGTTCTGATCATGCCCAGACGAATCTTTGTTTAGGTCAATGTAGGGTTCTAATTGGTTGTGTTCGTTGTTTGCTGTTGATTTTTTTTTCCAGAAAGTGATTGCATTAAGAGAAGCATTGGGATAAAGATGAGCTTTACTCAGGCTAATTGCTTTCGACCATCTTACTATCCTGCAAGGATAACACGACCAAATTGTGTCTCCAGTGTATCAATTAGGTCGTCAGTACGCTTTGATTACTGCCCGCGTACCTCATTTACGCTTCGAGCTACTACTGCAGTGTCTACTCAGTTTTCGCCTCTTCTTAATCATCGCCGTCGTTTACCTACTGGGAAATCGAAACAAAGTCCGGCTGTGTGCTTATTTGGTGGGAAGGATAAACCTGATGGTAGTGATGAGGTCAGATGCTTTTTCCTCATGTTAAGTTCTTCTGCGTGGAAATGAATTTACTTTACAACTGGAGAGTGATTTATTTTGTGTATGTTTCTAAGAACTTTGCTGTTCTGTTTGCTGATGATAAGTGTGTGTTCTTTTTTGTTGTCAAATTTGTTCTTAGTGATTGTTATAATGAATTTTGTTATTAGATATCGCCATGGAAAGCAATAGAGAAAGCTATGGGGAAGAAATCGGTTGAAGATATGTTGCGAGAGCAGATACAAAAGAAAGACTTTTATGATACTGACAGTGGCGGCAACATTCCTCCACGTGGAGGCAGTGGTGGCGGTGGTGGAAATGGTGAGGAGCGTCCTGAAGGGTCAGGAGGAGAAGATGGTGGTCTTGCTGGGATCGCAGATGAAACCTTGCAAGTGGTTTTGGCAACCCTAGGCTTCATCTTTTTGGTAATTGACACAACTTTCTGGAAAGATTTGAACTTCAAATATCGTATCTTGCTTTGATTGAATATACTTTTTTTGCAGTACACCTACATTATCACTGGGGAGGAATTGGTCAAGCTTGCAAGGGATTACATTAGGTTTCTTATGGGAAGACCTAAGACTGTTCGATTGACCCGAGCCATGGATGGTTGGAACGGATTCTTGGAGAAGATGTCGAGGCAAAGAGTGTATGATGAGTATTGGCTAGAAAAGGCGATCATCAACACGCCAACCTGGTATGACAGCCCCGAGAAGTACAGACGTGTTATCAAGGCTTACGTGGATTCAAATTCTGATGAAGCTTATGTGGACTCAAATTCTGATGAGGTATCTTACTAGGTTAGGAACAGGAAGAGATCCATAATAACAATTGAGTTTTTTTCTTATTGTTTGAAATTAAGAATCAGTTTCTTGAATTTGATCCATGTTCGTGCATTTGTATGGAATTGGTGTATACATGATCATCTTTCTCTGAGGGAAAGGCAAATGCAAGCCAAAATCTCTATAATGACATAAGTCAAAATCTTTTAGATCTTTCAAAATTCAATTCTTAAGCAGCAATTGCAAATCAATGAGAAACACAAAAGGAGAAATCAAAGTTTCTTAGATTTAGTGGTTGAAGTGCCTTCTTTCTTCTCTGCCTCTGTAGATTTCTTCCGGTCTTTCCTTTCCCTCTTCTTCAAGGCAGTCATGTGGGCCTTAAGAATGGTGGCATATGATGCTTGAAATCTCTGGTGATCCTTAGCACCAACCTTACAAATAAAAAAGCATTGTAACAAGTTACTTCTTAAAGATCATAGACCAGCATCAATTTACAAGAACTTGAATAGGTTTTTGATCGGTTTATTGTTTCCCGAGCTGCTTCCACAACTGCTAGAAGCCAATTAAAATAGTGCAAGGAAGGATGAGCTAAGAGAGAATGCTATCTCTTATTCTTATCCATTATCTAGTGAGAGTAATAACACTTAAACAATCTCTCCGAGTAATGGATGTGATGGCTTACTAATGGATAATTACAACCTTTGGAAACATACATGGTTCTAGATCATAATCTTGAGATAATGCATAGAACATACCGAAGTAGAAACAGTTTTCTTTCCATCAGTTGCTCGAATAAGGCATCTGTATTCAATGGATTCTCCAGCTGAGCTCAGTTTCCTCTTCTGCACCTTAGACTTGAGAGATGCTGACACAAGTAATAAACATCACATAAGATATCTTCAAAACGATATTTCAAGTAAAACCAGATAACAAAAGTGGAGGATGAGATTGTCAAACAATACATCTTTTCAAAGTAACCCACACAGAACCCTTCTCTTTGCTTTTCTCAAACATGCTCGTGAGTTCATTGAGGAATGGATCCAACTGTAATAGAACCTGCAAAACCAAAAATGATGGCATCAATAAACGCATGATCAGTCAAAACAAGAGCAAAAGTTAGTTTTTTTAACACTCCTTCAATCATCATTGAATCCTACAATGTAGCGTCAATGCTGAATCAAATCCCAGCAAACACAAAACGAAGAATAAACAAATCTCACAAAAATCTTCACATCACATAATCCTGAAATAGAACGAGAATTTACCATTGTTAAACCGCAGATGGATATTTTCTTCAGATCCTCAAGCTCTCGAAAGACTTCTTATCACTCAGATCACTGAGAAAAATAAAACACAATGCAAGTGAAGGGAAGTGTTAGATCTTAAAGAATTGAACTTTGTCGATATCAATCGAATACGCAACTTAAAATCTAAGCACAATTGAAACAATTGCTTGAAACCATTCGGATTCCTAATCAATTCTACGCTAAGAAACCCACGAAATACAACCCTAAATCGTCAAAGCTTCTGAACAAATCTACACGAAAAATCACATCACGGAGACAATAGAATTCAATTCGCCACAATTTGGAGGCGTTAAATCTGATTAAGCCAACAAACCCAGCTCAAAAGCCACGAGTTTTAAGAATCAGAATTCAAACTAAGAAAAAAAAAAAGCAATGAAACTGACCAGAGAGAGTGCTTCCAAAAACTCACCGGCCGGAGGAAATTCGGTAAAAAGGAGTCGCCACAAGTCAAAAGACGAGTATACCCTTGTGTCCGAAAGTCATTTAAATCTGGGCTTATTTAGATAATAATGGGCTTTATTAGGCCCAGTAACTTATAAAACCTTACTAGGGTTTTGATCAATACGTTCTCTCTCTGGAAACTCAGCTTCTTCTTCAGACACCATTGATATCCTCCAGAAATTGTTCCCGTCGTAGAAACTTTTACCTAATTGTTACCGTCGAGCTGATCTTTGTGAAGTGGAAACCCTAGTTCGCTAAGGGATTGTGCAGTCGCACAAGTTTGCTTATCCCCAGAACCTGCTCTGCAACACAACAATGGGGAAAAAAGGAGGGACTTTGAAGAGAAGTAGTAAAAGTACAAAAAACCGCAAAGATATCGTCGAAGACCAATACGATGACGAGATTGACGCCTGTAAATTTCTACCCACTTGACAAAATTTGTCCTTTTTTGTTTCCTAAAGCTTAATCGATTATTGGATTGACTAGGTCCCCATTGTTAGGTGCTTTATTAGCTTATTTCTACTCAATTGACGATTTTGATGAAATGTGTGTGATGATGATTCTTATGATGTTTTTTTTTTGTCCACAGTTCATAAACAGAGGGATATAGTTCCCTTGGATGTTAATGATGATACTGATGAATCGGATGAAGATGATGTGCAACCAGTTTTTGATTTAAAGGTTTGTTTTTTGGCTTATGTTTCTAGACATCTTTTGCATCGATTCTTTGCAATGCTTTCCTTTCAATTTGAGTTACTTTGGCTTATAGGGTGTGGATGATGAAAGTGACGAGGATGAAGAAGATACAGAAGACGAAGAGGAGTCCGAGAATGGACTTACTGCCAAAAGTAAGGATGTCTTCCTATGTTTGGCTTATTATATGTAGTTGTTGCATCTAATCTGTCAAAACGGTATACCTACAGTTACTCCTTTTCTGAGTTTTCTCATCGGGGCCTTTTAATTGTGCAGTGATTAGGCAGAAGAAATATCTAAGGGCAAAGTTTGGTGATGGTGACGATGAAATGGCTGATGATGATAAGGATAAAGATGAGGAAGAGAAAAGGAGCACATGGGGCGGAAGAAGTGGCTTATACCATAGTGGTGATAATGTGGATTTTGATGTAAGAAGTGTCTTGGTTTCTTGACATTTGCAACCCACTGATTATTTGCCTCGAATCCATTTCCTTGAAAGGCTAGATTCCTTTTGTTAATATTCTCTCCCTGAAACAAAACTCTACATAAGTTGCTAATCTGGTTTGATGTGATTTTGAAGCTCCAATCAAGTGATGATGAAGACCTTAAAGCGGAAGAAGAGGAGGTGATAAGACTACGGAGAGAACAACTTGGATCCATTACAGCAGCTGATGCTGGGTTAGACGATGATAGTGAAGAAGAGAGTGACAGAGAATTAACCATGGAGGTGGGTCATGGGTGTTACCAATTACTATCATGTAGTTAAAAACTACCCTGTTGCTTTAGATCATTGACGCATCATTCTGGTTTATATTTGGCAGGAAATTTCTAAAAAAGGAAAGCAGGCTACAAAATCTATCACAGATAAGAAAGAGAAGGATGACAAGGACACACATGTTGAAGAGATCAAGAAAGACATCAACTCTTTGTCAAAAGAAGAGCAAATGGATGTAGTATATAGGTAATGTTGATGTTTTCTGGTTCTAATATTTTCATTAGCTTAATATATTTGTATGAGACTTTGTTACATTTTATGTATAATAATGTTCACGTAATATGTCTTTCATGTAGTTCTGCTCCGGAAATAGTTGGTCTTTTGTCTGAGTTGAACTATGCAGTCGAAGAGCTTGAGAGTAAGATAAATCCTGTTTTGAGTAAGGTAAAACCTTTTCTACTGCTCCACAATTTGTTTAAAATATAGTTCTATATTGCCACTTTATATCACCCACTGGTCAAAAGAAGGGATTTGTGACTCCTCCAGAAATTTATGCAATTATGTCTCCTTGCAGTTAAAGGAAGGAGAAATATCCTTGAATGGTGGAACAAGGTACCTGGAGGTTAAGCAGCTTCTGCTACTCACCTATTGCCAATCTATAACATTTTATCTTCTACTCAAGTCTGAAGGGCAGCCCATCCGTGATCATCCGGTCCTTGCCCGTCTTGTAGACATCAAATCTTTATTAGATAAGGTTCTGTGGTGTACCCTTTTAAGTTTTTAATCTTTCGACAATCTACATGTTGTTCTTCTAAGACTATACAAGCTATGTTTGTTAATATATTAAAGCTGCTGAGTAAATGTATACTTTTTCTTTATAATTAGATCAAAGAACTTGATGGAGAGCTTCCCCCTGGGTTTGAAGAGTCCCTAGCGAGAAGTATTGCTAATGGAACAGTGCAAAAGGTGGTTAAAGAAGATCAGCTCACTTCACCTGTTTCTGATTCAGTAGATAGAATCACGCAAGACACAGCCGAGGTAGAAGTTAGGATCTTACTCGTGATAATCTCTTATGAGTTGTTTGACACTTTATTTGTACCCCACCTTGCTGATCTCTGTTTATTCAGCCGATGAAAATTGATGGAGCAAGAGAAGAAAAGAAGAAAAAAGGAGAGAAACGCAAGCACCAGGTGAATACAAATCTAAGCATTTTCCTGGGTTCTATTCTATTGGAACTCGTTCAACCTCTTGCTTACTGGCATATTTTCTTCCTTTGACTTGTACAAATTCTGCTTTTTTGGTAGCAGAATGATCAGGTTGATGTGCAAAGTGAGGAAATGTTAAAACTTCGAGCAGCTCTAGAGGGAAAGCTTAGAAGCAATGGAGTCCTTGGTTCTACTGTTTCAAAGTCTGACAAAGCTCAGAAACGCCAGAAATTAGCTAATAGGTAATAGCTTCTCCTTTTTTCATCACTCCTTTACTATGGTGATCTCTGTTGTCCCTTTTCGAAGATTGTGTTGTATAATTAATTTTTCAATCTCGTATCTAACCAGGAAGCTAGAGACATTCGATGATTATGTGGATGATGCAGACAATAGCACACATAATGTAACAGCTGATAAGCTCACCAAGCTTGTGTCCACCAAACGGAAGCCCAAGGTAACATATCGCAGCTGTGGAACTTAGACATGTTTTTGTTACTTTTTACACTATTATTTTTCTTAAATATATCCACCTTATGTTTTGGTAGACTGTTTCTGGAGATGATGATTTACCACAAAGGGATGATATTGGAGAACGGCGTAGAAAGTTTGAGCTCAGAGTTTTGGCTGGAGCTGGTGTGAAGTCATCAGAGGGAGATGGCAGGAATGAAAATGGGGCATTTGCATCAGATGATGACAATGATATCGATGGTGGTAACAATGTCATGGTTGATAATGATGGTGAATCAGAAGGCTCAGAAGATGAATTTTACAAACAAGTGAAACAGAAACAAGAAGCTAAACGAGCTGCTAAAGCAGAGATCTATTCAAGGTAATAATAATACATTACATTAACCTTTCCTTTTCACAAATGTTGACAGTTGTGGTTGTATAACGTTGTTCATCTCAATGGAACGTTTTGTGTTTGTTCAGGAAACCACATTTGATCCCGTCATCGCCAGAACGCGTGGAAGGAAAACGACACATTACAAATCAGGTTGGAATGTTTCCAAAGCACACAACAAATATCATCTGTTTCTCTACTTAGCACCATAGTTTAACGTTTCTTTTGATTCTCTTTTTTTATCTATTCGCCACCAATTCCTAGATTATGAGTAACAGAGGATTGACCCGACAACGCAACAAGGACCTTAAAAACCCGAGAAAGAAGTATCGGGTAACGATCTTGAATTGCCAGTTTCTGCAACCTTCGTTTCTTTGATCTGTTTATTTGCCTTAACTTGTTTTGGGATCTTGAATTTTTGTTTGCAGAATAAGCACGAGAAAAAAGTCATTGATCGCAAAGGACAGGTCAGAGATATCCGGAAACAAACAGGTCCATATTCAGGAGAAACTCGCGGTATCAATCCCAACACAAGCAGGAGCATCCGAATCAAGAACTAACCTCCTCTTCTTCCTATGTCCCCCAATTTCTCTATTTGCACGCTTCGTTTTGCTGTTGTATTATCTTCTATTGTGGATCTCGTACTTTTCATTTTTTCTCTTCTTCAAGACTAAGCAAATCCTTGTTTTGCAATTTTTGATGTTTTTGTTTAAATCTGTTGTCTTACATTTGTACAAGAAGGCAATTCAATATGCTAAAGAGTACGAAGTAGTTGATGAATTCTTCAGCCACATTGAGTTGATTTGATTATGACTATTCTCCATTTAAAGTATAAGTAGGTAAGAAAATTTAGCAAGTGATAAAAGAAAAAGATTTGGGGAAATTTCAAAAATAAAAAAAAAAAAATATTCTTGTTCAAAAATACTTCCACATGTTATTAATTTTCAACTATACCCTTTTTATAAGGCTTTACAAAGATTTTAGAAAGTTTATAAAGATTTTAAATGGTTTTATTAAAGTGATTTGGAGGTTCAACCACCATAAGATATAGTGTAGTGTTGTTGTCTCGGTGATATAACTAAATTAAGTGTACATTTTACCACATCAATCATATTAAACTATTATTAGATTGTCTTATATGTTTAACTCAATAGTAAAGTTTATTCCTATAGTATCCATAAAAAACTATGAATATAGTCCAAAATTAGTGAATTTTTGGTAAATTTTACATTTACAGTTTTAAGACTGGGACAGTGTGATCTGATAATTTTTCTCCCGCATATTAAATCAGAACACATACATATTTGATCAATTTAGTGATAAATTTGGTTCAGAAAAATTAGTCAGGAATTGGACTTAAACTTAACAATTACATCTATTTTTTTTTTTTTTTTTTTTATTTTTTTGGTAAACCATTACATCTATTTTTTAAAAGAGATAATTAATTTTCGTCTCTATGATGTAAACAAACATCGTCCACATAATTATAGAGGTACATATCGATATGATATTAGATAAGATGGTTTTTTGACCTCATGAAATAAATTTCAAACACTAATATATATAAGGGAAAATTGAACCATTAATTATTCAAATCTTAGATATCAAATATGAACTATCAGAATTATTTGATTTTGTAACAAATACATTGGCGAAGCTTTCTATGCTTTACTTATAAAATTCATATATGCAACATCCACAACCTGTTGAAAAAAAATGATTTGAGGTCAGATAGAACTCACTGTTTAGAAGAAAAAAACAAAGAAGAAGGGAGAGATAAAACTCACTAGGATCAGTTACGGTAATTATACCAGAGCCTTCGAAATCGCATTTTGAATAGTGTCTTCCTTGATTTTGGTAATAAAGATTCATGGCGACAGAAGCTGAATTATAGAGATTAATTGGATCATAACATGTACCTCCTTTCGACACAACCTCACAATGAATTCCTGAATTCGAACACACGTAGTTTAAGTTCTTTACAAGTTGTTCGATCGGCGTGCCAGGCTTAGCCACACACCAACTCCCTTGGCCCTATAACAAAGAGCAAACTCAAAAAGATATAAAAACCATATGAAATTGATTTTTGTTTGCTTTTTGGTTTCGTTCTCTTTTATCAGCAATCTTACCGGTGCCTGTGCATTGACTCTCATGAAATTTCCTACTGTAAGAGAAACATGGAAGTAAATCTTTTTAAATTTCACAAAAAAAAGGAAACAAATCTAACAATCAACTAAATCACACATATATAACAATCAATATGTATAGGTAAATTTAATCAGTACTCCCTCTGTATTTGAAAAAATGTCGTTTCAACTGTTTTTGGGTGAATTAAGAAAAGGCACAGAATTACAAAACTAACCTTATGAGAAACGATTATTTACAATTATATTTTTGGTATATGTAGTTTTGGTAATTTAGACTGATTAATTATGATCAATTAATTGGGGGTAATTTAGGAAATTTTATGCAAAAGTTGTTAAAATGACAACTAATTAAAAACACAGAAAAAAGGCTAGAACGACATTTATTCAAATACGGAGGGAGTATATTATATCAAACTGATGATTAGATTACCTGATGAGATGTATAACAAGATGATGAAAGAAAAACATATTTGTGCTTTAGTCATGTTTGTTTTTGTTTGATGTCTTTGTCAGAATTGCACAAAAGTTCTAGAAATTTTGTGTGTTGATATAAAGGGCTATACACACATAATCACATATATATACTTTACCTTAGGTCACAGTCACACTAGCCCTAATATCACAGATACTAAACATAATTAAGCCCAAAAATATATATAAAAGGCCCAATTGTATTAGTCTGAAAGCTCATCTATGAATTCTAAGGGGAGGGGTTTAATGGTTCATAATAGATTTAGAAATCCACAGCAAAATCATGTATTATTGGATCCTTGATTTTAATTTTTTTTTGTCAAAATCATGTATTATTCTTTCATTGGTTTCTACATACTTATTAAAACCATGTGTTATCGTCTAATGATTTATTGTTGAATTTTAAAATCAAAATTCAAATATATGGAATGTTATTTCAAAATGAGTATGTGGAATGTTATGTCAAAATTCCTATGTCTGATTTCAAAGTCAAAGAGGATTTCCAAATTTATCCATATTAACTTATAGTAGGAAATCTTTTTCTTTAATCATTTATAGTAGGCAATATTTTTCCTTTACTTTTACCAAAAAAAAAATATATTTTTCCTTTATCACTTAATAAATATTTTTTATCACTTATAGTAGGAAATCTTTTTTTTTTTTGAGAAATGTCCATTCTACTGTCAACATGTGTTGATACATTTTTTTTAATAATAATAATTAACTTGGAAAGTCGACAAATAAATATATCAGATACTAAATATAAATATTCAATCACATAATGCTTTTTTATTTTGTAATTTATATATAATTTCTCTCTCTCTCTATATATATAACCTAGTTTATAGCAAAGCTGTATACGAGGAGGTTTCAGACGTCAAACATAATCAAACATGGCTAAAGCACAAATATGTCTTTGTTTCATCATCATCTTATACCTTTGGTCAGGTAATCCACACCTAATCATCATGTTAATTAGTATAATATAATTGGTATGTAGCGATGCATACATACGGGTTTATAGATCATTAATAATCTTATATTGAATGTAATATTTTCCAAGTACTGAAACAATTTAGTTTCATTTCCATGTTTCTCTTACAGAAGGAAATCTCATGAAAGTAGCCAAGGCAGATGTAAGATTGAAAATAATCAAGTTATTAAATGTTTTATTTCTTTTCTTTTTTTTTTGTAATGAACTTTGAGTTTGATCTTTGTTACAGCGCTCCGGAGATTGGTGTGTTGCTAAACCTTCTACGGCTAACGAAAGGCTTCAAGAAAACATAAACTTTGCGTGTTCGAAAATTGATTGTCAGATTATATTGGAAGGAGGTGCATGTTATTTACCAGATAATCTCATTAGTCGTGCTTCTGTTGCCATGAATCTTTATTACCAAGCTCAAGGAAGACATTTTTGGAACTGCAATTTTGAAGGCTCTGGTCTCATCGGCATAACTGATCCTAGTGAGTTTTCTTTTTATCTTTTTTTCTCTAAACAACTATGGAACTTTTATTATGTCTGAATGTATGATATCATATCAATTATTATTTATTTTCCATATTTACAGGCTACGAAGGTTGCATTTATCAATTTCGTAAGTAAAACATATCAAGGTTCGATCTTGCTGCAAGAAGATAGAGGACTGTATCTGAAATTTCCTATGAATATTAAAAGTTTGGTGTAATTCGATTTTTCAACAGTTAAATGTTTGAGATTTAATATATTTATCAATACTTCATCTACTCAGTATTAATATTAACTAACATATACCAGTATACGTACTTTTATGTGATTGAGGATGGTTATACTACATAAATAATAATATATACATATACATTAGATGTGAATTGTAAATTGTTTAATGTTTTTACCTAAATAGATGTAAAGTACTATAGTTTGATTTTCTTGCCAACAAAACCTAACATACACATTAAGTTTTCTACAGTTTTCATTAAAGTCTTAATTGTGGTTTTTTTTTTTTTTCTTTTTTTTCTGGATAAACCATATGAAATTAAGTTATGTTGTTGTGTTTTTATGAGATAGATCAGAGTACACGAAATATGGCTGTAGATCACCTAATTGTGTTGTGTTTAATTGTCAGTTGAGGTTAGATATTTTTCAAATAATTGTGTAAATATTATATCTTTGCATCATATCGAGTTATCGACCAAAGACTAATCCATATTGGGGACACATAGATATTGTAATATAGGTAGGGTTAGGTTAGGTCTTAATGCGGAAAAAATAATTCTTAAATCACACACACGAGCAAATGTGGCAGCATATGAAGACGGGTTATAGTGGGAAGGAATGTGGGAAGAAGTCTGGTCTTGTCCACTTAGTTGAAATATTTTATTATTCTTCCTTGAATTGTATTCCATAGTTAAATTATATGCGTTTTTAACACTAATGTTTCCTAGTCCGTAAACGATACATTTGATTTGCATGTCTCCTTCCTTAGACCAAGAACTAGGTCGAGTTTACTTCAAAAGAAATCTTCTCCCCACAATTTTTACTAAACCTCAAAGTTTGTGGAGTAAGAATTATGAAGCGTTTTATCCAACATCTCCCAGAGGAGAACAGTGATTGGTCGATGTCACGTGAAATAACATTTGGCAAATACTGCACAAATTAATGAAGGCAAGAAAGTGAGACCACACGCGAGATGTGAGCGCGTATGAAGAAACATCATGAGACAACAAAGAGAATCAACCTCGTCTATGAAAATTTCTTCAGATTCTCTTCTCATTTCGATACCAAACAAAAACTCATATACTAATTTTTGTTGGTCGTTTTTGTACAATAAATAAAAAGCAAACTGTCGTAATTTTGATTTCTATATTATACACCAGATAAACAAATCAGAATCTCTCCACTAAACCTGATATAACTTTAAACTTGACAAGTATATATACTTTTTGGGCGGGGACAGCCGGACAGGAACATATATACTTAAGAAACTGATAATTATGGCATAGTTCTTCTTTGAGAGTCCTGGCTTTTTTATTTTTCTTAAATGATAATAGGAATATGACGTTTTAGAAAATTCATGTTGCTCTCTTCGACTCTAATTTTATTTGAAAACTGATTAAATTTCTATAGTATTTTACAACTGGTTACTTTCAACTGGTAAATTTGATCACACATGTAAATACTTGTGTTTGGAACCTTATCTTAAGTATTTTAATGATTAGAATTCATACAATATTTATTTCATTAGTTAAATTTTACAATGAAAAATTTAGTTTGACATTGCAGAAATGGTTAAAGACAAATCAATAGTTGTCAACTTTTAGAGGAGATGAAAAGTTACACGAAGTCTCCTTATAAAAACACTACTAATCTAACTTATAGTCTACTAGAGATTGTTTTACCGATTGGTTAGGGATGAGTTTTTTAAGTTTGTGGTTACAATGAAGGTAAAATTCAAAGAATAGGCCCAAGACATTGAGTGATAAAGTGACCAACTCTTTCTCTTTCTTCATGATGATAAATCGATTTGATTAATTCCAAAAAGGAAGTAAGAGAAACTAGGAAAGAAAAAGTTTCGAAATTCATCGCAATACCAACTAGACCCAGATCCAAAGTTGCAGACTTTTCAACCATTTTGAAAGTAATTTACCCACACACACTAAAACGATTAGAGAAGACTAATTATTTTTCTTAATAACCAACCAAAAACAATTAAAAATACTATTTCTTTATTGTGTGTGTATGAGAGCTGAGAGAGGAAGCAGAGGATAGACAAAGAGAAAAGGGAAAATTACCAGACAGGAGTTCTTCTTTCTTCTCTGCCTGCTTCTTTCTTTGAGAAAATCTAGAAGAAAGGAAAGCTACAAAAATTCTCAGCATCGAGGTATGTTTATTAGCAAGGAGAGTATTTTTAGTTCTGTTTCTTGATTTTTATAGTTTTCACTTTCTAGTTTTCTGGGGTGTTTCAAAAGATCTGTCTTTTTTTGTTCTGTGTGTTCTCTTTGATGTCTTTAGTCTTGTTGGGATGTGAAACACATGATTTTCGAGAAGAGAGAGAAAGGGAAAGAGCTCACTTGTGACTTGTTCTGTGAGAAAATTCTCTAACCAAAATTCTCAATTTTCAGCTTCTTTCTAATACTAAAATTCAGAGCTTTTACACTTGAAAGCTGTCATCTTTGTCTCAGTCTCTCTCTCTCTCGTTTGCATAGAAGAAGCAATATTTGTGTTGATTTAGTCAGTTCACCTAATCTGAAGAGAAGTTAAGATTTGTCAAAAAGTTAAAACTTACTTTTCATGGAAGCTCAACAACTTAAAAACCTCTCTCTTTTCTCTTTGGCAGTTTCCTTATCTTAGTTTCTTTGGATCTGCCTTTGATTTTCTTTCATTGTCTTTAACTACAGTTTCAATTTGGATCATGCAGGTAAGAGTTTTGGCTACAGAGCAATCATGCTAACTTGCGCCTTCTCCCAAAATCTTATCCATCAATCTCGGTAAGAAATACTTATCTTCTGATGATCAATACACAATTGTAGTAGTCTTAAAGTTCTACATGCATAGATCTTAGAACTACCATAAAGGTTAATCCTTTGAGTTGTGTGTGAAAGAAAAGGCTGAAACAAAGGTTTGGGTTCTGTTTTATTGTGACAGGTAAGGAAAGTAATGTTGGAATAATGGTGAAGAAAGGAAGTTGGTTTTCTGCTATCAAAAGGGTTTTTACTCCACATTCCAAAGAGAAGCTAGCCAATGTAAGCTGGTCACTCCCAAATAAACGTTTACTGGATTTTCTTAGCTTGCAGATTTAAGAGTTTTTGATATGAGATACTTTGGTGGCTCTTGGTGAACATTTTATGCAGCAGGAACCAGAGAGAAAGAGTGTAAAAGAAAAGAGGAAGAAAGGGTTTGGGAAGCTAAGGCATGGAGAGACCAATTCATTTCTTCCCATCTTCAGAGAGCCTAGTAGTATCGAAAAGATCTTGGGCGAGGCTGAGAGAGATCACAATCTTGTTTTCAGGCCTCCTACTCCTGATCGATCAAATCCATTTTCAGCCTCTCCTCCTCCTCCTCCGAGGCCTGCTTCTCCTCGGGTTCCTTCCCCAAGACCAACTTCTCCCAGAGTTGCCTCACCACGAGCCGCTTCTCCAAAGCCTCCTTCTCCAAGAGCTGAAGTTCCAAGATCCCTTTCGCCAAAGCCTTCTTCTCCAAGAGCTGACCTTCCAAGATCACTTTCGCCAAAGCCGAAGCCATCATCAGCCTCTGCCATTGCTCCTCCTCTTAGGCCTGCTTCTACTCGAGTTCCTTCTCAGAGAATTACCCCTCCCAGTGTTCCTTCTCCAAGACCAAGTTCACCAAGAGGTGCCTCCCCACAAGCCGTCTCTTCAAAGCCGCCTTCTCCAAGAGCAGAGCTACCAACATTGGACACTCCAAGACCTCCTTCTCCAAGAGCTGCTTCTTCAAGGGCAGAGCCACCAACATTGGACACTCCAAGACCTCCTTCCCCAAAAACTGCCTCTCCAAGGGCAGACCCACCAAGATTCGATGCTCCAAGACCCACCACGCCTAAACCTCCTTCTCCAAGAGCAGACACACCAAGATTGGATGCTCCAAGACCTACCACGCCTAAGCCTCCTTCTCCAAGAGCAGACGCACCAAGATTGGATGCTCCAAGACCCACTACGCCTAAGCCCTCTTCTCCAAGAGCGGTTTCGCCTAGGGGTGTGCAGCGACGAGAGGTTGTTTATAGACCAGAGGCGACGCTTCCGGTCCAACATGCTTCTGCAACAAAGATTCAAGGAGCTTTCAGAGGTTACATGGTACGTATACACATTCTTTGTTTATGTTACAATATTTTTCCATTACACTAGCCTCCATTTCCAAGACAAGGAAGTTATTGACTTGTGTGAAACAGGCAAGGAAGAGTTTCAGAGCTCTCAAAGGTCTAGTCAGACTTCAAGGTGTGGTGAGAGGATACAGTGTGAAGCGGCAGACGATAAATGCAATGAAGTACATGCAGCAAGTGGTCCGTGTTCAATCCCAAATCCAGTCACGTCGCATCAAAATGTTGGAAAACCAAGCTCAGGTTGAGAAAGATGAAGTCAAATGGGGTGCGTCTGAAGCTGGTAACGATAATTGGGATGACAGTGTACTGACAAAAGAAGAAAGGGATGCAAGATCACAGAGAAAGACTGACGCGATCATCAAGAGAGAAAGATCCATGGCTTATGCATATTCTCGCAAGGTAATACTCAATCTTTCCTCATGCCATCATCATGTTGATGCATATTTTCAGCTTTTGCCAACATCTCTATCTCTGTGCAGCTGTGGAAGAATAGTCCCAAGTCTACTCAGGACAATCGTTCTTCAGGTGGGTTCCCTCAATGGTGGAACTGGGTGGACCGGCAGCATCCTCTTGCTAGTCCTGCACCGAGCTATAGCCAAGCACAAAGAGATTTCAGGCTAACACCATCAAGACTGTGCCCAAGTCCTCTGTCTCAGTCAAGCAAACAACACCATATCAGGCTTGACAACCACTTTGACACTTCCACACCCAGATCGTCGAGATCTACTTTTCACACTCCATCCAGACCCATCCACACAGGGCCATCAAGATACTCGAGAGGAAGACTAAGAGGTCAAGATTCTCCTTTCAAGGATGATGACAGCCTCACAAGCTGCCCTCCATTCCCGAGCTACATGGCTCCAACAGTCTCTGCAAAGGCAAAAGTTAGACCAAACAGCAATCCAAAGGAGAGAGTGATGGGTACACCGGTAAGCGAGAAGAGGAGAATGTCGTTTCCTCCCATGCAACAAGGTCTTGATACGTTTAGATGGAACAAAGGGTCATTGCTCATGAGCAACAGCAGCAGCCAGAGAGGTCCTGGTTCACCTGGAGGTGTGGTTCTTGAGAAGCACAAGACACTTAAGTCAGTAGGAAATTTGAGTATTGGTTCCACTGCCTCGATGGCAACAACAGTTGGGAGAAAGGAATTTAACAGATTTGTGTGATTTCTTTTGATTTGAACATTTTTCTTTTGTTTCACTATGGGTGGTGGTGTTGATTTTGAGTGTTGTAACATAATAAAATGTCAAACAGAAAAACAAAAAAAACAAAAAACAGAGGATTTGGTTTGCAGTAGATTCACCATTAGCTTTTCTCAATTACTCAATTCCAATCATATTCTCCTGAATTTTACGTAAATACCCTCTCGGCTTAAATTATGATTAGGAGGCCTATATCTATCTAATGGGCCACAGTAGGCCCATTTCGGCGTTTCTTCTGCCTTAGAAACACTTCAGTCTCTATCGATTCCTGAGTCCGCCGGCGGATCAGGGGAAGTTGCCGGGAATGAATCACAGGCGGCGAGAGAATTATCGGAATGAGACGAGAATGCTCGGCTATTTAACCGGCGGTGGTTTGTATTTCTCCCTTTCTTTTTCTTTTGTTTTTCGTCTTAATTAATTTACTGTTTAGTCCTTCATATATTCTCTGTTATATATGTTTGACCCCAAAACTTCGTAAATCTTCATTTCCTCCTCGGTGTCATTGCTCTCTCCGGCGTATTCCTAAACGAAGTTAACATGATGTCATGAATGATGTCATGAATGATGTATGAATGTATATTAAGGTTCATGTGTTTCTTAGAAAATATATTCATGCCAAGACTTTTATTCTGTGGTGAACACATGTCTTAAGTATCTTAAGTAGATAAGCAAGATTACTAAATTACAGTAATATGGCTCTGATTTCAAGATCATGAACTATAATAGTCATGCAAGACTTTGATTTTATGACTATATTGAACACATGTCTTTAGTAGACACGCAAGACTACTAAATTAGAGTAAATATGTCTCTGATTTCAAAAGTTTGATCTATAGTTTTATCTTATAGTCAAACATTTTGAGTTCTGAGAAATTCAGATTTTATTGAAATACATTGTTTGACCAGTTCTTTGATATGGCATATTGCATGATTCATGGATGATTTGGACACATTGTTAAATTAATTGTGTTCAGACACTGATCTGCAACTCTATGCCTTATAAATATTTGCAGTTCTTGTGACTATATCGTGTATCTGAAGTCATCACTTGACTTTTTCCTTGCTTATCAAGGATTTAAACAAGACAAACTGTATAATCTTCTTCCCTTGTAAACCGCTCAATCAATCAATAATCATGTCTCGTAAAATCAACTGGTTGATGGTTCTGGTGATCATTGCTCTGTTTAATCTTGAAAACTCACTTGGCAGGCTTGTTTTTGAGGGATCCGCCGGGTTAATGAATGGTTTCACGACGTTGACGAGCACCAAGAAGCACGCTTATGGTCAAGCCTTTGATGACAAGCCATTCCCTTTCAAGAATTCGATCAACGGTGACGTGACTTCGTTTTCTTTTACCTTCTTCTTTGCTATCGTCCCTGAGCATAGACACAAAGGCTCTCACGGTATGGCCTTTGTGATCTCTCCCACGAGAGGCATTCCCGGTGCATCCGCTGATCAGTACCTTGGTATCTTCAACGATACAAATAATGGAAAAAGCTCCAACCATATCATTGCTGTGGAGCTTGATATCCATAAAGACGATGAATTTGGTGACATTGATGATAACCATGTTGGTATCAATATAAACGGTATGAGATCTACAGTATCTGCTCCTGCCGGTTACTATGATCAAAAGGGTCAGTTCAAAAACCTTTCTTTAATCAGTGGAAATCTACTCCGAGTCACGATCTTGTATAGCCAGGAAGAAAAACAGCTTAATGTCACCTTATCTCCAGCAGAGGAAGCTAATGTCCCAAAGTTGCCGCTTCTTTCACTGAACCACGATTTGTCACCATATCTTTCGAAGAATATGTATGTCGGCTTCATAGCTTCCACTGGGTCGGTCGGAGCAATACATTACATGTGGATGTGGTATGTGTTTACCTTTATTATTGTTCCACAACTGGATTTTGCTATACCAACCTTTCCTCCATATCCTAAGGAAGAGTCTCAGGTAAAGCTGATAGTTCTTGTGACGTGCTTGACTTTGGCTCTCTTTGTTGCGCTTGCTGCATCAGCTTTTAGTGTTTTCTTATATAAGAGACATAAGAAAGTTATGGAGGTTCTAGAGGAATGGGAGATCGAATGTGGACCACATAGGTTTTCTTACAAAGAACTCTTTAATGCCACAAACGGTTTCAAACAACGTATAGGCAAAGGGGGATTTGGTCCGGTCTTTAAAGGCACACTTCCAGGTTCAAATGCAAAGATTGCTGTTAAACGGGTTTCTCATGATTCGAGTCAAGGAATGAGAGAATTCTTGGCCGAGATTTCGACTATTGGTCGGCTTAGACACCCCAATCTAGTCAGGCTTCTTGGTTATTGCAGATACAAAGAAGAGCTCTACTTGGTTTATGACTTTATGCCCAATGGAAGCCTTGATAAGTACCTCTACGGAATATCAGATCAAGAACAACTCTCTTGGAGTCAACGTTTCAAGATCGTCAAAGATGTAGCCTCTGCACTCTCCTATCTCCATCATGAGTGGGTACATGTCGTCATTCATAGAGACATCAAGCCAGCAAACGTGCTAATCGATGACAAGATGAATGCATGTCTTGGGGATTTCGGATTGGCTAAGGTATATGATCAAGGATATGATCCTCAAACCTCTAGAGTAGCTGGAACATTCGGGTACATGGCACCAGAGATCATGAGAACCGGAAGACCAACCATGGGAACAGATGTTTACGCTTTTGGTGTGTTTATGCTTGAAGTTTCTTGCGGTAGAAAACTGTTTGAGCCACGAGCAGAGTCGGAAGAGGCTATTCTTACAAACTGGGCGATAAATCGTTGGGAAAACGGTGATATTGTAGAGGCGGCTACTGAAAGAGTCCGACAAGATCATGATAAGGGACAGCTCGAGCTTGTTCTGAAGCTAGGAGTGTTATGTTCACACCAGGCTGAAGAGGTTAGGCCGGATATGGCTACTGTGGTTAAGATCTTGAACGGAGTTTCTGAGCTTCCAGATAATCTGCTTGATATTGTTAGATCCGAGAAGTTTGAAAATTGGTACGAGAGGTACAGCAAAGTGCTTGATCCGGTGACGACGGTGGAGTCCATAGGTAACTTGGCCATTACGGAACCTATACTTCCGTCGGGCAGACCAAGGTTGTTTCTCTAGTGGGCGTGCAATCAATCACAGGCTAAAATCATGAAAGTCCAGGCATTTGGGATATATAATTGATTAGAATTATAGATTATGAGATAATTAAGGGAGTGATGGAGTCAGGGGCGGAGACACTTGGTGGGTAGTGGGGTCAGCTGACCCTACTAATTTTAAAAATTCCATTATATGTCTTTATATTAAATCTATTGAACCCAACTAAAAATATCTCTTGACCCCATTGACCTAATCAAAAACTAATTTACATCTACAAAAAGCCCATTACTTTTATAAATTGAACCCACGTTTAAAGCCAATTAATACAATTTTCAATGATTTACATGGATTAATACAAAAATACACCTAAATTATATTTCTAATAATAAACAAAACAATAAAACAAAGTTCTTTGTCTCTTCTTCTTCTCATGGACGAAGGAAAAAAAAAAAACTTAAATGATGGCTTCTCTAAATCAAGGTAATCAGTTATTTCCTTTGCAATTTCATTAAAAAAACTTTTTTTATTCGTGATGTGATTCTTTTTTTGTAAATTTGTTTGCAACGACTTGTGATTCAAAATTTTTTTTTAATAGTTTATAAATTTTTTTTTTTTTGACCCCAGTTAGAAACAATCCTGGATCCGCCACTCGAATCTTGTTAGTTATGGTTATCTATAATAGGAATCCTATTTAATAAGCTCTTGTAAGAGTAGACGGTAGTAGTGTATGTATGGGTTTTGTTTTTGAGTGTATTTCTTTATATTGTTCTCCTTTTACACTATCGATTTCTTTTGTAAATCTCAAAGATATTGAACAACTATTGATTACTTTTACAGAATAAACCTTAGTTTTAACATAGATTTTTGGTTTCAACAATCATATTATATCTAACTAATTGTCCTGTTGTTGGCCAAAAAAAATCACACAAATTCATGTTTACAGTGCCATTGTCCATTTTATTTAGTGGAAATTTGAAGTTCATTAGAAAAAAGTTTTTAGTTCCTCTGATCTTTATTTTTCGTAAGTGTTTGTGAATTTGAAAATTTTGGATACCATGTTAAGTTTTGCTTCAGACACTTATGCAATTATATGTAGTTTGTCTATTATTAGCATTTGCAGGCCTAGTGACTAGTACATGTGTTTCGTGTATCTGAAGTTCTTCCTTGCTTATCAAGATATAAACATCAAACAAACGTAAAAAAAAAAGGAGGATATACTAGTCAATTCCAAACATATTCTCCGAATTTACGAAAGTACCCTCTCGGCATAAGTTTAAGAGGCTTATGTATATATATAGGGCCACAATAGGCCCATTAAGGTCCGCGTTTCTAAAGCGTTCAAATCTCCATCGATTCCTGTTTTTGGCCGGCCGATCTGTGGATATTGCCGGGAATGAGTCACTGGCGACGAGAGAGGTATCGGAAGGAGGGAGTTACCGTTTGACCAGCGATATCTACGGCGACGGAGATGATAATGCTCGGATATTTAACCGACGGTGAGGGTTTGTATTTCTGTCTCTTTTTAGTCTTAATTAAAGTAATTTGTAGTCCTTCATATATTCTCAGTTATATGTTTGACCCCAAAACTTCGTAAATCTTGTATTTCCTCCTCGGTGTCATTGCTCTTTCCGGCTTAATCCTAACCGAAGTAAACATGATGTCATGTATGTATGTAACTATGTATATTAAAGGTTCATGTCTCAGAGGTTTACTAGAAAAATATATTCATGACAAGACTTTTATTCTGTAGTGAACACATGTCTTAACTAGATAAGCAAGACTACTAAATTACAGTAATATGTCTCTGATTTCAATATCATGATCTATAATTTTATCTTCTAGTCAAATATTTTTGAGTTCTGAGAAATCCAGATTTTATTGAAATACATTGTTTGACCAGTTCTTTGACTATGGCATTATCGCATGATTCTTTGATGATTTGGACACCATGTTAAATTAATTGTGTTCAGACACTGATGTGCAACTATATGTCGCCTCTCTGTTTTAAATTGCAGTTCTTGTGACTAGCTCATGTGTTTCGTGTATCTGAAGTCATCACTTGACTTTTATCTTGCTTATCAAAGATATAAACAACAACAAAACTGAATTGTTTTATTCTCTTGTAAACCACTTATTCAATCAATAATAATCATGTCTCGTAACGAGTGGTTAATGGTTCTGGTGATCATTGCTCTGTTTAATCTTGAAAACTCACTTGGCAGGCTTGTTTTTGAGGGATCCACTGGGATTATTAATGGTTTCCCAATGTTGACAAACACCAAGAAGCACGTCTATGGTCAAGCCTTCGATGACGAGCCATTCCCTTTCAAGAATTCGACCAACGGTAACATGACTTCGTTTTCTTTTACCTTCTTCTTTGCTATCGTCCCTGGGCATAGAGAAAGAGGCTCTCACGGTATGGCCTTCGTGATCTCGCCTACAAGAGGCCTTCCAGGTGCTTTTGCTGATCAGTACCTCGGAATATTCAACGATACAGACAATGGAAAAAGCTCGAATCATGTCATTGCTGTGGAGCTCGATATACATAAAGATGATGAATTTGGTGACGTTAATGATAACCACGTTGGTATTAACATTAATGGAATGAGATCTAACATATCTGCTCCTGCCGGGTATTTTGATCAAAAGGGTCAGTTCAAAAGCCTTTCTCTAATCAGTGGAAATCTACTCCGAGTCACGATTTTGTATAGCCAGGAAAAAAAACAGCTTAGCGTCACCTTATCATCACCAGAGGAGGCTTATTACCCGAATCAGCCACTTCTATTACTGAACCAAGATCTGTCACCGTATTTGTTGGAGAAAATGTATCTCGGCTACACTGCCTCCACAGGTTCGGTTGGAGCATTACATTACATATGGACGTTACATGTGTATGATATCGCTGTGGTTCCAGATCTGGATTTCCCTATACCGACGTTTCCTCCATATCCCAAGCCAAAGTCTCAGGTAAGACGGACTGTCTTGGTGACTTGCTTGACATTGGTCCTCTTTGTTGCGGTTGCTGCATCAGCTTTAAGTCTCTTCTTCTATAGAAGACATAAAAAGGTTAAGGAGGTTCTAGAGGAATGGGAGATCCAATGTGGGCCTCATAGGTTTGCTTACAAAGAACTCTTTAAAGCCACAAAGGGTTTCAAACAACTTGTGGGCAAAGGAGGGTTCGGTCAGGTTTTTAAGGGTACACTTCCAGGTTCAGACGCAGAAATTGCTGTTAAACGGATCTCTCATGATTCAAGACAAGGAATGCAGGAATTCTTAGCAGAGATATCGACAATTTGTCGGCTTAGACACCCAAACCTAGTCAGGCTTCAGGGTTACTGTAGGTACAAGGAGGAGCTTTACTTGGTTTATGACTTTATGCCCAATGGAAGTCTTGACAAGTACAGAGCAAATAAAGAGCAACTCACTTGGGACAACGTTTCAAGATCATCAAAGATGTAGCCTCTGGACTCTGTTATCTGCATCACGAGTGGGTACAAGTCGTAATTCATCGAGATATCAAGCCTGCAAATGTCTTGATTGACCATCAGATGAATGCGAGACTCGGGGATTTCGGGCTAGCCAAGTTGTACTATCAGGGTTATGATCCTCAAACATCGAGAGTAGCTGGAACATTTGGGTACATTGCCCCCGAGCTCATAAGAAGTGGAAGAGCAACCACAGGGACAGACGTCTACGCCTTTCGGCTGTTTATACTGGAAGTCTCTTGCGGTAGAAGGCTGATAGAGCCACGAGCAGCCACCAACGAGGTCGTCCTTGCAGAATGGACATTAGAATGCTGGGAAAACGGAGATATCCTTAAGGCAGCCAATGAAAGACTCCACCAAGAACACAATAGAGAACAGCTCGAGATTGTTCTGAAACTGGGAGTATTATGTTCGCACCAGGTTGCAACAGTTAGGCCTGACATGTCTAAAGTGGTCCGGATCTTAAATGGTGATTCGAAGCTTCCGAGTAATTTGCTGGATATTGTCAAGGCCGAGAGGGTTAGAATGTGGTCTGAGACATCTGATAGTATTCCATCACAGGAGTCCATCGGTACCTTGACATTTACGGAACCTTTCACTTCCCACGGACGCTGAAAGCTGATGTCAAGGTCGCTCGTGCAAAAATATGTTCTGTTGTTCATTGTATTGAATGTATCATGTGGTTTATAATCTACCTAAGTCTGGTGTAACATTGAGAATTTCTATATTTGTAGTACCTGGACAAACAAATGGACATGATGCTCCATATTGCCAGGTTTGTAACATAAGCACGATCTCTCAGAGGTTTTGATAAATAATATATTTTCCTTAAAACATATTAGACATAACAAAACTAAATTTGCCTGACTAGCTCGTTGGTTCTCCCATGGTCCATGAAGGTTTGGGACTCCATTAACTAGTTAATTAATTGATTTCAGTAATTGACCCTGCAACATGTAGCTCTCTGTTACTAGTCTTTGCAGGCCTTGACTAGTTCATACGTTTTTTAGTGTCTACAGTCATTATTATTATAATCTCTTAAATATACAAACTGGTTAATTAATTGATTATGAAGCATTGACTCTGCAACTTGTAGCAATCTTTCTGATTTTAGTCCTTGTAGGTCTTGACTACTTCATGCGCCTTTCTGTGCTTTAGTTGACTTTCATCATGCTCTTCAGGATATAAACGACAACAGAAACTAAGCTCCTAGTTGCTCAACTAATCGGTCAAAGATCATGTCTCGTGTAATCATCTCACGAGTCATTTTCTTGATTCTTGCTTTGTTCTGTTGTACTGATAACTCCCATAGGAAACTGATTTGGGAAGGATCGGCTGGAGTTTTCAAAGGTTTCAGGACGTTGACGAACACCACGAAGCACACATATGGTCAAGCATTCGACGACAAGCCATTCCCTTTCAAGAATTTCCTCACAGGTGCAATGACTTCTTTCTCTTTCACCTTCTTTTTTGCTATCGTCCCTGAGCATAAGCACAAAGGCTCTCACGGTATGGCCTTCGTGATTTCTCCTACAAGAGGCATTCCAGGTGCATCCGCAGATCAGTACCTCGGAATCTTCAATGAAGTAAACAACGGGAACAACTCGAATCATGTCATCGCTGTGGAGCTCGATATAAATAAAGATGATGAATTTGGCGACATTAACGATAACCATGTTGGTATCAACATAAATGGGATGAGGTCTATTGTATCTGCTCCTGCTGGTTATTATGATCAAGAGGGTCAATTCAGAAATCTTTCTTTGATCAGTGGAAATCTACTCCGAGTCACGATTTTGTATGACCAGAAGAAGAAAGAGCTTAGTGTCACATTATCATCGCCAGAGGAAGCTTATTACCCCAAGCAACCACTTCTTTCGCTAAACCAAGATCTGTCACCGTATCTTTTGGAGAAAATGTATGTCGGCTTCACAGCCTCTACGGGGTCGGTTGGAGCAATGCACTACATGTCGATTTGGTATAGATATACCATACTGATTGTTCCAGACCTGGATATCGGGATCCCGACGTTTCCTCCATACCCCAAGGAAAAATCACTGGTAAATCGCATTCTTTGGGTGACCGGCTTGGCATTGGCTCTCTTAGTTGCGATGGCTGCATCAGGTTTTAGTCTCTTCTTATATAGAAAAAACCAAATGGTTCAAGAGGTTCTAGAGGAGTGGGAGATTCAAAATGGACCTCATAGGTTTTCTTACAAAGAACTCTTTAAAGCCACAAATGGTTTCAAACAACTTCTAGGCAAAGGAGGGTTCGGTCAGGTCTTTAAGGGAACACTTCCAGGTTCCGATGCAAATATTGCTGTTAAACGGGTTTCTCATGGTTCGAGTCAAGGAATGAGAGAATTCTTGGCCGAGATAGCAACTATTGGTCGGCTTAGACACCCAAATCTAGTGAGGCTTCTTGGCTACTGCAGGTACAAAGAAGAGCTCTACTTGGTTTATGACTTTATGCCCAACGGAAGTCTTGACAAGTACCTCTATGGCGGATCAGATCAAGAACAGTTCTCTTGGACTCAACGTTTCAAAGATCATCAAAGACGTTGCCTCTGCACTCTCCTATCTCCATATCGACTGGGTACAAGTTGTTATTCATCGAGACATCAAGCCTGCAAATGTCCTAATCGACGACAAGATGAATGCAAGTCTTGGAGATTTCGGATTGGCTAAGCTGTATGATCAAGGATTTGATCCTCAAACCTCTATGGTAGCTGGAACCTTCGGGTATATGGCACCAGAGCTCATGAGAACTGGAAGATCGACCACGGGTACAGATGTCTATGCCTTTGGTGTGTTTATGCTTGAAGTTTCTTGCGGTAGAAAACTGTTTGAGTCACAAGCAGAGCCCGAAGAGGTCGTTCTTGCAGACTGGGCGATAAATCGTTGGGAAAACGGTGATATTGTAGAGGCGGCTAATGAAAGCATCCGAGAAGATCATGACAAGGGACAGCTTGAGCTTGTTCTGAAGCTAGGAGTGTTATGCTCGCACAGGGATGAAGAGATTAGGCCGGATATGGCTACGGTGGTTAAGATCTTGAACGGAGTTTCTGAGCTTCCGGATAATCTTCTCGACATTGTTAGAACGGAGAAATTGGGAAGATGGTACGATGCGTACGGAAACGTGCTTGTTAGGGCGATTACAATGGAATCTGCAGGTAACTTGACGATTACGGAACCGATGACTTCCGTCGGACGGTAAAAACTGATTGTCGAGGCATGGTGCAAAAAATAACTTGTGACGGTGCTTTATAAAGTATCTTTATTTTTGGTGATCGTATTGAATGTATTGTTTAATATATGTTCATATTTATATCGGCGGTGGAATAATTACACATGACCTGAGAAGTATGCGTTTGTGTGTTTACTTTTATGTTGGAGTACTTCTTGTGTTTTCAGTTATAAAAAGTCTTAAATATTTCTTTTCTGCTAACTAATTGGATATTTTTAAGAGAACTAATCTTTTACTTGTTTCGAGGAATTTAGGTTTTTGCTAATTGATAAGAAACAATTATTGTTGTTCAGCAAGAAAATATTAATATATAAACAATTCTCATGTTGTTACCAACAATTATTTATCATGTTTCCAGTTTCCATATGTGCATTTGTTCAATTGGGATGTGAAGTTCATTAAACAAATTCTATCGTTTTTTATAAAAAAAAATCGTATTGGTTTTTTTTCTTTTCTTATCTTTGTATGTAGTATAAGCGATTTTGCTTTAAGAGGAGCTTTGAGAAAGGAAGAAATTTGTATTACACCATTTTAGGTTTCGGATTTGCGGAAACCTTATGAAACAATGGACCAAACTTAGCTTATTAAGGCTTAACGGAGCTAACTTTAAAAATTTTCCGTTTTGGACCCTAACATAACATGAATCGATAGGTCTTCGATAAAGTATATATCATGATAGTTCTGGTAAAGTAAGGTTTGCATATGAAAGAAGCAAGTTTAATTTTTCTTTTGTCACGGTCTCAATGAAAGAACGAAAACGTTGTGCTATCAAAATTACTCAAAAACGTTGTGCTAAAAAACTTGGCAGAAAAGAGTATCGAATGATGCTAAAATGCAAAAACCATTAAACCCAATGTACGTTTTCATATGCCAAGTGGGACATCCACGTGGAGATCCTCTGCCACTTGTCCACTTTCTGTCTCTCTCATGCTTCAACTTACTTGGCTCTCTCGTGGATTCTCACGCCCGAGTACGTCGAATATTACAATAATCAGATCAATTATTTAAACACTTGTATTTTGTTTTGACCTTTTTACCCCTCCTCATTGCTCATCAATTTTGATAGATATAGTAATACCAAATTAGCAAATTATACAAAATATAAGAGTCCTCTTTAATTACTACCAAACGTTCACAAGTCATGAGTGAAGAAGACTAATCATCTTTGACATCTAAGTAATCAATTTTTCAACTTAACTATTCAACTCAATAAAAAATTTATAATCAACAATTATTTTCAAGATGTATCTCCCTTTTCATTTTTTGCAACTTTTTCTCTACTACACTATTAGTACTTAGTATAGGTAATCGATGTTTTGATGTATCATTAATCATTACTGTTGACTAATAATTATTTGATACAATTATTTTACCGACATCGATTCTCTACCAAAAATATCTAGAACAGTAATGTGAAATTGAATCATCTCGATTCTCAAGGGTATTTTAGAACACATACCCAATTAAAAAAAAAACAAATAATAATATTTATAATTCGTAACCTTGGTTTCACACAAATTATGACGTCATTTTCATTATAAAATAATAATAAAAAATTATTTTGGTCTCTCTCTCTTATTGCTTCCTTCGCTCAACGCTGTTCATAAGCATTCTCTTTCTGTGGACGAAACTAAACCTGAGAGAAAAAGCCAGAACCCAAAGACAGAGCGAGAGATAGAGATTGAGAGAGAGAGCTTTAGCTCTGTAGAAGGAACGATTCATTCATATCCAGAAATGGCTCTAAAGCTTAACCCTTTGGTGGCATCTCAGCCCTACAAATTCCCTTCCTCGACTCGTCCGCCAACTTCTTCTTTCAGATCTCCCAAGTTCCTCTGCCTCGCTTCATCTTCTCCTGCTCTCAGCTCCGGCGCCAAGTCAGTCTCTTTCTCTCCATCCACGTCTCTGTTATCTACTTTCGATTCTCTCTGCCAAGTAGAAGAGATTTGCTTCATCTTTGTTTACTGTGTTCTGTGTTTTGCTAGTTTTTTGCGATTTTAGATCTACGTTTACTTGATCTAGTTCAGTGTTCTTTGCTTACATTTGCTTAATCTCAATGAAAGTGTTTTCTTTTAATCTGGGTTTATAAGATAGGGGCCATCCTCTGATATTCTCTGTTCTCAGGCGATTCATTAATGCTCGTTTTCATTGAATCTGATGTTGTTGATGTTCCCTTTTATTCTCTAGATTCATTCACGTTTCTCTGAGCTTGCCCCATGTATCAAATCTTTGCCTTTACCATATTTATTTAGATTGCTCTTTGATTGTTGGTTAGTTATGATTAACACTAGTTATCTTCTTAATGGTATAATGATCTTTACAATGGTTAAGAGACATTGAGGAATAGCTTCTTAGTCAAATCCTGATTTTTTTCACTGGGGAAAGTTTTGTTTTGTTTTTTTTTCGTTCTCTGGTTTATATTTTGCTGTTTGGTAATTTTTTAAACGGTGAAATGTTTATCCACTTGCTGCTTACTCATTTGATGAGTGTTTTCTTTTCTATTGACATGAGATTCTTGAACGTATCAGTTTACGTCTGTTTTTCTTTCTCCAAAGACATTACGTTGGATATCACGCTTCGTGGCCTTTCTCTATGCATGCGTACTTCGTGGCGCCAATCTTTAGTTAGCGTCCAAACTTTTCACACTTTTCTGTAATTTATTCACTCTTTCTCTGTTTTGATGACATTTGGCTCTTTATCTTGTCTTTGTCTGATCAGTAGTGACTACATTTGTTTCTTTCACAATATTTCTTTTTTGCTTCATATTGAACTGCAAGATCAATTCATGATTGCAAATATAACATATTGTCTTACGGTTAAACATTTCTAAGTGTTTGACTGTTTGTTAGTCATGAATTGTCGAATTGTTTCGCTTCAATGCATAGATTAATCTATTTGGAAATGGAGACATGAATGCTTTTCTAGATTCAGTAATCTGTGTTCTTGTTTTTTTTGTGTATAAGAAATGAAACCTTGACTGGTAATCTCAATGGAGTATAATTGAATGCTGATAATACTTATTTTCGGATAATGGCAGGGATGTTGAGAGCTTGAAGAAGCCATTTACGCCACCTAGGGAGGTGCATGTTCAAGTCTTGCACTCCATGCCACCTCAAAAGATCGAGATCTTCAAATCTATGGAAAACTGGGCCGAGGAGAACCTTCTGATTCACCTCAAGGATGTGGAGAAGTCTTGGCAACCCCAGGATTTCTTGCCTGACCCTGCATCAGATGGGTTTGAAGATCAGGTAAGAGAGTTAAGAGAGAGGGCGAGAGAGCTCCCCGATGATTACTTTGTTGTTTTGGTGGGGGACATGATCACAGAAGAAGCACTTCCGACCTATCAAACTATGTTGAACACTTTGGATGGAGTTAGGGATGAAACAGGTGCTAGTCCTACTTCATGGGCTATTTGGACCAGAGCTTGGACTGCAGAAGAAAACCGACATGGCGATCTTCTGAATAAATACCTTTACTTGTCTGGTCGGGTGGACATGAGGCAGATCGAAAAGACCATTCAGTACTTGATTGGATCCGGAATGGTGAGATAGTTTCAGGCAATTACATGATTGCTTGGTTAATATAACTTCCTAAGCGCTTTAACTTCTCTTTCATAGGATCCGCGGACAGAGAATAATCCCTACCTTGGCTTCATCTATACTTCATTCCAAGAAAGAGCGACCTTCATCTCTCATGGAAACACAGCCCGCCAAGCCAAAGAGCATGGGGATATGAAATTAGCCCAAATATGTGGGACAATAGCTGCAGACGAGAAGCGTCACGAAACTGCTTACACCAAGATAGTTGAAAAGCTCTTTGAGATTGATCCTGATGGTACTGTCATGGCTTTTGCAGACATGATGAGAAAGAAAATCTCAATGCCTGCTCACTTGATGTATGATGGGCGCAACGACAACCTCTTTGACAACTTCTCTTCCGTGGCTCAGAGGCTCGGTGTTTACACCGCCAAAGACTATGCCGACATTCTTGAGTTTTTGGTTGGTAGGTGGAAAATTCAGGACTTAACCGGGCTTTCAGGTGAAGGAAACAAAGCACAAGACTACTTATGCGGGTTGTCTCCAAGAATCAAGAGATTGGATGAGAGAGCTCAAGCAAGAGCCAAGAAAGGACCCAAGATTCCTTTCAGTTGGATACACGACAGAGAAGTGCAGCTCTAAAAGGACAAAGACAAAAACCCTTTCCTCCCGGTTCCTCATTTCATCTGTCTGCTCTTAAAATTGGTGTAGATTACTGTGGTTTCTGATAATGTTGGTGGGTCTAGTTACAAAGTTGAGAAGCACTGATTTAGTAGCTTTGGTTTTCCCAGTCACTATATGTTTGGTCTTTGATCCGTTAGTACACTTGTTGTAGTTAAAACAGTTAAAGTCTGGTCTGTTGTACTCAGTCTTCTCTGTGGAGTTTTGTTTCAGTTCAGGTTAGTTTTTGTTTTTGTCTCTGTTTTATCCCCTGTTTCTAGACAACAACTCATGTGGCTTCTTAGCAATTTTGATGGTAGATTATGATGAATATCTTCCATTTCAAAATTGGTCAATGTTTAAATATCAAGTTTTGTTGGTCACAGGACACAAATCTTTCTCCTTGAGAACTCTGAAGTTCAATAACACGGTTTACTTATGAGCCAGTGTCGATACTAGTTGAATCTGCTTCATTACAATTTGTCTAGACTATTTACAAAGAATATCATCGCTTATATCATTTATCCGACAATTTTATCACACTTTATGTTGGTGGTCTATAATGTTAGTGAAATTCTTTCGAGGTTAAAATTCTCTCTCAACGAAGATGATGTTCTCGTTTGTATTAAATTATTGTGGCGAGATCTAACTAAAATTCAGCTCAATGCATCTTTAAGGAAAACTCAATTTTTAGTTGTTCAGATTAAAATTCAATCTCCATTATCATTATAATTCAAGCTACATATAACCCTAACTTCATCTTTTAGCCAGACTAAAGGCCATGATAATGTTCCTTAATGGGCCCAAATTTAAAAGAGGCTTGGCCCAATAAGGTAGTGTTTCAGAGATTCCGCCATGGAAGGCGGTTGAAGCTACCTATGAACTTGGGGAAGGAGTAAAAAAATGTTTCTCTTTTTCAATCTTTTTTTCTTTCTAATTGTTTGCAAGTAAAGATTCCAAATTTTTTGCGTGAATCATTGTGAGAGCAAAGTTGAACTAATAAATCAACTCGCCGGAAAAAATGGATGAAACGGCGGAAGAGAAGATGGTGAGAGAGAGAATTAGAAAGAAAGTTAACGAAGTCAGTTCTGTGTCGCAGTCTCTTCTTTCTCCAATACAAGACCACATCAATTTCACCCTTCAAGTTCGTCTTTTTCTCTATCTCTCATTCAAAAAAAGTTTTGAAATTTTGATGTCTTCTTGCTAAAATTGTGTCGAAACTAAAGTGAATTTCACAGACCCGAGAATCAGTTTTCTTTCTCCTAGTTGCTAAATTCCTAAAGTTAGGTTCTTTATGTATACTCTCTGAAGAAGCCATTGGATATATACTTGGACTTAGTTTGCTTACTGCTTCTTAGCCTGAGATTTATATAAGAGTATGTTTTGTGCTTTTGTGTTGATGCAGAAGGCATACTTCAAATGTGCATATGAGTGCTTTGATAGGACAAGAACACACGCTGAGATTAGTCGATGTGCAGAGAGTTGCAGTGTTCCTATCACAAATTCGCAGAACCACTTTGATAATGAGATGTCTGTGTTCCAAGTAAGTCTTTTTCAATTAGAGATTGATGATTCAACTGTGATTAAAATCTGAAACTTTTGTTTTTCAAATGTGTTTATGATGATGATAGTGTGATTTGTTGTCTCTTGGATTCTCTATATCAGGACAAAAGCTTGGTTTGATTCAAGTTTGTGTTTTGATTTTGATTGATGAATGTAGGAGAGGTTGAATAGATCTCTTGTGGTTTGTCAAGACAAGTTTGAGTCCGCTAAGCTTAAGAAGACGAGAAATGAAGCTGTAAATGATTTGGAGCATTGCGTAAACCAAACTGTTGATGAAGCTGTCAAGACTCTGCCTAATCTCGCCACAAGAATGAAGAAAGCTTTGTCAATCACAGACTGAGCTCTCCAAAAACTTTAAAGAGGGACTCCTTCTGATACGTAGTGAAACTATATTTGATTGATGTCAACAAACTCAATACATCATATATCAAACAGAGAAATGAAATTATTGGTTGAGACTCGAGAGTGATCATCTAGGGAAGATTAGGCTGATCCTCGGGAGTAGGAACCATATGTTGATCCAGAAGAGTTCTGGATCAACACTCTAGGTTTTGTTACAAAGAATAAAAGAACAACTTCAAAATCAGGGTATCCCCGAATGAAACTCCATCTCCAAAGAAACTTTCAAATTCCGAGTTTTTAAGTTATTCTTCATTTGTGTCACCAACACAGCAAAAGTGGATCAATGGCCTTTTATTTTTGTTAAATTGTTGCATAAAATTAAAAGATGGCTAAAAAGCCTTTAGTAGTACCACCATTACATAAAAGAATAAAATTGAACCCATAATTAAGAAGCTCACGAACGATCACACGACTTAATGGTGTAGGCCCGTAATAACAGAGAGAGCTATGTATTATAAATGGACGACGACAAAACAAATTTCCATTTCTATAAAACAGAGAACATTAAATAGACGACAAAACAATATAATAAAATAAAAACTCAAAAATCTCAGCTAATTCTTTGTTTCGCCGGAGCCGGAGAAAAAAGCAGGCGAGGTTGAAGAAGAAATCGATCAGTAACAACATCTCGGATTCTCAGGTATACACTAAATTCTTTGCCGGTCATTTTCTCCTTTCATCGGCGTGTTTCGTTCACTGAGTTCATCAAACTGCTTTTTCTGTTTTCCCGAGAAAATGAAAATCTGGGATGCTTCTTGTTTTCTCCAAAGAATCGAGTCAAAATCGCAAATTTGGATTGTTTATGCGAAATCTATGGAAATTTCAGGTGGAAAAAATCGCATTTTTTGTCAACATCTGAAGAAGCTCATAGAGAAAGAGACCATCATCTCGAGGTTAGTGTTTCTTCTTTTCCGCACTCTCAATGATCTCTCACCACAAGAATATCTTTTGATAACTTCATATCATATTCACTACTCTGTTTCATACCATCTCTGTTTGGATCCGTCTAAATCGAGTCTCAGATTCAATCTCAGTGTTAAATTTCGAGGCTTTTCTTGATTTTTTAAATGTGGAAATTTGTGAAAAGTTTCTTCATTTTGCTATAAGGTGTGTGTTTGATAGTTTTAGGAATCGAAATCGTACAACAGAATGGTGATTTGATTACTTAAAAAGATTGATTTTTGTGCAATTTCTACAGGAAGATGAGTCATTCTCAGAACCCATCTTTTGTCTTCGCCATTCGAGACTTCCCACCAGGCTGTGGAACTCACATTGATGTTTCGTCGAGTTTTAATCTTCCAGCTGACAAGGCCTTCAAGAATCCAAAAACTGGTGATGTTTCTGGCAAGAATCCAGCTCCTAAACCTCAAGGAATTTGTCTCAAACGTGAACCAGCAGCTTATCAGGATCATATCAAGCGAGAACCAGCATATCAGTATCATGTTGTTGCAGCTCCTACAGTGCCTTCTGCAACAACTTCATCTCACAGACAAGAACTGGAGATCAGAAACTCTGGTTTTGCTCCTACTCCTCGTGAGAAAGTGCTTGAAGTATTGAGACTTTTCAAACAAGTATACAAACAGTTGGACCGAGATAAAAAAGCAAGACGCGGAGGAGATTTGTTGGATGCAACACGCAGAATCGACATCAAAGCACTAAATGTCTTAGAGAGTATGGGGAAGCAAGTGAACATAGAGAAGAGAATTGGAACAGTTCCGGGAATAGAAGTTGGGGATGTGTTTCAGTATAAAACCGAACTCCGTGTTGTCGGGCTTCACTCCAAGACAATGTGCGGGATCGATTACATGAAGATTGGAGAGGTTAGGCTCGCGACAAGCATAGTTGCAACAGAAGGGTATGGCTACAACGATACGTTCAACTCTGGTGTGATGATTTACACAGGTGAAGGAGGTAACGTAATCAGCAAGGAAAAGAAGACTGAAGATCAGAAATTGGTCAAAGGGAACTTAGCATTGGCTACTAGTATGAGGCAAAAGAGTCTAGTGAGAGTGATACGCGGAGAAGAGAGATGGGATCATAAAGGGAAACATTATGTGTACGATGGATTGTATATGGTTGAAGAATATTGGGCCGAGAGTGATGTTAGAGGTAAGACTGTGTATAAGTTTAAAAAAAATCAGGTTTTCTTCATCTGAGCCGTATTTTTTGGACATGACCAGAACTCTGTTGTCCACACATCCAAACTGAATGGATGTTACAGTATAATTATCAGAAGTAACGAATATGTGACTGAATTTGTCACAGCCAGTTTCTTCCCAGTGTTCATCAACGCTATAGTCTCCTAATGGCCCCAGTTTCAAGATCACCATTTTATGGAAGAAGAAGTGTGAACTGCAAGTAGTGTGATTGCATTCAGAGTAAGGGATAAATAGGCGGACTTTTGGTATAGGACTCAACTACACTTAAGTTGTGAAGTGAAAAGCTACACAGCCTGCCTTGAACAATTTCAAATAATAATGAATATATTACTTTAGGAATAGAAAAAAATGACAAAAATAACTCCATCAGAAGGTGCTTTATTTGAGAGAAAACGAAAAACAACAAATTGAACCAGGCTATACTGTTGAACGTCACAAGACGTTGCTTGTGTCAAACGTTTTCACGTTTAACCGCTGTGTTGGAGCTTGGAATGGGATTCACATAGATACCGATTGATGTCAGATTGTATTTATTGCACGACCCAAAGAAACCACCAAACTCACGACGGTCACATATAGCCAGATCAATTTCAGTCTTGATATTTGTTACATACTTGGTGACTGCAGGCTCACAAATGGATCCGTGTTTTCCCAGGTTAGTGTAAAATGTCAGTGAGTTGATTCCTTCACACCTACTCAACCGTGAGTTGATTACTCTACACCCACTCAACCCAGTCACATACTCATTGTGCTTCAGTTTCACCTGCGGTTTATTTATGTAACTTCATAAGAGATAGTGAGACTTCACAAGCTTCAAGCATACAAAAATAAGAATTACCAAAATCAACACTTACAACTCGGAAGCTACGTCCATTGGAGTCACCGCCGTACTTGGCAGACATGACTAGAGCTCCATTCTCAATGTAGCCAAACTGAATTGATATTATCCGTGAGTAAGTGAAAGAAACAAATATATGAGAGATCATAGTGTTGCCCTTTTCATCCCAATGAGTGTCAGTATATGAACTCGTTTCTCCAACTGGTCCTGCTCTGATCATCTCCATAAAAGTATTGATAGCAAAATTCGAAAATAATTAACAGAGAGAAAGAGAGACTTGGTAGAATTATATAGGATACCTAGTCCAGTACCCGAAGAGTCCTCATGTCTTTTAATTATGAAATTTCTAGGGAGTAAGCAAAACAGGTCAATGTACATTTAAGATAACCTTGAGATTTTATGCTTAGATGATACAATTTCCTATGGAAGTCTAATATAGTATGGTTTGTGTGAAGAAACTAGCCAACTTCGTTGAGTACTTGAGTCATAAAAGGTGACAGTAATGAACAGAGGATTTCTCTTGACTTCGACTTCGAGGGAAAAAAGAAAAAAACAGAGGATTTCCACAAGCCGTTTCTGGTCTTGAAACTTTGATATCTCCAATATTTATCTCTTTAATACTCGTTTGCGCTTTGATTCTTGATACCAAGACAATTGAATCGTTTGGCACTTTGACTGGTTACAAAGATACCACATACAGATCTCTAGTTATAATTTTTGGCTGGAAGACTTTGCCTCATACATTGTCAATCTAAGATTGAGTTCTGTCCATAATGTGAGATATGATGTATGTAAATTCTTTAAGCTCATATCATAAGAGCCAACAGAGAACATCGAGTAATGTGCTAAAGATGACTCAATGGCTCTATGATCTTGAGAGAAAACCATTTTACAATTTCCTGCATAAATCTAAGAAGGCTTTAAAAGAAACAAGCCAATGTAATTAAACAGATGGAAGTGAAGAATTATTCCATTAAAACAAATTTCTAATTTAAAAATCATGCTAATTAATATATTATTATTTTTTATTTTAAGAGTTGTAGCTAAAGATAACAAAAATGTGGCATTCATCCATTAAAGTAGCTTTTGTTACAAAGAACAAAAGAAAAATAAAACCTCAAAAGTTAGTACTTCTTAGAACGACAAGAGATAGAGTGTGAGGTCTCTTATCATCTAAGAGACGTATCTTGCACGAATGCAAACGAAAAAATCTAATCCAAGAGATTCTTTAAAAGGCGCCCCAACTTGGACAATATACTCTCTTTGAGTTTGCGCTTACCACCAATGGGCTTGACACGATGAAAAACATCGAGAAACTCCAAGTTTTGATACTCAAGTGTCCGATTGTTAGTGCTTCTGGCTAGAAGATCAGATGATTGGTAGAGACTCAGCTCGTCTTTGAACTTGGGCTTATGAATGATGGGCTTGACATGAAAACCATCGGAGGCCTCATGAGGGATTTGATATTCAAGCGTTCGATTATGGTTGATTAGGGCTAAAGGATCAGATGATTGGTAGAGAGTGAGCTGGTCGTCGTCGGCATTTGTGACTTCGGTGACTTTGTACTTGGTTCTGACTGCGTCATTGATGCTTGTAATGGGACAGACATAAATGCCAATGGAACTCAGACAGCCGATAATAGTGGAGAAAGACCCAAAGAAACCACCAAACTCACGACGATCACGTATCCCCACATTAATTTCCCTCTTACGGTCTTTAAGATAATCAAATCTCTTACAAATCGGTCCGTGTTTCCTCTGGTTAGTGTAAAATGTCAAAGACGTGACCCCTCCTTCCCAATCTATTCCACTCAACCCAGTCACATACTCATCGTGATTCAGTCTTATCTGTGTACATTGCATAAATTTGCTTCAACTGCATCACAAAGTACCCCAAAAAAAAAAAAACTACTATACATGCATATATATTTTTATTTTTTTGGTAAAAGTATACATGCATATATTGTAAACAAGAATTCTACATTATTAAAAAAATCTCTGAAGACTTTAGAATCCTTTCATGTTAAGTGGCAAGAATACATGTTTTCACTTCATATATATAAAATAAATAAATAAAGATTCTAGCGAAAACTTACCATTAAGAATTTTTCACCTTGTACATAGCAACCATGCTTTTTAGACATGATTGGAGCTTTCTTGTGAAAATAGACAAATTGAATAGACGTTATTATGTTACGGTCGTCGTCGTGCTCAACATATATGTAAGAGATCATGTTGTGTCCCTTCTCGTCCCATTTGTAACCTCTAGTAGATTTTGATCCAATTGGTCCCACAGGGATCATCTTCTTTTTCCAGAAATTCGCTTTGAATCAAGTAATAATAAAAAAAAAAAAATCAAACTGGGAATACTCTTTTCTTGGTAATCTTAAAATAATTTGTTCTTGTGAGGATCCATATACTCATAGGTAGAAAGGTTTACTTACATTATTTCTCTAAGAAAACTTCCTAAATCAAAATAAAAAAATGATATTGAGAACAGTAAAATTACCAAATTTAGACGTAAACCAAAAGTATAAAGCAATATTTTCCTTACTTCCTATCCGCTTTTTTTCTTTTCTTCTTGATTAATTGCCTTTTATTTGTGATTTCCATCTTTCTTTATGGGACAAAATTTGTGATTTCCTTTTTAATCTATATTATTACCTATATAACAAAAGCAATATTCATCTAATGATACTAGTAATGTTGAAGTTATTAAATTCATTTTCTGTCGAGGTTTCTTTGCAAACAAGCCAAGATGCCAATTTTTGGAAGATTTATGAACAAAAGTCTGGAAATTTTGGTTTTCCCATGAGCATTTACTCATTAGAAATGCTATTGGTTTCTAGATACCAAGACGATAGCATAGTAATTTGGAAACAAGACGCTACTCATTAATTTGAGAATATTTGTTAAAGCTTATGATGATTATTATGTGAACTATACAACAAAATGTGAGATCGACTCCTTCTGACTTTTTTTCATCTTTCATCTCATCTCATATTCAATACAACATTCCTTCTAAATTAATATATTTATTATTAAATATTTGAAAATAAAAAAATGTGACATTCCTCCATTAAGAGTTAGCTACATATTCATCTGATTAAATTAATTTATTATTTTACATGAGCATTACAATTGTAGACTATTGGCAAGTGGAAACAAGATACTAGTTTGAGTGCCTGTTGAAGCTTATGATAATTATTGTGTGAAATGTGAAAACAATGTAAAAGAGAGACTCCTTCTGAATCTTTTATATCCTCTCATATTCATATCCCCTCAAACTCAATACAACATAATTAACTCGGGTTGTTTTTAAGACAAGGGAAAGGAAAGACAAATGAGATTACGACCAATTAAAAGGTAGACCTCTGTACTGCGCGAATCCTGATGGCACAGCAGCAACGATAGGCTTCAGATAGATACCAATCGAGTTGAGGCGAGAAGAGCTACAAGATCCAAAGAAACCACCAAACTCACGTCGATCAAGCATCCCCGAATGAAACTCTCTTCCCGTTGTCATGGAAGTATTTGAAGTCGAGCGAAAGGCTTCATGGGCCTTTTGGTTTGTGTGAAACGTGAGAGATATAATATCACCACAAAAACACTGTCCACTAATCCCAGTAATAAACTCAGACACATGGTTCAGCCTCACCTGCATATTTTTTTATTTTTGTAAGTAATATAGACAGAAGATTGATAAAAATTAACACGACATAATTAGTGAGAGAGTTTACAATTCGTGTACTATGGCTGTTGGATGATGAGCCATGCTTCTTAGACAAGACTGGAGCTCCAGTCTTGGCGTATCCGAACTGGATTGATGTTAAAGCTCTTTCGTCAAAAGAGACGAAAATGTGAGAGATTCTGTCACTGCACACCTCTTCCCAGTTCTTTCCATTACGATGATCTCCTACCGGTCCAAGCTTCATCATCTCCATGATTTAAACAGCTAATGCTTAGAAAAACTGTGAGAGATGCATGCATACAAAGCACAGATTATATATTGGAGATTTTCCAATAGCCGAAGAGTCTTTGTGGATTCTTAGTTATTATAAAGCTTTAAAGGTGTTCCATGGGGAGCAAGCAAAGAAAAAGTCCAACTAGATTTAAGAACCTCGGAGAAATGTGCCTAAGAGGATTTTTGTTTTTGTTTTCAGGGAAACCCATTTCCAAAAAGTTTTGACAATTGGTATAATTTTTTAATATTAATCAAAAGAATAAGAGTGTTTGTAAACAAAGTAAGTAATTTTATGAGGGAAACCCATTTTATAATTACACTGTGTGAGCCAAAAGTCTTGGCTATGTGATTTTTATAGCCATTGGTGATGATGTGAACATATTTACTTATAATCTATTCGGTTTATAATCTAACAAATTAGGAACTGAGAGACTATCGGCTCAGCATGGATCCTGGCTAGGAACATTAGATATCATACTCCCTCTCCATCATTATAAAAGATTGTTTAGTAAATTAAATTACTGAGTTTAAGATTTACATAATTAATTTTTGATCTTTTTTTTATTATATATAAAACACCATTTCTATATAACCAAAAATAAGTCAACCAATAAAAGAAAATTACATGAAAATATTTATATAGTCACAAAACATCAAATCAAGTTAAATTATACATAAAAAAAAATCATATAAAAACAAAAAATAAATAAACTTCTTAAACCTCTTACATAACTAAGGTGTATATTGAATTAAGAGTTGTACCTAAAATATGGAAAAAAAATGTCATTCCTCCATCAATGCTGCTTTAATTTAAATTAAAGAACAAAATAGTCAAGTATATTAAAACTCAGGACTTACTACTGTCAAAGGACAAGAGCTAGATAATATCGTTCAAGAGTAATATCTAATCTTAATCCAAGAAAGCTTTTATGAGGCACCACATAGCACTTTTGAAATCCAACTTGGAAAGTATCCGGTCTTTGAGTTTGGGCTTATAACGGATGTGTTTAACAGGAATACCATCCACGATCGTAGGGATTTGGTAATTGAGTGTACGTTTATGAGCGAATGTATATAGAGGATCCCATGCTTGATTGAGAGTGGGCTTGTTATGGTACGTGGGATAAACATAAATTCCAATGGAAGTCAGATCGCCAAAGTCATCAAAAGACCCAAAGAAACCACCAAACTCACGACGATCACGTATCTTCACATCAATTTTCCTCGTACGTCCAGCCACAATAATTGATGAATATCCAGGTATATCACAAAACGGCCCGTGTTTCCCCTGATTAGTGTGAAATGTCAAAGACGTGATCTTTCTTTCATAATATATTCCACTCAACGCAGTCACATACTCATCGTCATTCAGTCTCACCTGTATATTTGCATAAATTCGCTTTAACCGTGGTCAAAAGGAATTACAAGTACAAAACAAACTAGACATTGTAAATAACAATATGTTAATTACAGAAACAAAATCTTTAGATTCCACTATACATACAATTATTATAAAAAGAAAATACATGAAGATATATTCTAACAAAACTTACTATTTCGTAGGATCGACCTTTGGACGAACCGTACTTTTCAGACACGACATGAATTCCGTTCTGAAAATAGCTAAACTGAATACATTTGATGGATTATTCGTCGAAAGCAACATATATACTAGATATTATGTTACGTCCCTTCTCGTCCCAACTCTTATGATAATCACGGTTTGACCCAATTGGTCCGACTTTGAACATCTCCCTATTACGGGATCTCATTTAGAACATAGCAGCTAAAAGAATTAAGCTCAGAATATTCTTTTCTTAATATAATAATTTGTTCTTGTGAGGAGGATTCATACTTATAGACCAAAAAAAAAAAAAGCTTTACATACTTTCTCTAAGAAAACTTACTTAATCAAAATGTAAATCAACTTGAAAACAGTAAGTTTACTAAATTCAAAAGACCAAAAATGTAAAACTATATATTATCCTCACCTCTTATTCACCTATTTTTTAAAAATTGCTTGCATTTATTTGTGATTTACATTTTACCAATAGTTTACCTATTCAAAATCACATTCAGCTAAGGATACTTGTAATATTTAAAGCCTTCTTCTTTTTTTTTTCATTCCGTCTCTAGCTGGTTTCTTTGCAAACAAGTTAAAATGTCGATTTTTCAAAGATTTATGATCAAAGTCTGAATTTTTGTTTTTTGCCATGTGTTTTATTATTTTATTATACTAGCATCATATTTTTTGTCTATTGGTTTTAAGATACCATAAGAATTGTATAGATTGGCAAAAAGATACCACTTATTAGTTTAAATTAATTGACGAAAAAAAATGACGAAAAAAAAAAAAAATTAAGCCTCACAAGCAGATTATCAAGGATAGAATCAACTGGTATGAGTTTTTATGATGTTAGAAAAGTGCAAGTGAGTTCAAGGATATGTTTACCATTCCTTTGCTTGTCAATATGTAACAATGGTTTTCATTGCTATCCCTAAATGCAGACTCTATGCCTAAGCTAGACCGTGAAACTAAAATTGAATGGCAGAAATTATTTAACTTACCATATTGAGAAGATTATACATACAACTTCAAATCAAGAGCGTAGTCATATTATGGAACTACACTGCTGAGTCTACACATGTTAAAGTCATCATCATCTCCAATAATCAATTTCACATAAGGTTTTTTCATTTATAAATTTCGTTTTTAATCAACAGATATGGAGCAGAGAACCGTCGAAAACAAATAACAAATGAAGATATGGGCTCATTTTATTACGTAAGAGTTGCGATATAGAAAGATAAAACTAAAGCTACTTTATTTAAGATAAAAATCAACAGCAACTTGAACTAGGCTACTATTAAACACTGCCAAGTTGCTTGGTGGTTGGGATTCAAAAACATACCGATGGAGATCTTGCACGAATGCAAACCACAAAAAAAAACTAATTAGTTCAAGAGATTTCTGAAAAGGCGCCTCAACTTGGAGAATATCCCATATTTGAGTTTAGGCTTACGACCAATGGGCTTGACATGATGAAAAGCATCGAGGAACTCCGGGCTTTCATACTCAAGTGTCCGATTGTTAGTGCTTCTGGCTAGACGATCAGATGATTGGTAGAGACTGATCTTGTCTTCGAACTTGGGCTTCTGAACGATGGGATTGACATGATAACCATCGGAGACCTCATGAGGCATTTGATATTCAAGCGTCCGATTATGGTTGATTGTAGTTAAAGGACCATATGATTGGTAGAGAGTGCTCTGGTCATCTTCGTCGTCGGTGACTTCGGTAACTTTGTAGTTGGTTCTGAGGGCGGCGTCATTGATCCTTGTAATGGGACGCACATAAATGCCAATGGAAGTCAGATTGCCATAGTCATCAAAAGACCCAAAGAAACCACCAAACTCACGACGATCACGTATCTTCACATCAATTTCCCTCTTATATTTATCCATATTCGTAACTGATTGAAATATATCACAAATTGGCCCGTGTTTCCCCTGATTAGTGTGAATATTCAAAGTGGTGACCCCAATACAATCTATTGCACTCAAGCCGGTCACAAACTCGTCGTCATTTAGTCTCGCCTGTATATTGCATAAATTTGTTTTAACGTGGTCATCAGTAACCATTACAAAAACAAACTATACATTTTAAACAACTATGTATATATATATATGCTTTCAGGAAAAAATTACCAGATATTATAACTATCAGAAGGAAGAAAAAACATGAAGATGTATTATAACAAAACTTACCATTACGTGGGATTGACCTTTGGACGTACCATACTTTCTTTTAATGGCATCAGACGCACCATACTTTTCAGAAACGACATGACCTCCGTTCTGACGATAGCTAAACTGAATGTGGTTTATGGCATCTCTGTCGAAAGCAACATATATACTAGAGATCATGTTGCGTCCCTTCTCGTCCCACTCCAAATTCTTATGATAATCACGTTTTGACCCAATTGGTCCGACTTTGAACATCTCCCTACCACGGGATTTCATTTAGAATGTATTAGTCGAAAGAATTAAGCTCGGAATACTCTTTTTTTGATAAAGAATTTGTTCTTGTGACTTGTGAGGACGATCCATACTTATATAGACGAAGAAAAGCTTTACATACATAATCTCTCTGAGAAATCTTTCTTAAACTAAAATGTATTTCAAGTTGAAAACAGTAAATTTACTAAATTTAAAAGACCAAAAATGTAAAACTAAATATTATCCTTGCTTGCATATATTTGTTATATACTTTTTACCTATAGTTTACCTATTTAAATCTACATTCATCTAAAGGATACTAGTAATATTGAAAGCCCCTTTTTCCCCGACTCTAGCTGGTTTCATTGCTAGCAACAAGTTAAGATGCCGGCCGATTTTCCAAAGACTTAAAGCCTTTTATTTTCCTTTCGTCTCTAGAATTCGTGAGCCAAAAGTCTTGGCTATATATTTATTATTGAAACACTAGATTTAGTAACAAATGAAGAAATGGCACCATTTTATTACTTATGAGTTGGGATATAGAAAGATGAAACAAAGACATTGCTCTAATAAAGCTAGTTTATTTAAGATAAAACTCAACAGGCAACTTGAACTAGGAGGCTACAAGGCCTTTCTTGGTCAATTGTATTCGCGTTTAACAACCATGTCGGGACTTGTAATCAGAGCCGGTCCGGAGGGCAAGCAAGTGAAGCCATCGCTTAGGGTCTCACATTATAAAATATTTTTTTTGGGAGAATTTTTTTTTTTACATTAACAAAAAGGCCTAAATTTTTAGTTATGCGTAGGGTATTAAAGAAAATTTTGAAACTTTGGACCGGCCCTGCTTGTAATGGGACTCAAATACATACCAATCGATGTCAGACGGTATCTATCGTAAGACCCAAAGAAACCACCAAACTCACGGCGATCACATATTGCCGGATCAATATCTATTGTGGAATCACTTGGATAATTGTCGCTTGAACGTCCAATCATATACTCCCCAAGGTTAGTGCGAAATGTCAAATTTCTGATTCCTCTGCCATCCTTTTCTAGTACTCCACTCAATCCAGTTACATATTCGTCTTGATTCAGTCTCAACTGCGTTTAAACAGAGACTTAACTTGACAGGATCTTACTCAGACGAAAAAGGTAAAATACAATTTTAAAATAATTAGTGACACAAAACTTACAACACGAAAGTTGGATCCCTCCTCGAAGGCACCATACTTTTCAGACAGGACTAGAGCTCCATTCTCCAAAAAACCAAACTGAATAGACATTATGACTTCGTCGAAAGCAACGTATATGTGAGAGATCTTGGTGCGTCCCTTGTCATCCCAACTATCGTCACCCATCACCTCTTCTCCAGGAGCATCAGACCCGTCCCAATAAGTATACTCACAATGCGATATTTTTCCCACTGATCCTGCTCTTATCATCGCTATATAAGAAGCAGCCACAGAGTATATAATAGTTTTAAGGGGATGGAGAGATAGAGATAGACTAAGGATGCTTATATAAGAGTCCTGTCAAAAACCTAGCGATGTTAATTTGGGCATGAAACTTCCATTTAATAAATGAGTATGTACAAAAAAAAATAGTCCATTTAAACCCATTTAAGGAAAAATGTTAAATGGTGTTAAATGGGTTACCTCAATTAAACCCATTTATTAAATGGAGTTTCCCACAAATAAATGGGTACCCATTTAAGCCCATTTATGTTTTATTTTATATTAGTTATTTTTATTAAAAATGTTAATATTTCAATAACTAAAATAAAAGAGTAAAATATTAAATGTATTTAAAACTAATATTCTACTTAAATTCAATTTTTGATTTAAATATTTAAAAGAAAACGTAAAACCACGTTTCCTATAACATGGTTATACGATTATCCCGAGAAAACACGGGTTTACGGTTTTGTCGGAAAAACACGAGTTTACAGTTTTGGCGAAAAAACGTGGGTTTACGGTTTTGGCAAAACCCAAAGAGTCGTCATAACTTTATTAATGTTCATTGGGAGCAAGCTAGACAAGTTTCCAGGTACATTAAATAAAACGCTTGAAAATTGTGTTTAAGAAGAAGACTCTTCGTTTGACCAAAACCTCTATGCCTTTATTGATAAACAAACACCAAATTGTGTAGCACATTGCAAATATACAGTAGACGTAGAGATTTTTGCAGAGACGTCTATTAAGGGAAACAATCAGCAATAAATCGAAGAAAAGGTTCCTTGTTGGTCACGAAATTACAGAAGAAACTCAAAGCTCAGGCTGCATTTGCTCGCACTCTTCTCGAATCGACTGGAAAAGCTGGGTTGAGAGGTAACGTTCCCCGAAGCTCGGGAACACAACCTGAAAACCAAGATTCATCAACTCACAGATCAAAATTTTTAAAACATACATATGATGAATCTGTTACATTTTTTACTCAATACTAAGCTAAACTGGTTTCACAGATTCCCTACAATGGGCTATAATAACTGAATAATAAGCTCCTCTCTTGTTCATTGCAACGACTAGGGTTTTGTGAGGCAGAGAAATCAAGGCAACGTAAAAGTTCATCGGACATATAAACCAAACCAACTACTTGAGAAAATACAAATGTTAAAATAAGTAGTAAGACTCTAAAAAGACTAAGGTTCATGATTAGATAACTTAAGAACTCTTTTTTATATCATTCTGTGGTTGGTCACAGATACAAGACTAGGGTTTGGTCCATAAAGAAATTATGATGAAGAACATTGAGGACTTACAGCTATGAGTTTCCCGGCATTTTCAGGTCTCTTTGCGACCTGGATTGCAGCAGCAGCAGCAGCTCCAGAAGATATACCAACCTGAAAAGGTTATAAGCGTTCACTAATCGTCACCATATGCATTCACATTCGTTTTATATCTTTTATAAAGACTGTTCCCATTAATAAAAGTGTCAAACAGAATAACAAAAATAGACTAACCAACAAGCCTTCCTGGAGAGCTAGTTGCTTCGAGGTTTCAATAGCTTCCTCACTGGAAATCTGATACGAAGTAACAAAACAGGTAAAGTTAAAAAGGAAAATAGTGTCTTGCTGAAAGTGAACAAGATGACTGTATGATTTTAGAGAACCAAACCAACAGATCATACCGCTATGTATTCATCTACAATAGCCAGATCCAAATTCTTAGGTACAAATCCAGCCCCAATTCCTTGAATCTTGTGAGGTCCTGCATTTCAAATACATGTTAAATAAACGCAAGATAAAAAGAATAACATGCCAGAGAAACAAGGAAACAAAATCACTGCCTTACCGGGTTTTCCACCAGAAAGTATAGCACTTTCCGTGGGTTCTACACCAATAACCTGGTACAAGTAAACATCAACTAATTAAATAAAACTTTTACTACTTAATTGAACAACCAATCTCTAATTACAGAGGTTATAACATCTACAGATGTATTCCAGCTGAGATGCTACAAGCGCTCTTGCTACGTACCTTCAATTCAGGTTTTCTTTCTTTAATGAATCGACCAACACCAGTGATAGTTCCACCAGTTCCAATCCCCGCAACCAATATATCAATTTTGCCTCTTGTATCTTCCCAGATCTCAGGACCAGTCGTCTCGTAATGAATCTGCATATTCTTTATATTAATACACTAGCAGATACTTGCAACTTAAATAAGTGGAACTAGAGAATTTCATAGATTATCATGGTGATTCAATACTATATGCCATAGAAAATAAACAGTAATCTTGATACCTAGTAAAACGAAATGCAGAAGAGTTTCTATATTTTCCCTAACTAACCCTTTCATATTCTCCTCTTATGGTTCAAAGGGAGAGATAACACTAGCTCATGATTCATGTCACATGTGAAATATTATGAAAAAAGAAGTAATTACAGACCTTGGGATTGGCAGGGTTGTCAAACTGTTGGAGCATGTAGGAGTTGGGAGTTTTCTTCAAGATTTCTTCAGCCTTCTGAATTGCTCCAGTCATACCTTTTGCAGGTTCAGTTAATACAAGCTCAGCTCCAAATGCCCTCAAAAGAACCCGCCTTTCCAAACTCATGGATGCGGGCATCGTCAAGATAAGTTTATAGCCTTTTGAAGCAGCAATGAATGCAAGGCCAATCCCTGTGTTTCCACTCGTAGATTCCACAAGAACACTCTAAAGATAAGCAGCAAGAAAATAAAATCAGAGGTCTTGACACTGAATGCAGAATAATTCACCAATGCTTTCTCAACTCATTCTTGAGTCGTAACAACAACAAGAAAGGTCAAATCCATAATCAAATACCTTTCCAGGTGTTATAAGTCCTTTCTCTTCAGCATCAGTAATCATACTATACCCAATCCTGAAATCACCACAGCAACACAAGCTCATAATGTAATATATGTGAAGACAGCAACCCAAAATCAAATTATACTTGGTTACACAAACCTATCCTTAACACTGCAACATGGTTCCATGATCTCAAGCTTAGCAGCAACACTTGCAACACAGCCCTTGACTACATTGTTCAAGTACACCATCGGAGTTTTCCCAATAAGCTGAATCAATTCATAACATTCAGAAAAAAAAAAAAAAAAGATTATAAACGAAATCAAACTTCAAAAAGGAGATAAAAGCAAAATTATGTACGATACAAAGAAGTCAAATTCACAAGCCTAGTGCTCAGTTAGTTAACTATCTTCCCCCAATTTAGCTTTCCTCTGTCTGTATCCAAATGCAATCGAAACACTAGTTTAAAGAAAAAAACAATCTAACCTGAGCGGCGTTATCGGCGATATTAAGCCCTTCAACACCAGCTTCTGGCTTGACAGATACAGCCTTGCACACAACATCACTCCTGCTCTGTCTCTTGAGCGTGAGAGCAGCCGAGGAAACATCGAAAGCAGCAGCCTTTCGAGAGGATAAGGAGAGAGAAGAGAACTCTGGCGAGTATATGAAAGGTCGGTGGCGAGAAGTCAACGGATTAAGGAGAAAAGCAGAGGAAGATGTCGCCGCCATGACTTGCTCTTTTGCTTCAGTGTATCTTCCTCACTTTCCGAATATTGTACACAGACGAAGTAGAGAGAGAGAGAGACTAGAGATGCGGTTTAAACTTGAAGACACTGATTAGATCGCACTGTCCCTTCAAAAACGACGTCGCTTTTGAAATTTCTAAATAAAAAATCAATTGGTTTGGCATCTTTCTACAAGATTTATCTTATTTCTTTGAGGGTAAAACAGAGTACCTGGAGAAAAGAATAGACTTTGAAACTAAATCAGTAAAGTTTGGGTTTTTACAATCTCACCAACCTACTAGTCTGATAAAGGAGGTGAATATAGAGCACATGTTCTTCTTCATCATGCAGCCCTACCAAACTCTCAAAGGTCAAATAAAAGGTTTCTGGATCTTTTTTTTCTTTGCCTTCTTCTGATTTCTGGGTAGCTGTTAAAGTTAAAGTTTCAATTTTTAGTGTAGAAAGGTACTGAAAGAGACGATTCTTCTTTGTCGTTATCTCTGTGATTCTATCCATTCGATCCTCACTCTAACAAATACTCGAACCCAGATTGGAATTTGGGATTTTGGCAAAGCTCTGAACTTTGATCAGTTTTTGTGCGTTTGTTGTTTTGTCATTTGATATATATTGACCAATTTGGCGATTTCTTCTTCACTAATCTGAGACATAGTTTTCTGAGTTTGTGTTGATTTGACTCTTCCATGTCTGGATAACTACGATGAATGAATTCGTATTTCTCTGCCAGTTAAAGCTGTGATTGCCATTATCATTTGCTCTGTTTTGCCTTTGACTTAGCAATTTCTCTGTTTGATTAGTTATGGATGGTAAGTGATGAGATAGTCATAGTTGTTTATTTGCTCTAATTGCAGGTTAGAATTTGCTATTGGATCATCTGCTAAGCTCGGTTTACTTTTCCTGGAACATCGATTGTATTGAGGTTCCTGTTGTATTGGATTAAAGATGTCTGCAGAGGAGAAGAACCTTATAGAGATCTTGGAGGAAGGTCACACAGTCGATGTTGTTAAGTACATTGATTATGTCAGTGCCCCTCAAGCTGGTGCTATAGCGACATTCTCAGGCACTACAAGAGACATGTTCGAGGCCAAGACTGTGTTGGAGCTAAGATATGAAGCATATGTGCCAATGGCCACACGATGCCTCAGCTCGATCTGTACAACTGCTAGATCAACTTGGGATATCCACAAGATTGCGGTTGCTCACCGTCTGGGACCAGTTCCTGTTGGAGAAACTAGCGTGTTCATTGCGGTCTCGTCTGTTCACCGCGCAGATGGTTTAGATGCTTGCAAGTTCTTGATTGATGAGTTGAAGGCATCGGTTCCGATATGGAAGAAAGAGGTTTACACTAATGGAGAGATTTGGAAGGAAAATTCTGAGTTTATGGAGAAAAGATTGGAGCTTGCAGAGAAAAGAGACAGCATTGTAGAAAAACCTGTGGTTGAAGAACATAGAAGAAGAGGTTGCTGTGGAAGCAAAGTTAGAGTAGAAGAAGATGAAGAGCATAAAGATATTACAGGAGATAACAAATCTTCTTCTTGATTACTTGTAGCAAAGAGCAATGTTTCGTTTTTTACTCACAATAAACAAAATGTCGTAATCACATTGTTGAATCTAAAGACTTGATATGCGTTAGTTGGTGCCAGACTGGGCATATACTTGCTACTGCTTGGATCTGTAAGAATGAAAACGAAGATACTGCAAGATTGTACTGCTTTCCACTTTCTTCCTGGTGATGTTTCACAATGAGTATGTACTATCTGCAAGTGAGAGAGATAGGGACCTGACTTTGCGAACCCGCCGGGCATCCCTCTAGTTCTTAAACGTAGTTTGGATTTTTCAATACTTCCTTCACAAACACACAAACCATAAATTAGACTCCATAAAAGCTCATCGGTCAAGGTAGCTGCAGCAGGCGAATTGTAAGTCTTATTATTTCGTTTAACTGAGGTTGAAGAACATAGAAGAAGGAAGAAGTTGCTGTGGAAGCAAAGTTAAAGTAGAGAAGATAAAGAGCATAAAGATATTACAGGAGATAACAAATCTTGATTACTTGTAGCATAGAGCAATGTTTCGTTTTTTCTTTCAATAAACAAAATGTCTCAAGCACATTGTCGAATCTAAAGACTTCAATTCCACTTAAGACTTGCAAAGCTTTCACACCTTTAAAATTCAGATCTCTCCCAAGTAGATATTTTTATCACTACTGCAAGATCCAATGATAGGCTCGGTTGGGTGGAAAACACACTCATTGACTGAACCGGTATGGCCTGGGAGCTTATACATAATGCGTCGACTGGTTGTGTCCCAGATATGAACCATACGGTCTGAGCTACCAGCAGTGACTTTTGTACCATCAGGTGACCATGAACATTTCAGCAGGTTCTTCTCAAAGTTGTGTTGATGCCCGTCAAAGATCTTTACACATCGGTTTTGTGGAGCGTAAGGACGCATGTCCCACACACAGAGCTTGTTGTCCATTCCATTAGTGAGAAGGTAGGAACCGTCCGGGCTTAAGCTCATACCTGTGATTGTATCTTGATGGCCCTCAAGTGTCATGGTGGCTTCACCTTTTCGCAAGTCCCAAACCTTAACATCATTGTCTACACCACCAGTGAAAATCTTATCAGCTGCATCTGAGAAACTGACTGCAGTGATTTGGTATTTATCAGGAAATGTTTGTATGGCTCCTCTTTGACGCATGTCCCAAAGCTTGGCAGTTCCATCATCAGATCCACTGATGACAAGAGGTGGTCCTCTACGTGTAGGACAGCAAGAATTCACAAACGATGAATGTTCAGCCATCTTCTTGATTTGTTTCCCAGTTTCGACATCCCAAGCCCTAACAGTTTTATCCGGACTAGCTGATACAATCTGGGAGCCATCACTGGTCCAATGAAGATCAAGGATGGCGTTCTTGTGACCTTTCAAAACCATGAAGTTTTTGCAGTCCCCGTGAACTCTCCAGAGGAAGATTTCTCTGTCATGGGATCCAGATGCAATCAGAGTTCCAGCAGGATTGAACTTCATGGTATATACAGCACTCGGATGTCCACTTAGCAACATGATAGGTGCTTCCAAGCTCGATGTTCGGTTCTTGCCATTGGGACCAGGTCCTTGAGGAGCACTGTGTGGGACAGTAGACCATTCCATCGGCCTAGGACCTGACAAAGCAGTCTCATTCTCTCTTGGCATGATTTCCATCTTAGTCTCCTTTTCACTGTTAATCAAGTTAGAACCTGGATTCCATGAGAAAAAAGAGTTAGCAGATTGATCGAATTATATCAATATTCACACAGCTGTGTAGCTTCTACAGATATCCCATTTTCAAAATTTTCAAGCCATTACTCAATATAACATCCGAACAAAGCAGATACTAAACACCAACATGAAACCTGCACATTCTAAGTAAAGCCTACAAAAGCAAAAGGTTGCAATGTTTATTCTCAAGCCGTAAGTAAATAAACACAGATCATTAAGAAATCGATATCTCTCTAAAACTTGTGGTGGTTTTGCACCAGAGACTAAAAATGACTTCAAGTCCGGTTACAGAGATCTCACCGATTCAATTTTGACATCTCTAGCTCTATTACATCAAATAGAATCTAAGATAAACTACTCCAAAAAAACGTAAAGCAAAGCGACCACTAACACCAAATCTAGTAGCTAGGAGCTCGATTCGTCTCGAAATCGAAACGTACATGCCTGATTCACCTCCAATTACATAAAAGACAGTGAAGAGTAGAAGAAAAAAAGCTTAATAGATACCAAAAAATCAGCAGAAAACCCTAAATAGCTCGTTACAGAGAAAGAAGTTACGCACCGAAGTCAAAGAAAGGCGAGAGAGGCAAGAATCGCTCGGTGTCGTCGCAAAATTACCGGAACCCTAAACCCAGAGAGAAAAAGCTCGCGAGAAAGAGGAAGAGAGAGATTCAGTAAAAATTAACAAGTCTGTATTTAATTTCGGTTTATTTGCAAAATATTGAAGAGACCCTTATATTTTTTTAAGTTATGTCAGAATGAACCCGATACTATTCCTTTTTGTCAAATTGGGACTCTTTTGATTGATTTTTGACAGCCTTGTAAGAGAAATTTATGGATAGCCACAAATTAGCTTAGACCAAAACATTTAGGTACAAAGAGTATGATAAAACTTGAGAACTTAAGACAATGTCAAAAACATCAAAACCATGTCCTGATCATACATTCTCTTGTTTAACCAATGTATTATGTATGGATTGGACTGTGACTCGAAACACAGATGCCAATCAAGGTCAGAAACGGTGAAGTAAAAAACTTGGAAGACAAAGATAAAAAACAAGTCTCGTTGGACATATCAGGCCAGCGAGGATTAGACCTTAGATGGAGCCTTGGTGTCGGTCTCAACCTGTTTTTGGCCTTCGAACTTGTCAATAGCCACTTGAAGCTCGTCTGTGCCACCAACCGCCCTCATTGTGTAGAAGTACACCCCAAAAACAAAAGCTGTCAAGCCACCTGCTACAACTGTGTTCTTGCTTTTAGGACCAAGGTAACTAAAACCTGGAAATCCCGCCATTACTTCAAAGTCTTTAACCTGCAAGATTCAATATGTCACATGTTACAGAAGCGACCCAAGTATCAGAAGTATTAGCTTAAATTTATATCTTCAATATCACAGTTTCATAGATACTAGGATGACTAACAAAAAGAGGGAACATTTGAAGCATGTATATCACAACTTTTGATTTCTCTTTTTAACATTGTAGAAGTGACTCCAGAAGCCCTGAGGCATCGCAGGACATCGATATATTGTTCATATAGTGAAAAGGAGATAATTCTACACGGAATGAATACAAAGAATTTACCAACTGTTATAGCTCATCCTAAGAACTACTACGCCAAGATAAAGTGACAGTACTAAGCACAACGAGATCAAAGATAAATAACATCATGGTATGAACAGCTGAAAATTGCAAAACATTTCAGCAATATAGAACTTTTCTTCTGCATCATAATAGAAACGGAGAGAAAATCAATTGGTCACATTCATGCCCATCAGTCTAACATAATTGTCCACAAGTTAATAACAATCAGCGCAAATCAGATGCTTTTAGCTTCCCTTTAACGAGTCAATCAACCATAAATCATCAACCAAAGCAAAAATAAAGGCAATTAGAAACCTAATTCTGCATCTATTCATCCAAAGCTAAAATCTTTCGAACCCAAGCTTCCATTACTCAACGGAAGTTCTCAAAACAAGATCAAAACGCCAAAATGAAAGCAGAGCAAAACATATCAATCAAAAATTGGTTCTTTTAAACAAATTAGTCCAAGGATCACAAAATTAAAATGGAATCGCATGGAACCTGGTGATGAACGTTTGAAGATCACTCGAAAATACGAAAGATACGACAAAGCTGATATATTTACTTCAGCAGAGAATCGTGCCTAAATGCGACAGAAGCCTAAAGTTTCCTTATTTAGGTGACAACTGGTTCGGTGACGCTTGGTGTCGTGGCCACTTGCCAATCTATCGAAAACCCTAAACCCAGTAAGAGCTCTCGCGTGAAAGAGGGATAGATGCAGAAACCAAGCCGTCTAGAGTTCGAACCCACCTGTATCACACAAGAGAAGAGTTTTATTGCTTTATTTTGTAAAAATATTGATAAGATCCCTGTAATTTTGCAATATATCAAACTGAACCACCATACTTTTTTAAAATCCAAATGACCCACAACCAAGCATGTTTCATATTGTAGAACTACAAGTTCATCAATCTATTTCATTTAATTTACTAAAGATGTATTTGATCGGATATTTTCGAAAGAGACTATTAAATACATAAATTAACTACGATCTAATAACTTTTCGCGGTTTATATTTTTACATGTCTTTCAATCTACATAAAATTTACAATCTTTCATGTTACGGAAACGATCGCAAAATTAAAGTACAACCTAAGACCATCTGCAATGATAATAATTACGTTTATTTATGATTCCTATTCACCAACCAAAAAATACTGTTGTTATTACTTATTACCTGTTAATGATAAAGATTATTATCAAAGTTCTTAAAATCAAGCAAAGAAGTCAATGAAAAAAATATGGTGATATATATATAGTCAATGAGAAAACGATGTCGTTTCAAACAATAACAGTGTTAAACATAAGATAAAAAGGATCAAACTTTGAACAGTGGCTTGCTTGCTTACACACACACGGGTCAAGTGAAGACCCAAAGAAAAAAAAAAACCATTAATAGATCCGTACGCACATGACTTTCACTTCTTCTCTCTCAGATCTGTTTTGACCCCAAAACCAATGAATATCAATTTCTGCCAATTCATTCATATTAGATGTATTTGATCGGATATTTTCGAAAGAGACTATTAAATACATAAATTAACTACGATCTAATAACTTTTCGCGGTTTATATTTTTACATGTCTTTCAATCTACATAAAATTTACAATCTTTCATGTTACGGAAACGATCGCAAAATTAAAGTACAACCTAACAAAAAAATATCAATGATAATAATTACGTTTATTTATGATTCCTATTCACCAACCAAAAAATACTGTTGTTATTACTTATTACCTGTTAATGATAAAGATTATTATCAAAGTTCTTAAAATCAAGCAAAGAAGTCAATGAAAAAAATATGGTGATATATATATAGTCAATGAGAAAACGATGTCGTTTCAAACAATAACAGTGTTAAACATAAGATAAAAAGGATCAAACTTTGAACAGTGGCTTGCTTGCTTACACACACACGGGTCAAGTGAAGACCCAAAGAAAAAAAAAAACCATTAATAGATCCGTACGCACATGACTTTCACTTCTTCTCTCTCAGATCTGTTTTGACCCCAAAACCAATGAATATCAATTTCTGCCAATTCATTCATATTCACTCACCCCAAAATTGAAAAAAAAAAAAGATTTTCCATTTCCCTCTTCTCGATCCACCACCAACCCAAAAGCTTTCATCTTTACCGGTCATGGACGGTGGTTCAGGTCAACCGGCGGCTGATACAGAGATGACGGAAGCTCTCGGTGGTGTTCCCGCGGCGGCTTCTTCTCAGCCATCGCCTCAGATGCCTGGGATTGAGAATATTCCGGCGACTCTTAGCCATGGTGGTAGGTTTATTCAGTATAACATATTTGGAAACATCTTTGAGGTCACCGCTAAGTATAAGCCTCCGATCATGCCTATTGGCAAGGGTGCTTATGGCATCGTTTGGTAATTTTTCTCCTATTCTTGTTTCAATTTTCTTTTGCCTGGCTTTTGCTTTTAATTGAATAAAAGAAATGATTTTGTTGATTGGGTTTGGTAAAGTTGGTTACTTTTGATCCGAAATTTGTAAAATTGATTCCTTTGTATCGTTTTGAGCTCTAATATGATTGGGATTTGGTACAATAATACGAAAGCTTTATCCTTTTGTGGTTTATTTGATTTTGCAGTTCGGCTATGAACTCTGAAACAAATGAGAGCGTTGCAATTAAGAAAATCGCTAACGCTTTTGACAATAAGATTGATGCAAAGAGGACTCTCCGTGAGATTAAGCTGCTTCGTCACATGGATCATGAAAATGTCAGTTTTTTTTTGTTTGTTCTTTCTTTTTTAACTAAGAATCATCTGTTTATAGCCTTTTGTAGAACATAATAGGATTGTAGATTTAAATACACTCGAAAAATGGTAACTACTTGTTGATGCAAAACTGTTTAGGTAAATATTTGATGTATTTTGCACATAATCTATTGCTCTTGTCTCTTTGATTCATATTGTATATGTTAATTAGGTTTTGTGCATGAATGTGTTGTAGCTGGTGGTTGCTTACTGCATTTAGATTTAAGGGAATATACATGAATGTTGACAGTATTGTGGGTGCATTTTTTTCGGTTTGATACGGATATTTTCATGCTTATAGTATGATCTTTTCCATCTGCCTAAAGATCTTAAATTGTAGAAACCGAATCGCGAAATATTACCGTTTTCCCATGTTGGCGTTTGCAACGTGTAATCCATTTCCGATTAATAAAACAATTACCATCTTTTTCTTAAATCAGATTGTTGCAATCAGAGATATAATCCCGCCACCATTAAGAAACGCTTTCAACGATGTTTACATCGCGTATGAGCTAATGGACACTGATCTCCATCAAATCATACGGTCAAATCAAGCATTATCCGAAGAACATTGCCAGGTTTTGAGCTTTGAGATTGTTTGTTAACCTATAACTCGAATTGAAAACCAGGACTAATTCAATTCCATTTCCCTATTCTTTTTGTGCAGTATTTTCTTTACCAGATCCTCCGTGGATTGAAATACATTCATTCCGCAAATGTGCTTCACAGGGATTTGAAACCTAGTAATCTCCTTCTGAACGCAAACTGCGACCTAAAAATCTGCGATTTTGGGCTAGCTCGAGTCACTTCCGAGAGTGATTTCATGACTGAATATGTTGTCACGAGATGGTACCGTGCACCAGAGCTGCTCTTAAACTCTTCTGATTATACTGCAGCTATCGATGTTTGGTCTGTAGGCTGTATTTTCATGGAGTTAATGGACCGTAAGCCACTCTTCCCTGGACGAGATCATGTCCATCAGCTTCGCTTGCTCATGGAGGTAAGTAGTAACCCTTCTTTGACCCAAAAACAAGCCTCGAAATTGTACACTACAGAAACAGTGAGACGATTTAATTTTCTTTTTGCAGCTCATAGGAACTCCATCAGAAGAAGAGCTTGAGTTCTTGAACGAAAACGCAAAGCGATACATAAGACAGCTTCCACCTTATCCTCGCCAATCCATCACTGATAAGTTCCCGACAGTGCATCCTTTAGCTATAGACCTTATCGAGAAGATGTTAACATTTGATCCTAGACGGAGAATCACAGGTCAGTCCCTATCCTCTATACCATTTTTAACTTGCAAAATAACTAGAATTTCTTGTACGGATCATTCCAAAAGCCCGAAAAGAGATTCAATCTAGTGAAGGAATAATAAGGATTTCTTGATTATTCAAGAGTTAGTAGTCATCACCTCTTATTGATTCGTATTCCTCGATTCTTGCTTCAGTTTTAGACGCATTGGCCCATCCATACCTGAACTCGTTGCACGACATAAGCGATGAGCCAGAGTGTACGATACCTTTCAACTTTGATTTTGAAAACCATGCACTCTCAGAGGAGCAAATGAAGGAACTTATCTACCGCGAGGCGCTTGCTTTCAATCCAGAATATCAGCAATAGTTTGAAGAACAGCATTTGGGAGATGAAGATGAGATATGGGTTTGGTTTTATTTGGTTTGGACAACATTCTTAAAAGGAGGAAAAGATCATTGTTTGTCTTTTGTGTATACTTGTGCGAGATGTTTGAAGGGGATGGGGCTCAAACTTTATATTTTCAGTCTTTTGGATTTTTTTTTTTTTTTTCTTATTCGTATTTGTAATTTGCCCCATTTTGTTGTTGCAGCTATTAAAGACTTAAATTGTCCCAGAAATAGTTTTCAAAATGTTTGCCAATATTGTCAACTTTCTTCTTTCATACAACATACCGAATTGCGTACATTACTGCAATTTTGAATCCACCGTAACAAATTGTAGTCTAAAAAAGATAAGCTAAGAACTAAAAATATCGCAGGGAGATGAGGAATGGATAGTACAATCATGTCCTTGAATGTCTGCCTCTAGACTTGTGTTTCCTCTCCCTTTTTGGTCTTTTAGAACTTGACCTTGATTTCCTAAATTCCTCTTCGTCACTACTTGATGATTCGGAGGATGAGCTTGAGTCAGATGATCCCCTTCTCGAATGCTGCAAATAAATAAAAAAAAACACAATGTAAGCTAAAAGCTTCAAGCCTACAAAGCTAAACTCGATGCAGTTGTTATTTAAGCACCTTTCTCTTTTTGCTTCTCTTCCTCTTCGAATCTCTGCCCTTTCTATCTGTGAGCTCTCTCTCCTTCCTATCTGTAAGATCAAAGGACATATGAGACAAGCAAGACTCAAAATGCGGATTTATGACATTCCATCTGATTAAGTTTTATTGTATGTGTATACCTTTCGTGGATCTATCGCTAGAATAGTTCCTTCCCTTAGAGAGCTTCATTGCTCTTTCAGCATCCAGCTGAGCTCTATACTCACGCATCAACATATCGGTATCTGCTTCAAGTTCAACCTTTTTCAGTTCTTCTTCCTAAAAAGCGGTCACATGAAGCATATAAAGTGAGAAACATTTCTTATCTGTCGATGCTCCTAAAAACATCGATTTAACGAACAGCAGCTATACCTTTTGCTTCTGTCTATATTCTTCCCAAGTAAGAGTGTGTGTAGTCTTGAGACTGGCCAAACGAGCAGCATGCCATTCTGGTGTATGAAATGAACCATCCATCTGCGAGGCGCCTCATCAGAAATGTTTTGGTAACAAAGAAATCAGCAAAAACAGAACAATCTAGCTAGATAAGAAAAAAAATAACTTGACATGACAGAAAAGAGCAAAGTAGCCATAATCAAAGCCACATTTTGGAAGCACATGACTGAAATTGCTCATCCAGATAAACTTGATACAATGTTTGAACTTATACTTGAATTGCAGCACAAACACAAACTCTTGTTTTGTAAGGATACACAGGCAATCTGCATTACATACATATATGTGTAACAACAACTAATCATCTCCTAAACATAACTAAACTAACTAGTAAGTAAAACATAAATGAACAATTTACATTCCATGGAAAATGATAATTTGAAAATGAAACGATTATGAAAAGGCTATGGAGGATGTTGAAGTTTGAACATACAGTAAAGAGGTGTTGTACCTCGCCGTGACCCATGTACTGATCTTAATCCTCCTGAAATTAGAAGAAAAGCTCTTTAGTTGGCTGATCTAAAGAGATGAATGTGTGTGCTATCGGATGGACATTACGTGAGATCATAAAGCCTTTTGGTTAAGTGGCTCGTTTACATTCCACTTTGAAGATGATATAAGGGATCTCTTTGATCACATTTTAAAGATTTTTTTCAAGATGGCAATAAAAAAGCTGATAGAATAGTCAGATAATCCATTTCTATAAAAGTGTGTACTAAGGTTCTCTTCCATTGTGCCGGATTGGTTTAAATTGCATGCCAAGAAGGCTCATTAGTCATTGTATTTAAAAGTCGGTGTTGACTGTTGATACAGTCAGTCATAAATGTTTTGTTGAGAAAACGGCCCATATAGTTTAATAATGGGCCTAAGCCTCGTTATTGTAATCGTTTTTAGGCATATAAAACCAAAATATACACGAGCTTAGACAAATGCCACATTTAAACATATAGGTTCCTTCTTACCAAATTAAAAAAAACGTATACAGGCTCCTTAGTTTTTCCACATTTCTGTTTTCCCACTCGGATACTTTTCTTTAAAAAAAGGAACTAATCATTTCACGTGAATAATTCAAGTGAAACTAAAATGAAAAGAAGAAAAAAAATGTAGATGAATCAAAATATTGTAGCACTTTGGCTTTGGCTTTCCTATTTTTGCCAACTTTTTCTTCTTTTTATTTAGTTTTCCTTTTACTTTTTTTCCCACAAAAATCCAATCCTATGCAAAAGATTTTGCCTTTCACATCGTTTGGAGCACGATTCACTCTAAAAGGTACGTTTTCTCACAAATACCCCCCAAAGTTGCTTATTATATGCTTTTCAATATATACACAAGCTAGTATCCTATAAATAACTTGCTTGAAAAAATTTGAAATCTCTCGCCTTCAAATCACTGACGACAATAATAAGCTCCTTTTACTTTCTTCTGAAGTTTCAAAACGTTAAATACTTTATAGTGTTAATTTTTGTTTGTCAACTTACTTTATTTTTATATTCAATACATAAAAATCATAGCTTTTCTTATCACCAAAGTTGTTCTCTTTAAGAATAAACTCCAATCGAAATCTCACGTTTGATTGATGATGCAAAACAATCACATTTAAAATCTACAATAAATGTAGTGATAGAGATAATTCATTATTTCATTTGTACAGTTTGGTTGTATGATTTGATTATGGTGTATACATCTTAGTTGAAAGGGTAACATCGTAAATTAAATGTCACTTTGGAAACCGGAACAGGTAATAGCCGGTGAAGAAGATAGTTAAACAAAGAGAGAAGTGACCGACACGTGTATATGAAGAAAACAAAGTGGGATGACTCAGTGAAAGCTTCTGGATTTGCGTGATTCACGGGTTTTACAGTAAAATGTCCTCGTCGTCTAGCTCTCTGTACGCTCTTTTTGTACCCAGTTTTTGTTGCTCCGACTATTTTCTCACCGACGGTTTTGCTCTACGTCGTCGTTTTTGTTTCACTTGTAGTGAATTTGTGTTTTATACTTAGTGTGTTACCCATGAAGATTAAAGAATAGTTTAATGGTGGTCAGTGGTCACAATGAAACCTTTTTCAACAGAGGGAATGTTTTGCATAGGTTACCTATTAACTAAGTAATCGAAACAATATATAAACTATTTGGAGTATTAGGATATATATATATATATCTATATAGCTTAACTTTATTGACTAAACATTAAGTGGGATTTTCAAATTGTAGTTAATTGTAGATTTGGAGATTTTAAGTTTTAAAAGTTACTATAACAACTTAAAATAAAAAGAAATGAAAGTGAAATTTCTAAGAAGAGAGAGGAGAATCTTTGGAGAAGTGGAAAATGATGCAAATCCCAACACTTTTTGTTACTTGTAATTTCTACTATTCACTGTCAGTGTATACTTTTTGAATATATCGAATTTCTTTCTCATATTGTATAGTACAAATTAATCATCAATTAAGACCAAAATATGACGTAACATGGTTTCATATTAGAACATCAAACTTCAAAACACTAGCCCAAAATGTTTCTAATAAATGTATTTGAACAATTAAGTTGAAATAAATTCGGTTAATGTTTTTGCTTTCACATTCTTTATTTTATTACATTGCATGTAAGATTATAAGTTTGGATATATATTCAAGTATGGACAATAAATTTAGATTAGTACCGCCGACCAAATAAATTCATTACCCATTTTCGTTGTCACGATATCATATCAATTGGCTCTGTGACGTTGAATTGTATTGGTATTGATTGCATTGACTGAAGCTAACATTTCGGTTGAAGTATAATCACTAATCAGTAATCCATTGCAGTGCAGTAATTAGACTTCAAAAGCAAAACACTGCCCAAGCATTCGTGGTCTAGTGGCAGAAGAAGCTTTGGGAAAAGGTGAAATTCCCAAACCTGAGTTCGATTCTCCCTGGAAACAAAAACACATTTGTTTGGAAAGTCTGTCAGTTGGGTCTTGGCCCAATTGGTTTACCTGGTAGCCAGAAATGCAAGCGGCCTGACTACCCCTGGCACTTAGTCGGAAGACATTCCAAACTCGGGATAGGCAGAGTGGTAGCCCATAAGAGCCTAACCGTTAACACGGTGCCACGGTGGACTAGTCCACTATGTAGCACCTCGGTGCGTTCCTACCGGGGCCGACCGGATAGCCGATAGGGTTTATAAAAAAAAAAAAAAAGCAAAACACTTGCATGTCATTTGTTTTACTAAAAAATAGTAGTATCGTTTCACTGCGTTTTCTAGATTTGAAATGTTGAAATACGTACCGTTAATAGATCGGATCCATTATATGCTTTATATTTAAGTTTGTTTATTGAAGTGATATGTTTGGTTTGATGAAAATAAACATTGTTTAAAAACAAAAATATTTAAGTATTTTTTTCATTTAAAAAAGAAATTATCACGAACGCAAACAATAATAGTGAGGAAATTTTATATTATGTTATGTGTTTAGGTTTATATTTTGTAAAAGATGTCAAGTAAAAAATAAAAATAAAAATATATTACCATGCAAATAGTATCATTTAAAAAAAGAAACTCTCGAAATAAGTATAATTCTTTTTTGTGTCCCTTCGGGGACATCCGATAAAAAAAATTCTTTTTTGTATGTTAAATGTATCTTGTTTGTCACAATAAATTTGGTTTGCAGAAATAATATGGTTGTGTTGGAAGAAAATGTTGACTTCGCTCGCTATTCAGTACAATCCAGAAGATTTTGATGAGCCATGCAATTTCACCATTTCAGCAAATTTAAGTAGTCTCTTCTTTCACATTCTCCATATTTTTACGATAATTCAAGGTACAAAAACAAGAAGAAGAAGAAGAAACCATTAATGTTTAACTAATTGTGGCAGTGAAACAGTCACAATCAAGATCTTTAAATCTTACTTATACGTGAAATAATCAACAGAAAAGGGATACTACTAACTACGCCTTAATCGTCAAAAATCATTGTTTCTTATTGAAGAAATCTTGGTGGGAAAGATGTCCATTATTAATTATTACAGCAATCATTATGATTGAAAATAGATATTTCTGCTAACAATTGGTCCAAGCCAGCAAGTATCATTTAATTTTTTGTTCTGAAACAAATTAATGATTCGAATTGTATTTTTAATTATCAATTATTCGATTTTACAGATACAAAATTTAAAGCTTTTTGGATAAGATAAAACGTGGAAACCATAAATAAATCACGAACTACCATTTCTCAATCAAATCAAATAAGAGAGACGTTAAATAAAAATTTTTTTGAGTAATGACACCTACTTATACTATTCCCTCCAATTTCTCTTTCTAAAAGTGTCAGTCTCTCGTAAAGACCAAACCTTTTTTTTTTGTTATCACTCTCTCTCTATCTCTTCATCGACCAAACCAAAACGCTTCTTCACTCTCTCTCTCTCTCTTTTCTCTTCAATGTCAGATTTTGAATGCCACAACAACAACAAGCCCTAAAACTAGGTGTGTGTTTTTGGGGGAAAACGTTACCAATGACTAAACTACCCCTCTCCTTCTTCTGCTTACTCTTTGTAGCTTTCTTCTTCTCTTCCTCCACCGCCGATCAACGTTTCCACTCTCGTCACTTACTTCACCAACCCTTTTTCCCGGTCGTAACCGCCGCTCCACCACCGTATCAACCTCCGGTCTCTTCCCAACCTCCATCTCCTTCCCCACACATACATCACCACCACAAGAAACAACTAGCGACGCCACCACCACCACCGCACGAGAAACACCTTTTCTCATCCGTCGCAAATCCTCCACCTCCTCCGCCGTCTCCGCCGCATCCAAACCCTTTTTTCCCCTCATCAGACCCAACCTCCACCGCCTCTCACCCTCCTCCAGCACCACCTCCTCCGGCCTCACTCCCGACTTTTCCCGCCAACATCTCTTCTCTCCTCTTCCCAACTCACAACAAACCATCCAAGCCTCCCAGCAACGGCCACATCGCTAGGCTCGTCACCATAACCGCCTCGGTCATCTGCGCCGCTGCTCTCCTCTCTCTATTCGCCGTCTTCATCATCTTCATCCGCCGAACTCGCCATCGCCGCCGCTCCTCCCCTGCAGACGACACCAAATCCACGAGATCAGATGCTCTTCAGCTCTTCAACGCCTCTCCATCCGACGGCACTAAGAAACACAAACAACATCAACAACCACCGAAGTACACTTCCTCACACACTTCCTCTGAGTTTCTCTACTTAGGTACTTTAGTAAACTCCCGAAGCGGTGGTTTAGAACAGCAAAAATCTCCAATCTCCCTCTCCGGCGGTATCACCGGCGTATTGGAATTACCTCCTCCAGCTTCGTCGTCTTCTACCTCTTCTTACTCACAGTACCATAAGCTAGGCTCGCCGGAGCTTCGTCCTCTTCCCCCTCTACCAAAGCTCCAATCTTTCACTCCCGTCTATAAAAGCACTGAACAGTTAAACCCTAAAAGACAATACTTTGACGGAGACGATAACGAAAACGATGAGTTTTTCTCTCCGAGAGGATCTTCAGGGCGTAAACAGGATGTTGATCAGATTGGTGACAGGAGTATCAACGGCTCAGGCTCGAACTCGTGTTCGCCGACTAATTCAGTGCCGTCGTTGAATGCTTCTCCGGGAACAAGTTTGAAACCTAAGTCGGTTAGTCCTCCTGTCTCGCTGCACAGTCAGAACAGCTCAAACAACGGCGTTTCAAAGCGGCTTTGTCCAGCGAGGCCACCTCCACCACCTCCTCCGCCGCCGCAATTCTTGGAGATTCCGGCTACTATGTCGCACTCGCCTCCTGATGGGGATTCTGACCCAGAGAAGAAAGTGGAGACCATGAAACCAAAGTTGAAGACTTTACATTGGGATAAAGTTAGAGCACGCTCGAGCCGTGTTATGGTGTGGGACCAAATCAAATCAAACTCCTTTCAGTAAGACATAACGAATTTGAATCCAAGTCTTAATCCATTCATTTGCATACACGACTAAGATACGATTCTTTTGTGTCTTGCAGAGTGAATGAAGAAATGATAGAGACATTGTTCAAGGTGAATGATACAAATTCAAGAACAAGAGATGGCGTTGTTCAATCCGCTAATCAGGAGAATCGGTTTCTTGATCCAAGAAAATCACACAACATTGCCATTTTGCTGAGAGCTCTTAATGTAACTGCTGATGAAGTATGTGAAGCTCTTGTAGAAGGTGAGTAATTTCCAATCTGTTGTTGCTTATGCAGCAAAAGTTTCGATCTCGAATTTTGAAATTTGCTTAGGTTACTCAAACTTACTGCAACATTCCATTGGCTTTGATGATTCTCAAATTGGTCTGTGGTTCTTGAAGCTTGACTGGACTGATTTAGTTGATGTCTAATAACTTCCTTGTTCATGAATCAGGCAACTCGGATACGCTTGGACCCGAGCTTCTCGAATGCTTGCTTAAGATGGCTCCTACCAAAGAAGAAGAGGACAAGCTTAAGGAGCTTAAAGACAATGATGATGGATCTCCTTCCAAGATAGGACCTGCAGAGAAATTCCTCAAAGCATTGTTGAACATTCCTCTCGCCTTCAAGAGGATTGATGCAATGCTTTACATAGTCAAGTTCGAATCAGAAACCGAGTACCTTAACAGATCCTTTGACACCCTGGAGGTAAAACTCTACTTGGCCTCATAAGTGTATTTGTGCTGAAAACAGAACATTCATATGCATTTGATCAAACTCTCAGGCTGCTTCTGGTGAGTTAAAGAACACGCGGATGTTCTTGAAGCTTTTAGAAGCAGTGCTCAAGACCGGGAACCGGATGAATATAGGAACCAATAGAGGTGATGCACATGCGTTCAAGCTCGACACACTCTTAAAACTGGTAGATATCAAAGGCGCGGATGGGAAAACAACCTTATTGCATTTCGTGGTTCAAGAGATCATAAAATTTGAAGGTGCTCGGGTTCCTTTTACTCCGACTCAAAGCCATATAGGCAATGACATGGCCGAGCAATCCGCATTCCAAGACGACCTAGAGCTCAAGAAACTGGGGTTGCAAGTAGTTTCAGGTCTCAGCTCTCAGTTGATTAACGTTAAGAAAGCAGCTGCAATGGATTCAAATTCCCTCATCAACGAAACAGCGGAAACAGCCAGAGGAATAGCGAAAGTCAAGGAAGTACTCGCGGAGCTAAAGGAAGAAACAGGTGTAGAGAGATTCTTGGAGTCAATGAACTCATTCTTGAACAAAGCTGAGAAAGAGATCACAGAGATACAATCTCATGGAGACAATGTGATGAAGATGGTTAAAGAAGTAACAGAGTATTTCCACGGGAACTCGGAAACTCATCATTTTCGCATTTTCGCTGTGGTCAGAGACTTTCTGACGATTCTTGATCAAGTGTGTAAAGAAGTTGGACGCGTTAACGAGAGAACGGTGTATGGATCCGTGCCACGACATTCGCCATCGAACCAGACCGCCACGCCTCTGTTTCCTGTGGTTAACAATAACAACTCACGTCTGAGTCCATCGGGTTCTCTAGACGAGGACGATGACTCGTTTTAAGTGAAAACTGTTGGCTCGAGTATGGTTCGGTGTATGCTAATGTTTTGGTTTCATTTGCTACGTACTCAAGAAAATATATATGTTATATATTTATATTTTTATTGATAGGCGAATTTAAATAGATTTTGGCTGATTGTTGCAAGTTGCTATCGGGCTCTGTACGTGTTCCAGTCCTCTGTTGAATTATTAATGTCACGTGTAGATGTAGTTATTGATTTAATCATTTAAACCTAAAAAGAAAGAACTGAAGTCTTGTGAAAATTTCAAGAATTATTGCAAACTATACTATAGTTACAAAATGTCAAAATGTAAAAAAAAAAAAAAAAAAAAAAAAAATTCAAGAACAAGGTAAGTCCTCAATTGGAAGGTCAAAGTAGGGAATATTGTTAAAATGGGCATTATTTGGCCCAAAACTTTCAAAAATGGAATGTCTTCCAGGCCTTATGAATTTAGGCATTTTGGGGCCAGGGGAAAAGACTGTTTTGTCCCTCTGTATCTTCTCCTTCCTTCTGACGACAACCATGGCTTTCTCCTTCCTTTGGATTCATCTCCCAACAACTCTCGCTTTCCAGGCCATAAACCTCGCTTCTCAACACCTCCACCGCCAACACCATCTCCATCCGTCGTCAACAAGATCTTTGATTCGAAACACAAAACCTCTCCGTCGCCCATACCATCTTAGATCCGATGATTTCAGTGGATTCAATTAATTTCGTTTTGAATCAAGGAAGCTAAACCCTATGGGGAATCTAGTAAACCCAAGGGCTCCAATCTAAACCATCAATCGAATCAAAACTTCCAATTCTATTTTAAATCTAAACAAAATTAGGTATCGGATCTCATCATCTCATCATCGTGACCAACATCTTGTTCACCATATATAACTCATCATTCTCATCACATCTCAACATCTTCACCACCATCTCCTTTACCGGATCTCATCACCACCACCATCGCAAATCATCGTCATTCGTCGACGGAAGATTTTTTTTCTTTTTCTTTCAGCCCATATTGGTGAGGATAATAACGTCATTTTGCTACGCTGTGAAATGCTTAAAACTGAATGCTTGGTAATCTGACCTAAATCGATAATTTTTGGTGGAATAAATGCCAACCCGGTAATTGATTCGGTCAAAGTAATATCTTTTGTAGTAGACCAATCATATTTTAGTTGTGAATTTACTTTGACTTCAACCAATAACTACGTGCCACGTGGCATATAGATGCAAATAAAAGACCTATATGTAAATGTTTCACCTTTCTTCGCTCTCTTCAGCTTCTTCATCGAACGGGAGTCTCTTCTAGTTCTAGCTACTTACGCGTTTGCCGTTTGTTCGTGGACTCGAGGTTCGTTGTTCTTAGATTTGCAGACTCATCTGTTTCTGCAAATCCATTTCAAAGTTTCTCTTTTTGCCTAATCGAAGTCAATCGCGCATTTCGTAATTAGTCGAGGTTTAGGGTTTTAGGGCACAAAGTTTTGTGTAGTTCGAAAGAAATCGTTAAGTTTGCTATTCAAGATGATTTCTTTTTTCAAGGGCTTTATGTAATTTGATTGAATTATGGATTTCGAATTGCTGACACGAATTTGTTGGCTTTGTGGGAAATTGTGAGGGATCTTGTTTGATTTGGATCTGATTTGTTTGGCAGATATTGGTGATAAAGGAGATTGTGGTTTCTAAAGCAAAGAAGATGAGTGGAGTTGGAGAGAAAGCTTCTGGAACAACTAAAACACCTGCTGATTTCTTGAAGTCTATCCGTGGTAAACCAGTTGTTGTGAAACTCAACTCTGGTGTTGATTATCGAGGTCGGTTTCTCTCTCTCTCTCTCTGCATTTTGGTTTACTGTTCAAGTTCTTTTATACCCTGTGTGCTATCTATAAGCTTGCTTCTGTTTTTGGTGGTTAAGCTATTGGAGTCTTATGCAAACCTTTGTGAATTTTGGGTTTTAGATGACTCAATGCCATTCTTTTTCGCCATGTTAATGGAACCTAAGGATGTTTGTTTAAAGAATGACCCTTTCTTTGTTTAAGAATTGCTTGATTTTGATTCTCTTTTGATTTGAAAAGTGCATCTCTGAAGTTTCATTTTTGCTGAGCTTAGTTTCGAAAGGCTTTCGTATCGTTAAACCATGATATTTCCCAATCTTGTCTCCAAGAAACTGTGTTTGAGACATGCTCCGTTGGAATTTGAGAGTGATTTTAAATTTAGATGATAGCTTTGTGACTCTCTGAGAGCTTCTCACTTGAGATGTTAAATCATCTCTAGATGACAGAGCCATATGTGGTTGATTTTGTCCTTTCCTGGCTACTCTTTCCTCCTTCCCATGTCATGTGCTGGTCTTAATAAATATCTCCAAATATGTTCTGTGAAGTGTTTCGAGATGCATTTACACTTACTTCTGATAGAATATGGACTTTCACCTTGCAAAGAACCTAGCTATGGAGCCTTTATCACCTGCGATTTAAGGACAAGACCTTGGTCTCTTGAACTCTATAATAACTTACAGACTAGGAGGACTTCTAGCTTGATTATCTTTCTTTGGTTTACCTACAAAAGTCAGACTTATTCTTTCTTTGGCATATCATGTTGTATCAAGCTAATTTAAAAGATCTTTTCGGTCACACACGGAAACTACACATGACAGTATGACACAACGCTTTGTCTCTGTTCTTGTTTGCAGGCATTCTCACTTGTCTTGATGGGTATATGAACATCGCAATGGAGCAAACCGAAGAGTACGTAAATGGCCAGCTAAAGAACAAATATGGCGACGCTTTTGTCCGTGGCAACAATGGTAAAAACCAAATCACATTCATCATCATTCTACTAATCGCTTTAGTTTGTTTTTTGATTTACATATATCTGAAAAGTTTGCTGTTTGGTGGCCACAGTTCTTTACATCAGCACAACGAAGGGGACCTTGTCAGATGGAGCCTAGCTCTCTTTCAACACCATGAATGGTCATCTTCTTCTACCTCTGCCATATGACAAATGAAGGATTTGTAGCCACCAGAGAGATTTTTATCTTCTCTTAATCAATTTGACATGTCTTTTTTTCTTACAACTCTGCAACTCAGTTTGTGTCTGAATCATCTTCAAAATCCTGAGAAAGAGCCAGATTTTTGTTTTATAATGTAGCCTAATCATTGGTGTTTTGATGACGCACTCACTTGCGTCACAATCTGATGTCCCTTGCTGTCGTTGCAAAGTTGCTTTGGTTCAATATTGATCCACTAGACATATTACACTAATTGTTGACATCTGAGATTGTGTGTGAATTGTGATAAGAAAATATGAAACTGGATCTAGTGAAAGATACAATAATAATAAAACACACTACAGTATAGATATAGATAGATAATAAGGAAATGTGAGATATACTTGAAGAATACTACATCAAATAAGTCATTTTCTTTTTTTTTTTTTTTTTTTTTTTTTTTTTTTTTTTTTGTAAACCAAGTCATTTTCTTATTGTCGACAACTTCTTGTAATTATAGAGCCGTAGAGAATCTTTTCACGTCTTTAGTACTTACCCATTTCGGTTGGTCTCTTCTTTTTTCCATCTCTTTTACTTCAAAAATAACAAATAAAGCTTCGATTTTGTGTGTTTGTATTTACATCTTGAGAATGATATATTTTTTTTTAATCAATTTTTACCAAAAATGTAAAATGAAAACGCTGATCACAAACATGGTTTCTCTTTCCATTTACAGTCATCGTTTGTATGTTTAATTAACAATTTATTTTAAAATAGTAAAAATTATGGTTGTGTTTTTATTTTAAACAAAATATACAGAACAGAAAAGCACATGGCAGACAAAACAATGAAGCCAAAATTACTGCAAACAAGCATTTCAACTTGTATTTATATTAACACATTTCCTTTTCTTGTGAAAGAAAATGCAAAGTGGTTTTTGTACTTTTGTTTTCTTATTTCTTTCTTAAAATAAATAAAGGAAAACAAAAAACCATCATTTGTTCTGATCCCAAAGCTCTTATCTAAACAAGAACCAGACGAACCTATATGTACATATATTCTCATTATCTCTTGAGGCATATTCATTTTGGTTAAAGCAAAAGATTTAAGAGAGAACAGGAAGAAGTAAGAGAGAGATGGAAGGACATGTATTAGCAGTGCCATATCCAACGCAAGGACACATCACACCAATCCGCCAATTCTGCAAACGACTTCACTCCAAAGGTCTCAAAACCACTCTCGCTCTCACCACTTTCGTCTTCAACTCCATCAAACCTGACCTATCTGGTCCAATCTCCATAGCCACCATCTCCGATGGCTATGACCATGGGGGTTTCGAATCAGCTGGCTCCATCGCCGACTACCTCGAAAACTTTAAAACCTCCGGCTCGAAAACCATTGCAGACATCATCCGCAAACACCAGACTAGTGATAGCCCCATCACTTGTATCGTCTATGATGCTTTCATGCCTTGGGCACTTGACGTGGCTAGAGAGTTTGGTTTAGTTGCGACTCCTTTCTTTACGCAGCCTTGTGCTGTTAACTACGTTTATTATCTTTCATACATAAACAATGGAAGCTTGAAGCTTCCCATTGAGGATTTGCCTTTTCTTGAGCTCCAAGATTTGCCTTCTTTCTTCTCTGTTTCTGGATCTTACCCTGCTTACTTTGAGATGGTGCTTCAACAATTTATAAATTTCGAAAAAGCTGATTTCGTACTTGTTAATAGCTTCCAAGAGTTGGAACTTCATGTTAGATCTCTTTCTATCTCTTTCTTACAGCTTCTCAAACCATGTCTTGTTCTTGTACACGTCCTAATTGCTCTGTTTTTCGTTACAGGAGAATGCATTGTGGTCGAAAGCTTGTCCTGTGTTGACAATTGGTCCGACTATTCCATCAATTTACTTAGACCAACGTATCGAATCAGACACCGACTATGATCTGAATCTCATAGAATCGAAAGATGATTCCTTCTGCACCAACTGGCTCGACACGAGGCCACAAGGGTCGGTGGTATACGTAGCATTCGGAAGCATGGCTCAGCTGACTAATGAGCAGATGGAGGAGCTTGCTTCAGCTGTAAGCAACTTCAGCTTCCTGTGGGTGGTCAGATCTTCAGAGGAGGCAAAGCTCCCATCAGGGTTTCTTGACACAGTGAATAAAGACAAGAGCTTGGTCTTGAAATGGAGTCCTCAGCTTCAAGTTCTATCAAACAAAGCCATCGGTTGTTTCTTGACCCACTGTGGCTGGAACTCAACCATGGAGGCTTTGACCTTTGGGGTTCCCATGGTGGCAATGCCCCAATGGACTGATCAACCGATGAACGCAAAGTACATACAAGATGTGTGGAAAGCTGGAGTTCGTGTGAAGACAGAAAAGGAGAGTGGGATTGCCAAGAGAGAGGAGATTGAGTTTAGCATTAGGGAAGTGATGGAAGGAGAGAGGAGCAAAGAGATGAAGAAGAACGTGAAGAAATGGAGAGACTTGGCTCTCAAGTCACTCAATGAAGGAGGTTCTACAGATATCAACATTGACACATTTGTATCAAGGGTTCAGAGCAAATAAGTTACTCACATAAAGTAGCAAAGGTCCTTCTATAATAATATATTATTTAGTACGTCTTTCATTCAGCATAATCTTTAGTTGATTCTTCTTATGTTGTATGTTCAAATCATGAAAAACATATGGTCTCTTGGTGTTGCTCTCTTTTAACGGAAAAGCTACATAAAAATTATGATTTCTAGATCCTTAGCCTCTTGCAGACTGAAAAAACATATGGTCTTTTGGTGTTTCCTCTATCTCTTTCTTACAAATTCCTCAACCATATTTTGTTCTTGTTCATGTACTAATTTTTGTCCTAATTACTCTGTTTTTCGTTACAGGATAAGGAATTGTGGTCGAAACTTTGTCCTGTCTTGACAATTGGTCCGAATACTCCATCAATTGATCCGAATTACAGGATAAGAAATTTCTCCCAGCCTCTTGTTTATTTATTTTTTTTCAAAAAAACAAGAAGTTGGAGAAATTTTCCCTATTGAAAACAATTTCTTCTTGTTCCTCTCTTGAGGAAAGTCTTTAGTGTTTAAGGTTTAATCTCGCAAACTTAATACACGGTGTTTTGGCTGGAAAACAAAAAAATAATCAACGGTTGGGATCTCTGCTTCAGTTCCGCCAAAATTTACTTCCAGCACCTTCTCCATAGACAACTTTGGATGTTTGCTCTTAAAATAGACCAAGCCAAACTGAAACTATGATGTTTATATTTAGAGAAATATCCCATTTTCGAATAGTTTAGTTTTGAGTTTATTTTCAGTTGGTTTCATATCAAACCAAGATATTGATATTTGCATGCAAATGAATATTCATAGTTCTGAACCTTTTATGACCTGCTAGGCTGCTGCTATTCTTGCTTTATTAGGTTTACCAAATGCAGAAATTGTTTTTTTTTTTTTGGCTTTGTTAGGTTTAACATATACATCACTTGACATTTGAACTTTTTTTTGGCTTTGTTAGGATTAGAATTTCTTATATACTAAATTTTATTTATAATTTTTAGAAATATATTTACAATTGATTTCTACAACATTTTAATTTTTTTATATATATACACTCATAGTTGCTACTATAGTAAAAATGTTGAGATCTTATTCCAACTTTAGAACCGTAGAGAATCTTCTCATATCGTTACTTCCTATTTCAATTTGCATTATTTTCAAAAATTTATTTACAATAGATTTCTACAACATTTTAATTATATATATATACACTCATAGTTGCTACTATACTAAAAATGTTGAGATCTTATTCGAACAATAGAACCGTAGAGAATCTTCTCATATCGTTAGTTCCTATTTAAATTTGCATGTGTCTATATGTACTCTCCATCTTTCCAATTAAATCTGATAAAAGTGATAAAACTTTCTGAAACAAGCTTTTCACTTGTCACCATTATGTAGTTTTTTTGGACCATTTTACACATTTTTCTTTTCTTGCTCTGATGACAGGCTATTGTCATGAACCATCTATTAATATATATATTCCCCATATCTCTTTATTCGTTCTAAAAAGATTGAGAGCGACAAAGAAAGAGAGAGAGAAAGAGACAGTGAGAGATAGGGAGAGATGGAGAAGATGAGAGGACATGTATTAGCAGTGCCATTCCCAAGCCAAGGTCACATCACTCCGATTCGCCAATTCTGCAAACGACTTCACTCCAAAGGTTTCAAAACAACTCACACTCTCACCTCTTTCATCTTCAACACCATCCACCTCGACCCATCTAGTCCTATCTCCATAGCCACAATCTCCGATGGCTACGACCAGGGAGGCTTCTCATCAGCCGGTTCTGTCCCTGAGTACCTCCAAAACTTCAAAACCTTTGGCTCCAAAACCGTTGCTGATGTCATCCGCAAGCACCAGAGTACTGATAATCCCATCACTTGTATCGTCTACGATTCTTTCATGCCTTGGGCACTTGACCTTGCAAGGGAGTTTGGTTTAGCTGCGGCTCCTTTCTTCACGCAGTCTTGCGCCGTTAACTATATCAATTATCTTTCTTACATAAACAATGGTCGCTTGACACTTCCCATCAAGGATTTGCCTCTTCTTGAGCTCCAAGATTTGCCTACTTTCGTCACTCCTACTGGCTCCCACCTTGCTTACTTTGAGATGGTGCTTCAACAGTTCACAAACTTCGACAAAGCTGATTTCGTGCTCGTTAATTCTTTCCATGACCTCGACCTTCAGGTTAGTTCATTTTCTAATTACTCTGTTTTCTTCCCCTCACTCTTGTTTAAATTACTCTCTTCTTTTTGACCTAGCTACCCTGTTTTTTCCTTAGCTACTCTGTTTTTATTGCCTTACTGACTCTGTTTTATCACCTAATGACTATTTTTTTGTTCTCTGATTACCTTCTATAGGAAGAGGAGTTGTTGTCGAAGGTATGTCCTGTGTTGACAATTGGTCCAACTGTTCCATCAATGTACTTAGACCAACAGATCAAATTTGACAACGACTATGATCTAAACCTCTTCGACTTGAAAGAAGCTGCCTTATGCACTGACTGGCTAGACAAGAGGCCACAAGGGTCGGTGGTGTATATAGCTTTTGGGAGCATGGCTAAACTGAGTAGTGAGCAGATGGAAGAGATTGCTTCGGCGATAAGCAACTTCAGCTACCTGTGGGTGGTCAGAGCTTCAGAGGAGTCAAAGCTCCCACCAGGGTTTCTTGAAACAGTGGATAAAGACAAGAGCTTGGTCTTGAAGTGGAGTCCTCAGCTTCAAGTTTTGTCAAACAAAGCCATCGGTTGTTTCATGACTCACTGTGGCTGGAACTCAACCATGGAGGGTTTGAGTTTAGGGGTTCCCATGGTGGCTATGCCTCAATGGACTGATCAACCAATGAATGCAAAGTATATACAAGATGTGTGGAAGGTTGGGGTTCGTGTGAAGGCAGAGAAAGAAAGTGGGATTGCCAAAAGAGAGGAGATTGAGTTGAGCATCAAGGAAGTGATGGAAGGAGAGAAGAGCAAAGAGATGAAGGAGAATGCGGGAAATTGGAGAGACTTGGCTGTGAAGTCACTCAGTGAAGGAGGCTCTACATATATCAACATTAACGCATTTGTATCAAAAATTCAAATCAAATAAGTTATGCACATGATAATGTAGCAAAGAGATTTGATATGCTTAAAATGTCCTGATGGATATTTCAATAAAACCTTTTAAAGTTGATTCTTCATCTGTTGTTTGTTCATCCACATATATGGAGTTCTTGGAATATGTTGAGGCTGTGAAGTAGGCAGGCAAGGGGATCCATAATGTTTAACAAAGAAAAGAACTCCTGTTCGTTGTATGTTCATCCTCTAGTTGCAACGAGCCGGAGTTCTTTTCTTTGTTATACAGTAACGCGCTTATAAACTATACAAACTTGCTTATGTAAAGAAGTGGAATGACAATAAGAAGATAGTATCTTCTGTTTTTTGTTCTACACACAAAAAAATATACATAGCAAGTGTGTTTGTCGATATCTGAGAAACATTGTGAATCGGATTTTGTCCACAAATCTCACGCTCTTCTTGTTTCTCCTTCCTCTTCTTCCCCTTTTATTTCCTGTGAAAGTAAACATTAAAGCACACACAATCTTCCATCTATGTTTTAACTATAGATTATATCAGAAGATGAAATCTTACCAAGGGAACTTGAATGTGTCTTTCCACCATCCTTGTTTTGAGCAATTAGCTACTATTTTGTCAAGTCGAATGATAATTTCAGAGAATGTCGGTCTAATAGCGGCTTCTTGATGCCAACATTTCTCTATCAACCTGCAGAGTAAGCGTTATAACAGGTTAAGAGCCGGCACTCCAACTTCTTGTCTTTGGCCATAGATAATTTTTGTTTCAAAATAGTTTTAGAGCTTACTCTTTTATATCTGGAGGGTAACTTCTTGACTTAGTTTTGAATACTGGTCTCTTTCCTTCTAAGCACATCATTTTCGCAACTTCTTCAGGAGGTCTCGGATGGAAAACTGGTACTCCCTCAGTTATCTGAGACCACGCACACAAACAAGATTAGAGAGAAACACAAGACACAAGAAAAAACAGACGAGGAAATGTACGGTACCTCGTATAAAATGACACCAAAGGAGTGTGCATCGACCCTTCGGTCAAATATTTCGTCTTTGTAAACCTCTGGTGCAATGTAGTAATCTGCAATCAAGAAAACATTTTTCAATGATCATAGATCTTACCAAGAGATTCAGTTTTCATACATGTGAATGAAGCATTGTTTTACTTGAGAGATCTATATGTGCTTTGTGGTTTGCTACTTTCGCCTTGTCTTGTGAAATTTTCGACAATCTTATCATACCAAATCCCGAGATCTTTAATTGCCCTCCTCTATCCAGCAAAATATTTCTGACACCTTACGAGAAATTTCGAAATATTAAACGAACAGAAACATCTCAATGAGTATGTACCAAAGGTTTTTTAATGTATCTAATCGACATTTGCCTTTGGTTATCTTACTTTGGCTTTAGATCGCAGTGAATGATTGGATCTGGTTTACATTCATGGAGGTAGTTCATGCCCCTGACAGGAGAAAAACCACGGAAACCATCAGGTGAGGAACTCAGTAATTACAGTAACCTTAACAGCAATACATGAGAAGTTAACATACCTGGCAATATCAAGAGCAAATCTAAGTGCCTTGGAAGGAGAAAGACGTCCTTTCTTTTGGAGATATACACTTAAATCTCCCTGCAACAGAATCAAAATGGTAACAGACGAGAAGACATTGAGATGATTAGTGAATAGAGGTAAAATCAGAAGGGAGAAGACAAGTAAAGACAGCTTACTTTCGGATTATACTCGACTACAATCATCATCGGTATATTCTGAGTGACAGCTCCAACAAACTGGATAACATTTGGATGGCGGACTTTTTCTAGCAACGTCAATTCATGTCTAAATGCGTTTCTGTTAAGATTAAAAGCCAGAAGAAAGACAAAGCAGAATCAGTTTCTTCATGCCAAACCAAATCAAACAAAATTTAGAGTTTCCCATTATTTTAAGCTCACTCAAATGTATAAAGAACACAAGTAATAGATGCATACATGCGTTCCGGGTCTGAGTAGCTATCTTTATCAAGTATTTTGACCGAAACCCGCGTGCCATTCCATTTAGCTACTTGATAAGCTCCCTGCAAACAATCAAACAACATCCATTGATTTGAATAAATCAAAATGCTTCAAGAACAATGATGTTCACAAATGTGTCTATCTAAGAGAGCAAAGAACATGCCTTTGAGATGCCATCAGCTTTCCTAACTTGAATCTCAAGTGGATTAAGCTCATACTCAGGAACTTCTCGTGGATTCGACACAGTCATTGGAGTCTTCCTTGTTTTCTATAAGTGTGAAGGTAAAAGCCTTTCATAAAACAAACACATGACCAAAGCACCAATCGTATTTAAATCAATCAAAAATTCTTACCGGAACTTTAGCTCCTCGAGCCTTCAAGAGATTGTAAACATCTAAATTCCCATAATACTTTGCATCAGCAGCCGCCTAATTCACCAGACAACATAAAAATGTAACCTTTATCTCTAATCCAGACAGTCAACAAAATCAAATTTGGCAATTTCTAAAATCTAGAGGGTTAAGAGAAGAAGACCTACCGTACTTCCCCATCGATCACGAGCATCAATGTTAGCTCTTCGGCTAAGAAGAGCCTTAACGACACCAAGATGTCCCTCACAAGCGGCGATGTGAAGCGCCGTCCGGCCATCAAGATCGATGCTATTAACATCGATTCCTTCATCAAGAAGCTCCTCGATGCCTCTGACATCACCTTTGCTAGCCATAAAGAGAAGCTGCATCGTGGAATCGAGATTCTCGGGTACCGACATATGTGGCTCGTCGTCGCTCCTAACAGAATCAGGACTCCTCCGGATCGGATCGAGAGAAGACTGACGACCAAAACTAAACCTCATGTTGGTCCGACGAGGGTCAAGAGATGACTGACGCGTGAACTGTCGGCTCAATGTCCGACGAATCGAACCAGTTGAGAATTGTCTTGAGATCCCCCGTTTTAGCTGCGCGGTTATGTTCTCCATTGATGAAAAATTGAAAAGTTTCTTCCTTTACGCAAATTCTCAAAAACCCTCACAAGATCAATGGATTAAGAATAAAACCCACATTGCGTCTTTGGAGGGTTGGTCAATGGAGATTGAGACAAAGAAGAAGAAGACAAGTCACAGCAAACAAACGATCGTAGTCCGTTTAAATTTTCTATCTTTTTTTTTTTTTTGTAATCAGTTGAGACTATTATCCATTAACGATATTAACCAAAAAGTTCGTTGGTTCACAAAATCTCTATTTTGGAGGTAAAACCTTCATTGGATTATTAATCCCATGTAGATATATATAGATGAACTAATTAAAAGATAAAACTTTAGTTTAATGGAATACAACCTGGAGAAAGTGGGTTTTTGACTTTTTAGTGAAGTGGAGAAGATGATGGTAAATTTTTAAATATTAAAACTAAAAAATATGGTGCTACTCCACTAAATTTTAATGTAATAATTGTATCAAATCTCATATGCTCCATAGGTTATTATAGTATAGTATAATTAATAGTTAATGGGTCGGCTATTTATGTATACTAATCATTTTTCCATTTAGTTTATGATTTACTTTAATTCACATCCATATATTTCCATCACCTTCTTCTATTTCATCCAATTATGTTACTTTTTCACTAGTTGTTGGTGCATCTCTTTATAAAAATATCTCGCAAATCTCATATCTCTCAAAATATCTAGTTACTATAAAAAACAAAATCTATATATAGTATGTGAACCAAAATTTAATCATTACTTGAAAGTTTTGATTACAAAGATTCTCAAAGATAGTATTACAACAAGTAGCAATTATGTTACTTTTTCACTAGTTGTTGGTGCATATCTCTATAAAAATATCTCGCAAATCTCATATCTCTCAAAATATCTAGTTACTATAAAAAACAAAATCTATATATAGTATGTGAACCAAAATTTAATCATTACTTGAAAGTTTTGATTGCAAAGATTCTCAAAGATAGTATTACAACAAGTAGCAAACAGGACGACGTCGTTCGCAGATCTACTACATGAACTCATCTTTTAGAGTCATGGAGCAATCGGGACGGCGTCGTTTTTTGAGATCCATCTATATTTAAGTCATAATTATCTCGCTCTTTAGACAAGGAGTGAATGGGACGACGTCGTTCGCTAATCCATTTGCATTATCGCAAGACGCCTGAGCCGGTCGATTAACAGAGACAAGATTCACATCGTCCATTACAATACCGGTACATGGTTTATCCTTACTACAATCTAACAAAACCGCCACTTCCGTATTCGAAGTCCCGTGTATATCTTCATATCTCACATTTGATACTTTAACTCCAGATTCCTATAATAATAGATATTAATATACAAATTAAATGAGTCAATATATCGAGTTATGGGTATAAAAGATATTGTTAATTAATAGATATTTTTACCTGTTTAGGGCAAGGTTTGTCAAGACAGTAGTGTTGGTCTATAATGATCGGGTTCTTGACCATCTTCATATTAATATGTTGGAAAACGATGTTTCTAGCGAAACTGTTGCTATCTTTTCCCCATGTTTTGATCCTAACTCCGTTATCCGTTCCCATGAAATCCACGTTACTCACGGTCACGTTATCCACTCCTTGTTCTTCCTCTGCTCGTCCAAGACTTCCAATACTGTTGGAGAGTTCACAAAAAACGAAGAGAACATTTTATAAAGTGAAATATTAAGAAAGATGGGGAGCAAGAAATGTATGTGTGTTACCTGATGCCGTGGCCTGGACCACATTGAATTGTTTGTATGAAAACATCAGTAGATCCTGGACCGATGGAGATGCAATCATCACCGGTTCCGATTCTAGAGTTAGTGATGTGGACGGAGTGAGATGATTCGACGTGAATCCCATCGGTGTTAGGGCTATTCGCATCAGCAGAAACCTTAACGCCGTCAATGTTCACGTTATTGCTTTTATCGATGACTATATGGAATCTCTGGCTGTTTATCGACGTTAAACCATTGATTTTGATGTTATTTGACCCACTAAACATCAAACTCTACAAATAAGATTGACCAAAAAAAAAAAAGTTAAAACCTCATGAAAGTTAAAAAAATAATTAAGTTTGTTGTTTCTTGTGGGTCAAGCATATATACCTTGGCACCAGTAGGACAATTATGGCCACCGTTGTTCTTGCATTTCCATAAACTAGTGCCTTGAGCGTCAAGTATTCCACCGTAGATTGAAACATCAGTAACATCCTCGAACGAGATCCAATGTTCTGAGCCTGCGATAATTCTAAAATCTCCCGGAGCAACAATTGAGCCTGCTATACGAATAGATATTGGCGCTTGCTTACACTCGTTGCCTTGGAAAACAAGGTTCCCGACCAAGAACCGTCCTTTTGGTACGATTATCATTGTAGGGTTAGCCGAGGCACAAGCGACGTCCCATGCGGCTAAGAAGGCTTTGGTTGAGTCTTTTGAGCCGTCTGGTTTAGCTCCATAGGATAAGACGTTGAGTGTGCTTGGAATCGGATGGGCTAATGATGAGATTAAGATGAAATCAAGAAAGATGAGAGCCAAAGGAAGAATAAGGCATGAAGTGTTATAAACCATTTTTGGTTTTTTTTTTCAGAGAAGGTTAGTGTTTTAAGGATGAAGGAATAGTGTAGAAGAAGGTGCATGAGATGGGAATTTATAAGATTTACGATAGTAACGTAATGATTAGTTTATTTGGAAATTTCTTGATTTTATTAATCTACAATTGTGTCAACTTGTACCTAGATGACCGGGTAATTTGTTATGTGATAAAATTTGATTGGTTTCATGAAATAATAGTAATTATTCACAAGATAAATTTCCTTATACGACTGCATTAGTGTACGGTAATGTACGAAATTAGATTAGTCATTTTCGACTGAGATGGTTATATGGATTGATTTAATTGGAAATTTTGATTATGGATCGATTTGGTGGCTCTCTTTTTTTTTGGATTAATTAATTTTTTTTTTTCCTCCTTTTGGATTAATTAATTATGAATTGAAGAAAACAAGAAGGAGAAGATTTAGTATCTCTTATGATTGTGTTTTCCTTTTATGTATTTTCTGGTATCATTATGATTTAATATTCACTAACTTGACTGCGTTAGTGATTTATTAAATTTCATAGCGCACAAGTTCTTTAATTTTGTCGATCGCGCGCTAGAGCAGTATCCTTAGTTTCGATTTTTAAACATTCACCTAAAATTCTTGGTGAGTTAACAGAGAATCGTTAGTCATGCAAATTATAACTTATGAGTTTTTTAAGTAAGTGTAATTAGAAATTATTAGACATTTCAAGATCAGTGGATTAATGATTCGTCAACTTTTTTTGGGTAGATTCCAAACTAATGGTTGATATATATAGACGAAAATTGATTTACCTATCGCAAAAACAATTGATTTACCTATCACAAAAACAATCTAGAAATGTGAAAATTCATATTCAAAAACAACACATAAGGTAAGTATAAAATAAAATAAAATAAAAAATTGTGAAATACAGAAAACATGCGCATCAAACAAAGGATGTCCCTATCATTTTTCTTGTAGTGCTACGAGATTCGTATATCACTTGCGTTAAACTCACACTTCATTACGTAAGATTCAGTTTCTTGATTTCTTTATACAAGTAATATCCTGGTTTTTTGTTTAGTCAGCAAAGTCAATTTTGTGGACTACTTGAAATGAAAGAAAAAAGATCTATACATCAATTTGTTCGAAGTAAAATTCATATGTATTGATAAAAGTTTTAATTATAAGTATTTTATTTTGATAAAAAGGTTGAATTACCGTGACTTAAAAAGCTAAAACAGTTAAACATTTTCTTTGCATTTAAGAGGAAAATACGGAGCCACCAAAATACTGCAAATGTCAACCGAAACTAACTACCCACTTTTGTATTTGTTATACAAACAGAAGAAAATGGCGCGAAATTGAGGAGGCTTGTCTTTTTAATGTCCTTTTTTTTTTCTCTACAATAATGCAAAACAGTAAAAACATATAACTGAAAATAAAAAGGGTAAATTGCATGTTTTGGCATAAGACCAAGTTTTAATTTCATGTTTTGGCAAAGTGAGAATTGACTTTCAAGTTTTGACAATTTAGCTAAAATCTGACCATTTTACTCCTGCCAGCGTACCGATGTACTGTTCACTGTACGGTTCAGTTATGCGGTTCAGTTATGTACACTGTTCCGGTTTAGTTATGCAGTTCAGTTATGCGATGTACTGTTCACTGTACGGTTCAATTACGTACACTGTACACGGTTCAGTTATGCGGTTCAGTTATGCGATTGACTGTTCACAATTTTCTTATAATCTTTTGTTTTTTTACATTTAATTTATTTATTGATTTTGTAAATCTAGTTTATATTAGCGTATTTTGAAGTCGAAAAACTAAAATACAAACTCTATAAATATTACGTACACCGTCTCCACAATAGTACTTGATATAACTGAAGTACATATCCATTTTATAATCAATACTGTGTATACCGTAAACTACATACACGTAAATAGAAAAAACTCAAATAAGGACATATTTCTACCAAAAATATCTTACCAATTTCATACAAGTTTTCTACGAACTCAATTAAAAAAATATTAATAATTTGTTTTCAGTAAATAATTGAAATCAACTATGATCAACACACAAATTGACTCTAATGAGACTCACAAAACTCCAGCTCTGTTACGCAATTTACATAATCATATGTCAAATACGAGAAGCAGTAGAAACAAACCTCACAACTAAAGAAAAACATTGAGGAATAGTATGTTTTAACGTGACACAGAGCCGTGTGTGGTTTGAAAATCTTAAACACTTGTCAGTAGATGATTCGCTTTTCCATTTTATAAATATTTATTGTTTTTATATTTTTAGTTAAAATTCTTTTTTTTTTCTATCAGACCCATTTTCATATTTTTATTTCTATTTTAAATAATATTTTATTTATTATTATCAAAGACTATTCACGATTAGCAATATCATATACACATATGTGCGTAACGGTAATAATATATACGTACACGGTAATAATGTGTACGTACACGGTAGTAATGTGTGTGTATATATGTACGTAAATATCTAAATAATTTGTATATTTACGTTTCAAATATTTTTTGACTATAAAAACAAAACATTCAAATCATGTATGAACAACATATGAAAAAATTACAGTCATACAAATAACTGACATAATAACTTAATTTTGATGTCAAAAAATTAAATTAATGTTGTACCATGTACGCTCCAATAAATATTTTTGTGTACGTACATAGTATAAGACTTATGTAATTTAGGCATTTTTAGGATGTAACTGTTTGGAGAGGTCGTATGATGCGGACATCAAACATGTTGATGGACTAGCTGAGCTATTTGCTGAAGGAGTTGTAAGAGACAAACATGATCCATCAAACAAACAAATTATTTTGAACGAATGTGATGCTGGAGAAGTTTTGATCTTCTTGATTTACAAAGTTTGGAGCCAAGACAAGCATTGATCGTGTAAGTAATGAATTTAGTTAAGAAGTTTTTTATTATAACACACTAGCGTCTTGATTGTGTTCGAAATCAACATTGTTTTTATATAAAAACCCAGAATATTTTTATTTCCAATTTTTTTAGTTGAAAATGCTAAATGAGGATAGATTTATGTATATAAGTGTGTAGTTGGGAATTCTTTTTGTTTTTTTGTAGATATAGTCATGCTTTCATTTGCATTTAATAGGGTTCTGCTGAATTTATGATGCAGGTGGGTAATGGATATTCCCGTATTTACTATGGTGGGTGAGTGGAGATGCAAAGAAGAAGAATGAAAATTTGAACCATAGAAAGGCTGGTTTGGTCGTTGTGTACGTGTTAAGGAAAACATGACGTACACGGAATTTGTACGTACATTATGCGCGATTTTCAGTTGAAGTCCACCGAATGCAATCCAATAATTAGTTACTGGATGCCGGGAAAAATGTCAGTGATGATAGAAAGTAAACGCCCTCCTGTCTACATTGACAATCAAATGAGCCTGGATACCTTCTTTTTGATTCGTGGTGGGGATCCTAGTGTCACCTTATTTGTCTCTTTCATTACAACCGTCAAGGCACTCGGAAATACTGTCCCTAGGACCGATGGTGACGATGGTGAGAGTTACCGTGTGTGTGGGAGTGCAACGACACCAAATCCCATCGTAGCGGCTTCAAATGTAGATGGAAATAATGAAGCCGTAGATGAGCAAGACGACGTTGAAGACGATAAAACAGATGAGGATGAAGAAGAGGAGGAGGACAACGAAGATGGTGCTGGGTATGATGATTATCAGGGTGATGATGGATCTATGGGAGGAAGTACCCTCGATCCTACTATAGACGGTAGTGAAGGCAGTGGCGAAGATTACGATTACAACAAGTGGAACGATTTAATTGTTGAAAAATATGGAATAGGGAATGTTGAGGAGGACGTCATTCTCACTCAACAAACGGTTCAACATCCAGGGGAATTCAGTCGTCTATTGGCAGAGTGTACGTACACAAGTCGTCTAATGTCTTATGATACTTTGCGGATCGAAATTCACTCTAAAATTATTAACATAGAGGTTAACCCGCCGCACAGCCACAACACCGCCTCTATCAGATCGCTTCATCGGTTCTTTCCTATTCAGAAGTCGCAACTTTCACTGATGGCCTAGGATTCATAATTTCAGCTACTGTCAAATTCAATAATACAATTAACTTTAAACGAAACAAAAATCACATAAAACATTCCCAAAAAGCAAAAGCTATTGACTTGGGGGGGGGGTGTTGGATTTGGAATTTTAGAAGAGTTTGGTTTTTATTAATAAATCACCTGTTATTCAATTAATGATTTCTAAATATCTTTTCAAATTCTATGTTATTGAAAATGAAATTTACTTAAAATCATTCAAAATCATTTACAATTCCTTGTTATTCAAACAGTGATTTATAAAACTTATATCAAATCCTCTGTTATTCAAAAATTAACAAGTTTTAAAAAAAAAGATTCTTAAAAAGATTGTAGAAGAGTTCAGATATATTTTTAGTTGAAAATAGAGGTAAAAAAATCACACCTCTCTAGGTATGATTTGGAGAGATTTCACCAAAAATTTTAAATAACGTTTTGTTTTGTTTTTTTCTTTTTTTTTTTTTTTTTTTTTTTTTTTTTTTTTGTAAACCAAATAACGTTTATATAACAAATTGCAGACAAAAAAAGAAGTCTCCCTAACAAATCTTTATCATCATCATCTTCTCTCCAAGGCTTCTGACTGTTACTCTGCTTTCTTTGCATTATCTCTCTTTCTTCTCAATTTCTCCCTTCTCTCTAAAATCCAACGTCTTATAATTTTATAACTCAATAACTATAACAAGCTCAATTAATCAGTCACAGCCATCAAGTAATAAAATTGAGATCTGACTTCAAACGTACTTAATATGGAGAAATGGTGGAACCAATTAAATTTCACAAACCCTTTTAATGAATTGCATTCTCTGGATTAAACGCATACCCTTTGCTTCAGCTAGAGTCACATAAATCTGTCTAATGATTTCATAATTAAGTTCTAAATCATTTATTGTAAGTTTCTATGAATTTTCCCTAATCTCAATTTCCAAAGAACGTGTTCAGAAACCACAACGGTGGTGGACGGAGAAGCTGAATAAGAAGAAACATGTGGCCTACGACCTCATGCGCCTACGACCTCATGCGCCTCTACCAGCGACTCCTCCTACTGAACCGGCATAACTCACCGGAGCCTGCGACGGCTGCGGAACCACATGTGGTCGAGGTAGAAGGAAATTACCACCAATCCTTCTAATTTCTTCATCTTCGTCTGTGTAGGAATCGATAAATCAAACGATTCAGATCAACACACCAGATCGATCATCAATGTAAATGAAAGAAATTGAAGTTCCAATTGTTTTTGTGCTCTAATAAGAAGAGAATATGAAATTGAAAGGTACCCTAAATTCTTCCAATTTTTTTTTTCAAACATATGGAAAAAAAATTAGAAACGTAACTGGACGGGAACAGTTAAATTCAAAGGCTAAATTGGTCCAAAAAAGCCTAAATGGCTAATTGGTGAGAAGCCCATGTCACTTTGCCAAAATATGGTTGAGAAACTCATTTTTACGTGAAACGTGAAAATTTCTTTTTTTAACAGTAATACAAGTTGTTACACAACACATCAAATACATCAATGGTTGCTCTGGTTCATATACTACAAGGCCAGGCTTGAGGCCCAGTGGGCCATCAACCGCCACAGGCTCATGCATTTCCTTCCATGATTTTCGAAATTATAATTTACATTCACTATTTTGAATTTTAAGTAATACTTAAAAGAAAAGTCATGTTTCTTTTCTGTCATAGACAATTTGGCTGAAAAAATCCAGCTTCTATCCCTCCGGCGTGAGTACAAGCCGACGCAGCCGGTTTATTCCGGTACGTTAATTTCACATCCTCAAGTCTAATTCCGGTACACGGTTTCTTAGAACTACAATCAAGTTTCACTCCAACTTCAGTCGCCGATGTTCCATGTATATCAACAAACAACACATCGCTAATTTTGATCCCCGAAACCTAAAATAATCATGAAAGAAATAGATTAATCCCTGTATAAAATATTGAAATGTGCATATCACATAATTAGTTTAGATAATCACCTGACGAGGGCAATCGTGATCAGGACAGTAGTTTTGGTCAATGATGATAGGGTTCTCTACGTTGTTCATTACACAATGTTGGAAACGGATGTTCTTAGCGAATCCACTACTGGGCCTGGCCCATGATTTGATCCTCACTCCGTTATCAGTTCCCGTAAACGTCACCGTTTTGACAGTCACGTTTTGTACACCTGACTCCACGCTATCTTTTCCCAAACTACCAATGCTGCAAAATGCAAATGATCCCATCGAAAATATTAGATAAAAAACTTGATCAAGACTGAAATATGAATGCATATAATATATGAGTGATTATTATTCAAAACAAGATTAATTTTCAAAAATATTACCTGATGCCATGACCAGGGCCGCATGCTACATTTTCGATCCATAGTCCGTTAGTGCCGGGACCGATGGAGACGCAATCGTCTCCTGTGGAGATTTTAGTATTGAAGATAGAGACGGTGGAGGAAGACTGAACGTGGATACCATCGGTGTTGGGGCTGTTTCCGGCAGCTAATACTTTGACTCCTTGAAGCTTTACGTTATTACAACCGTTGATGACGACGTGGAACATCTGGCTGTTTAATGACGTTAGCCCAGAGACCACAACGTTGCTTGAGCTCTGAAATCCTATAGTCTGTTGATCACATGATAAGTTAGTAACATTCTCATTTATTAATTAATCGTATTATATGAATCCATGGTTGTTGGTCCATGTGAATTTCGAATGTGGTATTATTTTTAAGAAATGGATTAAAACTTCATAATTCAGAAAAGGGTGCTATTATATAATTCTTTTTCTTGGAAAATTAATCAAGCAAAATAAAGTCTATGATTGAGCCTCTTATTAAATAATTAGCATTCACATTCATATTAGGAATTTAATTTCTTCTTTCTTATTAATAAATGGTGAAGTCTAGAAAAAAAAAAAAAAAAAAGTAAACTTCCACGTACCGTTGCGCCGCTGGGGCAATTCTTGCCGGACTTCTTACAATCCCATAAAGAAGCACCTCGAGCGTCAAGAACTCCGCCGTAGACGGTGATGCCGTCTAGATGTTGGAAGAAAATCCAATAGTCTTCATTTCCGATAACTCGATAATCCGCCGGAGCCAACAATGTACCGTCGATACGGAACGTAACGGGCTTGGGCTTGCACTTGGAACCATCGAAAGTAACGCTCCTTAACAAGAACCGGCCTTTGGGAACTACGATGGTTACGGGACGAGATGATGCACACGCGGTTTCCCAAACCGCCATGAACGCTTTGGTTGCGTCTGTCTTTCCGTCCGGCTTAGCTCCGAAAGACAAGACATTGTAGGACTGAGCAGAACAAGAGGAGAGGAAGAAGAAGACGGAGAGGACAAGAAGTGAAGCCATTGTATATTTCGCTAACGTACGCTTGTTTAGAGATAAAGAGAGAGAGTGGAGTAGTGGTGGTGGTGTGGGAGTTTTAACGGTTATGGACTGTATTTATAGTGTTTGTGTTGTATGCGAAGGGCTTTTGTTGTTTGTTTTGTTTTGTTTTTTTATTAGTTTATTAATTCTTTGAATAAACAAATGATTATTGGATTTGGCCTGAACATTTTGAATGAATAAGAAATTAGGTGTAGATTTGTTTTGCATGATTGTTTTCATTCATTCAAAACGCATTATATATTTATATATAAATAAATAAATGTATATAAGATATGTTGTTATGTTAAAATGAAATATTACGTTCATCATATATTTTTTAGTATATTGTTTGTATTATCAATTGTCGTGTGAGTGGAATCAGAAGACAAAGCTCAGCTAATTGTGAAAAAAGTAGTTAAATATCACAAAGAACACTTTTGCAATGCAATGTTAGGTTAGGTCCAGTTTGAGTTTAGTCAAAATTGTTGGTATTACCATGATGTGGTCAAAGAAGCTGGTGTAGCACTGAGAATTAAGAGCAAGAAAACCAATGAGATTTTCGTGGACTGAGAAGAGAAGATTTGAAACAAAGAGTTTGTTAATATCTGTTTTATAAATAGGTGAAACCAAATAAGAAGTTCGTGGACTAAGAAGATAAGAAGACTTGGTCAAAAAAAGTTTGTTAATTTATCACTTGTGTATAAATGGAAAATTTGGCAATTCCTAGAAAAAACATAAACCATTCTCCACTTCTGAGTTTCCATTGTTGTAGGGACTGAGGTCCCGGGTATCTGTTGTTCCACTTCTGAATCATCTATCGTTTTTCATGCTTTGATCGGGAATTGTCACATCAAGTATCGATATATAATAAGCTTAATCAGATAAATATTCTTGGATTATTTTTATGTGATATTAGTTTTTTTTTTTTATATATTTATGTTAAACATCAATCTTTCAATAAAATACGTACGCCGTCCAATTTCATATTAACCGCAAGCGAAATCTAAATATTTGAAAGTAAGTACGAAAAAATGAAATCGGGTACGGTGTGAAAGAGAAAGTAGGAGAAGTAGAAAAAAAGGTAGAAAAGTGAAATTACAATGGTCAATCCATTTTTATTGGAGGAATAGACGAAACTAACGTACGTTGAAAAGCTAAGAGTTCGTTAATTTATGAGAAGAACACGCAAAGTCTTCACACTTTTGGCAGCACCTTCAACGTGATTAAGCCGCAAAAACAATTTACTTCAAAAAATTATTAAAAAAAAATCTTACTTTTAAAAGAGAAGAAGATGTTTTAGACTTTTAATCCGTTTTAGACTTATAATAAAATGATTTTTTTCCGTGAAGTAGTTTATGATTAGTGTTTGTCTATCTCAGCTAGCTAAAGTTTTTGTCTGAACAATGTAAATTATATTATTAATGCATATATTCATCATCATCATAAAAATATATATATATATATTCATCATAAAAGTAGTTTTGGATGTGACCCATATTCCACAGAGGAAAGATAGAGTTGAATTCCGTAATACCTAACGTAGCAGCCAAATGGCTTAAGCTACTTGCTTATAGGTCATTGGCAATAGTGTGGATTCAAATTGGTAAATTAATAATGGTCACGGCTCACGTTGGCTATGCTGCCTATGCATGATGGTTTGTGGGGACACAAGATCAATGCATGTGGCCAATTATTTTATTGAACGATTAGTTTTACTTGACAAGAAATACATTTTGTAAACGTTACACGATCTGATAGTTTTTGTCTTGTGTAACCACGAGGTCCACGACTCTAGTTGGGTTGCGTTGAATATTTTTTCAAAATTTGTGGTATAAATTTGATCCAATTTTGTTTAGGTCTTAAAAAAAACATTACGATCATGCATGTTCGGATGAGCCATCCACATATGTTGATTTTACGAACAAAGTTTCATTATCAAATCATTCTGAAGTATGTTGTTTAAATATTCAAAAGATGACAAAAGAAGATTATGGAACAAGTATAAATGGGAAAACAATATTTGGATGATTGGAGCAACATGGTTACGGAACGTGACAAGTGGAGAAGAATACGGATCGAAATTGGGCCAATGATCACACCGAAAGGTTCTTTAAATTTCTCCAAAATTAAATTTCTTCCGTATACTTGAATGTTTTCTTAAGTCAAACATTTGATTACTCACATTTTTCAGGTTCATGCACTTAAATTAACGTGCTATAGACTAAGAATGATAAGATGTGTTAACTACTCGAATATACTTTCCCGGTAATTACTTAATTAATATTCAAGGTCAATTGGAGGATCATGATGCCGAATTAGTACTAATTGCTAGGCCTGGGCAAAATATTTGTTCGATCCGCTTCGATTCGGTATTCGATTTGATTTGATTCGAAAAACCCGAATATCCGTAAGATTTTGAAGCAAAGCAAATAGAAAAATATAATATTCGTTAAAACCGAACCAAATACCAAATACTGTTTTTTAAAAAGTTGGATATCCGCTTCGATCCGTATTTTCCTATATATATTAGAATATATAATTATGTATATATATATATATATCATAATATAGTTTGTGTATTTGTATCTTTTGGGTTTGGGAATTAGTTTGATGGCAAGTTCTTGATCGATGATATCAATGGTTACGTTTGTTTTTTGGAACATATTTTGAAAGCATATCAAACAAGAACTTTGATATCTGATATTTTGTTATTTTATATAGTTTACAGTTTTTTTAAAACATTTAGATGTATAGCGGATATCCGCAAATATCACAAAAAAAATCTGGATATTCGAATTTCCGGATATTCGCAAATATCACAAAAAATCTGGATATTCGAATTTCCGGATATCCGAAAATTTTCGAATCAAAGCAAATCACAAAATCGAGTATTCGGTTAAGACGAATCAAATATCAAATATCACAAAATTTCCAGATATCCGCTTCGTGCCCAGGCCTACTAATTGCATGCATGTTCAAGGGATCGAAGTTGATTTGTGACTCAAACCTTACTTAAACCTAGAACTAGAAGAGTGGTGCTATATGATAATTTGCTTAAAATTGCGTATGTACTATAAGATAAGCTTTTACCCCAAGTTATGTACGTTGTTAATCCACTTTTAAATATATATTATGACTCCTAGATCCGATGCCCACCCCCATGTGCCCTTTTCGAGTTAAAAGGTATGTTAAAATGTGCAATTTTGTTTTAAAATTATATCGTTGCTTTCTTTAATTACAAAATATATGTATACTAGTATGTCTAGTATACCAAAACCAATCCCAACTAATAGGATGCTTATTGAAACAAAATTAATTAAATGAAATGAAATTAATCAATGCAAATTGAAACCAAACCATGCACATCAACTTATGAATTAATTAACATTTTGTTTTAATGTAACTTCATATCGTATTGAGACCAATTCCAAACAAACCAACCCATATTTTAAATTAATTGTTTAGATAAAAATGCAATGAAAAAGAGTATTATTTAATTGTTCGAATAGTAATACTAGTGATATTCATTTCTCGGCTTAGTTTTGAAAACAGATCAAAACCAAACCAGAAAAGCTATAAAACCGTATGAAATACTGAAAACCCCAATACGTATGTACGTAATGATATATGATATATCTGATCAAATATAAGGATTCGAGTATGCGACCATATAGTCATATACCAATCATCAAATTATAGATTTTCAAATATTATTATTTTATAGTCTCATAATTATGTCATCTATCGCTGATCACATATTCACATGCATTGCAAGATCTCAGAAATATTATGTTTAAATTCACGTAACACATTTATTACGCATGCATATATGCTTTGCCGCATTTATGTAGAAGGACATCATGTTGAGTTCATGTTTCTCTTTGATTGTCACATATTTTGTCTACACACTGACCAAATATTGTTTCGTTATGTAATTATGTTAGCAGTTGAAGGCTTGAAGCTAGAGACTGATTTTCAGAAGCAATTTACACCTTAACTAGTAAATATCAATAACCTCCGTAACATACTGATATTTACTGACACTGATCCCTCTATCTTCTAATTATATTAAAATTAAACTAAATATGATAATTAGATCATGTCATAAGAGCAAGAAAAAAAAATCGTGAATAATTCTTTCATTTTTATTGGCTTTTAGTATTTTAGAAGATAGAGTGACCATTTTGTTTAATGTAGTCGTTGACCTCTACACACAAGATTATAAGCCATGTGATGATGGATATAAATTCAAATCGATTTGTTAATTGAGAAACCAATCTAATTTAATTATACAACTAAATAATTAAAATAGTGTCTATTTTTGTGACTTCAGATGGCATCGATTTGATCCAGCCATCTACATTACTACATACATAACATAAAAGGCGCCGGGGAGATGACCATAGTAGAAGAAAAACTCCACATACACATTATATTTGTAATTGTGAATTTTGATATGAAAAACAAAGTATGTATTGGGCCTGTGAATGGAAACAATTTATTGTTTCTAGACTTGGAAACAAGTTGGGCTTTGTACGAAAAAAGGAAACATATTGGGCTTCTCTGAAACTTAAACAAGACCTACAAATACAATCCATCAAAAACAATGGGCCCATTAAGTCCAAATAACAAGTAGTGTGAGTTTTTGTCAACAATCATGAACATATAATAATTCCATTTTTTTTTTCTTAAGCAAGAACAGATAATTCCAAATCAATTTACACTTTTTTAAAAAATATATGCTTGTTATATGTTAGTATTCTGTTGAGGCATGGCTCAATGTTTCAATTTTTAAACCAAGTCCTATATTGAGAAGTTGAGAGCTTATAACTTTTTTTTCTTTTCAACTATACGATAAATTAAAAAATAGGGAAGTTTGCAGGAGCCATGCCTTGCATATATTCCCGCCCATTTATCCTGCAGAATTTTCTCCACGTGACATTACAATAAATTCCAACTGTGATAGATAATTTTTGTTTCCAAGTTTCCACTTGATTGATAGAATTTGCAGTTTTACTACCGCATTACGATAAATTCGCCTTTTTTACCGGAGTTTGATTACAAATTTACAAAGTATCGTGAAATCGTCATGTGTAATAATATCATGATACCAACATACTATATTTAAAATCTTAAAAACCATAAACAGAAAAAGAATATTTCTGAATCAATTAATTAAGTTTCAAAAGAATATATCAAACTATTTTCTGATTCAGTGAATTAAGTTGATAAGGAAACTGATCAATAAGCATTTGCATATTGATAACGTGGAAATTGAGAGAGTACTACTTTTTTTGCAATAATTCATGCTTCTGATCTGTAGACTAATAGTCGTACATAACAAGTTGTACACACACAAGTCGTAAGTACATTATGATTAAATAACATGGATTATGGAATCAAGTAACATTTAGGTCACTTACATTTTAATGCACCGCATCTAACGCGATTAGTCATTAATACACGGATCGTCCGATCTAAAACAAAATTTGTTTTCACCTTATATATATATATATATATATATATAACCTTTCTCATTATTTCTTCTTAAATCATTATAATCATTACAAAACAATCGCAGATTAGAAGAGATTTAAGATGGCTACTAACATCTCCTTTCCTTGTGCCATCATATTTTTCTTTAATGTTTTCTTCTTTATCAACTCATCACACGCAATGCCATCGTTTAACGTACAAAGATACGGAGCTAGAGGTGACGGAAGAACAGATGCGACCAAGTCCTTTTTGACAGCTTGGTCTTTAGCCTGCGGCTCACGGGCTCGAGCCATGGTCTACGTTCCCCGTGGAACATATTTGGTCAAAAACCTAGTCTTTTGGGGTCCTTGCAAGAACATTATTACTTTCAAAAACGATGGAACACTCGTGGCTCCAGCGAACTACTGGGATATAGGTAATTCCGGTTACTGGATTCTTTTCGCTAAAGTAAACCGGATCTCGGTTTACGGTGGCACCATTGATGCTAGAGGAGCTGGTTATTGGTCTTGTAGAAAGAAAGGTAGCCATTGTCCTCAAGGTGCAAGGGTAAGTTTATATAAAAACTAGCGGATTAATATTTGATTTGTTCATTAACTAGTTATATTAGTTTGATCTATAATTGATATTCGACATGGCTTCTTTTGCAGTCTATATCGTTCAGCTGGTGCAATAATGTGTTACTAAGTGGTCTAACGTCGTTTAATAGCCAGAATATGCACGTCACGGTTCATCATTCCTCTAATGTTCGGATTCAAAACATAAGAATTAGGGCTCCAAGTGGAAGCCCTAACACCGATGGTATCCACATACAGTCTTCTTCCGGAGTCACCATTAGTGGTGGAACCATTGCGACCGGTGATGACTGCATTGCTCTTAGTCAAGGATCTAGGAACGTTTGGATCGAACGTGTGAATTGTGGACCGGGACATGGAATCAGGTAACTAAAAATTTAACAACTTAAATGTGATGATTGAGTGCCAATTAAAGCAATTTTGCTTGTAAATGTGATGCAGCATTGGGAGTCTTGGGGATTACGCTAATGAGGAGGGTGTGCAGAATGTAACCGTTACGAGCTCTGTTTTCACCAAGACGCAGAACGGAGTAAGAATAAAAACTTGGGCTAGGCCTAGCAGAGGGTTTGTGAATAATGTGGTATTTCGAAATTTGATAATGAATAATGTCGGTAATCCGGTGATAATCGATCAAAACTACTGTCCTAATGGAAATGGCTGTCCTCGTCAGGTGAATAATCTGATTCAATATAGCTTACACTCAAGTCTTAAATCTAGTCTTTATTTAATGGAATCTTATTGTGATTGATCAAACAGAGCTCTGGCGTGAAGATAAGTGGAGTGACTTTTGCAAACATAAAGGGAACATCAACAACACCAATAGCTATGAAATTGGATTGTAGTGGAAGCAGTCATTGCACAGGGCTTAGGTTACAAGACATTAAGCTCACATACATGAGAAGATCATCAGCTTCTTACTGTAGGAACGCCCATGGAAGAGCCTCTGGAGTTATGGTTCCAAGGAATTGTATGTGAAATCAGAAATCCAAGATTATTTATTTGGGCTTATATATATATATATATATATATATATATATATATATATATATATATATATATATATATATATATATATATATGTAAACCTTAAAATTGTTGGATGTAGATATATTCTAAAGTGATGTTTGTTTGATGTTTCATAACCTTAGATTCATCCGAATTTGAATGTGGTGAACTCTTTGGTGTGAATGAAAAAAAAAAAGAGAGAGAGAAGAAATCAATTTGATTGTTTGCTTATCAATGTGCTTGTGCCAAATCTGCTTTGCTTGTGAAAATCAATTTCGTAACGGTAATTGGTCATATAATAACAAGAGATTATAAAATACAAAAATAAATAAAGTAACAAATAAACCTATATCAAGATTATTTGGGTTAACAAAAGTTCCATCTGACAGATCCAATTGACTCATTTTTTAAAAATTTATGGTTGCATAAATCGGCATTACAAGGAAAAAAAAAATGTTGGATCGTTACTTCTCGATTCAATAATTTTTGTATCATAAGGGAAAAAATAAAACTATGACCAAAAAAGACAAGTAATTAACTGATATTGAACCTTAAGCAATACATATCGTGTGAATGGTTTGGTTGACGTGTCTATATTGGTTGACGTTTTTAGGTTGACTCTGTAGAATCGAAAGATTTGGAGGACGGAGGGTCCCTTTACTATTTTAACCGTTGAGATCTGATCTCTTCCCTTCCATTACCACATGTCACGTGCCAATTCCATAACATAAGGCTCAGTATATGTTTTTCTAATTTAGGTTTTTAATTTAATTATTATCCAAGATGTAACCAATGAAATCACGTTTGTTTGAGATCACGTAATAAACTTACCAAACGGTGAAATGACTGGATGTGGAGATGTTGTGGAAAATGTTCCTTCGATCAAAGGTTCCCTCGTGATATCAGAGACTCACCCTACATTACATTAATTTATCCTTACCATTCATTCATTCATCTATATATACACATCCACATCCTACACATTCATCTCATCTATACAAGCATATGTCACACCATACCTATAACTCTTCAACTGCCGTCATGGCAGTCACACTCTACACATCCAACCTACAAATACATACGTCACAGGTCCTACACATAAAACCTATCATCACATATACTATTCATACCTTACAAGCATTCGTCACTCGTGACACATCCGATACATACGAAATCCACACTTAATCCAAGTATGGCACATTCCAAAAGTTGCATTTAGATCTCTCTGTGTAACATTCTCCCTCCATTACTCCATCTGCACCGTCAAAGAGTTTGTGTTCTTCTGAAAAAACCTGCAAAATCAAATCTATTTTTTTTTTTTTTTAATACCAGGAGGTTTTGGGCCAAAATCAAATCAATTTTAAACAAAGCTTGAACAAGATGCATCCAACCAAAACAATAATAAAATTAAAAGATTATAACCTATTACAGAAATAAACTCTCTTCATCACCTCAAAATCGTACAAAGAAATGAAGTTTCGGAGAAGACACTAATACGATTGTATGCCAAAATCAGAATTTTTTTTTTTGAAAGAATGTAAAATTTATTCAATAAAAAAAACCGGTGTTACAACAAGTGCATTAGTTTCGAGTTTATAGAAGACTCTGATTTAAGTTACAATTTTAAGTTTGAGTAGAAAACCAAAACATGAGGAGGTCATCATACTTTTGGTTCCCCGAGCAACGAATAAGTGTTATCTTGTTCCGAATTGTTTTCCCTATCATTTGGCCAAGACTGATTTACAAAAAGAAATGTCTTGTTTTTACCATTCGATGCACATAATTGGTTTCTTTATGAGCAAGAAACTGATTTAAGCCAACTAAATTAGTACTTGCTCTGTTTTGCCCCTTTAGTTCTCTGTAAAGCTTTTACCTTTGGTCTCACTTCTCAAGCCAACATGTTCGAATATTCAAATTAAAAACAAAGTTTCGCTTGACCCAAAAGTTATAGGTAAGATTATTTATAAGGGTAGTTGCAAAATTCGCTTGACCCAAAATTTCGAGGAGACTAACCGTCATTGATAACGGTACGGCCCATTATCCATTCATGATTCACGTAAACCCATGTGATAAATAGTCTAATAATTAGTACCAAATGACCCATATATTCATGTTTATACATCCCACGTTGCATGTTTCTTATGACGTGATAAGTTATCATTCGCGGACTTTCAGCAATCTTTCTATTTTTCTAAGAGCTTTTGTTGACCAATGCTGCTCATGACCGTAGGATTCGGAGGCTTTCCTGCTTCTACGGCTACGATTTAATAGAAGATCTCCAAAGTCCATATGTCACATGCCATACATTAAGCTATACATGAAACTTAAATTAGTGTAGTACATTAACTATAATTTAACCGAAGAACGAATAAAAGTCCACGGACACTTGCATGATAAGTTTTATTTTATTTTGCAGTTACCTATTTATTACTACTACATTCTCGACTTAAACTAACATATAAATTATACAAGTGAACATGGATCACATGCCTACTCGGTTTTAGATCAACATTATTTGCTTATGGAATTCACAACTGCTTATCAACATCACATGCGATTATGCGAACCGTACATATCATTTATTTGAATTTAATCATCAAACAATCATTAACACTATAACTTAGAATTTGTCAACGTATTCTTTAAAATTATTCAAACATACCACTATATATACAATTACACATAAATACCCGTCGTAACCGTTTACGATTACTTCACCCTCACACTTCACCACAAACACAAAACATAAATACTTTCACAAAATCCAGAATCTACAAAGATTTATCACTCTTTGTAATTAAGAAACATTAAATATGGATAATAATAAGCTTGTAGCTGTTTTGGTGATCTTGCTGATGAAATCATCAACGGCTGCGAACAACTACAATGTCGTCAGCTTCGGTGCTAAACCGGACGGAAGAACCGACTCCACAGAAGCTTTCCTGGGAGCGTGGCAAGCAGCTTGCCGTTCAGCTGCAGCAGTCACTGTAACGGTCCCGAGAGGAAGCTTCTTGCTAAAACCGGTGGAGTTTCGTGGTCCATGTCGCAGTAGAATCACGTTTCAGATCTATGGAACGATTGTTGCTCCTTCGGATTACCGTGGTTTGGGGAATTCCGGTTATTGGATCTTGTTCGTGAAAGTTAACCGGATCTCAATCAATGGAGGAACGTTAGATGCTAGAGGCGCTTCTTTTTGGGCGTGTCGAAAATCCGGAAAGAGTTGCCCTGTTGGCGCCAGAGTAAGATAACCGTTTTAACTAACTCTTTCTGGGATTCGAAACATATTAACAAATAAATAAAACCAAATCATTATGAATTTGTTTGCTTTGTTAATATAAAACCAATTACTGATTTCTAAATGAATATTATGACATCAAATCAGTTTGGTTTTAATCAGATAAATTACTAAATTTTAAAATATTTCAAAATTTTGTTTTTGTTTTTGCAGTCAATGACGTTTAACTGGGCAAACGACGTAGTAGTGACCGGCTTAACGTCAATAAACAGTCAAGCAACACATTTAGTGATAAATAGCTGCAACAATGTAATTGTCCGGAAAGTAAAGCTAGTGGCTCCAGACCAAAGTCCCAACACAGATGGCCTTCACGTCCAAGGTTCTGCTGGTGTTACCGTAACCGATAGCACATTCCAAACCGGAGATGATTGTATCTCAATCGGTCCTGGAACTCGTAACCTCTACATGTCTAAACTCAATTGCGGTCCAGGCCATGGAATCAGGTTAGCATCTATTATTCTTATTTTAATAGTTTGGAGAGCAAGGTTCAAATATTTTCTTGATACTGATTATTAATTGTTTGCAGTATTGGGAGTTTGGGAAGAGATTCAAAGGAAGCAGGAGTAGAGAACATAACGTTGATAAACTCTGTTTTTTCAGGTTCCGATAATGGTGTTCGGATCAAGACATGGGCTAGACAAAGTACAGGTTTTGTAAGAAACGTTTTGTTTCAGAATCTGATCATGAAAAATGTTCAAAATCCGATCATTGTCGATCAGAATTACTGTCCGGCTAATCAAGGTTGTCCCAAACAGGTAAATTTATAAATGGAAGTTGAAACCTATCTACTACATAAACAATGGAATTATAGAAACTTCATCTGATTGGTTTATCTATCTGTAGGGTTCTGGAGTGAAGATTAGTCAAGTTGTGTATAGAAACATTCAAGGGACGTCGCGGACGCAACAGGCTTTAACCTTTGATTGCAGTCGCAGTAATCCGTGCCAAGCGATTAGGTTACATGATATTAAGCTAATGTTTAACGGTCGGTCCGCTACTGCGACATGTAAGAATATTAAAGGAGTTAAGGCTGGTGTAGTGATGCCTCAAGGTTGTCTTTGATATAATTCATGAATTTGAAAGTGTTTAGATGACATTACACCGTCGTGGACGCAGAGTATTATTTACGTTCTGTGATCGAGTTGTTTTGTTTTGCGTCTTCATCCATGTATATCTTGAAACTTTCAATTTGTACTCTCTTTTTTTTTGTACAAGATATATTAAAATGATATATGTTTTAACCTATTAAAGATTCAAGTTCCACATTAGATTGATAAACTTTTTCATTTGTAATAACCAAAAATCAAAATGTTTATCCTAAGTTTAGGTACAGAAAAATCGATAGATGATTAGATTCTAAACAAAATTATGAATGTAAAAAAAAAAAACACAGGAGAAAATGTTGGTATTTGAATGTAAAATACAAACAAGTGAGCATGGACAATTTACAGTTTTAAATTTACTCCAAAGAATTTCACAGATCTTTTTTATTTTTTTTTTGAAGTCAACGTTTGTTATGGCCATTCCGGCTCTCCTCTCCGGTTGACGAGTTACTGTTTTTCTTCCCACTCTGCGACTTGTATGAGCTTGAAGAATCTCCATCGTTCTTCTTCTGAGACTTAGAACTGGAGTCTCCATCACTCTTCTTGTGAGACTTAGAGCTCGAATCTCCATCGCTCTTCTTGTGAGACTTAGAGCTCGAATCTCCATCGCCCTTCTTCTGAGACTTGGAGTTGGTGTCTCCATCGCTCTTCTTCTGTGACTTGGAGCAGGAGTCTCCATCGCTCTTCTTCGAAGACTTGGAGTTAGAATCCCCATCGCTCTTCTTCGAAGACTTGGAGTTAGAATCCCCATCGCTCTTCTTCGAAGACTTGGAGTTGGAGTCTCCATCGCTCTTCTTCGAATACTTGGAGTTGGAATCTCCATCGCTCTTCTTATGAGACTTGGAGTCAGAATCTGCTTCGTTCTTCTTACTACTCTGAGATTTAGAGTCTCCTTCATTTTTCTTCAAACTCTGGGATTTGGAGTTAGATGTATTGGAATCGATCCTAAGAGCTTTAGCCGAGAAGCAGTGACGAACATGGACCCGGTGGCACACGGTCTCAGTCGAACAACCTCCTTGTACATTCACCACAAGTATTGCTTCTTTATCCCGTGTGTCCTCACACCACCAATTCTGAGGAATTCCATCTACAAACTCTTCTAATGTATGGAACTCCTCATGGTGAACCGATACCTCCACTGAACTATCCGGTTTTATAGTTCCTGCAGCTGGCATTACCTGAAAAAAAGAAGACCGAATCATCTTAACAAGGCGAGTCTTGAGAGAATTGTGACCAAGGATTGATCGTTTTAGTTTGGATACCTCAAGCCACCGTGGGAAACCGAATGAGCCTAACGGATGTAACTCAAGCGTGTCTTCGTCTTCTCTCACTGTACTCTGCCCTTCGCACAAGATCCTGAACACAGCGTTCTCCTTGACACATTTGTTGGTGATGCGAAGCACGAAGGTGTCTTGGTTCTGGAGAACGATACTGTTGCTGCTAACAACTGTCTCTGGTACATAACGTAGGTCGTTGAGCAACGCTCTGACTTTCTCGTTGGTCTTGATGATTCTCCCAAACTCTTGTCTCCTTACCGATCTATCAACATGCTCTATCTTCACATGGAATTTGCAACGGACCGGTTTGTGATCACTCTCTGTCACATCCATACAAGCATCATACCTATCCATAAAACGCCAAAATGAAATTTTTAAAGATTTGGAGCATATAAAAGAGTTTGAATCTCAGTAATGTGCAAGGAAAATCTTACAACATAATCGAAGCAACAACAGGACAGTCTAAACTGCATTCAGATTCTGGACTCGTACGCGTATCTCTGAATATTACTCTGTCACACCATGCAGGAATCCGCTTTTTCTCACCCGAATCGTACCCTGAGGCAGAAAGCATTGACAAAAAAGGTCAAAATTTTAATATGCTGTAAACACTTGCATACAAATGCGGTTTATGTACCTCCTAATCCAGGCCGATGTCTTTCAAACTTATAAGTTGGAGGGAAAGTAATAATGGCCTCACGCATTCCTTGGAATACTCTTCCAGCTTTCATCTCTGCCCTGAGCTGATCTTTTTCTCTAAGCCAATCGAAGCTTCTTTGTGAGACAAAGTCCCTAGCTTCATCATATGATATACCAAAGAGGCGGTAGTTGAAATCACCAAAAAATACAACCATGTCCGCCTCTGCTAGGTCCTGTTTTGTCTCTTCTGTGTTTACGTTTGCATTCTGCAGAAAATGTGATGGATCTAAAGTAAGCAAGAAACTCAAACCAAAAGTGTAAACCATGATCATTAGCTTTGTGTTAAACTAGAGAGGATGATTAACAAAAAGAGGCTTACATTTGCGCTCTTTGTGGTATGAGAACCGGTAGACACACCAGCTGCAAAAGTTCAAAGTCATGAGGTATACGGCAGATGGCTTCAAGAAAGAGAAATGAGGTGAAAAACTATGCATAAAGATATACCGGCTGGTGCATTATGAGCATTTGATGACCGGGTAAAGGACATTGTTTTGTATATGTGATCAAAATCAGCATTTCTGCGGTTTACAGCTTCTAGATGAGCAGCCAAGTGACAGTTGATGAAGCACATAATCCGATCAAAGACCCTAATTCTCAAACCTACACCTCCCTAATTTGACATACAAAAGTAAATCAGGTAAGATACCGCTAATCAGAAACAAGAATAATAGACATTGTTGGAAAGAATGAAAAAAAAATGCTAGAAGCAAAGGTAATATCTCTTAATCTTTAGACAAAGAAAGATATACCTTGTTTCCTATTGCGCGTCCAAAACCACATGGAACTGCTGCAACATCAATATCCCCTACATGGGTTCTCAGATTCTTCCTCACCCTGAATTGAAATCAAAATATATCAGAACACCATCAGATTATGAATAAAGCTTTACTTGTTCTATTGGAAGGTCTTTCATGGATTCTTTCAACTCACCAAAGTGATATGAGCAAACCAGCTAATTGCCTCGATCCCATGCGTTCAAAAACTGCTTTTTCGTCTAAGGTCTTCCCTATCGTATCTATCCAGTACTGCCCTATCGTACTCCCTTCATTTCCTCCTACCTAATATAAAAGAAAAAAAAGAGGTTAAGAATAACATTAGTAACACATTCAAATTCAACTTTTTTTGTGAAGAAAATAGTCAGCATTCTCTTTCAAACATTGTCTCACCGATTCTTTTGCAGCTGACATTGCCAAAAACCCAGCACCCATCTCTACTTCTTGCAAGCCTACGACAAGAATACCAACGTCTGATGCTACTGAGCCTAACCAAGACATAAGCGCATCATGGGAAGCTTTTCCTTGGCCAACATTCCATGAACCAATCAGAATCCTAACACTGTCCGTCTGTGCATATGTCTGTTCTTTTTCAGCCAGTTCCGACCTTATTATCCCGTCAAGAGGCCCAGGAGAAATCACATGCCATCCACGTATACCACCATGAGTAGCTAAGCTGAAAATGTAGCCATCGGCTGCTGCCATCTTAATCACTGCGTTATTATGTGCAACCCATCCCGCGATTAGATTGCCTTCCAGATCAATTATCTGGATGTGACCACTAACATAACCAATGTATATTCTTTCCCCGAAAGTGCAGAAACATAGTACAGCACATTGATGGTGACGGAAATCTTGCAACCGATTTCCATTTCCGTCCCATTGTATAAGCAATCCATTTGTGCACCCGGTCCAAATCATGCCATCCCCGGCTAAAACCATGGCTTCTGTTCTTTTGGCATCTTCATATGCCCCTCCTCCTCTTGTTGCAACCCTTCTAACAGCATCCGCAGCTCCCATTATAGCATTCCTTGAGCGTTGCAAGAATCCATGCGGTTTCTCCTTTTTCGAAGTGGAAGCAATTTTCGCCTTCATCTCATCTTCAGCAGACTGATCCTGCCCCAATGGCATCTCAACCCTGTTTTCAGTCTGACCTTCTGAGTTGAACACTTTCAGTAACTCTTTTGTACGACCATCCCTGCAAAGATATTGACCCCATTAGAATATCACATCAAAGAAGACACAAAAAGATCAAAACTAGGAATAAAATTCTGGAGCTCAAGTATCAATCAATACGCACCACAAGGAGAAGGTTTGAAGCTGAGCAGCCCAAACTTTAGATCTTACATTATCAGCTAACAAACACTTGACTTCAGAGGAAGATATATTGCAAGTTCCGTTGACAGTAACTTGAGCCCTGAGATCAATCCCTGACCTTTCCACCAACAAAGCAGCCATATGTTTCTCCTCCAACCTAAGCGAAAGAGATTTCTCCATAGATTCCCAAGTCCAGATCTTTATCACACCACCTTCTGAACATGACCACAAATCACCTGGAATTTCCATTTACAAGCAATGGCTTTCAGATTGATTTCATTAGAACAATAAAAATCGAATTTTGAGGTAGAAATTACCATAAGAACTCATGATTACGGAATTGACAGGACCCTTGTGAGCTTGCCAAGAGAGACCTTCCTTGAAAGGAGAATCATCACCATCATCAACCACATAATCCATCTTCCAAGACCGAATCTTTCCATCTTTATGACCACTCCAAACAAGCCTGTTCCCATTATCAACCATCAAACAAGTGGTGGGTGAAGTACTAGCCGACTCATGAAACGGTGCAGCATCCTCATCGCCTCTTTGTACACGACCGCTTAAACCACAACCAGGCTCAAACGCATCATCAAAGTTCCAAAATCTAACACCACTCTCTTGTCCAGCCCACAATTGTGTCCCCGTACAAGCAATGTTCCTCAAGAATCTCCCAACCTGAGTCTCCTTCAACGGATGTGGTCTCAACTCTAAACAAGGAGGACGCGCTGAGTGCAAAGGAGACCGCGTCGGAACTTTAAACATGCCAACGCCGCCTCCAGATCCGACGAATTCAGGAAGCGGTTGAAAATCTTCTCCGATCTCAGGCTGGTGCAAGTAATCATCAGTATCTCCTGTATCTCCGGTGAAAGGAAAAGACGAGGAATTTGTGGTGGTGGCGTAAGGATAGAACTCGTCATCGGAAGAATCGCCGGAGATACCACAACCAGAGATGATTTCAGTGATTTTAGGGATATCGTCGAGGCTGTGTTGACGTTGACGGTGGTGATGACCTTTTTGACCGGTGGCACGAAGCTGATGGCTATAGGAATGGATTTTGCGAGGTGGAGGGACGGAGCTCATGGCGGAGAGAGCGTCGTCGTCGTCGTCGTTATCGTCTTCTTCGGAACGGTGGTGGTGGTTGTTGTTGATATCCATGGCGGAAGATTGAGGAAAGAGAAGAAGAGGAAGAGAGAATGAGAGAAATGGGGAGAAGAAAATGTAAGAGAAGAGAGAGAGAGATGAAGCGAAGTGTTCGGGAAAAACATGGCGAGAAGAAAGTTTGTTGCTTCTCTAGCTTCTCCATTTTTTATGGCAGATTTCTCTACAATACGCTCCATCTTCTTCTCCTTTCCTTCTCTTTTCTTAATTTTATTTTTATATTATTTCGGTGTTATGTAAGTGATGTATAATAGAAGTATATAACAAAATAATCATGTTTTTTTTTGTTAATTTAAACCAATGAATTGGGCCAAAAGCCCACCATTATGTACATTTTAAGTATCCTATTGTCCTATATGTATATTTCAAGTATCTAATCTATCTTGGTCTTTCTTGAGATGGTGACTAGCTAATACTTTGCTTGATGTTTTGCTCGTGTGCAACTCATGCAAGGGATAATGACTTTTAATTCCATTTTGGTTCTATTGTTTTTTTTTTTCTTTTTCTTATGTGGCTATGTTGTTGTATTATCTCTTTGTGGGATTTTTATCCTTTTATGTTGTAAATTTGTTAGCGATCCAATGGCTCTCTTCATCCCTTCTTTCTCTTCTTAATTTATTCCGAATTCGAATTGTAATTTATACCTGAAAACGGATCTAGTGCTGCTGAGTTCTGTGATTTTTTGATTCTCCGTCTTGCCTAATTTATCTTCTTGCTTTATTATGTTTAATTTTTGTATTATTTGAGTGTCAAGTATAGTAAAACAGAGTCTTAATTTAATCATGAAAATTATTGTTACAGATAATAATCATCAGTCATCACTTTCAAACACACATGCATGCATAGAGTAAATAAAGGAAGAGATAATCATTTTACTCTTCATAGATTGGTAGATTACACATATAATCATACTCTTATTAAACAGTAAGATCTCTTTCTTAGGGATCAATTGATCTTCTTCCACCTTCCAAGCTTCTCTTTGCCCTGTCCATTTTTTTTTCATTCATCAGATCCAAATAATATATCAACTATGTCTATGTGTTCTAAAATTTTATAGTGTTTTATGCAACGAAAAAATCAATATTAAAATTGTAATATATTTATCACTGACGTAATTCAGTTTTGAATTTAAACCTGTAGAAAATTCTATAAAACAAAAATCTTTATTAAAAAAAAACTAAAGAATTGTTCTGTTGTTCATGTACTCATTTATTGTAATGGCTAATTACTCTGTATATATAATGTATGGAATTTATGGCATTGTGTTATATGAATACATGATATATACCTTACGAGTAGGAATGGCGTGTGGGTTCTCCTCGACAGACACTGCCTTAAATCCTGCGGGAACCAACACATCTTCGTAGCTAATCCACATTAAATACATTTACACACACATTTTAGTTAATTAAGCTCTTAATTAAGTACTAACTCAATTACTCATATAACTATAATTATGTATATAAGAGAAACTGAGGGACTGATTACGTACGTAGAGACATCTACTTTGTAGGGAGGTCCACCAACGTGGTCGGTAATCTAATTAATTAAAATGCAAAGTATTAATCCATATACTCTGATTATATATCACTAGATTATGGAACATTTACACACACAAAAATGAAAATTATTACCGGATACATGAGAGTTATGAGTTCGCCGTCAGGTTTTAAGAGTTCATACATGGATTTAGCCCATGCAGGTCTCATCTCCGGTTCAATAGCACAGAAGAACCTGTTAATTAATTATATTAGTTCATTGAATTTTAATTTTTTTTTAATAATACAACACATTATTGTTTCTAACCCAAATTTTTCTGTTTATTTACTTAATGCAAACATTAATTACGTTTTTATATTTAATCAACTCACACATAATCAAAGATAAAGTCGAATAATTCGTCAGGACGCCAAGTGAAAACATCTTCCTTCACGAACGAAAAGTACTTTGCCTTTGGTGAAGAGCCGTAAGTCTTTATGTAATCAACATAATGTAATTATTAATTTTTCTTTATTTAAAGAGAACGTAAGAAAGTGAATATGATTAAACCATTTAACCTCATTAGCTTTCGTGAGGGCGCTTTCGGAAATATCCAATCCAACAACGAAACGTTCGGGGCTTGCCATCGCAACGACGTCATGTCCCTATTCACATTCATAACATATTTATGGACAAAGTTAATTAACAAGCATTTCATTTTCACAGTTGTTCATTAAAGTCACTTAACATAAAGTAAATTGGTTCAATCTATACTAAGTAGTGAAATTTATAAAAGGACAAACTTTGATGATTTTAATTCAGTTAAACTAGTTAGTTTTTTTTTGTAATAACAAATAATAGTTTTTTTTTGTCAAAACAAATAATAGGTTTACATTCAAATTAAAAAAAAAAAACAAGAATAAAACCAAAGACCAAACAAAATAAATGAAAAAAAAAACTACACCAAAATTAAACTTCTTATAAGAAAATTTAAATTATATTGTGTCTTCATAAAAAATAAGATGTTGAGTCCAAAGCCGTATCATGCTAATTCAAAATAGATTCGGTTTCAATCACGAAAATCTGAAATTGTTATAGTATATTTTCTATAATTAAAATTTTCTTTTAAGAAATCGAATTCAAACCATATATATGTAAACCAAATGGAAAACGAGAGAGAGAGAGAGAGGTAAGAAGAAGACTGACTCCACCACAGCCGGGGACAAGAGCACGGCCAAGTGGGAGTGAGGAAGTGTCGACAAGATGAACAATGAGAGGTGTGGCTCTTCCTTGGTCCCATGGTGTTATCTCTTCTTCCCAACATTTTTCCCATCCACCTGTTTTATAATTTTATTTAGTAAATTAATAATTTTAGTAATTTTATTCTTATTTGGGTGTTGGTTTTGTCTACCTTCCAAAATATAAAAATTTCAGAATTTTTTGATCCATAGATGATTAAAATCACATAAGTGATATGGGTCAATCTAATCACTACCAATTAAAATTGAGTAGAAAATTCGTTAAACTTAACAATATACAACTTTTATATGTTCAGAAAGCATTTGATTTTGGTTAATGTGAATCATTTATCACAAAGGCGATATGAGTTTATGACGAGATGTTAATTATGAGACAAAAATATTAAGAGAAGAATGAATCACCTTCTTCAACAGTTTTGTGCAGGAACGTAGCAACTTCTTCAGGAGTTGGAATAACGTTTCCACCATTGCTCTGACCTGAGTTTTCTTGTTCTTCAGCCATTTTATAGTTTTCTCTTTCTCTCTTGTCTTTCTATAATGATTTCCTTAATTTGATATTTTTTTGGGGGTCTTGAAGTTGTGGAAAGCTATAAGCACATGATATCTATCTATATAGAGGATAACAATTGAATTATTATATTTAACAAAAAAACAATAATTGAATTAAGTGATTTTGTATAAAGCTATATTTGTGTGTGTTTCACTCTCGACATGACTTTCTGCTCATTTGTGTTCTCTTATTGGAACACGAGCTATTTAGATTTATAGTCCCCAATCATTATGAGACAATTTTTTTTTTTTTTGATAAATAATGAGAAAATTTTAAAGATGATCAACGGCTTTGTAATTTTGGTTGATTATACGATTGGTGTTTCATACAGAAAAAAAGGAAGATAAATAAAATGATCACTAGCATATTTTTAACATATTTGACATTCGAATATGTTAAATGAAGTATTACTGTATTTATAAAACAACTTATATAATACGAAACAATATCTTAATAATCTCGTTATCCATTTCATCAGAATTCAGAGACAGAAATACTATATACTATTATTTTGATATAATATCGTAGATATATAATGTAACACACATTGCATTACCATCTTATCCATGGTATGTGAAAATCAGATGCAAGTGGAATAAGTGGCCCTAGCTAGTTTCACTCAATTATTCACCAATTCCCAATAAAATAGTTAGATTATTCATTTTTAGACTATTTCCTGTTTTTTAGAACTTCTCAGCGTTTCTGCCAATAAAGTTGTTCTTAGCTCCAAAAATATGCCGCTCTGAGGTGACGGACTCACGAGTGAGTGATCACAAGGGACCACCACACAATTTAATAGAAGCAATAAACCAGAGTACGACCTAACTCCCACTAACGCTGGATTCAAAGTGAACACGACATCGTTTCTAAAACACAAAACGACAATTGTTTACAAGTCTGACTGTGTAACACATCTCTTTCTCTTTAAGGTGTACCGATTTCACCAACAAGGTATATTGTGGATGAGAAATTAGACATTGCTTCTCATTAAATACACACGTTTATTTTATTACAAAATAAAACTTTTCATTCATTTATTTATTTAGACGTGTAAGTAGTAACATTCGGTTATGACTCTATTAGGAGGACCAAAAATGTAATTTTTATTGGAATACTTAGACGAGCCATGAGCCCATAAGAGTGTGATGTGATGGTAATGGGGAATAATCACATTGACTTCTTCTTCATAGCTTTCTCCTCCTTACCTTAAACTTGCCGAGCTTGGAAACAGTCATTCACCATCATATTAATAGTCTCCGAATCCAAAACTCATAGCACCCAAACAAACATTTGTCTTAATTAGCATTGTATATCATTTCCTCGAGCAATCCCCATATCTCATGTTTCTCCCAAACACGGCTCTTACACACATCCGAGCTTGTAGAGAAGAAGTCTCTCGGCATTAATAGATCGAGTTAGGGCTTCGTCGACCAAATTAAAACCTTTCACAATGAGAGAACTCGAAGCAGAATTGGCTACTGATGACTCATAGAGGTTTAGAGAGAGTTGGTCAAAGAGAGTGGAGTATATATATATATATAATTGAAGGAGAAAAGTATATAATTGCAAACTCATTAACACCATAAAAAAATAACACCAATACTAAAAAATTATCTAAAACTAAATAAAATGAATTCGGCGATGACTAAGTGTCATCACTTCATAATGCAAAAGGAAGGAATTGGAATCGGAATCGGATTCAGATCCATGGAAGGTAAATACGTTCTCAGACCATTCCACAACTCCCCGAAGCAACTTGCCCATCACGGGTATCTCAAACAAAATCATTGCACACCAAATCTCTGTTTTGCATTCCTTAGTATACGTCTTCCACCAAACTGTCACTCTCCTCTCTTTGGCAGGGCTTGCCACCGAAAGAAGATAATTAGAAGAAATTCCTTCAAGTCCCCCAAGCTCCGCACCCCACGGACTAGAGTCATCACAGCAGATTAGGTGGAGTTCCCCATTGGAAACCGTTGCTTGGAAGTCTTGGCAATCTATCTGTACCATGCAAATATTCGGACACAAGCTAAGACTGTCCTCATTCGTATTGTCATAAATTTTTCCACCAAAACAATTATTAAGAAACAAAACTCCACACAAATCAATACTAGAGTAAAAAACTCTTATTGGAAAGGAGAAACTTTATTAAACTTTATAGTACAATACACACACACGAAAGAGAGGAACATGGGACATAAAAACAAGGGAAGAGATCGGGACCGTCGTCGTAGACGCTGATCACCGCCTGATAAGCATTCACATTCGAACACACATATTTTACATAGAGTATGATACTCAATTTATTCTTGATAGATGAGAAGATTTCACACATATATAACACTGATCTTACTAAAGAGTAAGATATGATCTCTCTGACTCTCTCTTGAGTCAGTTAATCTTCTTCCACCTCGCAAGCTTCTCTTTGCCCTGTTTAATACATCCGAAGGAATTATCATTTAAATTAATTATATAATAAATCACATGTTTATATATATACACCGATAAAATAAAATATCAGCTTATATTTTGATATAACGTTAACATATATATGTCATCTCGCACAGTACCTTACGAGTGGGAGTGCCGGCCCAAATATATGGACTGCCTAAAGCAAGCCATATAATTGATGCCCCAATGAAAAAAAAAAAATCATTTTAAAAGAATGCATAATGTGGGTTTTGAACCCCTAACTTGTTAGTAGAGAGAAACCAAGCTTAACAACTAGACTTATTGAACAATTTTGTAAATGATGCCCCTAAATTTCTTTATAACATCTGATGCTCTAAAGCCCTAGCTTCATGAGCTTCTGCCACGAGCCGGGCCTGAGTGGGAATGGAGTCTGGGTTCTCCTCAATGGACACTGCTTTAAATCCTAACGGAACCAACACATCTTCGTAGCTAAACCTCATAAGAAAACACACACGCACGATCAATATTTTAGTTAATAAAGTATACTACAATTACGGGTTTTAATTAGTCATTAATTAATAGTCTAAAACGATTTTGTATATAAGACATATTGAGGGGTTAACTACGTACGAAGACAAAGCTACTTTGTAGGGAGCTCCACCCTCGTGGTCGGTCATCTAATTAATAAAAGGGCAAAATATTAATTCATATATACTCTGTGATTATATGGAACATTCACACGAAAAAAATATGAAATAATTAATTACCGGATACATCAGAGTTATGAGTTCTCCGTCAGGTTTCAGGAGTTCATGCATGGATTCACCCCATGCAGGTCTCATCTCCGGTTCAATTGCGCAGAAAAACCTGTTAATTACTACATTAGTTTATTGGATTTTCAATTCCTTATTGCTAAAATTATGTTTTCATAGTTAATAAACTCACACATAGTCGAAGATGAGGTCAAATAATTCATTAGGACGCCAAGTGAAAACATCTTCCTTCACGAACGAAAAGTACTTTGCCTTCGGTGAGGAGCCGTAAGTCTATATATATGTAATCAATGGAAAGTGATTATTATTTGTTCAGTATTCGAAGACAAACGTTAATTATTAGAAAGTGAGGTGATTAATTATTAGAAGTTAGTGATTATGATTAACCTCATTAGCTTTCTTGAGAGCCTTATCAGAATTATTAGAAGTTAGTGATTATGATTAACCTCATTAGCTTTCTTGAGAGCCTTATCAGAAATATCCAATCCAACTACGAAACGACATAAAATGTTAATGTACAAGCATTTAAGTCTTAGAATCTAATTAAGAAATTACAACATAAAATGTTAATGTACAAGCATTTAAGTCTTAGAATCTAATTAAGAAACCAAGATTAAAACCAAAGACAAAAAAAAATAATTAAAGACAAAGTATACCAATTTTTTTCTTTTCTAAACTACAAATATAAAAACGAAAACGAAACCAAAAGGGAAAGAGAGAAGACTAACTCCGCCACAGCCGGGGACAAGAGTACGGCCAAGAGGGAGAGCTGAAGAGTCGAGAAGACGCAGAATGAGATTTTTACACACTATAATTTGATTTGCTAAAATGTTCACAAGATGTTTTGGCTAAAACATCACTAAGTTTGATATTCACTCCGTTTCAGTTTAGTTGTCGTTTTAGGATTTAAATTTTGTTTCATAATAGTTGTCGTTTTAGGTTTTCAATGCAAATGTTTGGTGAAAATTCCAGTTTTATCCCTACTGTTTTAATGTTTTGGCCAATGAATTTTTTTATAAAATATATTAATAAATGGTAAAACAGAAAATTAAATACTTTTCTTAATTTGTGTGAAAAAACCTTAAACGACAACTAAAACGAAACGGAGGAAATACCAAAGTAAATAGTATTCAGCGGTCAATCACAACACTATTTCCATTTGCTAGTGAACATTCTTATCTCTAAAACAGAGTATGACCTAACTTCCACTCTCTCGATTTAATATTAAAATTGAACCTGCCCTCATCGGTTTATAAAACGGAAAACGAGAAAAATATATTTGAAGTGTGACTGTGTTGTCTGACACGTCTCTTTCTCCTTAAGGTATATGCCAAATTCTGTAAGGAATATTATGGATATGAAATGAGAAATTGTTAAAAATGCCCCTTTTTCAATACTCTTTTTCAAAAATGCCTCTTTTGAGAGTCTATTTTTAAGTTTGCCCTTTTTTAATTTTTAATGACCATTTTACCCTTATTTGAAACAAAATTAGGTCCACAAAATACAAAATATTTTTTGGCGGGAAAAGTGATCCCGCAATTTTCCCGTCAAAACACTTGTAAAAACCTTTAAAAAACCTTGTAAAGTTTTCCCGCCAAAAAATTTTCCCGCCAAAAATTTTTTTTTGCGGGAAAAGTGATTCCGCAATTTTTTTTGCGAAATTTTTTTGGCGGGAAAATTTTTGGCGGGAAAAATTTACAAGATATTTTAAAGGTTTTACAGAGTATTTACAAGTATTTTGTGAGGTTTTACAATGTATTTTAAAAGGTTTTACAAGGTACCTATAAGGTTTTATAAGGTATTTATAACTTGTAAAACCTTATAAAAAACTTGTAAAACCTTATAACTTGTAAAAACCTTATAAAATAGTTTGTAAAATCTTATAATATCTTATAAATACCTTGTAAATACGTTGTAAAACCTTTTAAAATACATTGTAAAACCTTATAAATACCTTGTAAAAAACCTTTAAAATACCTTGTAAATTTTTGGCGAGAAAAATTTTCCCGCCAAAAATTTAACGCCAAAAAAATTGCTGAATCACATTTCCCGCAAAAAAATTTTTTTGGCGGGAAAAAGTTTTACGGGAAAATTTTACAAGGTATTTTAAAGGTTTTACAAGTTTTTACAAGTGTATTGGCGGGAAAAATTTTTACGGGAAAATTTTACAAGGTATTTTAAAGGTTTTTACAAGTGTTTTGGCGGGAAAATTGCGGGATCACTTTTCCGCCAAAAAATATTTTGTATTTTGTGGACCTAATTTTGTTTCAAATAAGGGTAAAATGGTCATTAAAAATTAAAAGAGGGCAAACTTAAAAATGGACTCTCAAAAGGGGCATTTTTGAAAAGGGGTATTGAAAAAAGGGCATTTTTAACAATTTCTCTAAAAATATTTGTAAAAAAACTATAAAAAATAATCTAAGTGTTAAATTTACTTGCATGAAAAACGGTTGAACAAATGACATGGGCTTACGGACCCCGTATGATGGGACGGCATGCTTAGTCCGGTTTGTTTTCAATGGCATTGAAATTTAACACTTAGATTATTTGAAAACAAAAATACTTTACATATTTAAAACTTTAGTTAAAATAAAAACCTTTGAAATAAAAACATTTTGTATAATAAAAAATATAGTTTTTAAAAAATAGTTTACATAATAAAAATATTTGTAAAAAACAATAAAAAATAATATAAGTGTTAAATTTACTTGCGTGAAAAACGGTTGAACTAATAACACGGACTTTCGGACCCGTATGATGGGACGGCATGCTTAGTCCGGTTTGTTTTCAATGGCATTGAAATTTAACACTTAGATTATTTGAAAACAAAAATACTTTACATATTTAAAACTTTAGTTAAAATAAAAACCTTTGAAATAAAAATATTTTGTATAATAAAAAATATAGTTTTTAAAAAATAGTTTACATAATAAAAATATTTGTAAAAAACAATAAAAAATAATATAAGTGTTAAATTTACTTGCGTGAAAAACGGTTGAACTAATAACACGGACTTACGGACCCGTATGATGGGACGGCATGCTTAGTCCGGTTTGTTTTCAATGGCATTGAAATTTAACACTTAGATTATTTGAAAACAAAAATACTTTACATATTTAAAACTTTAGTTAAAATAAAAACCTTTGAAATAAAAATATTTTGTATAATAAAAATATAGTTTTTAAAAAATAGTTTACATAATAAAAATATTTGTAAAAAACAATAAAAAATAATATAAGTGTTAAATTTACTTGCGTGAAAAACGGTTGAACTAATAACACGGACTTACGGACCCGTATGATGGGACGGCATGCTTAGTCCGGTTTGTTTTCAATGGCATTGAAATTTAACACTTAGATTATTTGAAAACAAAAAATATTTTATAGTAAAAACATTAATTAAAATAAAAAAACGTTTGAACAAAGAAAACCAAAGAAATTTCGAGAAAAAACAGCGAAGAGAAAAAAAAAATAACTATGGCGCCTAGCCGAAGTGGGCGGCCGACTCAACTCATTGAGTCACATGGCCGACTAATAATTTTGCAATTAAGAGTTGTTAACAAAATAAGAAGATGCAGATGCTTATATATATATAGGACCAATTCCAAAGACCCTTTCCTCTAACAAACCGATGTGGGACTTTTGTATAACGCCGACTTTCCTTGGGTCGGCTTCAATATATGTCAATCGGCCCAATCAAGTAAATTTGAACCGTCTAAACCAGAACGTAAACCGGATTAACATTTGAACTTGCGCTTTCTGATTTTTGTTAAGTTATATTGTCGATCTGGGACACAACATGTCTCATATTTATCGAATTGCAGAAACTCATACTTGAAGATCAAGAAGCTTCTAGTTGTTGCTTGCTAAAGCCCAGACACAGTGAATATAAGAAAGTAATTTTCTTTTGTCCCACATCGAACCATCTGCTAAAGCCCAGAGTGAGTTTGGTCTCCTCTTCGTCTTCTTCGTGCTTTCAATGCCTAGTTTAGTCTACAAAGCCATCGATTATTCCCCAGAAAAAGTATTTGATCCTTGTATTCGGCTCTAATTTCTTCACGAGTTCGCAGTATCAAGTTGTTAGTCTACAGATTCTTGTTCAGGTACATGAATTTGATGAAGGAGGCGTTGCGTTTTATATGCTCATCTAATTTCTGGAGGATGGCTTTGTTTTGGAACATTGCCCTCCTTTTTTCTTACTTCCAATTGCTTAAAAAGAGTATCTTTGGCTCAAAATCAAGTTCCTCTTCTTGCTCCAAATCCAATCATTCACACACACCTATTTGTGTTATCACTGGTGTAAGTCATTCATTCTCTTCATTGCCTCGGATTATGCAATCTAGTGTTAGTTTCTGTTTTTGAATTCATTGCAGGCTACTTCGGGACTTGGTAAGGCCACTGCGTTTGCTCTATCAAGGAAAGGTTTCTACGTTGTTCTTGGTAAAAGAGTGTTGCTTTGGATCTCTTGTTCGATTATCTCTTATTGATATGGAGAGGATGACTTGGAACATGTCTTTTATCATATATTCAAACTGAATTATAAGCAGAGTCTTTCTTGATTTTGCAGTTGGAAGATCATCCCACTTACTATCAAAGGTTTTCTACGGTCCCTTTGATTTTCCTTGTACCGATAGATAGAAGAACCTCCTCTTTCACCTTTGTTGAATCTTTGTAATTGCCACTTTCTGTTGACAGACCTTGAGTGATATTAAGAGGCAGAATGAGAATGCCCAACTCAAAGCTTTTGAAGTTGACATTTCGTCTTTTCAATCAGTTTTCAAGTTCAGAAACTCTCTAGAGCAATGGCTTTTAGATTCAGATTTTCATTCTTCAGTCCAGCTTTTGGTGAACAATGCTGGAATACTGGCAACATCTAGTCGGCCAACCATTGAAGGCTTTGACAGGTAAGATTTTTTACTTGTCTTGGTTATTAAGAGAAAGAAATTACAGATTACTTTTGTAATGTTTGTTCATTGATTAACCGTAATAGATGTCTCCTAGTCCTTGTACATGTTTTGTTTCGCCACACTCTCTCTCTCTCATGACCAAAACTAGAATTAGCCGGGAATGATGGGCCTTATTTAAACTTGGAATTTTTCCTCCAAATGAAAACATTTTACATGATAAAAAATAGGGAGACTCACAAAATGCCCATTTTTTTATACCCTTTTCAAAAATGTCTTCTTTGGCTGTCCATTTTTAAAAATACCCCCTTTTATGTACAAAATGACTAAATTACCCTTCTTTTAATAAAAGATATCACAAATATATAAGGAAATATAACAAAATTAGGTCCACAAAATACAAAATATTTTTTGGTGGAAAAAGTGATCCCGCAATTTTTCCCGCCAAAACACTTGTAAAAACTTGTAAAACCTTTAAAATACCTTGTAAAATTTTCCCGTAAAACTTTTTCCCGCCAAAAAATTTTTTTTGCGGGAAAAGTGATTCAGCAATTTTTTTGGCGTTAAATTTTTGGCGGGAAAATTTTTCTCGCCAAAAATTTACAAGGTATTTTAAAGGTTTTTTACAAGGTATTTATAAGGTTTTACAATGTATTTTAAAAGGTTTTACAACGTATTTACAAGGTATTTATAAGATATTATAAGATTTTACAAGCTATTTTATAAGGTTTTTACAAGTTATAAGGTTTTACAAGTTTTTTATAAGGTTTTACAAGTTATAAATACCTTATAAAACCTTATAGGTACCTTGTAAAACCTTTTAAAATACATTGTAAAACCTTACAAAACACTTGTAAATACTCTGTAAAACCTTTAAAATACCTTGTAAATTTTTCCCGCCAAAAATTTTCCCGCCAAAAAAATTTCGCAAAAAAATTGCGGAATCACTTTTCCCGCAAAAAAATTTTTTTGGCGGGAAAATTTTTTTGCGGGAAAAATTTTTACGGGAAAACTTTACAAGGTTTTTTAAAGGTTTTTACAAGTGTTTTGGCGGGAAAATTGCGGGATCACTTTTCCCGCCAAAAAATATTTTGTATTTTGTGGACTTAATTTTGTTTCAAATAAGGGTAAAATGGTCATTAAAAATTAAAAGAGGGCAAACTTAAAAATAGACTCTCAAAGGGGGCATTTTTGAAAAGGGGTATTGAAAAAGGGGCATTTTTAACAATTTCTCTTTTAATAATTACAAACGGAAACATTGGACCCATTTATCATCTAGACGTGTAATCCATTTATCATAATAGTCACTCGGTTCTTACTATATAGATCCAAAATTGTAATCTTTATTGATGTATAGAGAGAGCCATGGTAGTGTGATTGTGATGGTATTTGAGGAATCATTACAGTGAATTCTTCTTCTTCCATCTGCCAACTTTTTCCATTCCCTGACTATTGATTTCAAACTTTAAACTTTTATTTTTCACAAAGAAACTAGAGATTGTTTCAGAAGATTTTAATTGTTTTTTTTTTAACCTTGCGTGTAGCAGGAGCAAGTTCGTTATCCACAATAGAGATTACCTTAAATCCTAAGGGAATCAAAAGCTCTTCATAGCTACATAACATTTTATAACCAAAGTGGAGATATTAAAAAAGTTATGGAAAAGATTAGGGTCGAATGAGAAATGAAAATTTATCAACATGTGTTTACAAATACTTATTCAGGTTCGGAGGTTCCCATCTCTTCCCTTTCAATGGCCCTACAAGTTTAGTTTATCAGTGACAAATTCACAAAACATCCACATTGAAGCATATGAGCATTCATCGCAAATCACAAGGTGGAGTGAAATGTGGAAGATTTCTTCCATCTTCCAAGCTTCTCCATACCCTGAAATTGATTCCAATGTAACATTATCTTCCGAATATTAAAAATTCTCCACTGAGTTATCTCTGAAGGCATATTTGAAAGTTTATGTTAATGTTTACCTTGCGTGGTCCTACAGCAAGTTCATTATCCACAATGGAGATTGCCTCAAAACCCAGTGGAATCAGAACTTTTTCATACCTAGGCATTGAGAGATTACAGAGTAAAGATTAAGCAGAATATTTCAGTGATGTTGCTCTTAGTAAAAGAGATAACAGTAGATTCTTACTCAGACACAGATACTTTGTAAGGAGGACCTCCAGAACGTTCATCGATCTGCACAAGGACACATTTTTCAGTAACTACTGAAATGTTAGGAAACGGATCAGAGAAGAGAGAGATGCAATGATTCTTACAGGAAACATCAATGTTATAAGCTCTCCATCGGGTTTCAGAAGTTTCTCCATTTGCTGTGCCCATAGAGGTCTCACGCCAGGTTCAAAGGCACAGAAGAAGCTGCGAGAATGGTCATAATGCAGTCATATATAAGCTGAAGTCACATTTGTATGAACCAGAAACACACAGCTAGATTATATACATACGTATAATCGAAAATGAGATCGAATTTTTCAGCTGGCTCCCAAGTGAAGAAGTCTTCACTCAAGAAGGAGAAGTATTTTGAATTGGGCAATGAAGAAAACTTCTGCATTGAGATTAAACAAAATGTGTTATAACCTACGAAGTTCTAAATAGGTATCAGAGGCAAGACTCCGACTCAAAACAAGTATTGTTAAAACCAACAATGCACGCATGTCCATCTCATGTTCCGAATCGAAACTATTCAAACCTTTGTTGATCGCTCAACCGCAGTTTTAGATATATCTAGTCCAACGACATGACGATCAGGGGAGGCCATTGCCACCACATCATAACCCTTCAAAACAATAACATCTTAGACTTAGTAAGAAAATCAGCAAGTCAAGCAAAAACCAATGATACAAGGCAGGTGTATGTACAACAGAACATATCCATCAGTACTACTCAATGGCCACAGTTTCACTAGCAGAAAGCAAAATTTAAAGAACAAAGTGGCTTTAATATCAAGAAAAGACGAGTTCTTTAACTTTCTATCAAGAAAAGAAGCTGAAGCGAGTTTGGTTTGCAAGTGTTGACTCATTAAACGAGACAAAAGAGTATTGAAGAACATACAGTTCCACAGCCAGGAACTAGAGCTCTGCCATTAGGCAAAGAACCAGTCTCGACGAGACGCACAATAACCGGAGTTGGTTTTCCCAAGTCCCATGGAGTTGCTCCTGCTTCCCAACTCTTCTCCCAACCACCACCTAAACCATTACACACCGAACAATAATGCTTCCTTCAGGGCAAAAGAAGAAATTGATCTGAGAAAATTTTGGGGTTTGTTGTCTACCAGAAGAATTCTCGCTCATCAGCCGGTGGAATAAATCACGGGAAGATTGGAGTGACGTAGCTTTACCGGCGTTTTCCATCTGATCAGCGAACGCAAACCAATCGGCGACGACTAAAGAGAGAATAAATGTTTCTGCGTAGAAGCTAATCAAGTTTTGTGCTTTATTATATTAAAAGTCATCTTTTTTAATTATCTTCTTTGTAATGGAATCCACCGGAGCTAAATTGTTCTGTTGCAGAGATGTGATCTGACAAATAGTAGTTGAGAAATAAATAATCTTATAAAAATAGCACTGATGTGTATCAAAATCTAGACAAAAGAATATAATTGGTTGTGTGTGTGTTTGTTTAATCAAGAAGATTTTCATAATTTACAACGAGGCTTATCTTAGCTTCTCTGTTTTGTAACGAGAAGAAGATAAAAGAGTGAGAGAATCAATCGAGGTAGAAGAGAGTGACAATCTTGCGTAGATTTTTAGCTTCTTGACATGTCTCCATGAGAAGCTTACTGTCATGAAACGCGAAACAGATCACTTGTTGTACTTGTGATATGATGTCCATATTACACAGCCTGTACCAAAATATTTAACCAATCAAAAGATCAGTTTCTATCTTCACCAAAGTAGATCAATGGTTTTTTATTCACCAACCTGCTGGCTTCTAATAATGGCAAATGGTCATTGTGTGGCTTTTCTACCACGTTTTGTACCTGTAAAATGACACAGCAATAAAGAAGAGTTTCAGACCTTAATTGGATCCAACAGGGTTGCTTCTCTGGCTTTTAGCAGAAGTACCAGTTTTGCTTACTTTAGACAAGAGTTCCTGGCTCTCAGGAGGTTGTTTTTTCAAACTTTGGGGTAATATTACTGTAAGCAGCTCTGGTCTCTCTGCTCTCAATGCACCTCTGATCACTGCCGCATTAGTTCCAGATGCACCTGATGTATATATATGATTTTTCTGCAAGAAACCGAATTATTCGAGACATGTTTTAGGGAAACTTTAAATGGAAAGATCGGAGTCAAACACAAGAGGATGAAGTTCTAATGACTTACGGTTATAACCATGGCATAGCTAAGTATCTCAATCAGTTCTTGATGCATGAAACCCATATTTCTTGTCCCAAAGAAGCCAATTGATCTAGGCCCTTGTTGTTGTATCGCTAATAGCTCCTGTCGATTTAAACATACACGGTTACAAATGGCTAAAAGACTCATGATGTTCCAAAAGCTGCCAATTAGCATGTATAGTTACAACATAAAGCCAAAAGATTGATATAAGAGTTTAATGTCCTTATGTAAGGCTGCGTGATGAATTTGCAGAGAACTAGTCTTACTTGTATGTAATCTACATCAGCAGCGGGTTTTAGCTCTGAAACCGCAACTGAACCAGATCCTTCAACGATAGCCTGAGCTTGAGTCGGAATCCTGAGCCCTGAATCTTCATCCGATTCAAGCACACATTCAATGTGGTCATCTTGATCTGTCAAGATTTCTGTGTTCTCTTGATTTCTCGTGTGTTCAGGTAAGCACTATACACAGCATATAAAAAACAGAGTCACTAGAAGTACATCATTAGTGAAAAGTATAACTGCAAATAGATTTTTGGGAAGAAAGACACAAACACAAACTCTCACGCTTACACCTATCATAAAGCAAATTCACGAAACTTAAAGAAACCAATATCTTCTACAAATCAAAGATGATGTTTCAAGAAGTAGAGAAACATGCTTTCATGACCAAGAAAACCTAAACGCAGTTAAAGTGAACTAGAGAGCCAACTTTGAGACAGAATCACCTCCTACAACAAAATCTTCATCATGAGAAGACATTATGTACATGGTAAGATACAATGTAGTCTTATAAATACACACTAAGGGCTCAAAGACACAGATACAATCATGAGAAGTTTTTGATATACAATGAACTCATGAATAAGTCAGCAATGGCCATTAAAACTGGAATCTCACCTAACTAGTACATTGAAGACGAAAGCGATACAGAGTAAATAACACCTAGGATAAGTTTCAGGTATAAATCTATTAATGGGAAAAAAATACAATCTTTGATGAAACAAAAGATGGATCATTCTAACACAGTCCTAAGAATTCAAGCACTTTGCGAAATTGATCAAACAAATTCTGATCAAACAATTTAGCACAAAAACTCAACGGGAATTAGCAAACAATGAGAGGGAGAATCAAACGATACCATGGTAACACACGGAGAAGAGGATCTGAATCTCCCAGAGAGAAGCTGTGACTGGGAAGGACAAGAGGTAGAAGAAGAAGAAGAAGAAGAAGAAAATCGGCGATTGAAATTAGGGTTTTTCGATCTGAACGGAGAAGGAGCATGGAAAGAATCTGGGGGAGGAGGAGAAATCAGAGAAGTTGTAAGAGGAAGAAGAAGTAGCCTCAGAGGTAGAGACGAACTCATCTCTCCCACAACACTGTCTTCTTGATTTGATACTTTCTCTTCTCTCCGCAGATATTTGAGAGACAAATGACAAATCTTTCAGTTCTTGATTTTTGTCGGAACTCTTTTTCCCGTCGGATTGAAGAAGAAGAAGAAGATAAACAACAACAACACAACACAACACACAGACCAAATGCATACAAAAACAAAACATACAATAACGGAGGAAATAAGCGAACAATATTTTATTTATTTATTTTTCGTGTAAGAAGAATATTCCATGTTTGCATAATTTTAATATTAGTGGTTAAAATTGACTTTATGTTATTATGGGTTAAAAGGTTAAAAGGTAAAAGCAATGTAACTTTTTTATACGGGAAACAAAAAATTAGCAACATTTATTAGTCTATACTCTATAGTCTCACGTGTGAAAAAGGTCATTTAAAGAAGCTATAGAAATACAAATGCAATTATTCTCTCTAATATTTTGTATCTTGTTCGTTCAATTTTTGCAAAAGATTTGATATATAAGGAGAAAGAAACAACTTTTACGGGTTTTACAGAGAGATAAGAAAATGAAACTAACAAGATGATTCAAAGATTTCATCAGATGTCCCATCTTTTCTTGACTCGGAACATCAAGACTGATGATTTGATGTCATCTTGTGGAACTTGAAGCATGAACTGGACTTTCATCTTCATTGGCGTAGTTTTCACTTTTCCAGCTTCATCCCCCACCTGCCACGATTTAACAAGAGACTCATGGTCACAACTCACTCAAAAGCTAGCTCAAGAGTGATGGTGTCCTTGGGTCTTATTAGATGGTAGTTACACTAGGTACAATTGTGTAGTGAATGTTATGCTACACATCATAATTGTATGGCTCGGGTTGGGGCTTAAGCGAGCAAGAAGGACATCACTGACTACGAGAAGAGAGAAAAGAAAACAAAAGTTGGATAATTTACCCAGAGAGATGCCCAGCCAAGGCGTACATCAGAATCATAGCCAGCTTTGAGTTTGTAGTCTTTACCATATGTTCGTTTGTACACAGCACTCCACATGTTTGAATCAAAGTTGTACCAATAGCTGCATATATAGATATAGTAATCATCATAATATTATATGAAACTGATTGTAGCAGATGAGATGGTACTACCAGAGTAAGAGGGGAAGAGGAGACACACTGAGGCCACTAACCTCAACTTATCTGAAGGGCTAAACCGACGTTTGAATGCAAATGATGCAGCATTGGAAGGCAGGGAAATGCTTGGGATGAAAGACAATGCATCATCCTGTATGAAAAAGGGTAAAGTTTTGATGTCAAATCCAAAAGATGGGAGAGGAAGGATATTCTCTTGCATGTGCAACTTTGTATAAGTTATTGAATAGTAACACATAAAAAGCAGACAAGGAATTGGGTAAAAGTCAGGAACCTTATAAGCATATCTCAGCCTCAACTCTTCATCTGTGTATAGAGCGGTACAAACACCATTCATGACTTGACGTTTGAGGATCCCGTTAACAGATAAAGTTCTTTTCTGCTTCTCCTCCTCCTCATCTTCTTTTTCTTGTAACGAAATTTCGCCAAGTGGGAATTTAAGAGTCGCTCTTGGCTGCAGGAAGAGAAAACCGTCGAGCATTAAAGTAAGTGTTTAAAGGCAACAAGCTGCAAAGTACTCACAACCAAGCAAGACAACAATTTCCCGGTAATTGATTAAAGTAAACTATGGCAAATGCAAAACCAAATAGACAATGTAAGAGATGGCCACTCACATAACCAATAGGAACAGGTGATGAAAGCTCTAGAGAGTAGCCTGGTTCAGTCAGATTTGCCTCCATAGCAACTTCTCCTTGTTGTGCCTGTAACAACATACAGTTAAACTCAAAAAAATCAGTGAATTAGTAAAAACCAACATAATCAAGGATTGAAACACTAGCCTACAAGCCAAAACCAACAAGGAAATGTTAAGTTTGATTGCTACTGATAGTTAGCTGCACAGATTTCAAATGCCCACTTAGAAACAATCAGATTCTATCTATCATTGTTAGATGCACAGAAAAAAGGAAACCAAAATCAAGGATATAAGGAACCACAAATCCTATCAATTTCAACATCATTCCACAATCAATCACATAAATTGTTCTGTTCCATAGATGGCAAATACGCCCAATTCAACAAATTGCCAAAGTGTTCCCCAGGAAAAAAAAAATCAATCCTTTTATTATTGAAGGGTGATTAATTAGGAAGAAACAGAGAGATGTACCTTGACATTATGAAGAGCTCGGAGCTGAAGACGAGGGTGAACATCGAGAGTGCTCTTGATGAAAGTGTTCTTCTCCTCGACATCATAGAGAACAGAGACGTGTTTGGAAGTAAACGAGACCTGAGGCTGTGAAATCTCGCGCTGGGAATTGTTCTGAAACGAGAGTTTGAGCTTGGCGAGGTTATCGAAGAGCTTACAAGACACCTTGTTTAAGAAAAGGAGACTATCGCTGTCGAATTCAGATGTCACACGGAGTTTTGGTCTGTTTGCAGTCTTGAGAAAGGACAAGGTAGAGCAAGGCGGTCGAGACGGTGGCGATAATTCCGAGGTACCAGATTGAATTTGATGGGTTGGTGAAGGAGAAGAAGAAGGAGGTGGAGGAGGAGGGGGAGTGGTGAGGTTAGGGTTTTGAGAAGATGGATCCGCCATTGGAATTGGATTTGAGAGAATCTATCGCAAAGTCGCGAACACGAGATTCGAGTGTAACAAGTACAAGACACAAGTATGAAACGGACGGTTCTTGTTTTTCTTACTTTTTGATCACTTCACTTCACTTTTTTTTTTTTTTTTTTTGGTTTAACCACGGGGAGACATTGTCTCCCCGCTAATTATTCAGAACAAAAATAAAAAAATTACAAACGGACCGATCTCGGAAACGAAGTTCCTCGACTATCCTCCAACAAAATAGTCTCCACAACACTCGGAGCTAACTCAAACATATGAAAGCCAAGCGGCAAAGTAAAAACATAGTTTGCTAACCCGTCAGCAAGACGGTTAGCCTCCCTATAAACATGCGAAATCCGGACTATCCAGTCCCTTGTAAGAAAGTCATGGCACAAACGTACCAGGAACGACAGGGGGTGCGAATCACTAATCCCTGATTTTAAAAAACCCACCACCAACTCCGAGTCTACTTCCAACTCTAGTCTCGTGATCCTCCTCTCCCACGCGATATATAGCCCATAATACACTCCCCAAAGCTCCGCTAGCGGAGCAGAGCAAATACCAATATTAAGCGCAAAACCGCCACGCCAACGCCCCATACCATCCCGTAAAACTCCTCTCGCCGCGGCCAAGCCTGGATTTCCACGAGAAGCGCCGTCTGAATTCAGCTTCACCCATTCGCCCAGCGGCGGCTGCCAAGCTATTCTTCTCTCAACTCTACCCCCAACATTCTTCTCAACCCTATGAATCTCATTGGCCTGATACACTTCCTTGGCCCAATCTTTCACAAATTTCACTCTATCTCTACACTTTCCGGTCTCGCCAAACACATAGCCACATCTCCACTTCCATCTCCACCAAACTCCAACCGCAAATGTCGTAGACCACTCACAGTCACCCGTTCCTTCCCCCACCCGCAGGTTTCCGTGTAACCAAGTGAGGAGAGGAGCGTTGAAAAACTCTTGTTTCCTCCGTTCTGGTACAAGGCGGCTCCATATTCCCGAAATAGACGGGCAGTCTCTCAAGACATGAATAATCGTCTCTTCACCACCTTTGCATACTTGACAAATATTGGTATCCCCGATATGCCGCCTAAATCTTTCAACATTAGTCATGATAGCTTGATGACTAACTAGCCACAAAAAAGTCTTCACCCTCTCCGGTACTTTAATCTTCCATATCCTGTTATAAAAGCTAGTCATATCCGGTTTGGGAGACTCATCTCTCGTGATCATGGTATACGCCGATTTGACCGTGAACTGTCCATCTGCAGCTTCTCCCCAAGCAATACGATCCCTGGATCCTGTCACGTTATCAACAACTATCGCGGCCAGTTCCAATCTTGTCCTTGGTGTGACATAAGGCACAATCACATTCAAACACCAGCCCGTCCCTTCCTGCCACAAGTCCTTCACCCGCCACTGTAAAACCTCATTAGGTAACTCCATAATAACTCTCTCCACCAACGGTGCATTCAACAGCCACTTGTCGGTCCAAAATCGTATATCCCGACCATTGCCAAGCACCCACCTACTTCCTTTCAACCCCACTTCCCGTAGACCTGCTGCGATGCTTCTCCAGGTCGACGACCCAGGTCTCTTAGCTGCCAGCCAGCCTTGATCTTGTACGCTCCCAACCTTGTATTTTTTTCTCAAAACATGGGCCCAAAGGCTTTCTGTTTCATTCATGAGTCTCCAGCCCACTTTTGAAACTAAGGCCATATTCATATCTTTAGCCTTTCTTAAACCCAAACCCCCTTCTCCTCGTGGTTTACAAACCCGATCCCACGCTATGAGATGTTGTTTCTTTTTTTCCGTGGTACTTCCCCACAAGAAAGCCCGCGCCACCTTATCCAATCCCTCCGTTGTTGATTTTGGTAACACTATCGTGCTCATGACATGTACCGGTATAGCTGAGATCACTGATTTTGTCAATGTTAGCCTCCCCGCAAAACTCAAGGCTCGCCCCTTCCAACCGGCCAGCTTCGATGTAACTCTTTCAAGTACTTCACCAAACGTGTCCTTGTTTATCCTCTTCTGTAAAATAGGCATCCCTAAATATTTTCCCAACTCCTTAGTAGCCTTAATTCCACTTTCATTGCTTATCAAGTCACCCAACTCCCTTGATACATTTTCAGAGAAAAAAATTTTGGACTTCTCCAAACTCACCTTCTGGCCTGAAGCTACACAAAAACTCTCCAACACCTTACAAATCACCCGAATCTGAGAGACTGATGCTTCCGCGAACAAGATCAAATCATCGGCAAAGCAAATATGTGAGAGTCGTGGTCCACCCTGCGATAAACATATGGGCTTCCAATCCTTAACGGCAATCGAACGATCAATCATATGACACAACCGCTCCAAACACAACACAAACAAGTATGGGGCTTCACACTTTTTTTTTTTGGTTTAATCTTTACATTTTCCTTTAATCTGAAATACAGTAAATTAGGGGTCGTTTATTTTGGCCACTATGAAAGCATTTTCTTAACGTTAATTAGGTAGATATTTTTCCGTTTAATTAGTTATGGTTCGCACGTTTTTTTAGTTCAAGAATGTGAAACTATACTTTAAAATAGTGAACAATCAAAGAAATTAACATGTTATTAATATTACATTTGGATAATTAAGTACATCTATATTGTGAAAACAATATATATAGCGATTTACTGCATGTCAAAAATGTAATTTTATTTCATAAACATATTTATTCTAACAAATCTGAATACTATTTTCTCTATTTCTCTTTGTTTCCTTTGTATACTATACTCTCGTCGGAAAAAGAAGAAGTTATAATTGATTTGTAACAGACATGGGCTGTGAGCTGGGCCCTTAGTAATCCAGGCGCGTGAAAATTGGCAAGCTCAGCTCAACTTATTCTCCTCTTTAGCTCAACTTGGCGCAAATAGAAACCCAATTCATAATCGCTCGGAAACCGAGATTAAACCGGATCTGGTTTGACCAAAATGACTAGGTTCAATATGATTTTTCAACCTTAGTGCGAGGAACGAGTGTGCTTTGCTATTTTTTGGTGATGGGTGAGATGAGAAGGCAGCTTTATTTAATAATGAGCAAAAAACTCCAGACAACGTGGCCAGCGAGCACTAGGGGAAGCCGACGAGTTCATAAACATACTAGGAGTAGGAGAAGAAAAGACAGGAAAGTAAGCAATATTTACTAAAATGGTTAATGCTTATTAGATACAACTGAGACGAACCCCTGAAAACGGTTAATGCTAATTAGATACAACTGAGACGAAAAAATATGTTATGAAGACATTACCGGATGTTGAGCAAGAAACTCTTCTTCTGAAACAAGGGCTGCTGACTCATCAGGCTTTCCTCTCTTTGCCTCTGCTTCCTCGTGTATAGGTGGTGGTTGACAGAGATCCCGTTTGGCGCCGCGGAAGAAGCATTTCAGGTCGAGGAGTAGACTCCTCCATGTCAAGAAAATACTGAAAATACTCTTCACTAACCACAAAATCACGCCTATCAGTCACAACTCACAACCTTGTTCACTACCTCGTCCTCCTTATCCTCTTGCTTTTTCTTGAAAGCATTAAAAGCAGTGAAAAACCCTTCAAGAACAGCTTCCATACGAGCCGGCGGGTTACTCTTTCTCGGCATCAGTCCCCAAGGCTTTATTACATTACCATACGCAAGCAGAAACTGAGAGAAAAGAAGCGTATACCTTCCTCTATCATTTCCATGATTCTTTTTCAGAAACGTGAACTGAGTATCAGTAGACACTCTATCCCACATAGCATCCCAAAACTCATTCCCATACCGCACCACAAACAGGGCTGTGAACTTGGTAATACCAAGCTCCTTGCGCATCATGCCTCCTTGAGGGATCCTAACTCTAAACAAGATAAGGTCAGGCGGCAGCCTGAATGTACCCTGAGAATGGTGTTCATTCAGAGGAGGATGCCTCATGGCCATTGGAATGAGTTCAAGGGCTTTGTTCTCGGGGTCAACAAAATACTCATCACAAACCACAAAATCACGCCTATCAGTCTTAACCTTGTCCACTAGCTCCTCATCATCCTCTAGCTTTTTCTTGAAAGCATTAAAAGCAGTGAAAAAACCTTCAAGAAGAGCTTCCATACTAGCCGGAGGATCTTCCCAAGCCCTTATTAGATGACCAAATTGAAGACAAATACGAGAGAAAAAGTGATACCTTGGACCTCCCTTATCCAGAAACTTGAACTGAGTATCAGTAGACACTCTATCCCGCAGAGCCCACCAAAAATAACGCCCATACCGCACCACAAACTGGGCTGTGAACTTAATAATAGCAAGCTCCTTGCGCATCATGCCTCCTTCAGGGACTCATGCCTCCTTCAGGGACTCGGACTTTAAACGCAAAAAGTTCGTGGTTAAGAGCAACTTGCTCCGTGAGGCTAGACTTAAAATCGCATTGAGCAACTAGGCCTGGTGGGAGAGGAGGAGGAGGAGAATGAAGAGGAGGAGACTTAGTGTATTCAGCAATTTTCTGCTTGTAAAGATGGTGATCACGACCTTTGGGGAACACAAAGCTGCATGATGGAATATCAAGGCCAAAAAATATGGTCTTCAGCTTCTCCTCCATCTCCAACCCGCCTCTGGCGGCGGTAATTGAAAGCCTCTCCAACATGATACGTCTCAGATCATCATCATCATCTGGAGGTAGTGGTGGAGTTTCATTCATTTTTTTCTACAACCACAAGGATTAAAAAAACATAGAGAAGCGTGTATTACACGTTTCAGTTTTGAAATGGATTATTATTGGTTTACAAAATTTGCCTCAACAAACTCTAAGAAACACCGTACGTACATACCTCCATAGCCGTGACGCCGAGAAGAAGCGGATCGAGAGAGATCTGAAGCGAATCGGAGAGATCTAACAGAAACGACGAAGATGGAGAAATAGGGCTATATCCCTAATCTACAACCTCCCCAACTGGAAGCGTTCTAAGTTTTCTGATTTGTTACGCTTCAATGTCTTATTATTGGGTCATTTTGCAAACAATGTCTTATTATTGGGTCTGAGTGTATAAGGATACCCAAGTTCACAACATTTAACTAGAATTTTTAACTTAATTAATTATGATCATATGTTAATTGTTACTAATACAATATCTTCTTTTTTGTCAGCTAATAATTGTGACACAAGATAAAAATTTCATTATTTCATAATAAAAGCATTTTAGGGACAAAATATTAACTGAAATTGCTGTTTCATTACACGTACACTATATGAGGAAAATGTTTTTTTTTTCCTTGTAAGAGAAGCGTAATTAAAAAGTATTTCCAAGTAAGACAAATATAAAGTCTGCAAAACTAAACCATTCCCCACGGGAAGGATAAATCTCTCTCTTTCTCTCTTGCTCTCTCTCTATTTATCTCCCTTTTGAACCTTTCACATCACCTCCTTTTCAAAACAGCTCTGGATCACTCTGCCTGAACCATGACCGGCTTTCCCCGTCCCATCGAGAATCCTCTCGTCCCATCAGGCATTCGTGGTCCAGGTGGTTGCTGCTTCCCCATGCCTGGTTGCTCCATGTTGTTCATTGGATTGTTTGAAGGTGGTGTTCCCACTTGATGATGATGATTTCCTCTCCCATTGTGGTAGTGGTTGTGGCTGTGGTTGTTGTTCTGGTTCTGGTTCTGGTGTGGTTGACCTCGTCCTCGTCCCTTTCCTCTACCTCTGTTACGCCCTTTTCTCTGCCCACCCGCTTTCTCATTCCCTTGATCCTCTCCCTGTTATGTGGCAAAGGTTAGAATCATCCATGGATAACAAAGCAGAGACCTAATAACGTATTTGGTCTACTTACTATAATTGGCTGCTCTTGCATATGTGTATCCCATTCCCCAGAACACTCTTCAGATTGTTTCTCAATCGGCTGCTGCTCGGATGTTGTAGCATCATCTTCCTCATGTTCTACTTCTGCATCATGTCCTTTTCTTCCTCGCCCTTGACCTTGTTTTGGTTCCTTTATCTGTATGATAGAGTAATACCATATAAGCCAAATGGAACCAACGTCAACTTCCACAGATCTTTAACCCAGACCGATGACATTTAATTCACAAAATGTTCTCAACTACTAAGATATCTGGACTCTGCTCATTAGAGTGATAATGGACGGGTAAAGGCCTAATGTGTTTGTCAAATTTAAAATCACATACCTGATGCTTTAGCATCAACCGGACTTTAAGACCGCTCCTCCAATTTCCCGCTTCATTTAACTCGGCAACCTGTATAGTAACATGCCTTCAGTTTACCACAATAAGGGTATCAGCATATATAGTCTAAAAATCTAAGTAGGCGAGGCTTTACTGCTTTCTCGGCTAGTTCAACCATCTCATACTCAACAAAAGCATGGACCTATAGGAACATGTCAAAGAGACATCAATTTTGCATCCAGTTAATCCAAAACTATGAGGCAAACACAAAGCCGCATGGGTCCATCTAGTTACCTTGTTACTTAAAAGCGTACCATCGCTTTTGGCTGCTGATCTTGCTGCGGGTGGAGCACTGCTTCCATTATTTTGTGGCTGGCAGGTACGGATGTTCTTCACACTGAAGACAAACACTCATAAGTTTAGAAAACCTCAACTGTATAAGAAAAAGAAAAAGTAGATTCTAGGTTTTATAACATGATCAAACAGTTGTGTACCTTCCAACAGTTGAGAAAATCTTCATCAGATTTTGGTAGCAATGATCCTCAGGTAGATTCTCAGCAATAATAATGCGAGACTGGATATAATAAGATTTATTAGAAAATCAAATACACAATCCTTTATTCATAGCTTTGAATGAGTTAAGTACCTGGAGCTCTTCTATAGCAGACTCAGTGATCGGATTTATGCGTCTCACTTTCTTTCCATCTTCACTAACAAACTGTTAGATGACTCAACAGTTAGAAGAACATCAAATCACGTTATTGACCAAAAACAAAACACACACTAACTCACAAGCTTTGCTGAGTTCTGTAGCACTGCGGCAAGCTGAGAATTACTGTTAATGACAGCTTTAATTTTCTTGAACGATGCAACAACATGAATAGGCACTGAAATCACCAATTAAGAATTGGAACAAAAAGATTATACTTTTTAATGCAAAACGAACTCACGAAGATGCATATGATTTAGCAAACAGACATCTTACCATATCCTTCAGGATCCTTGCAAATGAATCTCATGAGATGATCTGTGGTCGCCAAGTTCAAGTCACTGAAATAGTATTCAACCTGAAACCAAACTGGATTAGATTTAAGATCACAAAGACTTAAAAAAGAGTATCATGTCTGAATCTAATCACCTGATTCACAATCTTCTGGATAGAATCTTCAGGTAAACCAGTTTTCGAATCTATAGAAACAGAAGCTCCAGTTTCAGTTGCTTGGTCGGTCTTAGATTCTCTCTTACTATGATCTCTCCGATCGTTCTTCTTCGGAACCAAATCCGGTTCCTGCTCACCACCACGCTGCTGATAATCTCCGTGATTCCTCACCGGAACATACTGCTGATTCTGATGACGATTGTGATGATGATGAAAGCGATGATGAGGATGGTGATTTTGAACAGGAACCAAGTGAGGCTGGATTGGAACAGGACCAAGAACCGGAGTATTGAAAGGAGGCTGGTGGTGATACATATGAAGCATACCGTGTGGTGGAGGAGGTGGGATAATCATCCTCGGAGGTTGAGGTAGCGGAGGAGTAGTTCGACCAGGAACGAACTCAGGAGCTCCGGCGTTGAGTCGACTTAAGGAGAGAGACCTTAAGAGCGATGGATCTGATGAAGAAGAAGCTGAAGTAGTAGAGGAAGTAGAGTGGGAGTGAGATAGATCATCGGATTGAGTAGGAGGAGTAGACGAATCTAGGGTTTGTTGATCAGCCATGGATGATGACGATAGATGAAGAATTTCCCAAGTAAAGTTAGGGTTTTTACTCTGAAGTGGGATCCTTCTTACAGATTGAGAGAGAGAGATAGAGAGAGCAGATCCCCTGGAGAAGGGGAGAGACCAAAAGAGGCAAAAGTCGCTTCTTTTCGTTTGTTGTTTGGAGAGAGGTTCTCGAGTCTCAAAGGTCGTCTCTTGTCGTGTATTTATAGAATGGGACTTTTGCTCTTATCGACCAAAAAAAAAAAAACTTCACTTGATTGGTCTTAAAATTACAAAATTCCATAAGATATTTATGGTTTCTCAATTATTAGTCTCGGAGTCTGAAGCATAAAGCAGCTTCAGGTCTCTCTGCTCATCATTCCTAAAATAAACAGACAGAAGAGTTCTTTTCGTTTCCCAAAATGTTGGATTCAATGCTTCTCTTGGACATGTTGGTCGAATCTGTTTCTGATGGCTTCCCAGAATGCAGGAACTGCGATGTTATCAGGGACTTCTTTAAACGATGGTAAATAGTTCAAGTCTACTATCACGTGATCTCCTGTTCCTTCTTGAATCTGTGGAGATTAATAAAGAGACAATGTGTAAGTACCTGAGTTATATTAAGGGTCTTGTTATGAGGATGATACTTACAACCACGTCAAAGCCGAAGATTGTGAGATCAAGCTTCTTTCTGAGCCAGGTAGCTGCTTCTGTAACTAGCTCTAGATCAATCTCGTTTACCGGGTTCTGGTTTGCGGAACTAACAGGTAACGATTTTAAGCTGTGGAGGTAACGGAACTACCAAAGTTACAATCTTTTAGCAAGTGAAGGTGATGATGTGTCCATGGAACTGGTAATGAAATCTTACCTGTCAAAGAGAATTGGTTTGAGACCATTTTGCTCGGCTGTTTTCCTCAGACTAGAAGAACTAGGGATCGATTTCTTTATCGCATGAAAGATCTTTTCCCCCAAGACGTAAAACTTGAAAATCCTGGATGAATGGTCCACATACTCCTGCAAATCGATGGTTGTCAAGTTTCTTTGTGCTTTACATCTTGATTTAGTAGTGCTCCTCCCCTAGAATTGGGTATCCAGGTTACATAATGACTTACTTGGATAATGGCAGGAACAGGAGTGTTCAAATCCTTAAAATCCTCCACTCGGAAGACAATGGCCTGTGAGGAAAAACATGAAATTGAGGAAATTTTTTGTTCCGCTGTGAAAAGAGAAACACATATTGCGAGATACCAAAGCTAGAAGGAAAGTGTGAAATATTCACCATGCTGTGAGCATCAGCAACACCACAAGCAACCTGAGGTTTCACAATAGATGGAAGAGAGAGTCCAGCTTTTGACAAGTTCTGAGCCAGATCTGGTTCATCATAGCTGTCAATCTGTAGATAAGGAACTCTGATATTAATTTGCTAAAGTAAACAAGAAAAGCATCAATGTGAAACTATAATGGAGAAGTCAAGAGGCCATACTTGCTGGGAAAGGTCTCAAGAGATACTATCTCAAATCTGAAGCATAAAGAAGATTGACGAGTTAATAAAAATGAGAGGATTTTTACTACCTTGAGAAAGCAGGCGCCTCTTATCTTCCGTCCTGCTGCAGTAAGGTCTTCTAATCCAAGAAGAATATGTTGCATCTTGAGTCGGTCCAGGACAGAATATATATTTTGAATAGGGTCGACTACGGCACAAGCATTTTGATCTTCCATATACCTGCAAGTACCTTATATCATTATGCAAACCTGTACAGAGAGCCTTTAACAAGGTTTCTCATATTTCTGGTATCTATACGCCATGTGCTGATATAGCATAGTGGTAGATTGAAATTAAAGAATCGAGAAGCTTACTTTCGCAGTTCCTCCATGCCAGTAGAGAATGTAACTGCAACAGATGATTTTGAGTCGGAGCAGTTCAGTTCAATGGACAAGATTTCATCAGTTGCTTTGTGGAAAATGATATCAGCGTGTTTGAGTTGAGATGCAAGAGGGAACTCAAACATGAGGGGCAGAAATATCAACCCACATGAAGTAGGATACATGGGTAAAGCACCCCTCTAAGAAAATCAGAAAATTTGACATCGGTGAACATTACATATATAACCATATTACTTTCATGAATCAATAATGACCTAGAGAGTAAAGCATATATACGACCAGCGAACAGTGAGCCAAAAAGTAAGCAATGATCACCATAAAGATAATACTTCAGAGTCAGATTGCAAATAAGGTTTTAACCTTGGCAAAGTCCTCTATCCGAGATGGCTTCATGATGTAAGCAACTATTGCAGCACCATCACCCATTGCCTGTTTTGGGAGGTGATATCAAAAGGGTGATCAAAATACTAATATCGGCAAGACATACAAACTAAAAAATGGAAAATGAATGTGCGATATCAAGCATCTCGAACCACATTTTTTACACTGTTTAGTTCTGGCCTACAATTAGTAATTTCTTCAAACAGACCAGCTTATTTCTCAACTATAAGCGTATTCTAGTCTAAGCCAGAACTGCAGTCAAGACATACCTTTTTGTTTATGCAGCAAATAGTCATCGGCAGCTCCTCAAGACTGTGGATATGAATCATGTTAGGATCCTCATGTGAATCGCCTTGTACAACATCTAGAAACCCAAAAAAATCCAACAAATTTAGGTGCCTCATAAAAGTTATCAGTACCAAAGGAAATTCAGGACTTAAATGTAGCAAAGTTCAATGGCCCATCCTTTTCCTATTAGTGAGAGTTCATAAATCGAAAAGATCCATAATTCGAATCAGGAAGCATGTTTAAAACATTCGAAGAGAAAACTGTTTAGACAATAAATGCAGAAGCTGGAATTTTTGAATTTGTTATCTCTCATGGGACTATAGATTATCTTCATCACTAACCGAGTAGAACAACTAGCTGACTGGGACTAAGTTCACGCAGTGTCTCTTCCTTTCTGCTTGAAGCAACATACAGAATACTACCGTCACTATACCATGCTTTGAGAGTATCACCAAAGGTAACACTTGTCAGAGACGTCTCTAAAGGTAAGCAATTAATCGAATATTCGGCTGCCGTTTTCCTCAGTAAATCCACCTATAACATATTAGAGACAAATCAATCTTATCACTAAGATAAACAGTTAGACAAGGCAAAAATTTGACTTGAACAAAACCGTTTGCTTAAAACATAGAAGAGTCATCACATTCGTGGACTCAAAGTTGAAATAGTTAGTCTCAAACCTTGTTTTCCGGAAGATCAAGTCCATATGAAATTCCCTGCATGACAGAAAATATAATCCAATTTTCATTACAGTAGATGAAGAAAATTAATGTCTGAATTGATCTAAAGTTGAATCCTTTATCATCTAGCTCTCAATTGCGCATGAAAGGGTTTACTTTTGGGGAATCTGCAATGCAGATAAGATTGATGGTTTTGAATTGGAGATAGCTATTCAATTAATCGTGTTACCGTTCGGATCATGGAATAACGAAGCAGCCTGAGAAGCGACGGGACTGATTCCCGCAGACTCGGCGAAGAATCTTCACTCGTAGGACTAAACAGTACAGATTCGTCAAGTAGAACCCCTTTCATCATCGTTCTTCTCTCTCTCTCTATCTCAGCTGAGGAACAAAAGAATAAATCTCAATACACGGTGGCGATTTAGCCGTTAAACGCAGTCGGAATAAAAAGGTGTTGGTTCTTTAACGAAATTACCAGTTTACCCTTACTGTATTGTAAAAGCCTATATAAAAGTTGAGGGTTAAGTCGGTAATTAAAGAAGTAAAGACAAAAGCAAAGCCTCTCCGTCAAAGTTTCGAGCTTTTTCTCATTTAATGTTTGTTGTTCGTATCGTCTCTGCGCCTCCTCCGTCCAAAAAAAATAAAAATAAATTCGTTTTTGACTTTTAAAGAATCAGATCAAGCAGATCGGAAACTGTGAGAACTGGGACACAAAGAAGAGAGATACTTTGGGTTTTTGGTCGAATGTCCGCAGAATGAATCGAATAACGTCTTCTTCCAATGCCCAAACGAAGAAATTTCCTCAGTCTCAGCCGCAGCCGCCGGAGAAAAAGAAGAAAAACCTGAAAATGGAGAGATTTCCGGTGAACCCTCTGAGAGGTTTCAGTACAATAAGCTCTGGAAGCAGTAGTAGCAGCAATGTGAGTGGTTCTGCTTCAACTTCCGGTGAAGCATCCAACGGTTGTCACAGGTTTTTGCATTCTCATTCTTTCTCATCTTCTTCTTCGTTGGGAGTTTTTCCTCGTAGACCAGTGAATTCAGTTGCTAAAACCCCCAAATCTGCTCCAGTTGTGAGTAAACCCTTAATTAGAAAGAAACCAAGCTCTCTTGAGGAGGTTAAGCTAAAGTCCACTCTTACTGAGAAACCCAATTTGCAGAAATCTCAGAGATGTAAGACAAATCCTGTATCTGGAAAGAGACCAACTTGTAAGATTACCATGAAACCGGAGAAAGTTTCGGTTTTGAAGAAACAATCTTCTGTTTCTAGAAATGTTAAGCTTAGAGATCGCCAAACTACGATTAGAGTAGATGACAGTATTGCTCAGAGTACTCCTGTGTCTAAATTAGGAACCGGATCTGATTTGATTTATAGAAGCAACAGTGAAGCTACTGATGATGGTAGACTAAGTAGCAACAGTAGTAGTTATCAAGACAGGACACCACCGGTTCAAGCTTCGGTGTCTCCAGAGATACAGTGTGGATCGTCTATGAATTTGTCTGCATCAGCTCAATCACAAGCTTGTTATGCTGCTGGGCATTTACTCTCTGGTGTTAGTGATAAGAGGAAGTGCAAGCCTAAGGGGATTCTCACTGTGGGTGAAAATGGTTTTGAGGTTGGTAAGGGCAAGATACTGAATGATTCTGATGAATTTGATGAAGGAGATTTTGGTAATGACGGAAGTTGTGATAACATATCTATCATGCCTTTGCCCGCGGATGCGTCAGTGCATTGGCTTTTATCTCCTTGTGATGAGGAGAAAGAACATGAGAATGAAAAATCTGATGATGGTTTCTCCCAGTTGCAGCAAATTGTTGAGTGCGTTGGCCATGAGACTCCTTCGCCAGTATCAGATCGTAGTGCTTCTTCGGATCTATGCAACATTAGTAGTGGTAGAAGTCTTTCGCCCATGGACATATATAAAGAGACAACGAGAAGGATCAGTTCTTCGCTTTCTCCAAATGAGCTTTTTCGGTTCAGAAGATTTATTCACCTTTCCGCCTGTGATGGTGAAGCTTCAGCATTCGACGCTTCCCCTACGTGTGAGCTGGATCCTTCTGAGCATTTGAAAGGAGACAAATCGTCTCCCTTATCTGTTGATACGCTGGGAAGTGAGAATGTTATTCAAACACCTGAATCCAACTCAAGCTTCGACAATTATTTCGGACTCTCATGTTCTCAAGCTGAAATCCAAAAGAAACATGATGTTGGTTCATATTTGGAAGCACTGACAATGAATTTTCAGTCAGCCGGTTTGTCACCAAGGATCCAGGCTTCATCACGGGAGCCGAGCCGTTCAAGTTTCAACTTTGACTCTTTGGCCACATCTTCTAATTCCATTGATCTCTCACAGTTTCAGAGAGCTTTAGTGGACAGAAGTTCTCGTCATCCTTATGTAACACTGGATACAGTGTCAAGGACACATGTGAGAGTAGAGCAAACAAATAGCCACATGCCTGAAATAAAATCCCAACAGATTACAGATACTGAATTTGATATGCAAAATCACAAAGAAAGTGCTGCTCCTCTGGGAATAGAAAGAGAATTACTTCCATTCTCTGCTGCAGAGTCAATAAGCACTGATGGTGGTGGTCTGATTTGTTCTGAGGATTCAAATTGGATGGCATGTTACAAGAATTAACTTCCTAGAAAGAATAGTTTTAGCATCTGTCTCTTTGTAAGTAGGTCCACGTTAGCAAGATACCTAAAGGAAATTTCCTTCTGTTATTGTGTTTATCTCTTGTTGTCTCCACATTTCCACTATAAACAGCATTTTTTATCAGAATATTTGAGATTCTTCAACCATTGACTTTTTTGTTGCTCAGTTCATATAGTACAAGAGAAGGAGATTATCAGGATCACTCTATTCTTGTCTTGTGGGTTCTTCTATAATAGGACCTCGTTATTTCAGCATCTTTCAGTAAAAGTTTGGTACTTAACTTTTTCTGATACCTTTCCTTTGCTCCAGGTTCTGAAAAAGGTCAAGTCCCTATACAACCTTTCGGTAAATCACTAAATTATTTGTTTCTCAGCCTTCAAAATACAAGAGAAGGATTCACACGATTATCGGATCATTATATTCTTGTATTTTGGTTTCTTCTAGCAAAGGACATTGTTGTTTCTCGGTATCTTCCAATTAAAGTTTGATACTTAAACTTTTCATGATACCTTCCCTTTGTTCCAGGTCTTGGAAAAAAAGGAAAGTCTTTAAGGAGAAACAAAGCTAAAAAGGGTTCTTCTAAGCATCTCTTACTTATTTCGGAAACCACACATCATCTTTTAATGTAATGTTGATCAAGAACCCATTCATACTTTCAACTTTCCACATATTCTCAGCCTTTTTCTGTTGGGATTTGGCTTTGCTGATTGATTCAGTACTATATATCTTTTTGTTATCATCTAAGTTCCTCTTGACAATACTGAAATTGTTATCGGTCATAACAATCTCTGGGGAAAAATGTCAGTTTATGTTGAAACAACATATGGAAGAACGAGCAAAGATGTTGATGAAGCTCACAGAATTTACCAACCGAAACAGAGTGATATCACCGGCAAAATGATCATCTTCATCCTTGCAGGGCTTTGCATGCTGCTCTTCATCTTCATCGTCATCGGTTTCTTTTTCATAGCCAAGCCACTCAAAGCAAGCTTGACATCTGTTGCTATAAGAAACCTCAGGTACAAAAACGATACATCATCATCATCATCGCTTTACTTTAACGCAACACTGGCTATGGAAATCAGAATTGAGAATCCGAATCTCGGGTTCTTTGAGTTTCCCACTAGTAAAGGAGATATCTTGTACAACGGTCATGTTGTTGGTGAAATGAGGATTAATGGACAACGAGTGGCTTCATATGGTGCCATGAGAACAGAAGTTAGGACACAAGTGGGTTACAGAGGGAATCAGACATCACCTGTTTGGTTGAAGAATGATATAGAGAGAAGGTTAATAATCCTCGAGGCCAGAGCTAAACTGAGAGGTGAAGTACACTTGAAGGCCTTGAACAAGAGAACAGTGAATTTGAAGTGTTTAATGCATCTTAATCTAATAGATGAAGTTATTCATCGTTTCTGGTGTAAATGAAACACTCTTTAAGTTGTTCCATACCTTTTTGGGTTGCAGTTAAATTTTTTTATTTTTTAGCTATACAGTATTAGTATACATTTATAAGTGAATATTGAAATACTTAGGTTTCTTTTAACATAAAAATTGATATCAAAATATCATGCTTTATGCTTATACCAAAATAATAAACGATTGAGATGCTTCAATCTGTAGAACTATATATTGTTCTAAAATGTCGAGTTTTACAGTAAAGTTAAATATATAAGAAATTGAGTGTTTTTTTTTCTTTAATTCTTATCTTGCTCTTTTTGTCACTTTCTTTAACTCTTATCATCAGATAAAAGTGTCGCTTTTGAATAATTCAATATGGTTAGTGTTTGTTAGCGTAAGAAACATCATCAGCTTTGTCGTCACTTCTTGTTTAAACTTCTTTAAGTTTTTTACTAATTTACTATAGATTCCAACGACTTAAACCGTCTTTAATTTTATTTTTATTTTCTTCAACGAAAGAGCATCTTTAATGTGGTGGTAACTTGAACGTTGAGACAAATTCTAACAATACTGATTAGGGAAGTATCAATACTTTCCTTCGCCATGTACGTGACAAATTCTCATCATACATTTGATGAGTTTATGCACGATGTTTATTAGATTTTCAAAACCATTATTGTAGAAATAAAAAATTGGGTTCAAATTCATAGTATAAACACAATCATTCGTAATAGATAGTTCGTTACATAATTTGATCACATGTTAAGTACTAATAAAATCTTGCTATTATTATAAACCAGCAATCCACATTTTCACATTAGTTACTGTTTTAATTAACATATAATTGTCAGAACTCGGTATATTTTCGTTCAGTGACATCAAATTTTGGTAATCTTATTGTATACGATTCTACCATTATGATATTTTTCTAATCAAAAGAAAACATTCTTTGGTATTTGGCAAAGTATCTCAACTTATTTATTGATATATCACTTTCTTTAAGCATAAGAGGTTATCTTAACCCGTCTTCTCTTCAGGAAGATATACATAAAAACGAAAGTTATTGGTACATAAAAACGAAAGTTATTGGTACATAAAACGAAAGTTATTGGAGATAAACCTAAACTAAATTAAACAAACAAACAAAAAGTCTCACAAAATCTTCACTGAATTTTTTTGGCTTGTTGTTAGACTTGGACACAACACCAAGTCAAAGATCAAGGGTGGATAACGTGTGCAACAGCTAAATCATTTGTTTAAAGGAAGTGACCTGTTGGACTTTTTTGAGGTCTCAATCACAAACCCTTTGTTATGTAATTATATGCATATGCACTAAACGCTAATGATTTTACGTTTGAGTTTGGTCTGAATCATCTGTTTCTCGTTGACAAAAATAATAATCATTTGAATTTCAAATATACAAAGTTGTGATGTATGGATGTTGCAACATGCTAAACTTTTGAAAAGCTTACATCGATAATCTCATATATATATACTCTAATTTTTGAATCATAAATCAAGTTTAAAATGTATTAATCTCACGATCAACCACTTGGTGTAAAACACTTAAATTACATATAAATGTTTTGAACATGACCAAAAATAATGATCATGAAATCCAAAACAAGATACACCGTAACCATATAACTCTACCAACTAAAGATAATCATTTGTTTATAACTTCATATAATTTATTGTGTAGCTTTGAAATTTGGAATTCCAAATAAGTAAATATAAATTGACCCTACTTATAATTTAAGATATAAATCAAATGGAAGAAGAAACAATATATACGAAAAAAGTTTCTTGTATATATAAAGAAAGATAAATATAAAAGAAGAATATTGGAAGGTAACTAAGCACCAAACCCAAAGTCAATAACCATAAACACAAAACCACAAAGAGAGAAATAAGAAAACAAAAATAGAGTGAATCATCAATGGATGGTTTAATACCGATGGCCCTTAAGGCCGTGAAGAAGAACCTGGCTCGTCGTCGTTACGAACGTCTCTCCTCCTCCGCCACAACTCGTGAGTCTTACGACTTTGTTTCCGATATTGAAATGAACGTCGACGGTCGTCACCATCGCCGTGGCTGGTCCGTTGGAGATTTCTCATCGTTATCAAGCCGGGAAACAAAAAGAAACGGTGGTGTAGCTCCGGAGAAGGGTTTTACTCCGCCGCGGGAGGGTCAACTTGTACGATTCAAGAGCCATAGATTGTTTTCTTGCATCTCAGGTCAATAATTTTATCAATTCAAGAAAATTCTCAAAATACAGAAAAAAACAAAAATAAATAGGAAATTTGCATTTTCTTTCGTGTTGTGTTTGATTTTATGTACAAAGAATCATGTAGATATCGTTATTTTGTGATCTTTTGATGTATACGTAAAGTTTGTAGTTGGGGTTTGTTGTTAAAATGTATATTTGTAAGGTCATAAACGAGAAATGAAAAGTTGTATGGACCAAACTAGAAATAATGTTAATAACTCTCCAAAAATTCTTGTTGACCTAATCCACATTTGACCATAGCCCCCTCAGAGTTGTTCCTTCTCCATAAGATACCACCAAAGAAACATATTTTAAAATTCTATAAACCAAATAAAAATTTGATTCAGGATCTGAGTAGCTGTAGATTAGTCAGAGTTACTCCTTCAACATCTAAAGATTTAAGATTTAGCAACAAAATTAATTGAAGAGAGAGCAAAAGAACACAATGCTTGCAAAAAGAGTGTAGCTAAATGCAAAAGCTCAATAAAGCTAAAGACTTTTGATTATTCTACAAAGTAAGAGTGCGTCTGTAGAGAACTTCATCATCACTCTCATCTTCTTCCTCATCAGACACAATCTCGCCACCAGGCATTTCTAACTTCCCGCCCATGTCGAACATTGGACCTTCAGTATCTGGATCGATAAAGTTACCTTGCAACCGTTCCTCGAATCTTTGGTCGCTGCAATTGAGGAACCAGTTCAATGAACTCCTAATTCCTTTGCTCTGTAGTTTTTGGTACCTTGGTTTGATTCTTGACTCCAAGCTATAAGTAAAATACTCAGGGTACTCCACGAGTTCTTTCATCGGTCTCCCCATCTCAGTCTTGTAAAAGTAGTAGCTATTCTTCATGAGTTCGACTCGGGAACATAGGATCTGAGGACATCTCACAACCATTTTCGCAATGTCCTCGACTTGAAATGCCCTGCCCAAGAGAAACTCAATGGGTTTCATTATCACATTCTGCTTAAGACTTACGATCTGTGGCATTTTCTCTACCACACGAGCGAATCCTTCAGGATCAATCTTGAGCTTCAAGCTGAAAAAGTACTGTTGTGTAGACATCTTGGCTTTTACCGGTAACCCGAGAATTTGAGGATATTGAGCTATAAGCAATGGTAGTAGCTCTTTCTTGACGCCAAAACTAATCAAACAATCTACATTTGGTTTAACAGTCTCCTCGAGATTGTATCCGACTATATATGCACGTTTCTCTAGCATCCTAGCCACAATTTTCTTTGGCAAACCAATAGAAATTAGATAATCTACTAAAGGTTTGATCATGGTTCCAACTCTCATTCCCAAAAGATAAGGATACTGAGTCACCATTGGACCAATATCCCTTGGACTCACACCAATGCTCACCAAATACGCAACCGATGTGCTCATGGTGCCTTCGAGCTTAAATCCTAACAGCTCAGGATACTTCATCAGAACATAACCCAAATCTTGCTTCTCCACATCAAGTCCTCTAAGAAACTTAACCACAGGAGCAAGCTCAACAACCACACTTGCATGGAGAACCTGAGGATAGTTCTTAACAAATTCTCCTAATTTCGATCTCGAGATTCCAATTTTCTCTAAGTAAGCCAAGACAGGAATCAAATTCTTACGAACACTACAACCTAACATCAAAGGATACTCATTGATATCGTCTATGGTTAACCCTAGCTTCTGTAAGAACTCAACACGCTCACACATGACTTCAATGGTGGAAGGTAGCTCAATACTCTCCAATTCATCGGTGATTATCCCCAAACCCTTGAGATAATCGCAGATTTTGACACGATTCACGAGCTTCTCTTTCTTCCCCTGTATAACTCCCCATGTGACTGTAGGCATCTCGTACTCCGGGAACTTTGAAGATTGAGTTGCATAGTGAGCAATCCTGAAAATCGAACAAGGGTTTTGAAATTGAGGGATATTAGGATCTGGGTTTATCAGGGTTTTAGTTTCAGTGGAAGTAATCGGAAAGATGAGACTCTGTCTTCTGATTAAAGCTAAGAACTTGTTCCTCCTGAGAAGAAGATAGCTCATTCTGGAGATACCCAGAAGACTGGCGTCGAAGAAGATTACGACTTTGCAATAAAAATCAAATGGGTAATCGAGAAAATGGTTCTCGCTTTCTCGCCTGAAGGATATAGCGATTAGAGAGGAGAGAGATACGAAAGGCGCGTGAAAGAAGCCCTAACGAGAGAGAGATAGAGAGAGAGCTTTTCACTCTCTACTCTTTCTTTTTTTTACCATCTCAGTAAAAATATCAAAAACCACTGTTACAGTTGACATGTGACACAAATTTTCCACCAAAAATTAGAACTTTTTGGTGATGACTGATGATGATGATGATGATGATGATGATGATGATGATGATGAATATACTCACAAACCTTGAGATCGTTGTTCAGAACATTTGGAGAAATTTTATCTATAAGACTTCACTTCAATGATCCAGAAAGGAGAATAACATTTAAGGTAAAGAGGTCAAAACATGAACAATACAATGGCAAGTTCCTGTATATACCAACGAGCTTTAAAAGCCTGTGCTAAAGGCAGAAGAAGTGGGAAACCAAACATCTAATCTTCACAGCTGATGATTTGGTAAATCTAACCTCAGCTTTTTCTAGAACCACCATTTGGTCAATGCACTGACAAAACTCGGAAGCTTAACGCATGTTTCCCTCTCTCAAAACATCGATCATGTTGTAGATTCGCTGATCTGCTTTCAATCGAATCTGCATTTCACAAAAGTGTTGAATCAACAATTAGCTTTATAGAGATTAGAGTAAGAGAAAGCTGAGATTCAATTTCGCAGAATCATGATGAGCAATATGAGTAAGCTTTAGAACCTTTTTGGCGAGGAAGAGCACGGCATCAACAGTACCCTCGGCGTATATTGATCTGCCGCAGACATTATGCTGGAACTCGAAGGAGACACTGCAAAGAAAGGCAAAGAAAAGGGAGCTAGTTATGGAACAGACACACTATTACAATGGAGGTAAAGAAAAGTATAAACAATATCTTAGATATTGCATTACGTTTCATCGGGTGATGTCAAGTGATAAAGATGGAAAGCGTGGCCAGAGATATGCTCTTCGGGAACACCCACCATCTCCACTTGCTGTTTTGGATCCCGAATCAATTGTATCTACGATAAAAGTTGTATACACAGAAAATTCATCTTCCGAGAATAAATTAAGTCATTACCAAGATGTAAACAATAAAGGACGAGCCAATGCACCTGATCCATGTCGTAAGACACACCCAATTCCTGGAAGCAAGAAATAACAGCTTTTGCTGTTCCGGATGCATCCAATTTGCTAGCTTGATGAGACTCCATCACCTACATAGATTGGCAGTTGATTAGACGTAGCAAGAAGTAATATAAAACTAACAGAAAAAGAAATATGAATTTGAATGTATAAAGGAAGTAAGAAAAGTACATCCAATGAATAACCAGAAAAGGCTCCCGGAAACTGCTCAGCCATGATCTCCATGGCCGCAAGAAATGCTACAACCTATAGACCAACAAAGCACACAAATATGAGCTAAAGGATCTTATTTACATGAATAAGTAATCAGTTCTTCCAGAAACATCCAAGATACCTGTTTACCCATCTGTGGGGAAATCACAGCATAAATCTTTGCTTCCTCAACAGTTTCATACAATTTGTTCCTATCTCCACCAGTTGTTCCCATGACGAAAGGAACACCTACTTTGCTATACAGCTTTGCATTATCTACGCATTGCGAAAATTCCAAATTTGAAATCAACTAACTACACAAAAACAAAACTTCTAGCAGCTGATGTTGCACTTACGCAAATTCGAAACTAACTCAATCAAGAATTGTTTCCCGAACCAGAATTCAATCATAGGTTCAACAAATCCAGAATACAATTGTCTCTTGATGGTAAAAATGAAAGATTCTGGAGTTTACCATTTACTGCAGAAGGAATTGTGTAGTCCACAACAATTAGCTCCGGGTGCTTCTCAAACACTGAAGAAAGAACCTTTTCTCTTTCAGTAGGACCGTGCACAGTAATCTCCTTTCCACAGACCTCAACTCTCTGACCATCCTCACCAGCAGATCCAAATGATATGGGAACAATATTTACTCCTGCAGAGTCTGCTGCTTTGATTACAGCTTTCCCCATTTTGCCACTACATCCATTCACCTGTAGAATAAGAGATCATGAATATAGCTAAACCCAACAATCACCATTTCAAAAGGAACAAGCTTTGACATTTCTACATTTCAAACTTAAATGTTTATACAAAGTCAAATCTCACAACTTTGAGTCTAAGCTCATCAGATGATCAGATTACCATGATGGATATGCCATTTCCAGGCAAAACAGATTTCACAGCCTCTTCACCGGACTCCGCCGTCGCCGTCATAGATAAAATCACCGGAAGACGACGTGTCCCAATGCCCATGAAACTAACACGGCCTTTACCGCATTTTCCTGCAGTCTGATTCGTTCTAGAAGCAAATGCGATACGCGGGCGATGAAGAAACACACTGGAAGACGCCATTAACCTGTGATCAAAACGTTTAATTTCAGTAGACTTCTCTTAAAGAGTTAAAGCTCATCTCCATCAATTAAAACCAAAATTCAATTCGTAGGTTTCGAAACGTACCCATTCGTAGCCATTAAAGAATTTCTTCTCCCAGGAGACGAAAGTTTTGTTCTTTGTTACGTCTACGGACAAAAGTTCAAATCTTTCACTTTTGTCTGAAATTTCCCGGCCGGTGAGAGAGATTGGGGATTTAGGGTTTAGCTTATCCCTTTTCATCAAACCGGGAATCTCTTAACCAAACTAATAGATTCAATAAAACCGGAATTTAATTAACATATTTAACCGGAAGCCTTGAACCTCACAGTCTCACTCTTAACCTGAAGAACGAAGAACCATCTCAAACAAATCCGACGAACGAAACATGAAGTCATTAGCTTCGCCACCGTGTCTCCGCCTGATACCGACGGCCCACCGTCAGCTCAATTCACGTCAATCTTCCTCCGCCTGTTCTATTCACGGTGGCTCTTCTGTGAACAAATCCAATAATCTCTCATTCTCCTCATCCACATCCGGTAAGCTTGCTTTTTTCTCTCTTCTCTAAATAGCTCAATCGATTTTTCGCAATTTCGTGATGAAATGTGAAAATTTGATGTTAGGATTTGCGTCACCACTCACTGTAGAGAAGGAATTACGCTCTTCATTCTTACAGACGGCTGCTGTTCGCCATGTTACTGGGTCTCTTATCAGAGGCGAAGGTCTTAGATTCGCCATCGTGAGTTCTCAGAATCGCTTTCTTACTTTATGCGCTGCTTAGATTTGGTGACTTGGTTCTGGTTTACAGTGAAATTTGAAAACTTTGAGCTCAATTGCAGTGTTGACTTGGTTCTGATTCATTTTTCTTTCTCAATGTTGTTTCAAGGTTGTAGCTCGTTTCAATGAGGTTGTGACTAAGTTGCTATTGGAAGGAGCGATTGAGACTTTCAAGAAGTATTCAGTCAGAGAAGAAGACATTGAAGTAAAAGTCTTTTGCTTGTAGATGATGATATGTTAAATCAGAATAAAAAAGTTCTGAGCTTTCACAAAGCTAATGATACTCTTTTTATTCAGGTTATATGGGTTCCTGGCAGCTTTGAGATTGGTGTTGTTGCTCAAAATCTTGGGAAATCGGGAAAATTTCATGCTGTTTTATGTATCGGCGCTGTGGTATGATTCTTGTTTTAAACAATTCTCAGGCCATCCCATTTGTATTTCTACTCATATGACTTCTTCAAGCTTCAGAAAGTAGTTGCTTTATGTTACTGACATATGCTTAGAGTTGGATTTTGATATACTGTTGTCCTTGTTGTGGTTTAGATAAGAGGAGATACCACACATTATGATGCTGTTGCCAACTCTGCTGCGTCTGGAGTACTTTCTGCTAGCATAAATTCAGGTTTACCTCGATATTCATTTGCAGGATATGCATTTTTAGACACATGAAGAGCTGGTTGTTGATTTTGGCCTTTCTTGGGATTTTGGAAGATTAAATTTCCCGCATCATGAATCAGTTCTTCAAGTTTTGTTTCTGGTTGTTGACGCACTATTCACTCTAGTAGTAATTAAAGCTTATAAAAAAACCAATCTGCAGGTGTTCCATGCATATTTGGTGTACTGACTTGCGAGGACATGGATCAGGTTAAGTTTTGATATGCAAGAGTTGATGGTTTTATTAATCACAAGGATAAACACTGAACTTGTTGCTATTGTGGTCAAACTGAAACTCTAGGCTTTGAATCGATCTGGTGGCAAAGCGGGCAATAAGGGATCTGAAACTGCTTTGACGGCGGTAAATAGCATTATGATTCAATCCTTTATTCTTAGAACAAGATATAGAAGTTCCCAATCATTCCAGTTATTTTCGCGCTTTCCTGAAATTTTCTCTCTCTCTTTTCTTTCTTCAGCTCGAAATGGCGTCGTTGTTTGAGCACCACCTGAAATAGCTCTGCTGGTTCCATGGATGAACAATGATCACGTATGAGAACTTCATGTTGTTGTCGCATTTGGTTACAATCCAATCTCCAAAATTCTACCTCAAAGATTGTCAAAATGTTTTACCCTTGGTTACAAATCATTTAAACGCTTTTGTAAGCTTTTGGCCTTTTTTTTTTTTTGAGTCGTGTGATATACTCCTTCCGTTTCAAAATATAAGGCGTTTTAGCTAAAAACACGCCGATTAAGAAGATCTACTTTTTAAAAGTTCAACCAATCATAAAAGAAACTGCATAATAAAAATAATCATAAAATATTAAAGTAATATATAATTTGCATAGAAACTTGAAAACGACTTATATTGTGAAACAAAAAAATTTCTCCAAAACGCCTTATATTTTGAAACGGAGGGAGTATAATAATAATTCCTCCGAATTTTGGGGGTCTTTCTGCGTTAATCAAAAATGTGATCTTCTTTGTTGTAATATCTTGAAATTGAGGTGTCGAAATGGATTTAAATTTTAAAGGCCAATAAGGACCTTACACGACGAAAATTTTGTCGGCAAGCGAAGATTACGCGTCACATTGATAATAGTTAATATAAAGTTCAACGGATCAACCAATTCCACAATCTTCAATCATTTTGTGACTCTTCGAGCACTCTCTTCTCTCTGTCTCTCTGTGACTCACATTCATCCAATCCAACTCTCGAGGTAAAACTCAATCAAATCCACTAAGTTTTCTTTCTCTTCATTGTTGTTCTTGCGTTGATCCTTTATGGTTTGATCGGAATACATGGAAAAAGGTTGTGGTTAGATCGACCTTTTCTGATTCTGACCTTATTTTCTCCGATCTGTTTGACATTAAAGTTGATCTAGTGCTATCTTTTTTAGATCGAACATTCGGATCTGTATTTTCCTACGAATCCACATGATTCACGTGATATGATCATTGTCTCGTAGTACAGAGATGCATTGTATGTTCTTTGGTTTGAGCTATACCACTAGGATGTTGTTATGATCCTGGTTGGTGAGATCTAATGTGATGCGAGTTGTCTATAGTGTTTCGTGAGATATCAAAGATATGATGATGAATCAGCATTATTTTGTAGTTATATTGTATTAGCCTTTTACAACTACTGAAAACTGTGATTACTGTCTGTTTGACTTTTACAACCATTGTTCTGTCTTTTGCTTAATTGCTGTGTTTGATACTACTCTCAGCGTTGAATGCTTGAAGTTTTGTCTATTCTTTGATACTCTTTAAGCATTTTTTTTTTGTAGCACTAATCATTGACTTTTGAAATTTATGACCTGTTGCTGCAGCTTAGGTATGTCGACTTCTGAGGATAAACCAGAACTCCTCAGTAGAGTTCATCAGGAGGGTGACGTGGAAATTGTCGATAGAAGTCAGAAGGATAAGGACGAGGAAGAAGAAGGGAAAGGTGGATTCCTCGATAAGGTGAAAGATTTCATTCATGACATTGGTGAGAAAATCGAAGGAACCATTGGGTTTGGGAAGCCAACTGCTGATGTCTCTGCGATTCATATCCCCAAGATCAATCTTGAGAGGGCAGATATTGTTGTGGATGTGCTTGTGAAGAACCCGAATCCAGTTCCTATCCCTCTGATCGATATTAACTACCTGGTCGAGAGCGATGGGAGGAAACTGGTTTCGGGATTGATCCCGGATGCTGGAACCCTCAAGGCTCACGGAGAAGAAACTGTGAAGATACCATTGACTTTGATCTATGATGACATCAAGAGCACTTACAACGATATCAACCCCGGGATGATCATACCTTACAGGATCAAGGTTGATCTTATTGTGGACGTGCCAGTATTGGGAAGACTGACATTGCCGCTGGAGAAATGTGGAGAGATCCCAATTCCAAAGAAACCCGACGTTGATATCGAGAAGATTAAGTTCCAGAAGTTCTCTTTGGAAGAAACCGTGGCGATCCTCCACGTGAGGCTTGAGAACTTGAATGATTTCGACTTGGGGCTCAATGACTTGGACTGTGAAGTTTGGTTGTGTGATGTAAGCATTGGGAAAGCAGAGATCTCAGACTCGATCAAGCTTGACAAAAACGGAAGTGGGTTGATTAATGTGCCAATGACATTCCGACCAAAGGACTTCGGTTCTGCGCTTTGGGATATGATTCGTGGGAAAGGAACTGGGTACACTATCAAAGGTAATGTTGATGTTGATACACCATTTGGAGCTATGAAGCTTCCGATTATCAAGGAAGGTGGATCGACCCGTCTGAAGAAGGAAGATGATGATGACGACGATGATGAGGTCAGATGCTCTTCTCTTTTGCTAATAGCATGAACATTATGATCGTTTTTGCTCACAAACTTAACTTCATTTTCTTACAGGAGTAAAAGGAAAAGAGCCCAAGAGCAAGAGTGGTCAAGTACTGAATCCAGACTTCCAGTCCAGACTTCCAGTCTTAAAACATATTTAAATTATATGAAAGACTTTATTTTGTGTGCTTTTGGTAACTGATGGATCAGACTTCTGAATAGAGCTGTCTTTTTTTGGACTTCCTATATCATCATCACCAATTCGCTTGGTTATGTTTTGTTTCAATCGCGTTTGGAATCTATACCTAATGGATTGGATATATTCATGGTGATAGTCGATTACATGTATGAACCTAAAACAGTTGTTAACGGCTGTGTTTATCCATATTTAAAAAAAAAAATAATCTCAAGTGATAATAACTTAACCAATAATAGGTCAGACTTAAACACATTAGATTGTCCAAGAATCGATCAAAAGCCATCTTTATAATGGAACCCAAGGCCCTCTCTCGTGGGTTTGGTTGATTGAGTTTGTCTTCTTCTTGTCTTTATATATTTGGGCCTGTCTTCTCGTTAGTAGGTCAGACCGGTTAATCTGAATCGGTTTTTGATAAACCATTAATTAGGCTCTCTCTCTCTCGCTCCCGGGGACTCTCCATCCATAGTTCCGTTCGCTCTCTATCTCTCTCTCTCAAATTGCAAGGTTGTTCGATCGACTTCGCCAATCGCATACCTCAGGTTTGTCTCGATCTCAAACTACATCGTTATACGAAGCCAATAGATTGATGGACCCAACTATCATTGCTAGAAATGACTCGGAGTTTAGTGATTGACCTCATTTTGATTGGGAATTTTTAAAAAATTCGTTCGTGCTGATTTAGGGTATCTGGGTCGTGCGAAGAAGCCCTAATTTTGAGGGGTATGCACACTTTCACAATGTTAATGTTGTGTTTATTTGATAGGTTGTTGGAGCTAGAGTCGTGCCCAAAAACCCTACCTTTTTCACTGTTTAGAGCCATGTCAGCTCTTGTGGCGTTATGCAGAGCTCGAGCTACTGCTTCGTCTTCTTTATTCAACAGCGTTATTCGTCCAGCATTTCGCAATTTCTCTACAGGTAGCTGATATCTCTTTATTTGCGTGATTGTCTGTTTCAAGAAAATGGTTCTCCTCTATCTACTTTGGATGGCCATTATATGATGCTGGCTTTTTAAGTTTTCAAACTCACTCTCTGCTAGTAATTGGATCATCAGGTTCTTCAATGTATTTTAGAAAGGGGTGATTTATGGATTGTGAAATGGTGTTATCCTTGAGGAACCTGGTTGCACTGTGAATTTTATAAGAAATAATTGCGTTGTTACAAACAACTAAACATTGAGAAACGGCTATTGTTATGTTAGCCTCTTCTATTTAAGTGTTCCAGTTGATTTTTTTCCGATGTTGTGGGTTCTATCAAGGTGCAAACTCCTTCTAGATGGATCACGAACTGAATGAAAGAACTTGCTTACTTCTGCATTAGATTATGAGCTATTGTGAAAGTGCAGTTGCTTCTTTTTGTTAGATGATAAACGAATGAGGTTGTATCACATCGCCTCTTCTTAATAAATTAGTCTTGGATAAAAGAATGAGCTCAAACTATGATACTTCAAGTTAAGATACTCTTTTGTTGGTAGAATTTACCATCATTAGAACATAGAAAAGTTTATAACTAGGGCCTAAGCTTGGATCTCTGCAACTCTGGTGCTATTTGTATCAAATTCTTTTCCTAAGTCTCTTGCTAGCTGTATCATATTCTTTTCCTGTAATTAAGATTGAGCTCTGTGGAGTAGTATCATTAGTTGATGCATGTAGCTACTTTGTGGGACTTGAGTCTGTCTAGTCTATATGTGGAGTATATACATCTCAAAAGTGACTTAACCAGAGGGATTTGGAGATCCAGAGTTTCAATCTAGCTTTTTTGTCAAAATCCATGTCTTCTGTTTTGTGTGCGTTTTATTTTTTGATAGACATTTTAAGGCCTCTATCTCTGTTTTTATTATACAGGTTTTGCTGATGCACAGAACAAATCATTGGTGGCGCAAATGAAAGAAGAGATGCTCCACATGGACATCAACTCAATGATAGGAAGTTCCATGCCACTAGGTATGATGCGTATCGGAACAATCATCCACAACATCGAGATGAACCCAGGGCAAGGCGCGAAGATGGTCCGAGCTGCAGGAACCAACGCCAAGATCTTAAAGGAGCCTGCTTCAGGGAAATGCTTGATAAAGCTTCCGTCAGGGAACACCAAGTGGATCAACGCCAAATGTCGTGCTACGATTGGCACAGTGTCGAACCCGTCTCATGGAACGAAAAAGCTATATAAAGCAGGACAGAGTAGGTGGTTAGGGATAAGGCCCAAAGTTAGAGGAGTGGCGATGAATCCGTGTGATCATCCACACGGTGGAGGTGAAGGAAAAAGCAAAAGTAGTGGAAGCAGAGGAAGGACATCGGTTAGTCCGTGGGGGAAACCGTGTAAAGGCGGTTACAAATCAGCTAGTGTCAAGAAGAAGAAGAAGCGTTTGGCAGAAGCAGCAGCCAAAATGTGATATGGGTGAACAAGTTACCATTTTCTTCTTCTAATGCTTCTTTCTTTAAAAAAGCCTCAAGGTTTTGTGACGTTATTGAATCTGTTTTTTGAGAGTTTTAGGCTTCATGAAATTGGAGGATCTTTTATCAGTTAAGAATAAATATGGTTACGTGTTTCCCTTTAAAAAAATCGAAATCAAACGTTTTCCTTACTTAAAAAACGTTTTCCTTAATCAAATAAAAGGGAATATAATCTAATTGACACAGAGTGAGTATATTCTCCAAAATCTTTTCTCCAAATGAAAATCTTAATGCCAGAGCTTGTGTAAATGAAAATATTTTCTCCAAAAGTGAGTAAAAACTAAAATCAATGATGGTGGTATCCAATATTTTTTTTTATATTAAAAATATATATATCAAAATTAAACCGATTTTAACTCGATCTAACTGATTTAACCTAATTTAACCGATTTTAACCAAGAAAATCTAAAAAATTGATTTAATTCGGCAGAAATTCAAATAACCGGAAGAAACCAAACCCCACCAGATTATTTGTTCGGTTTATTTCGGATGAATTTTTGATAATCAAACTAACTCGAAACCCGAATAAACCGATCCCGACCTGAAAACCCGAACTCACATGCCCTAGTACCTAATGTACATTTCTTTCAACTAAAAGTGTTTAACTTAGTTCGTTTAGGTCAATTCATCATTTTTTAAGGAGGTTGAGGGTTGGAACACCTTTTCTACCTCATTCTACTTAGTATATGTTTTTAAAAATGCAACAACTAATAAGTTTATAATTATTATCTATATATACATTTTTGGAGATATTTATGAAATAAATCATGGAGTTCTAACTTATTTACGATCAAATGTCATTGGCATTAATTATTTAGATTTTCAAAATTAAATGAAAGATAATAACATAAAAAATCATTTCCAAAAATTTTAACCTAATATATTAAGCATAACTAATTCTTGCCACAATTACATCAATATTCAATTCGATTTCCTTAAAAGATCTCAACAATCCCTACATTTAATCGTGGCCATTTAAATCTTAATCCCGTTTTTAATCTTCAATCTTGACCGTCGGTTATACGCAATTAATTCAGAAATCATTATATATAATTAATTATTATTAAATAAAATTAAAAAAATATATATATAAAATCAAACTTTTAAATTGACTCGAATTATATGTCTATTAAATAAAATATTATTAAAAATAAAAAAAATGATGTTTAATTTTACGGGACGGGGTTATATAGTGGGACGGGTTTGGATCGATATTAATACGGGACGGGTTTTGACTTAAATTACTCTGTTTCCAAACCCTATTAGATCCTTAATTCTAAGCTAGGGTCGATTGAAACCCTAGATTTAGAGCCCTATTTATATAGCTTTTAGCTCTTAAAATAAAATTATTCAGTCGCTTTGTGAGAGAGAGAGAGGGAGAGAGTTATCTTAAAGCACTACTATACATACGTTCCTTGGCCATGGCTCCTCCGGCTCCAGTAGACGTGCATACACTCAAGCGTGATATCGAGCAGTTGGCAACGGCTGTGCAAGCTCTCGCCATCCAGCAGGAGGATTACATCAATGTTGAACCACAAGAAGAAGATCTGCGGTGGGAGCAAGGGTTCAAGTTTGAGCTTCCCGAATATCATGGCAGACAATCGGCCGAAGAGTTTCTCGATTGGATCTTCACGGTCGAAGAGACTCTTGAGTTCAAACGCGTACCTTTAGAGCGATGTGTTCCCATGATTGTGATACGATTCCGCGGCAGAGCGGCAGCTTGGTGGTCGCAACTAAAGGCGTCTCGAGCACGTTCCGGTCGGTAAACCTAGAATCTTGTCGTGGGACAAGCTGAATAAGAAGATGCGTAAGACGTTCTTACCATTCAACTATGATCAAGTGATGTTTCAACGCTTGCACATGTTGCGACAAGGAGAGGATTCAGTAGAAAAATATTCCACCCAATTCTTTTTGCTTTTGACGCGTGTTGATCTGCAAGATTCGGACCAGCAGATTGTGGCTCGTTTCGTTGGTGGCTTGCGGAAAAATATCCGAGACCAACTTAACTTGCTAAACCCTCTCACTGTTGCTGAAGCTCATCAACAGGCCCTCACCATGGAAGCTCAAACTTGTAAGGACGACGACTTTTGGTCGAAAATGGTTGCATGGGGTATAATCGTTGGCTTATGCGGTTCCGTCCTTCTTTTTGAAAATTCCAAATCAAAAAAAAAAAGTCGGTAAGACAACGAGAAGACTCCAAGCCAGAAGGTCTATCTTAGATTTAGAGCCTTATACAATATAGTTTTTTTTTTTTCTTATATCCTTTCATTATTCGGCAGCGTTTGAAATTTATAAATCAGTTTTCATTTTTTCTACAAAACATTGTCTCGATAACTTTAGATTCTTAATCGTAAACAATATATATGTATTCATAATTTATATTGTTTCACTTGGTGATTTTTATTTAAGTGAAGTAAACACACAAAAATATAATCATTTGTTATTACTCTGTTCTGGAAACAATATTTTTTCAACAAGACACTGATGTAATCTATTTTTCTGTTGTCATCAAAGAGCTTATGCCCTCTCTTGACAAGAGTATACATTTATTTCCATTTGTTTCCGATACTGTATATTTGATGGAAGTGAGCAAAGTGAAGTTGTAGTGTAATGGGAGAAAAACAACAAAGAATAGCTAGGATTCTGCATCTTTGATTTTTACTTGATCCTCAAACCCTGACTTATGTACGAACTAAAATTGTTCTCTTTTTTTATATGGAAGATGAGTTAAGCAAACTAAACGTTTATCTTTTAATTATACCCGACATCGGAATTTTTATCTTTTTCAAAACATATATTCGACAGCCAACTATTTAATATGATATTTTTAGGGGGTTTTGAAAATTGAGAAAAAACAAGAATGGTATTATTCTATAGGGAAAAAAGTGAAAGAAGCACACAGAATTGGAATTAAGATAGAGAATGAGATGTAACAACCAACAGAGCAGCCACCATTCTTACAATCTTGCGTCCTACTCCTCCATATCAAATTATCATTTCATCTTTATGCGTTTAATCTTCTAAATAACAATTTTTGGGCTTTCAAAGCAATTGTGTTCTTTCTGACATTCTCTCACGATGACAGGCACGCTTGTGGGAGGTACCTGAAAAAAGAAAACATGGTCAGTGTCCGATGGTTTGAGAATCTGAATGAGTGGAGAAACTGTGTTGCATTATGTTTATGGATGAGACTTAGGACCCTAATTAATGCTATGTTTTTTAGACGATATATGATTAATCTTACCATGCCATAATCTGTGATTATCATGGAAATGTAATCTGAAGGTGTAGCATCATACCTGTCATTAGAAAAATCACAAAAGGGTTTAGTGGCAGAGAAGAATAGCTAGTATTAACAGAAGATAGTTTCACTTGTATACGATTAATACAAGCTAGCTTACATCAAGTTCAAAAACTTTAGGTTTGCATTGTTGGTCAAGCCATCAAAGTAGTTTATGTCTTCTCTTCCATGAACTTTTGAAATAGCATTTGGATCACCGAGCTCATTGGACGAGCATATTGAATAATCCAATAGTACCCTCTCATGGAACTTGTAGGCTTCGCAACAAACAAGCACAGGAACACGGAAAGCAGTTGCCACCATTGCAACACAAGCAGTCCCAACCCTAGAGTAAACTGTTCCGTTAGAGAAAACTGATGAGGCGCCCAAAAACACTTTGGTGACTTGGTGCATGATATATGAAATGGCATTTATATGAGTGTATGCACAGTTAATGCCTCGTTTGATCAATCTACGAAGCAGTAGCTGCCCTTGAAGCTTTGGGCGAGAATCCACCACCAAGACACGAAACTTTTTCCCGAGTTCATGCGCATGTAATAATACCATCTCAACAGCAGTGGGAGATCCGTAGGTCAGAAGGACATCACCGTCTCTTATCTTAGTGACAGCATGTTTGACTATCACCGTATCTGCCCCTATGATTTTCTCGTTGATGAACCGTGCGATATCTGACTTAAGAGCAGCTTTTGCTTCAGATTCAGAAAGTGTTATAGGCAGCTTTGCAATCCTGTTTTTCACAAACCGGATTGCGTTTTCCATGCTAACCGAAAGCGGACGACAATCTCTGAGAAAAGAGACGTAGCTACTTATTTTCGCAGCCATGTTCCTGTTAAGAGTCTTCTCAGGCGGTGTAGAATAATCTTTGACAACCTCTTGGAATGCCTGGAGCATCGCAATACACCTGGCATTGCCACCAGAAATATCCCCAGAAAGATATTGAAGACCAACCTGATAACCACATGCAACTGATACTCATTATTCAGTACACAATTAGTAACATTCATCTTAATGAAGCAATATATCAACCACTCATTAGAACAAAGATATTATTATTAATGGTTTATTAATTACAAGCATCAATTAAATGAATTCAAGAGAAAACAAATACCTTGTACACAGCAGGATGCATAGGGTCAAGTTACGATTTTCTTCAAATGCTTCTTTCTTTAAAGAACCTCGAGGTTTGGTGACGTTGTTATTGAATCTGTGTTCGAGAGTTTTATTAGGCTTGATGAAATCGGAGGATCTTTGATCAGTCAATAATAAATATGGTTACGTGCTTCCTTTATTAATAAAAATCATCGAAATCAAACGTTTGCATTATGACCACGTTTTAAATAATGCGATTTTTCCTTCTTTTTATATATTTAAACTGTCGTAATCAAATTTAAGAGATTGTTCTATGGCTTATGTATTACTAGCTAGAGTAGGGCTCAAGTAAAAGGTTCGATCGACGAAAGGGTCTAAAAAGTATAATTCAGAAAACGAATTAAAAATGAAACAAGAGAAAGAGTCAAAAGGTTGTAACAATGCATTGAATCAATCCCCACGATAAAAAAAACATTCAACACAAATGTCTTCTTTGACTTATATTATTACCCCAAAACTTTAAATTATACCTGACATCGGAATTTTATCTTTTTGATGAAACTTTGAATGTTGTAGCAGAGAAATCTACATTCGTCAGCATTAGTAAAAGAATACTATTATACATTTTTGACCACATAATTTTGCTGGTAATGCATGTTTTTATTCCTATAGAATATATATACTTACATAACAATTGCATAATTTTAAACTAATATATTAAGATGGAATTCATAGCTAGTCTAAAATATAGGATTTTATTCTCTTAACTATATGAATTACCGTCGCTTTATATCAATTTATAAAGTGAAGAAACCAATTTGACATTTTCCTTGGTCTAAACAACCAACGTATTGAAAAAGTTGTTTTTATGTGGTTTTGAAAATTGAGAAAAAACCAACAACGGTATTCTATAGAGAAAAAAAGTGAAAGAAACACACAGAATTGGAATTAAGATAGAGAATGAGATGTAACAAACAACAGAGCAGCCACCATGCCTTACAATCTTGGGTCCTACAATTCATCTTTATTCTTATTTCTATTTAGTCTTCTAACACTACAAAAAAAAGATCATTTTACATCATTTATTTTCAATATTTGTATTACTTATAATTGATGTAAAAGAATTTTACATCACTTAAATAATTGATTTATATATTATTGATGCAAATAATTTACATCATTTTATTAAAAACTGATGCAATTATACATAATATTTGCATCGCTTGTCATAACTGATGTTTATTTTGAATCGGTTACAAAAAATGATGTTAATGTTTACATCATTTTGTGCAAGTGATGTTAGTGTTTGTAACAGTTATTATAACTGATATCAATATTTTCATCACTTATAAATAATTGATACTAAAACTAGTATCACTTTTCATAACTGATGTTAATAATTATATCATTTATGATAAACGATTTACTAAATACATCATTTATAATAATTGATTTAAATCATTACATCATTTTAACAAAATTGATGTTATATTTATGTCGATTTTCATAAATGATTGTAGTTATAGTATCATTTATAAAAATCGATGAGAATATTATTTTTTTATAATTGATAAAATCATGTATTGAAATGATTTCACATCGTTTATAAAGTGACACAAATTAAAATACTAACAACGTGTTTTAACATATATTTTTTTAATCCAGAAAAAATAATTAATTAAAAACAAAAATAAAAGAAATTTAATTAATAATAAAAAAAACTGAAAAACAAATTACATAATCAATCCATCGTGCAAATGCATAAATATAAATAAACTAAAAGTAGATAAAACGTTTTGCTAAATAAATTTTGATCATAACTAGCATTTATAACTCTTAAGCGCTTAAACGTTTATCCACTGGCACCATTATCTTTTTCCTGGAAAATAAATCATTCAATGTATTAATTTATTATATAAATATCTGGTATCTATGAAATTGATATGTAAATATCATTTACCTGAGGATTAGGCGGATTTGGAATGTTTACAAATGGTGGATTTGGTATGTTCGCAAAAGCCGCTGCAAAATTTATAGCCCATGCACTTGCCTGAATATTTAGTTTAAAACATTAGTATTATATATAGAATTATAATAATGTAATTTAAATTACAAATTCTTATTATATTTTATTACCTGTTCACGAGTTGAAGTACCAAGTATTTGTTGGAAGAACTTAGACATTCCATTAACTTGATCACCTAATGCCTTCACTTGTGCCTTCAGTTGGACGACCAATTCAGAATTTTCTGTCTCTTGTCTTCTAGGTGCACTTGAATGTTTCACTAATCTTGAAGGTGTGGGCCCACGACCAACACAACGTACTCGTCCTGGACGCTCTGGACCGAACACCTGACTATATTCATCATCCAAGCTAGCTGTAATATTGTTTGTGACTTGCGGATTTTGACTCAACAACGTCGTAAGTGCTTCCTAAAAAAAAGTAGAGAATGATAAATATTTCATCCAATAGATTTTCATAGTGACTGAATAACGCATCTCAAAATTTTATTTAGAGATCACTTCCAAAAACTATTGACCAAAATTCATAGTAACTTTAATAAAACTAACCGCGCGTATTTTTGCCTCATCACATACAAAGCTTCCATCCTGTTTCTTGCGAGTCTCAATGAAAAACTCCGCTCGACATGGCGTTTTTCCAATCTTGGTTTTCTGCGTTAAACAATATACAAAATCAATAATATACTAGGATTATATATATCATACCTATGTAACTCACAATTTCGTCTCTTTTTCTTGAAAAACTCTTCCTTCCACATAAGTGAGGCATGATATTATTTTTCTGGTTCTTTGTATTCCGCTCTTGCATTTTCTGAAAGCTCATATGTTAAAAAGAAATTAATTGCATTTGATATAGCATGCTTCCTATAAATATCCAACGAATAAACTATACCTTCCACTTTTCGGTGAATCTCATGTGAACCAAATGAGACCATTGATCTTCAGGAATTTTGTCGGGTCGATTCTGCAACGTTTCGTTCAGATTACTTTTTTTGTAATCATTCCAAACACGTTGTTTGACATCCTTGCATCTGCTACCTAATGCACCCATCACATATTCTTTTCTCATCATCGGATCATCAAATCTGAATTTGGACTGAAATGATATAAAATGAAACGAGTCATCAGACCTAAATATAATCTTAAAACATCCCATGGTTTAAAAAATCTATAGATAGATGTTACCTGAATTACTTCCCATGCTCTTGTTTTTATATGAGGACTAACCAACCTCCAATCGGTGTAGTTGATGGGTAGCAAATGGACATCATTGCTTAATTGCCCCAACCATGATCCAAGTAAACCTCCAGAATCACCAATTGGCTGACCGGTATCTTCATCGAAATGCACAATTACTTGGTGGTTTTGCATTTTCCAGACATCTTTAGATGTCATCATTTTGCCTTCTATGTTTCCATCGACATCTTGTTGATAATTACCACATATATATCAAACCAAAATCGAATTAGTAAATAAAATCAAATTAACATATATGCTAAAGCAGATTAGTTATAAAGAAGTGCAAATTTGACTAAATATATCAAAAGCCAAAGCAGATTATTAGTATTACCTATCACTTCAATTTTCCATTTGAAGCTTTTACATTCTGGAGCAAGTGCGGGAGGATTATTGTAATTTGTTTCCAAATATGGTAAATCATCTGGTGCTTGTGTTTCTGAATCCGTAAACTCCATGATCCTAATCAAGGAAAAAAAATTGTTAGCAATACATATTTCTGTTACAAAGAAAGAAATATGATCCTTGATTTTCAGCTTTTTTCTATGCTTCCTATGATTCTATTCTACAGAAAAAGGAATTCTTAGTTTGATGACAAAAATATGAGGCAACGATCAAATATAATCATATGATAAAAAAAAATATAAAATAATTCATCGAGACAAAAGAAAAAAAAATGTAAGCCACGTTAAGCCACTTTCATGGAATCTCACGTTAAGCCACTTTCATGGAATCTCACGAATTATTTATTTTTGAATAACAGAAACGTACTCTCGTAAGGGATCAAGTAGTTGACAATTGACCAATATATGTCGATGTGCTTGTTGCCTCTCTACATGATTAAGAGTATAAACCTGACCCGCTCCAACAAATCTTCCAAGGTTTGGAAAAATAAATGGAAGTTCTGAATTTGGTCTTATACTGGTCTGAGCTAGAGGTCGATCATCAACGCGGCCAAACGATTAAATCGTGTCTGTATATCATTCAGATACATTGAGCAAAACGTTACACACTCATCAGCTAAATACTGCTCGCATATAGAACCTTCAGGCTTGGCACGATTCCGAACATATGATTTGAAGTGTCCTAGAGCCCTGTAGATAAGTGAATTAAGTAAGTTTCTAGTTATGTGTATATATAAACATAGAATGTTAAAAAAAAACACCTCTCAATCGGATACATCCAACGAAATGGAACTGGTCCACCGAGTTTTGCCTCTTCTATAAGATGTACTACTAAATGTACCATCACAGTGAAAAATGATGGAGGAAAAAGCATCTCCATATGACATAAAGTCAGAACAATGCGGTCTTGTAATTTGTCAAGCTCATCGGTATCGAGGACCTTTACCGATATATCTCTAAAAAATTGACAAAGCTCGACAACGGCTGAGGTCACATCTGTTGGCAGTAGATTTTTAATTGCGACTGACAATAAATCTCTCATTATCACGTGACAATCGTGGCTTTTCAAGCCTGATAGCTTTCGACTTTTAACATCAACACAACTTGATAAATTAGAAGCATAACCGTCTGGGAGTTTTACATTTTTTAAGACACTTAAAAAAATGTCCTTCCCATCATTGTTCAGAGTAAAACATGCTGCTTTATACTTCTCATTATCATCAGGCCACAAGTCAGCACGTATACCTAGCTCACGGAGATCTTTTCTAACACTCAGATTATCTTTTGATTTTTTTTTATCATCCAAAAATGTGTAGACTAGATTGTCAAACACATTCTTCTCTATGTGCATGACATCCAAATTATGCCGCAACATAATAAATTCCCAGTAAGACAACTCAAAAAATATACTTCTTTTCTTCCACTGCTGAGTGGTACTTGAAGTTCCACTTCCTGAAGCACCACTTCGATCTCTTTTTCTTCCAACTCCAACTAAACCATGGTTTTTACCAAGAGTCACATTAACTTGTTCTAGTTGGTGAATAACTGTAGAACCTGACAATGTGGCCGGTGGAGATCTAGCTTCTATCTTTCCATCAAAATTAGTTTTATCATGATGATAGACATGCTCTTGAGGAAGAAAACGGCGATGGCCCATAAAACAATTTTTTTTCCCATGGCGTAAACGTTCTCCGTTGCCTTCAAAATTGCAGCTTGGACAAGCTAAGTTCGTATACGTATTCCAGCCTGACAAATTTCCAAGACCGGGAAAATCACTAACTGTCCACATGATGGCTGCACGCATGTCAAATGTTTGCTTTGTGGAAGCATCTAGCGTTTTAATCCCATCAGACCACAATTCCTTCAACTCTTTAATAAGCGGCTGCAAGTAGACATCAATATCATTACCAGGCATATGCTTTCCAGGGATAACCATAGAGAGGATCATTGATGTTTGCTTCATTGCCATCCATGGTGGAAAATTATAAGGAAATAGTATCACTGGCCATATGCTATAACTACTACTCATGGTACCAAATGGGTTAAAACCGTCAGTCGCCAAACCTAATCTGACATTTCTTGGATCAGATGCAAATTCGGGATATTTTTTATCAAATTCCTTCCAAGCCCTTCCGTCTCTTGGATGTCGAAGCTTTCCATCATTGTTACTAGAAGTTGCATGCCATTTCATATGGGTAGCAGTTTTTGATGACATGAATAAACGTTGCAGTCGGGGCTTTAGAGGAAAATAACGCAAAACCTTTACAGGAGTTTTACTCTTTTTGTTCTCTGATCCAGATTCTGTACTCTTTACTGAAATATTTTCTTTCCAACGAGAAGCTTCACAAACTTTGCAGATTTCTCTTTCTGCATCTGCCTCCCAAAATAACATGCAATCATTTGGACATGCATGAATTGACTCATAACTCAATCCTAATTTGCGAATAACTTTTTTCATGTCACTAAATGAATCTGGCAATTTGGCATGTGTAAATGCTTCTTTCAGCAAATCAAGTACCATAGATATCCTCTTGTCGCTAATCCCACACATACATTTGATATGGTACAACTTCAATATAAAGGACAACTTCGTGAACTTAGTGCATCCTGTATATAGCTCTTGATTATAATCAGCAAGCAACTCATCAAAACCTTCTCCTTTTTCACAACTTCCACTTGCAGTTGATGGTCTATCAGTGTCCATCGGGTTCTCAGATGATCCAGCTTCATATCCACCATCATTGTTCGTACTAATATCAGGAAAAAGATCATCCAAGAGAGTCCTAGTTGAATCTAATTCCACCGAAGCAATATCAGAAGGTACTCTTGTATTACCCGTGACACATATATCCTCTCCATGTAGTACCCAATTTGTGTAAGAACTTAAAAAGCCATAACACATTAAATCACCGTCTATATCTTCTCTTGACTTAAGTTTGAGGAGACAACAACGGTTACATGGACATTTCAGCACGTATACCTTTAATTTACCAAATGCAAAATCCAAGGAATTTTTCACCCCCAATATGTAATCTTGAGACAAACGTGGTTTGTTTATCCATGATTTATCCATCGATCAAAACCTAAAAAACAAAAAGATTTGTATAATTTGTAAGCTATGGAAATTCACAAACAAACATTAGAATTTATAAATAAATATATCTACCATGATCATTTGTCTCTATCGCTTACTGTTATTAATTGGAATCTAAAAATAACTGGTGAATATATGAATTATTTTTCAAGATTCTACGATATGTAATTAAAGTCCTTCTCATGAGAACCAATAGTCTAATTAAGACAGACAAACCTGAAACCAATTGTTGATGTATGAACCTTTTTATTGTTTCTAGATTTCTTTTGCTAAGTGCAGCTACCTGCAGTTTAACCAAAATTAAAATTGTATCATAATTAATTACAGAGAAATAAACAAGGATGAAGAAGATCTAATCCTAGAACAATGATTCATCACATATTTTACAAAACTTACGTGTAACGATCTTGACTTCTAAAAACCTGTATGTGTCTAAAATCCATATAAAAGTAAGAGATATATATACAGCTAGCTAGGTTGCTTCTCGATCAAATTTGTAGCCAAAATTTAGGTGTGATGATTATCTAGATCTGAAATATATTTTCCTTCAAAAAAAAAAATCACGTTGGTTTTTTTGATTTTTTTGATAATGTTTTTGATATATTTAGTTTAACATCAGTTTTTATTGATATAAATTTTGTATCATTTAAAAAGTGATCTTAACAAAAATTAATAAATACATCAATTATCTAAATGATGTAAATTAATATTTACTATCAGTTTTAAAAAAGTGATACGAAATAATAACTTTTAAATCAGTTTTATATAATTGATGCCAAACTAATTAATTATAACATCACTTAGTATAATTGATGCTAAAACACATCATTTATAAATAAATGATTCAAAATAATATCATTTAGTGAAGTGATACAATTTAAGTGATTTAATATGATCTTTTTTTTGTAGTGTAATTAACAATTTTTGAGCTTTTCATGTTTTGGTTCATAACCAGAGAAAAAAGAAGCTAGTGACGTACCAAACACAAGAAGAAAATGAAATTATAAATTATATCTAGTTGATTCAGGAACAAATACTGAAAATGATATGACGTAAAGAATTTCAAACTTTCTTATTCTTTCAAATCTTTTATGGCAAGGGAGGTGAAATGAAAACGAATCATTAAGATATATGTGCAATGAATCCAATAACCTCTCCATTAGCAGATGCATGAATTTTATTTTTATGTTTCTGTTATGCATCTTTTTAGTTCACTTTTTAGCCTGGTCATATCTTTGCTCAGACTTCATTAATAGCAAGCTGGATTACAAAATCGACAAAAGTATATGTCCCCATATATTCCTATCTTTATACTGAAGAAGAAATATATACTTTAGCTTTATCTATGGCACTACTCTAGAGTCGATCGTCCACGGTTGTAGTATGTATCTAATTAAAATCCGGGACAGTACCGTGTAAACTTTAAACCACGAGTATTATAAATGGATGTTGTTAGGAAAACAACATTAGCTTACCTTTCAAATTTTGAGGAATTCTTTTTTTTTCTAGCTAAAGAAAATAAAATATAGAATGATTAGAAGGATTTTTAGACCCAATATATAGAGATTTCTTGTAAGAAATTAATATGTTTGAGAAATATGCGTGTATTTAAAATTAATTAATAATATTTCAAATGATCAAAATAAAATATTCAATGTTTATAAAATTTAGATTAGTTTATATATCTGTAAATAATTACTCAAGTATTAAAATAATACATTAGTAATTTTTTGAATATTTTCTACAATGTTATGAAAGACACCATTTCTTTACGACATTCATTTTAGATACACAAAACAATAATTTTGAGAGGGTAAAGTAATTTATAAGAAAACAGAAAAGGAAAATGTATAACGTAGTTGTTAAATAACGTAGAAGAAAGATGGCTTGAGATTGGAGAGTTGTACGAGGAATATTAATAAGTCAAGTTGGTCGAGATATGCATTGAATCGATGGGAACGAGCCTCGTGACAACGACATGTGCCGTTTCATCCACATTTTTTTTTTTTTATAAACCCTATCGGCTATCCATCCGGCCCCGGTAGAAACGCACCGAAGTGCTACATAGTGGACTAGTCCACATTACATACCTTTTGAAATCATTCCTTATTTAATTCTTTTATCAACATTTTTTTGTTGCTTAAACTTATTTTCTTCAATATATCTCTACGTATACCACCAACATTATTAAAGGCTAGCTTAAAAGAGAAATAGAATCATTTTCATTTTTAAAACTCAAGTATATGTGATGAAACTGTGGGCATATCATAAAAACTTGTCATTGAGCATAATAATTCATCTTATTATGTCCTACTATATATGCATTATGCAATGTATATAATATGAATATTTCGTTGAATATTGTTGCAGGTCCACTATGCACCACTAGACATGCAATCTAAGGGAGGGTTTGCGATGTTCAAGGCAATCATGCATGGGTTGCCATTTCTATAGCTTTCCCTTTCTACCATTTTTTTCTTTCTAAATTTCTAAAATTAAATATACACACCATGGATTAAACCAATAGAATCCAAGGAATTACTAGTAAAAAAAAATACCTCCTATAGTTCACCTAAGAAAATCTGATATCTTTCTTGGTTTTGGCTACGAATAACAATCTTTTTCTGATTTGGATAAGAGATTGCGCTCTATCTTTACGTTATCGGTTCTTCTATAAAGCTGAATGGCATTATATACATTTTTATCTGAATGGCAATATATTCTTTTAGATTGGTATAAGCATGCTATTTACGTACATATATCTATTTATTTACATAGGAACTGGTTGGCATCGATCCTAACCATAAGATCATCAAATTATGTGTACAAAAAATCAAAGATATCGAATCAAGTACATATCCACAGGATAATTTGAATATCTTTTAAGATCGAGAAGATATCACTATGGTATATACTATTTATATAACTCTCAGTTATATATAGTTAAACTTTGACAAATTTAAGTCTGCATCGTGCATCATCATATTTTTAATTACGTAAAATTTTGTTTTTGTTTATAGCTAGCGGGAGGTAATTAAAGTTTTGTTGTAATTATGTCTACTTGAGCCTTATAATTGTAGAATAGTAAATGTCATTTAGCTAGTGGTTGACGAATAAAACAATTCTCTTTTTCTTTTTGTTTTAGTAGAAAAGACGTAATCAATAGTATATGTTATACATGCGATTCATTGAATTTGGATAAATCAGTATTGTATTTTGGATTGGAAAAAAAATGAGTAGTGGATTTTGGTAAGCTGTCAAATTGGTTAATACCAGAACGGCTAAAACAAAACTGCTTGCGAAAAAAATTAAAAAAATTATGTCCTTTTATTTGAGAGATGCTGGATGTAAAAAAATCATATCATAAATTTTATGACTATGAGTTTTAAAAAATAATAATGATTACAACCAGTATCATACTACATGTTATTTTATTGAGATTTCGATATATTATAGTATTATACTATATCACATTTTTGTGTTAAAATTAGACTAAAAACAACACCACTTATTCATGTTTTGTATATATATATCTCCTAAAAACAAGGTCTCTAATTTTATAAATTGAAGTTTGCATTTCTATTATAACTATTAATAAAATCGAAAGAGAAATAAATATTGGACCAACTGTCCCACTAGGAACGATAATATGATATAGCCACCACATGAAATGCCGAGGAGAGGAATAACAATATGGGTCATCATCGGTCGATAACACATAGACAACATTATTATTAGGTAGGAAATTTTATTTTTTCACAATATATAAAATTATTTATATATACAGTCTCTTTGATAAATGTTGAATATATTATATACTTAATCAAATTAAATTGGTAATTCACCGCATTCAATCTATTAATTATTGCTATCACTTGAGTATATATTAGTGCGCGGATGAGTTCGAATCTATAATTAGCTCGTTTATGGTCCATAGTTTCAATAGATTACAACTCTAAATGATTATAGCATTTTTTTGTAGAGATATAATTGCCTTTTTTGTAAATAAAACTTTTCTTACTAATTCGTTACAAAGTTTGATAATATTAGATTTTATTATTCGTGTATATATAGAAACATTTGATTAACGATGATCAAATGCTTTGATCACGAATCACGATCATGACAAATTGTCAGTCTAACCATATAAAAAGAAAAACACAAAATCTTCCTTTCAAAACACTGCAACGAAGAAGCAACTAGCTAGCTTCATTTTTTTTGTGAACATCAAGTGGTTAACATTTTAAGTGCTTTCGTAGTACCAACGATTACTTTAAAAATCATAAAAATAATACGAGACTAAAAAGCCTATAAACAACAACACAAATCAGAAAGGAAAAATCACGACTGGTTTCTTTATTTCAACTAAACAACTTTGACTATAGTCATGATTATAATACACGAACAATGTTAAAGTTTTAGATTCGTTTAATTAAACCAACCATTGAATATTCCAAAGAAACTGAAACCTCAATCTCAAACAGAGGCTTAGCCCAAATAAATTCCATCCCACGTCAGCATCAACTCTAAGGAAGAAGAGAGAGAGAAAGTGTCTAGGGGAGAAGAATCACTGTGATTGTGTAGAGAAAGAGAGAGAGGAAAGTAATCTAATTTTTCAATTTTTCAGAGCTTCCAGAATCAGCAGCAACTTGCCTCTCACACTTGTCACCCCCAAAAGAGAAAAAAAAAATTAAAAATCCTTTTTTAAAAACATTGAAAAAAAATCTTGTAAATTCAGTGAACCTTCCTCTGTTTCCTGTTTCTTCTCTGAAAAGATTATTTATTTCTTCATTATCTTTTACCATTTTTAATACCACCAATTCCCATATCAAAACCACACCCACTTTTATGTCTTCTCTCTGTTTTCTTACAAAAAGAAACTTTCTTCGTCTTCCTCTGTATTTAAGCTTTAACACCCAGTTTCTCGCTGAAGGAGTTTAAAGGTACTTACTTTCAGTTTTCTGATTCATTCTCTGATAATCTTCGCCTGATTCGTTCGTTGCTCATGTTTTTGATTGAATCATAACGATTTACTGATCAAAACTTCGACAATTTTCTATTGCAGCTTTCGTGAACACCAATCGATTCTTTTCTCTCTACGTGAAAAAAAAAAAGTTTAGTCCTTTTTAGGTCTGGAAACGCCAAGAAGATCATTTCGAGTTCTTGGGTAATTTCATCATCAGGGTTCTTCAACCAAGCTACATTGACAGAAGAAGAAAAAAAGTTCGTTGCTTTTTATGCGTTTGGATAAAACAAACTCAAGTTTCTTCATACATCGATCTGATTTTCCAGATCGAACCTCGAGAAAATAAAAAAAAAAAACTTTCTTTTAAATGATTCGTGAAATCTCCAGTCTACAAAACGACATCATAAACATTCAAGAACATTGTTCTCTCAACAACAACAGCAAAGTCATGGACATGAGAAGAGATAACCGGAAAAACATGACTTTTCGTGGATCAGCTCCAGCTCCGATTGTTGGGAAGCAAGAGTTGTTTCGGACATTGTCGTCGCAGAACAGTCCGAGGAGGCTAATATCAGCGAGTTACTTCAGTTTAGAATCAATGGTTGTGCTTGTTGGTCTCACAGCATCTCTCTTGATCTTACCGTTGATTCTTCCGCCATTACCTCCTCCTCCCTTTATGCTTCTTTTGATTCCTATTGGGATTATGGTTTTGCTTATGGTTCTTGCTTTCATGCCTTCTTCTAATTCCAAACATGTTACTTCTTGTTCCACTTTTATGTAATAAACGTTTCTTTAATTGAAGAAATCCTTTAAAAAAAACAGAGAGAAGGTTTTGTCTATTGTTGTCATTACATAAGGTTTCAGGGTAAGAGATTAATATTTCATTTGTAAAACTCGTTTTGTTGATTCAGAATTATACACAACTATCTATATAAATAAAGAATCATTTATTGTTTCCATAGTTTCATCATGATTTCATTTTTCTCATGGTCTGAAGCAAAACCAGATAAGAGAATAGTACAAGAAGTAAAAATTGCAAGGCTTTGATTACAGGGTAGGAGACAGAAGAAGTGAAATAATATATATAGATGAGATAATATAAAAGGCTTTGATTATCTCTCCAATGGTTTAGGATGCTTAAAAGATAGATATAGAGAGACTTGACAAAGACATTCTCATAGGAAGTTTGTACAAGAACATTTTTCATCATCTCACCACCTGGATCAGAATCCAAAAACTGTAGTGGTATGGTTGTTTTCCAGTTCTTGTTTTTTCAATTATTTTTAAGAAAACGAGTTGGGTTAACTCAGATGCTGAATCCATTGTTGCTCAGTGTGAAGAAGCTTTGACCAAAAAAAGAGGAAGGTGATGCTCCAAAACTGCCATTAGCTGATGATGACCTTTCTTTACTTCTTCTGTTTCTACATCGAAGCCTTGAAGCTGTTTTACAGCTTCAACGAGCTGTCCCCTTAGCTTTTGTGAGAGCAGCCACCCACCCGCATTCACACACTCTCTGTACAACGGCATGTAGGCAATTGCTACTCTCAATGGTGCTGGGAGATCCATTATACTTATTGCAGACTCTCCGAGTTTCAAAACCCTCATGAAATTCATGAAATTTTCCCGGCTTTCTCTCAATCCTTGGTTGAATGCAGCCTCTGACCAGTGTTCTTGGAGAAACGATTTGAGATCTGAAGGAATAGACTCGTCTTCTGACTTTGCAATGGTGTCTGCAACTGAATATGTGGCTACTGGATCCCCGAGGAAATCTGATTTAAGGAGAAACTCTACTCCGTGGAGGGAACCACCACTTCTTTCACCGGCTGCTTTGAGGATTTCAATGCTGAGAGCAGTGAGAACGGGTCTTGGAACATGAGGAAGGAGATAAGCAGCGACCTCAACCTGGCTGCTTGAAGTGGCGGCTGTGAGAGCTAAGCATAGCTCCATTTCACGACAGCCTCTTTTCACAAACCATTGAACAACTTGCATGCAACCTCTCTCCGCTGCTCTCATCAAGGGACCCAAGAAAGCAATGGCATGACCTTCTTCCACAAGGCAATCCATCGTTTCGATTTTACTATAATGCGAGGCAAAACCCAGTGCTAAGTCAACATCCACGTCTAAGCTATTCCTTTGAGCAATCTGCACCAGGAAAAAGTAAAGTTAGATTTGCATAAAACAAAATTGCAAGCAATCAATCATTAAGGATTAGATTTACCTGTAACAAGATGCGCACAAGTTCTGTGCTCCCAAAACGAGAAGCTTCAAGGAAGCACTGATTTACATTATCTGCGCCTCCTTCCACCAGCATACCGAGCAATCCATGTATGACAGTAGCTGAGATTCCAGAAGCCCAGCCGGGATTAAATGAGGTAGAAAACAGCGTAAGCGGGAAGCAAGCTGCATCAAAAGCTTCTGTGAAATCCTTTCCTGATAGATGGTTTCCTGCAAGATCTAAGAACATCTTGAAAGCAGAAAGCTGGAGTTGGATCTCAGCAGCTGAGTCTTGGTTAGATTTATCTCTAGGGCCCTGGCATCGGGAGTGAAAACCTATACATTTGAGGGCCCATTCAGTAAACTTTTGAACTTTAGCACCAGCTTCTGCTTTGAGGACTTCATCACCATTACACTCTTGGAGACGCTCGTGCAACCTGGAAACGCCGAGATGGGAAAAAATGGATTTATATAGTAAGGGTATCTCACCCTTCCCAGCTAACCCAAGATAAACCAGGAGGAAGATGAACATAAGAGATATTAAAGATACGCTATCAACACAATGTAGTGAACGAATAAAGCAAAATAAAGCAAAAACATGGAATCATAACAGAAACCCAATTCTCCAATAATCCAAAACTGCGTTGCAATTACTATTATGAGAAAAGGGGAAGCATCTTATGAGAGTATAAAATGTGTACCTTTGAGCCATAACAGTTACAGTATCAGCAAGACTCACAGTCCGACTCTGGCAAGATGAAACACAAGAAGCAAGAAACGAAGTCCTAAGTGTAGCTCTAGTATAGTCATGAGCACCATGACATATGATCTTTGCAATCAATTCTGTGATTCCCCGTAACTCATGCTCTGTGGTCAAGAACCAAATAGAATCTAAACTAATACACTAAAGATCATTCAAAGTTTGTGGATCAGCCAGATGAATGAATCTCTCGGAAAGTTGCCAATCCTGTGAGCTAACAGCACCTTGGAAAAGTCGTCCCAATTCGATTCTATCCTGTCTATTAAGCTTCTTCTGTTGCCCAAGACCCCTGCATTTCAGTTTCTTTGCACTAGATCCATTGCTCTGTTGATTTCTACCTATAAGAGGTGCCTCTCTTGCAAAAACCACATCACTCCCTTCGCCTCCTGCAACAGTAAATGCCTGGTTTGGAGATTGAGCAATGATCTCCTCAGCTCCCAACTCAGAACCTACGGGGTACATGTCATCGTTCTCCATCCACCCAGAATTCCAAAATCAAGAATCCAAAAAGCAGCCAAAAACTTGTTTTGACATTCGAAAAACACTAGAAAAGGCAAAGCCTTTAGTCTATACCAAATCCCTTTCTCCTTGTATAAGCAAATGGCTCGTACCAAAATCCAGACTTGTATCCACTTGCGCAATCAGCCACTTCAAGAAATCAAACCCAGAAAAAAAAGACTAGAGATTTCGTCCAGAAAATGCTGTGGAATCGATTCACGAGAGCGACAAGAGTCTGAATTTTAGCAAAACGTAGTCAACAGAAGCATCCAAACCTAAAAAAAAAACAAAAAATCCGACACTGATCCCAATCAGAATCCATGCCTGACCCCAGCAATTGTGGATTCGGCCATGAAAATTGCATCGGAATGAAGAAGAAAAATGCGAATTTGCAAATTACGTAAGAACATTCGTAGACGAGAATTGTTGGGAAGAGGAGCGAACCTGGACGAGATTTTCATTGAGAGGTTACGAGAGAGAGAGAGACAGAGGAAAAAAAACAATGAGAGAATTTTATTTATTTGAAGGAAAAAAAAAAAAGAATTTTATTTATTTATTTATTCTGAAAATTGAAATGACCATAATTAAATTAATTTGCTTATTTACAGTAGTAACAAAAGAGACAAAATTGATTCTCTAGTTGCCTCTTTTTAACCAAATTATTGGTTTAGAAAATGCTAATTGAATTATTGAATTAGTTCGGACAACTATGCTAACAAAAGCAGTCTTGTCTTGTTCAAGACATGCCTCTCATAAAACTTGATTGTTTCAAATAGACAGATCTTGTCTTTGCCATGGCGTTATGGATTATGATGGTGTTATGAGGTAGAGAGACTTATTTTTGTTAACCACATTTAGGTTAGGTACATGAAAATGAAGTTTAACCAAGGGGACCAGGTTTGTATGCGTTGAACCTCTCAAACTAACTCAAATATAAAAGCAAGAAAGCTTGCATATGTATATACAACAACAAGAAGCCAAAGAAACCCATCTTTCATAAATAAAATTGCAGGGAAATTTTATATTACAATGTTGGATCTCGATCGTCTCTCTTGATCCAATTGGATACGGTAATACAATGTTGAAAAGGTATTGCTCGACTGTGGTTGGGTTAGCACTACCATATAACATTGTAGAGCTCAACCTCAAGAGACTTTATGTGAAACCGCTATTGAGATTCAAGTTTTATTCAAGAAGTGAAAATCGACAATCGAGTTCCAATGTTTCAACTTTCAAAGAAAAATAGTTGATTCGGTCACGATGTAAAAATGGAAAATGTTTCTTTCCATAAAGATAAAAGGAAATTTTCAACACATTAATCTAAACTTAATGCATGTAATTTTTTTCTTCTTTTTTTCTGTTTATTATTTTTTAATAACCTAATTTTTAGTGTCTATTTACTGTTAAAAAATTAAAAACATAAACAATATTGTAAATCTATTACAAAAAGGTCTTAAAAAAAAAAGAAAATTAAGTTTTACTTGGTAATAAAATTTTGATTTATCCATTTGTTTTTTCCTTTGACCTTTTGATTTATCCATTTCATTATAATATAATGATTATATACTCCAATAGGAAAATTGATTTCTCTTTAAAAAAAAAAACACTAAAATGAGAAAAAAACATTTATTAATCCACAAAGAAAGCATCTCTGGATTTCTTTGATTGATATAAAAGACGCAATCACCGCCGATCTCTCTCTCGACGGTCGCATATCAAAAGTCCATCTCTTTCTTCTCTTTGTTGGATCAGCAGCCATGGATGAAGAGTACGAAGTGATAGTTCTGGGAACTGGTCTCAAGGAGTGCATCCTTAGTGGTCTTCTCTCCGTCGATGGTCTTAAGGTCTCTTTCCTCAACTCTCCTCTTTTTTTGTTTTGTCTTTGGAGCTTTTTGAATCCATGCTTGATCTGGAGAAATTCAACTTTTAATTCGTTGCATGATGAATGGATCTTAATGAGATTATATCTCCCGATTATGTGATTTAAGCTCTGGTTTCCCGAGTTTAAGCGATTGCTTTGTTAGCTTCAACATGAGAATCAATTGGCCTCGCGATTTTGACTATGATCTGAATTTGATGCATTTAGTTAGTTATTGAGATTGCGGAAAAATACGAAATTTCATCATCTCCACTCCTATATCTTCTATGTGATTGATTTAGCTGACTTTGTCTTCAACCAATAAGCCAAGTTTACTTCTTTTTGAGTAATCTTATAGTGTCATTTCATGTATCTTCCAAATAGGTACTTCACATGGACAGGAATGACTACTATGGTGGAGAGTCAACTTCGCTTAATCTCAATCAGGTCAGTTTTCTTTAAAATCTGTACTAAGACTTTTTGTGGTAAGTTATCATCAGCGAGAGTTATTGATGTTGATTTGTTTTAACAGTTGTGGAAGAAGTTCAGGGGAGAAGAGAAGGCTCCTGCTCATTTAGGCTCTAGCAGAGACTACAATGTTGACAT